TCTTTTTTCTGCCCCCCCCGCAAAGCTCCCAAGGGTTGCTGGCTTGGACAATACCTTTTTTGTCCCCCCCCCCCCCCCGGCGGGGATAGAAGTGCTCAACTCCTGGCTAAAACGCTCATGGAAGGATGCTTCACATTGCCACAATTGTGGACTGCGGGCCTGAATACTTTGGACAAGCATCTGCAAGGCAAAATCTATGTTGTCGAGGGACTTGAAGCTTTTGCTCGCTCGCACGTTCGTTCAGCAGCACAAAGATGGTTGTGCAATAATGTTTGCTGCAGTTCCACTTTTGTGCTACCTCCACTCCCAATTTAGGGCATGATGAGACGATGCAAATCATACTGGAACCTCTCGTGAACACCTGAGCCAAAAGGGTTTCATCTTTCCGATTTGCTATCATCAGCCTTCCTCCACCCTCCACTTTACCACTTCGATTCTCCCAGAGGCTGCATGAGATTGGACACTGAGGATTTCCCCAGTCATCGCCCTGTTCGATTTCGAGTTCTTTTCTTCCGGCATCGTTCTAGTCAGTAGGGGATTTGTTCCTTCGCTAGCTGTATTGTGTGCCGTGTACGACGACCGGGCGTCCCATGTAGGCTCGAAACTGGGGTACCGAGAAGCTTTGCACCACAGCTTTACATGGCGATCTTACATGTCGAAACACAAGACAAAGACTCAGAGGATTCAACAACGCTGCTTTTCGTCATGGGCAGGCACCATATCAGTTTCTTGAAGCAGTTGTAAGCTATGATCCCCATTGACCATTAAAATCTCCAGATTCCAAGACGTGAGCAGGCCACTTTAGAACTCGACCAGGCGTTTTGTGTTCTCTGCGAGTATGGACGCAGGTATCCACAAGCCCATCTTGTCTCAAGGCTGGAATTCTTCATAAGGTGGCCACAGCTGTGCATTAGACAGATCGCTGGTTGCGAACTTCACCTCTCTCGCTCCATCAGCCGATATGTTCTCAATAGCATTATTGGTCCTTTTTCGCATTATGCCTTCGTCCGAGGCGGAAGGAGAGTGCTATTCAATTGGGGATGGCACTCGCCTCGGTTGTGAGTAGACTATTCTCTGGACAACTTCCCGACATATGATGCTGAGCTCGGCAGATCCATACAAACCCTGCACATCAAACTCTATAGATGGAGGGTTCAGTACTTGCTGCAGTCTTGGGGTCGAGGGCCAAACAGATGATATCTGCATGAATTCGGGGCTCTGCCTGTCAACCACCAATTCGGTGAGCCTCGAGCAATACCATTTTAAATGAGATCTTTTGCCTGACGATCTGTGGCAGGTTCTCCATGCCAACGGTTGTACAGGTATTCAAGGGTGTCGATCCTCCCACTAGATGTACCTTCTGATAGAATGCAGATCGTTCGAGGCAGAGCGAGGCTTGCCCCAAATTTTGCAATGATTGTAAGTGATGGCGTCAGTTCGTGAGTCAGCATATTGACGGACGGTGCAGTGGGTATTGCCGCCAATGCAGTGGGTGCGTCTATCAAAACATACAGTATTCTTCCATGCAATCTGTACAATGGCACGTTTTGTTGTCAGTCTGCAGACTCACAGGTGAGATATGGTCTCCAGTTTGTGATGCAATGGGCAACATTGACATTGGCGATAAGGGCACTTGTTGCGACAGACCTGATTTGCTAATCAACGTTGATACTGTTGGAGGGAAAATGATCATCCCCGAGGATCCCCCCGTGCTGAACGCAACGACGTCCAACACAACAACCTGTAACGCAACGAGGTCTGACGCAGCAAATCCAACTACGAGTGAGTCCAGAAAATTGAAGTACCCGTCCAGGTGCCCTATGAACATGACGCTGACAAAGTCCAGCAACCACAATTATTCAAGGGAATGACAGCGGTGGCGTGGTGGGCGGCGCAGTAGGTGGCATTCTCGGAGCAGCATCAGTTGCATTGCTGGTAATTCTGATTCTTGCTCTTCGAAATCGCAAGTCACTTCGCTCCAACTATATCGGACTTCAAAAGCAGCATGACATCGCATTGCAACAAGATGCAGAAGAGAAGGCCGCTCTACAGCAACAATTGCAACAAGAACGGACCAAATTCCAGCAGTATCAACATCAAGTACAGAGTGCGATGTATACCCTTCATGGACCGCTTGCCATGAACTTTGTGGCTTCTCCGGCATTGCCTGTGGGAGACGCAGGGGCACCCTTTGCTTCAGGGGCGCTTGGACAAGTTCAACCTATCAAGGATGATGTTGGAGAAGGCGTGGTTGGGTTCTCTAGTAGAGATGTTAAGAAATAGGCCACAGGTCATCTGATCCATCAATTGTCGCAATGAACACGAATGTGCATAAGGTACATGTTGTTGGGGTCTGCCTTAAAGGAGGATGTCGGAGGTACTTTTCATAACTGTTCTGGGGTCGAGTGCCCACTGCAAGCAGAGGTGTTGACAATGGCGGAATAGATTTAAGCCCGAAATCGTCTGCGAGTCGTCATACCGTCTATGGGTATAGGGCAGAATTTCCACCTTGATAGTGCCATATTTGGTGACTCTTATTCGAAAGTAATCTTCTTTCCAGCAAATTTTGGCATGCCTTGATCTTCCATCTTCCGCTTTTTGGCTGCCTCCCACGAAGGATGAAGTGATCCTGAATCATCACGAGACTTGAGTTTCTCGGGCTTTGCTTGATCTATTCTCGCAGGTCGATTGTGTGAATCTTTTGCGTCTGGTCGACCCTTGTTTGACAACCGACCTGGACCACCACGGCGATCGACAGCACCTCTCTTTGCATCCCAACCTGAATTTCTGGTGTCACTTGGCTTCTGCTTCTTCTGATTTTGGAGATGTTTTGCTTTTTGACCAAACTTCTTCTCGGCCAGCTGTTGTCGAGCTCGCTGTCCTCGCCGGTTCTTTCGGATTTCTGGCCCGGGAGGGCTGCGTCGAGCAAAGTCGTCTTCTCCGTCCGATTCAGACCCTGAATAGTATCCGCCCATGCTCAAAGACGGTAGAAATGCGGTTTTCGTGGTGGGCACAATTTTCTGAGCCTTGGTGGAGGTTCTTTCTCGTCGTGGGTCGAGATTGTCCTCATCCTCGGAGGCTGAAATGGATAGCTCCCTCAGCTTGGGATCTTGCTCATCAGAAGAGCCTTCATCATCATCGCTATCTTCATCAGAAGCAGCAAGTCGATGTTTGTAGAGCGCATCAGCGTCAACCTCTGATGTTGAGTGTTCTCGGTCGCTCTGTCCTTCTCCAGGGGACCCAACACTAGAAAAGCCATTGAATTCATCATCTTCTGCTGATCCATTTGCAACATGCTTTACATGTGTTCCCTTTTTCGATTTCGAATTCCCATCTGAATTTGGCACTTGAGGAATGCCAAGCACGCCGAAGATGCTTTTCATAACTTCGTCAAAAGCCTGCTTTACAGGGGCAGAATTGAATAATCGGCCCAACACATTGGCCTCAGCTCCAGGCTTAGTTGACTCGACGGTAGGGAATTCGTCGTAGATGTGTGCAAAAGCGGGATTTTCCCGAATTCGCTTCGTTCGGCTAAGGTTCTTGAATAAATGAGTTTTGGCGGTCTGACCTAGCTGCATCTGCTTGAGGAGGATGACTTCCTCTCGAAGTCGTAGTAGAGTATGTGGCTCTTTGGAGGCCTCCTTTTGACGCCGACCCATCTTTTGTCGTTCGAAGCCTCGGGCGAGTTTCAAAGCAGAAGTCAACTTCTTCAGACCCTGGTCAAGTTTGACTCTCAATCGCGAGACCTTGATGCGGATAGCTTGATCTTCGATCTGAGCATCATGCTCGTCAGCATCATCCTCTCTCTTTCGTTTCGACATTTTTTTCTATTCTTTTGGGTTAAATAAGACTGCTCGCTTGCAACGGACCTCGAGATGCTCCCCAATGGTCATCTCAAACTTCAGACTGAAAAGATTTAGAGGGCATTTTTACGCTAGCGTCGGGTAGCTGACTAGCTAGCGCTCCCAGTGAAGACTCTGTGCGAGTCATGCGTATGCTAACTTCGTAGCGCCAGTTGGTGTTCGGCTTCACCCGTCGATCGCCGAACCTTCGAACAAACGGTTGTGGATTTTGGTATTAGTGCAAAGAATTCCGAACATGTAGTCTCTGTAGTCCTCGTTGCTTCTCATAGGCTGAGTAGCGCTACAAAAGGACCAGCGATTAGCGCGAACAGAACATGTGAGCTTCTTGGGGGCAGGAAGGGCATCCTTCCTAACCGGTGCAGGGGTTCTCTGGCGACCCCGGCACTTTGAGGGCTTGGCTGAAATGAGGCTGAGGCTGGGAGCTGAGCTGGTGATGTCTTAGGCTGCCATCTGCCTGCCATCACATCAGCCCGATATTTATTCTATTGAAGGGGAAATTTCTATCACAGAAGTTGACTTTTTTCCATTTCGACTTCTTCTTCTTTTCTATTAGCATCTGTAACGCCCTCAGTAGAAAAACATTAATCTCGAACATTCAAACAGGCGCCCCTGAACGCCGTCCACATTTGATTATGGCGCTTACTATCCCCAAACTCTTGCTCATCGCCTTGTCCGTGGCCGGCTTCTGGACTCTGTGGGGATTCCCCTATCAGAATGGGCTTCTCAAGATACTTGGAGCGCAGTCCGAAATCGGTGCAGTCCTACCGGGACCTACAATAGTTCCAATGAAGCAGTCTTACACTGGGATACGCGTGGTCGATAAGCAATTGACGACTTTAGTCAGCTTCTTCTACACTGCTATTGACGGCAACCGGGCAGATATTTCTCTGTCGTTTATGGCTTTGGGTGGTCAGGTCCTTGGTGCCTGGACGTTGATTACCATTGAATCACTGAGAGTCGGCAACCAGGGCAAGTTCTTGCTCACTGCGTGAGTCCTGACCTTATTCTTCGTTCAGACAATTGCTAATAAACAGCAGCACCACTTTGCTTGGACTGGGTGTTGCTATCATTGGATATGCCTGTGTCGCGCCATTGTGGTTCGCCCTGCATCTCTGGACATCGCCCACTGTGAACAATCCCAAAGATTACAACTTGGTTGTTTCCACTCCCGTAAAACTTGCCGTTGCCCCACTCAGCATCTTGATCGGCTTTGGGCTTCCTTCGGTGATCATGACGCTACCTGCTCCGACTGTCTTGTCATTCGAAACTAAACAGACGTGGACTGCTATTCAGCAAGGCTGGGCGATCTGGATTGGCATTGCGCACTTGATTCTCTCCTCGGGTGCCATCATCTCCGACAAGAGAGCTTCCATCTTGACCGAAGCAGACAAACGGACCAAGACATTGAAGTATCTTCGACGAGCTTATGCATTCAGCATACTGTCCTCGACTGGCTCTTACATCGCTGGCTTGAGTCTAACAGGACTTGCATACGCCTTCCCAGTGTTGTTTAGCTCGACCTACTCCCCACAACTGCAACCAAAACAGGTCTACTGGCCAGTACTACCGTTCGGCGATCACAAAGTCAATACTCTTGCAGATGGAGCTCTTTGGTTTCTTCAGTGGGATCTCATCATTGCAGTACTGTCAAATATTGTCTGGGGTGTGTCGGTTCGTATGGCAATGAACAAGACGAAGGGCACCATCGGGTCGTTTGTGGCTGACACTTTCAAAACCGTTCTGATCACATTAATTTTGGGCCCGACTGCCGCCGCTGCTATAGCTCTTTGGGGCCGCGACGAGTTGGTGTTCCGCAAGGCAGATGGTGCAACTGAGAAGAACAAGAAGAAGTGATCTATATGACTCACTTGGTGCTGGATGAATGGTCTACGCGAACTCGTCGGCCGGAGGCTGTGCTGGAAACAGACCCAGAGGATGCGCGCGACTACAATGGGTTCAGCGGTTGGTCAAACAGGATGCTGCCTCGGTATCTAAATTGGTTCGAGCAGCAACGGAAACGAAGGAAGGATCCAGCTTTGGAAATGGTTCAACGGGCGGAGTTCAAGCAGGGTATGGTTGTGTGTTTCGTGTGGAGTCACTGTTGCATATTGGAAAATCCAGGAATGGAATTATCGGTCTCCGTGTCCCTGGCGGACAGGTACATGATGAGAGTCTAGGTAATTAGTCAGGTGGATAGTCAGAACTGATCTCCCTCATTATTTCCGATAATATTGTAGACTACGGACTACCTCATAACAAGCCCGGCAGAAGAAACCGTCTCTGTACCTAGGTGCCCTGCAATCTCTCGCTTGGTTCCCTCAGGTCAACAAGCTCTAGCCAAGCAACAATAAAGTTGTCAAGCACTAATCTGCAGGAGTCGGGCGCCTGGAACGTTGCCACTAGGGGGAGACAGTGGACGCTCGTCAATGTCGATGACGACGCATGTAGCACAGATATAACAGGAAAAAAAGGACACTTGATCTTGCCACAAAGCAGCTACTGTTTCATGTAGTCTGTCTCTAACAAACAGCCACATTGAATGGTTGATACGGTTCACTTGGGAGGAGGGAAAATAGGCATTAGCAGTTACCTGAAACGCCCATGGGCTCCACCTGGGATGGGGATGGCTTGACCTCAAGCTTCATCGGCTAGAAAGGGCACGTCCAGAAGGGCTCTGACTGGACCGACCATCGTTTACGGGTGTCGGATGGACTTGTGTGAGTGTGGCTGAGGGAGGACAGAATGGAGTACCAAGGGACTTTTTTTCAGCTCTCCCGGGCAGATCCAGATCCATTGAGTGCCGCACCTATTGTTTGTTACACTGCTAATCATTCTGCCCACAACGTCACCTCGTTCCTTCCGACGCTTCCTGGCCTTCCATCAGGTTGCTTTCAAAGCGTTATTCCAAAATAGTCCGTTTTGTGGACCAGCGCCTACTGTAATCTCTATATTAATTTGAATCCACCTTCTATTTTGTGATGTCTTTCGTTTCTGGTTCTGGCCTCGAGTCTTCGTCTTACGTATCCTGAAGGCTGTTCAAGAATTAAAGATGTACACACCAAACATAGCTGCAGTTGCAGCTCTAAGTTACGCAACGACATGTCTTGCAGATCCAGGCTACCTGGTCTTGGATTTTCACAAAAGAGCCGCTGTCGAGCGACGACTAGTACGGAGACAAGCCGGAAGTGACAGCTTCGTTGGGGAACTCATACAAAATACCAACAAGCTGGAGTATCTCATCAATATCACCCTGGGCACGCCTCCCCAGCCACTTGCTGTCACACTCGACACGGGAAGCTCAGACCTCTGGGTTCCAGCAACTTCAAATGAGAATTGTGTCAAGAAGGAATGCGATGGAGGTTCCTTCGATTCCGAGAAATCGAGTACTTACCAATTGATACAGGAAGGTACATTCAATATCGTGAGTGTCTTCCCAACAAAAGTCTTGTGGCGGAAGGGTGTGTTAACTGTGAGATAGACCTATGCTGCTCCTGGAGATAGTGACGCCGGTGACTGGGCAAGTGATACTCTTATCATCGGAAATTCCCCTGGCATCCAAAATCAACAGATCGGAGTTGCGGTAGCGGGCTTCGACCCCCATGGAGTGATGGGTATCGGATACGACATAAATGAGTCAGGAACGGCGCCTAACGGAACATATCCATCTGTCATGGACAACTTGGTGGATCAAGGGATCATTGCACGGAAGGCCTACAGCCTGTATCTGAATGACCTGGAGTCAAATCGAGGTTCAGTCATCTTTGGCGGGATCGACACCACCAAGTATACTGGTGACCTGGTGGCTCTTCCCTTCCAGGTATGATCCTTTCCGCTGTTGGAATATCTCGACTTGTTCTAATTCTCAGTAGGCAGACGCAGATCAAACCGCCATCAGCGAGTTCCTCGTAACACTTACTCGTGTATCTTTCACCGATTCATCCGGGAAGACAACCAGACTATCACCTGAAGGATATGCACAGGCTGCATTGCTAGACTCGGGCACCTCAAGCACTCTGCTCAACACAGATGTGTTTGATGCTCTCGCGGATGGGTTTGGAGCCGTCGATGTGGGCGAATCAACCTTCGTGGTTCCATGCAGCTTCGCTGAATTGAATGGCACCATTGATTACACCTTTGGTGGTGAGGGTGGCCCAACGATCAAAGTCCCAATCAATCAGATTATCGGCCAACAGGTATTTGATTCCACGCAATTTGATGATCCGTCTGGCGCTTGCGACTTTGGATTTGGCCCTCCCATTGTTGGCACAGTCATTTTGGGAGACACCTTCCTCCGGAATGCCTACGCTGTGTTCGACCTCGACAACAACATGGGAGCTCTCGCACAGGCTGTGGTGGAGAAGACAGACACTTCAAGCATAGTCATCATTCCTAGTGGTACAGAAATACCAGGGGCCAGCGTAACAGCCTCATTACCGGGTACTCCTCTCAACGCTGCGCAAGCAACAGAGGCCCCAGCAGTTCCAACAGCAAGTGTTGAGGGTACGACTTTAATTTTGACCGGGACGCCGACTTTCAGCCTCGGCCAACCAACAGGGACATTAAGTTCTGGAGGGTCCCAAGCAACATCGACCTCGTCCGCAGGTGCGAATGCAGCAGCTCCCACTGCGGCACTGCTGGGCTTGGGCTTGGTGGCAGGCGTTATGATTCTTTAAATGAGTTGATGACCAACACATAGATAGTCTTGAACAAACACTGTAGGAGTTATAAGAAGTGAGATGATCAGCGTTGATGACCTGATTAATGACCCGCATACACACCGCTCCTCGGTGCGCCATAAATCATAGGTCAGTCGTTGACGCTCTAAACGCGACTTTGGTGTACACCCGTGCCGACCAGCATCAGGATTCCACGTCTTTGTGTCCGTGGTCTAATCTTGTTGATAATCTCCACGAACGCGTTTCTTCCAGAGTTTGGCAGTTCTGGAGGTTCCCATCAGCGGAAGATGAATCCTTCATTAATCACGGCACGTCTCAGCACGGGGCATGCTGATTGGCGGCAAGCAGATGCCTCGACATCATCTCCGCACATTTATCGGCAACCGCGACCACGATATCGCTTCTCGCCCGCGCCCCTCGCAACTTCCCTCTTCCTCCTCCTCATCGATTCTACCATCACTTCGACTGATCCGCGATTATCGCACATATACACTATCTCTATACCTTCTACCGACTACTCCAGGCTTCTCGCGCACAAGGAATCAACAAATCGAACATGACTCGCGGGTGATACCATCGGTCGCCACTGAACTCCTCCCATCAACCGGTCCCGGTACCCTCGACGCGCCTTTAAATACGCCGTGATCCTTTGAGATTACAGCGAGGTGCTCTTCAGGGTCGCCGTAGACAAATCGCCTTCTCGTATACCACATGAGCCACAATCTCTGGCGATTTCTTTTCGAAGATGATGTCGATTCATTTCGGCATTACCTGGCCAACGCCACCTTCTCCGCTGCCCCGAGAAGTACGGCAGCCAGTCAGCATGGAACCTCTTTGAGGATTGGAAGTCCGGGGAACCTCGCAAGTTCCCCCAGAACACCTCTCAAACTGAGAAAGAGCTCGGGTCATATTACCACAAGCGGCGGTTCTGCAAAGAATGCCAGCGTCGTTCTGACTCGAGCTGAGTTGAATGCAAAGGACAGTCTGGGAAGGACAATCCTGCATCATGCTGTCTCTTCCAGGTCCGATAATGCCCTCGCTTTCGTCATCGCATTGCTGGAGGTTCCCTTCCTCGACCTCTACAGTCAGGATGCGGAGAGTGGCTGGACGGCACTCCATCGTGCACTTTATAATGGTAACATCGCCATCGCGCACGCCCTCATGGCTCGAGATATCCAAGTCGCGACGGACTATTCTGCCTCATATGCCAATGCTGGGGGTCTGGTAAAGATCAAAGACCATGAGGGGCATAGTCCGTTTGAGGTCTTCGGCTTAACGATTGCTCCTCGGATCCTGGAACGCAATTCGACAAGCCTACCCTCTGCAGCGTATGACGATGAAAGTGTCAATGATGTTGATCTCAATGGTGATGACGAGGTTCTAACCCTCAGGCAACATTCTCAACCATTCATCGACCTTTCAGGTGATGAAGCGCTCGCTTTTGGTAGTAACAAAAATCTCTCATTGGGACTGGGTGATGAAGACGACAGGCATTTCCCAGAGCGTATACAGCTTACCCGCCCAGATCATCTCCTTGAGCGTCTACTTGAGGATCATATTGCGATGAGAGAGAAGAATGGAGCTATTGAAGGCATTGCCTCTAGCACTGCCCATGTGGGTGATCATCGAGAATTGCCAGCTATCGTCCGCTATCGACCAATTACGATCAAGAATGTAGTCATGGCTAAACTCCACACTGCAGTTTTGACGACCGATCCTGTCTCCAATCTTTACGTATGTGGGTTCGGATCTGGTGGACGACTTGGTACTGGTGACGAAAACACCTGCTTCACATATCGATGCATTCAAGGCGGTGGCCTTGCCAAGCGCCACATATCCACTGTCGCCCTTGGACAGGATCACAGTATTGCCGTCTGTTCTCAAGGCGAGGTCTACACATGGGGTAGTAATCGATATGGTCAACTTGGTTATGCTCTCCCAGAGGTTGCCAAGAACGAAATTCCAACTCAACTACTGCCACGCCAATTATATGGCTATATTAAGAAGGAGAGCATAATCGGCGCTGCTGCGTCTGCTATTCATTCTGTCCTGTACTCATCAAACGCCTTGTACACTTTTGGAAAGAATGAAGGCCAGCTTGGTCTTATGGATGCTGATGCTCGATCATTAGAGACACAGGTTACTCCACGTCGAATTGGTGCCTCACTCATATATACACCGATTCAATCCGTCAGCGCCATCGACAGAGCCACAATTGTGCTTCTCGATAACCATGATGTTATTGTATTTACACATTATGGCTATACTAGAGTGCCATTTCCATTGGAGACTTTCACCAACTATTACATGGCAGAGCATATGTCCTTGAGATACAACTTGGAAATGAACTACATAAAACAGGTCACTGGTGGCGGGAACACTATTTGTGCAATGTCCTCATATGGAGAAGTCTACACCATTGAAGTTCCTAGGGTTTCTGAGGCAGTTCCTTCAGGTACATCAACAACAAATCCCACCAAAGCCCGAAATGCTCTACCACAGCCTAGTCGTCTATGGTCTATCCGAAAGGCCCACATGTCAGCTACAGATGTGGCTGTGGGTCAGGATGGCTCGATTATCCTCTGCACCGCATCAGGTTCTGTATGGAGAAAAGAGAAGCGTGCAAATATCAAAGCCGTGCGGGACAAAGGTGCCCGGTCTGGTCGCCCGAAAGACTACAAATTCGTCCGAATCCCTCAGTTGATGCGCGCCACCGCTGTTCGGAGCAATGCATTCGGGGCGTTTGTAGCCGTGACGAAAGACTGTACAGTTACTCGCGAGCAAATTGTTCCCAATCCGCCATCTCTCTGGGCTGATCTTCTCCCATTGCTACCGTTCGTGAAATATGGCGCGCCATCTGCGGACAGCACTAGCATTAACGACCCTGCCACGATTTCTCGATCCATTATTGCAAACTCCGAAGCTGAAGCTGACATTGCAAACATTTGCAAATCTTTTGAGCCACTCTCGAACAGTCAGTATGACCTCTGGATCTCATCTACTGTGACCGAAGTACGCATTCCAGTTCACTCATTCCTACTCAAGGCAAGAAGTCAAGTTATTCGGACTGCTTTGACCGAGTTCCAAGAAACATACTATTATTCAATTCCTGATGTCATGGCGATTGAGTATGGCCAGGATGGTGATGTCCAGCTTACGTTTCAGGGTGCCGACTTTCTCACCCTGGTCGATTTCGTCTTTTATCTATACACAGACAATGTGATCGACGTCTGGCATTACACATCAAGAGCTCTTCAATCTGCTGCACGGTATCGGTCCGTGCGACTTGAATTGATGAAGATCGCAAATCAGCTGGAATTACAGTATCTGGAACGTGCTGTCAGAGTCATGGTCGATCCTGTGCCATGTCTCCACAAAGACATGGAATTGGCTATTCTTGACACCGACTTCTATTCTGACGCTGATGTCGTCGTCGAGCTTGCGGACGATGCAGAGTTACCTGCCCATAGCTCTCTACTTTGCATTCGTTGTCCTTTCTTCAATGGATTGTTTAATGGCCGCGCGGGTGGCAGATGGGTAGCCTCCCGACGACATGAAGCTGGAGAGAACGAAGAAGCTATCAAAGTCGATCTAACACACATTGATGAGAGAATATTTTCCTTACTCCTGCGACATTTGTACGCCGATACTGGTGTGGAGCTCTTTGACCATATCACCACGTCAAGCCTCGATGAGTTCATTGATATCTTGATCGAACTGATGTCTGCGGCGAACGAACTGATGCTTGACCGGTTGACTCAACTTTGTCAGCAGGTAATTGGCGAATATGTTACCATCAGAAACGTATGTTCTCTCGTCAATGTCATCGCAGAGTGCTCAGTGGATAGCTTCAAGCGAGCAGCACTTGAGTTTATCTGCCTGAATCTCGAGATCATGCTTGAATTGAGATTACTCGATGAACTTGACGAGGAACTTTTCGATGAGCTCAGCGATGTTGCCAGGGCGAATCAACTAGCCTTTCTACCGTTCGCTCGCAGTGGTCGTGACGAGGAGATGCTCTTGGACCAGTATCCTGATTTGTACGAGCAGATTGAAGCCAGCAAACAGAGGAGAATAGATTCAATGCGTCTTAGGTCGAGGTTGACTGAGGATGAAGACCGTTTTGCTAATTCGAAATTTCGTATTGGCAGCATTGAACGGAGTGCCTCTTCACCGCTCACTAGAAGTCATCTGCCTACTCCCGTTGATGCGTCTCCAGATGTTACACCGAGTCCCAGCCCGGCAATAGTAGCCATGGACGGTTCAGATGACCTGCCTTTCGACATGGACGATGACAATTCAGGCATGCTTCCAGCATCAGCTAGCGGACTACAAGATCCGTCAACTCCGCGAGAATCCTCTCAACGACAGAACTCCTACAATCTGGGAGGAGATAGAGACAGACACTCGAGGGCTCCTCCACGACCAAAGTCCGTCACAGGGGGCAACACTTGCCAGTCTGACGTGCTCTATCCAGAAAGTCCGGAGTCGGTGACGATCCGACCTACAACTTTAACCCATTCTGCAGCTGCGTGGCAGTCGACCAGCTCTAACATGCAAAAGATTGATCTTAAGAACATCATGGAACAAGATTCTGCGAGTCGGATATCGAATCTCACAGAACAAATGCAGAAGCTATCAACGTCGTCAAAATCGGCTGCTAAGATGTCGCAAAAGGAGCGGAAGAGACAACAGCAGCAACAGTTGAAGGAGCAAGAACCCGCCAATCCCCCCACCGCTCCGGTGCGTGATAGTACAGGCTCTGTATCGTCTCCTTCGCCGTGGCAGGCTGTTGCGAAGCCGAACAAGCCCAAAGTCCCACCAGTGTCACGAGCGATCAGTGGGGGACCGGACACGGTTACACCGGTGCCTGTGAAATCATCCATGACAGCGCAACAGCCCGTTGTGCCACCCACTCCTGGTCAAGCAGCTTCTGGGAAAGTGCCAGCTCGAGGGTTAGCTCTGGGTAGCCCTAAACTTCCATCGAAGGCATCGGCGCCACAAATTCAATCGATCCGACATAGTCCCGTGATATCGAGAATGTCTTCATCAATTGATGCGCGGACATCGATGGCAGACATACTCGCACAGCAACAAACAGAGAAGACGGCCATCAAAGAAGCTGTAGCCAAGAAGTCTCTTCAAGAAATTCAACAAGAGCAAGAGTTCCAAGAATGGTGGGACAATGAAAGCAGACGAGTACAGGACGAAGAGGCACAAGTCACAGCAACGTCTTCTCGTCCTGGAAAAGGGAGTCCTCGAGGACAGGGGGGAAATCGGCGTGGTGGTAAACACAGAGCAGCGAAAACAGCAGCAGTCAATCCAGACAACACCACATCGAATTCACCCAAGATAGGAGAGCCGTCTAGCCGTGGAGGTAGTCGTGGGCAACGAAGTAATGACCGGGCAAAGAGTCGTGGCCAAGCAGGCACACAGCATCGGGGAGCGAGGCGGCCATAATTGTTGAAGTAAAGTTAGTACAAATAATTCTACTTGAATCCAGAAGGTCCAGCTAGGGCGTGCTCCCAATGTGGGTAGACACGATCTGATCAATCACGTCTTTGGTGTGGCCTGGGGACAAATCCTCCTCGATCGAGGGAGCCTGTAGTAATGGAAGGCAGGCAGAGGTCCATTACCAGTCATCTTATTTGTTTGTAACGGGAACCAGTCATGATGAGGAGCAGGCAGTTCTTTTAAGTGGTTGGTCGAGTGCACAAATGTGGCCTGGAATCCGAGCTGGACTCGTAGTGCGAACAAGAAAACAGAAGCATGTGGAAATGGACATGAAAGTCTCGGTAAGCGACATTGGTGCCTGATGACAGGATCGCTAGGTAAGGAGTACTCATAAGTGGTTATTTTTTTCTTCCTACCAATCGAGGCTGTATCATTATTGTGCTGTGAACAAATGTGCAGCCTACCTACCCGTACAGTATTAGGACGTGGAGTGGGCCGTTGGCGATGACTGTGACTGCCAGTGTGAGCCTTGGATCTGCAACAGGATTCGATTCATCATTCAAGGCTCATCAGAGAGTTGGAAGCGAGGTGGAGACAGCAGTGGGCACAGTTGGCTGCATTGCCTGGCTACGGATGCTGGTGAATTAGAGGGAACCTTGGAAGAAGAAGACGTGGGGGAGCGGCAGCTACTCGCCTCGGAAGACGAGCCGATGGATGGCTTTGCCTGTTGTGGGTTAAAGCTGAATGAATCAGATCATGGAGTATGATAGTCGTATGTCTGATGGGCATTATTATCAAATCTGCTATCAGTCTATCACCAACACTGGATAATAACTGTTAGCCTCAGCTTGCACTCCCAACACTTAATATCCCCTGCATTCGAGGTCTGTACTTCGTAGAGATAGGTCGAGTCCGCCTTGGATGGATAATGGAGGCCACCTATCGCCAGGCTTGTCCGGGGGATCCTCTGGCTGATCCGCCGCTTGTGCCTGCGCCCGGGAATGCAGAGCCTTCAGGTTCCCCTGCAAGTAACTAACTAAGAATGCGGACACAATCCACCCACGACTTCAATTGGATTGAACAAAGTACGGAGCTCCAGTCGACGAGGTCTTGATTGTCGGATGAGCTTCAAGCTTCGTGCTTCAAGCTTTGGGCCCTGTTTATTGAACGGGGGAATTTGCCCGTCTGAGTGAGTATGACTCGATGACTCTCACTGCAGACACCTTGAAGCCTGTGCTCTGTCTCTCTCACCGGCCACTAGTCAGATAGTGCACGTCGTTAGCGATAGGCACTCACTAGTACGCACTAAGACTAACTCTATCGTCTAGCTCCACTACGGCGAAGCATTCTGCATTTCCGACCCTCAAATGACTGCACCCTTCCAACTGCATCCCATCCCCATCCCATCAAACCATCAACCTGGTGTGCCAGTGCACTTATCTTCCCTTTTCCATCTCAACACCGAATTACTCTCCCTTTGCCCCCATCGCTGCCTGGCTGTAGCTTTGGATTTTGGATTCCACTGTGACTTTCCACCACTCAACCTTCGCAAGCAGCTATCCTTCTCGTCTCTCATCGCCTGGCGGACATGACCTCTAATCCAGTCCTGTGACTGACTCCAACTCCAAATCACATGCGGCTTCCGTCATATGCCTCCGACTCGAGACCATCGATAGCCACCAACACCAACACCGCACACCTTCCATCCTCCAACCATTGACTGATCCCTACATTTTTCCCAGTGCGCTGCCACCATGACTCGATTATCTATCTGATTCACCTTCTGGATCTTTGTCCGCTCCATCCTGGTGTACATCCAATCCCTTGACCGCCCAAATCCATCTCCAACTGCCTATCAGACTCAACAAGAGTCGAGAAACATTAGTGCCATCCTCTGCGTAATCATGGAAGGCTACCGGATAGAATCTATACCTCTTTCATCTCCTCAACGCTAAGCCAGGCACCCAAGACTTTGATATCCATCCTCGTACCAAGTACCTGAAGAACGCCCAAATCCACCCAAGAAGCTAAATCCCGTCCAGGGTTCGAGGTTCAATCACAATGCATCAACATCCACGGCCTCCACCTGTAACAGCCTCTCCCGCCAACTCCGAACAAACAAATCCCACCCGTACCAACAATCCCAGAGATCGAGACCTCCAGGCATTAAGAGCCACTTCCCCAACCACCCAAGGCTCCGGCTCTTCTGAAGACTTTGCTGCTACCAGACAAGACCAACCAAATGATAACCCCTTGGCTCAGATGCAGAGACTGAATCAAGTCATACAGAATTTCCACACAAAGGCGGCCCTCATCATCCTTCACTCGCGTGCCGAGCTTTCTCCCGCCTATTCCAAGAACACGGACACAAAGCGGGTCAATCGGTGGTTCAATCTCGACGTAGATGAGACGGATGACTACAAGGACGAGATCCGGCGGTGGAAGATCTGTGACGTGAAAGATGACCGACCTCCCCCTCTTATCGTCGAAGTGTTCCTTACCACAGAGTCCTTGCAACAAGGCCAACGCCTGGTGATCCTAGACGAGGAAGGCAAGAGATGGGACGTGGCCAGTATACTGTCGTCCACCCAGAGCACCTCTCGTGGAAGTCAACGACGATATGCAGACGCGCCGGAGATCCTCCTGGAACGTTGGACCATCGAGCTGGGTCCGCAGACTACTCCTATTCCTCCGGACTTGGCAACACTGCTGCCGTTGGTTTACAAGAAAAGCATTGTTTTGTTTCGTTCGGTGTATACATATTGCAACTTCCTCCCCGCGTACAAATTGGCCCGAAAAATCGGCAAGGGCCGCTCGACCATGGCCCTGAAATTGGGCTATCGATTAATTGATGGATCTCAAATGAACAGCCTCAATCGGTCGGATAACCTGAGTCTCCGATTGTTTGATTCTACGTCCGAGGTGCTCTCCACATATAAATTTGGAGAGACTGATTCGCCCGCCGGCCCCTTCTCAGTCAAGGTCCAGTACCGCTCAAACTGTGACTTCCGGATAGACGATTCTGAAGAGTTGTTGAGTTCACGATTTCTGGGAACGGATGACGAGCTGTTTCGGCCGTCTTTACCTAGCGATCAGGCTGGCCGGACGGAAGTTGGCTCATTGCCGGTGGATCGACGACAGAATCTCCTGGAACGGCCGGAGTTGGGTCATGCCTATGGAAGTTTGTCAACATTTCATCAAGCAGGGATTGCCACGGGTACGAGCCCTATCTCAGCTCTGCGAAATGCTCAAGACTTTACCGCCAACTCTCCTCCTACACCGGAACCAGCACGACCAACAATGCACGCTCACACCGCATCTCAAACCTCACGCAACACACTCAGAGCCGCGGCGGCCAATCGGCGGAGTTCTTTCTCGGTCCAACCATTCAAAGCACCGCCACTATCTGCATCGCCACTTGGTGCATCTCCACTCGCCAGTTCACCCAGGACGCATGCACGCGTTCCTACCCTGGGCTCCTTGACCGAGGAAGGAGGGTTACCCTCTAGAGAATCTACCTTGGCCGGAAGACGGCACAGTTCTCTGGTTTCCGAGCAGGCCGTCGCATCCTCCGCTTCTGCGTCTCCCAAGCCTGCTTCCGTCACCAGATACAGTAGTAGCTTCAGCCACAGAAGAGCTCGCCTGTCTTCTGGGGGCACTACCACACGTACAGATGAAGATCAAAACAGTAGTGGTAGAGGGAGTGCAGCCTCTTCTGCTCAACCAGGTTCCGGTCTGATGACGGAAGCAGCAGGCGGTGGTGCAAGTTCAGGCTCTGCGGCAGAGGATGACGACGAGAACATTCCTGGGTTCCTGAAGCTGCTGGAGTTACAAAAGGATCTCTTGGCACCTAGATCACGTTCTGCCGTAGAGGCCTCGACCAGAAGGACAACAGCGGCTCTTAATCGGTTTCATAAGATGCGAGATTCTAATACCGCGCTGTCTGATTCCATGTCGTCCTCGTTGATGATGCAGAGATCTTCCGCTTCATCAAGTCGGCAATTGTCTGGGGTTCCGCCCATGGTCACCGGTACTTCAATATCGACCTCGTCGTCTCCGGGCAAGCCGATCTCACCACACACACCACACACGCCATTTGCTCCTTCACGCCTCAGCGCTGCTTACAGTCATGATGATACGGATACATCTCACGGCCTGACAACGCAGCAACCGCCTTCACCATCTGAAACCCCTACCGATGATACAGCTCAAGCACATTCAAGCACTCACGTCCCCGCTATCGACATCCCCAACTCACCGAGGATATTCTTACCGGGTTATCAACGCTCCAGTTCAGCTCAAAGACGACCCATGAGCACAGATGAGGATATAGCCGACTTGTACGGCATGAGAAGTGCCAGTATGGGAGCACAGGAACGACGTCGTCACCAACAAGAGTCTGACCAACAAAGCCCTGATGCAGATGACCAAGCTGGTAGTGGTAGAGAAACTGAGCAGTCAAGCACAGCTAGGACCACTGGCTCCTCACGGAGAACCACACACGCTCATCAATTGTCAGGACTACCTGCTCTCGCAACCGACGGCGGTGGGTCTGAATCGAATTCAGGGCGATCTTCGGCCAACCCATATCGATCTCGTTTGGCGAGGGGTGGTGCTGGCAGAACCGTGACGCCACCTCAAACGTCAACTTCAAGCTTTGGTGGAACTGGAGCTAGTATGGACCGTGGCGATAGTAGCGTGAGCGAATCATGGGGACGAGGTGGAAGGAGGAGCGGAAGTCGTCCCGAGAACCCACTTGACGAAGATGAATTCCCATTTGCAATGGAGAAGAGCGACTTCAATACCGCTGGCCGGTCGGACGATCCTGGCGTCAGTGAACGTTAAGAGACACGTGACATACACACCTCCCACACTAACACACAATATCATGAGACGATACCACGTACAGAACATACGGGCTACAGAAAGGGCTGTATATCCAGGTATGCAACGGGTCTGGGATGTTGGCGATTGGTCATTATCCAAACTGTCAGACAGGACTCGCAATTTTTGTTTTCTTCCTGTAATTTGACATGGAGGAGTTCCCCTGGCAGTGTTATGCAGGCTTGCATGGATACAGATATGGCTATGGGTACAGATACTCTGCAGGTTCAAGTGCAACTGCATGAATGCGAGTGCGAAGTGCGAACGAATTGCACAACAGACAGAATCACCACACAAGATCTGGAATAGAGAAGGGAAAGAAAGCGATTTATATCCAATCCATTACGGAGCGTGCTTGCATGAAATTCAAGTTGTCTATTTTACTACTCAAACGTTCAATACAGTGGTCTGCATTTTCAGTGTTTTTGGTTGCTTGAGATCGATTCCTTATCACGGTCGCTATTGAAAGGATTGCTGGCAATTTTTTCTCGCTCAAGAGCTGCCAACGTTTAAAATGATGTCCAGCACTACTTCAAGGGTATGACTCGAGCGGAACGTGGTATGTACCCGCAGAGCATCTCCCGCATGTTGTTTCCTGTTCCCTGTTTTCTGCTTCATGCGGGCTGCTATCTGGCTCCTGCTTCAGCGTGGGTTGAGTGTGGGGTTTCGATGGCACTGGTGTTCAAGAGCGTCAGGGTTGCGCCCTCCCACCACGCATCCTCGAAATCATGCCACGGCCGGACAGACCAGCTTTGGATGTTTATACAGCTGCCGGGTCCCCTACTCTACAGATTTCCCTGTTGACTGAGCCGCAGGGAGGAGGGTGAAAAACCATTCCCCCCCCCCTATTTCGACCATTTGCTGCTTTCCCAGGACAATCTAGTCCATCAATAGCAACATGGGTTGTAATGATGCAGTTTGGATCAGCAGTATGCTACTCGGGTTCATCTGTTACATTTATGGAACCCATACATGCCATCGATACCGTAGTCATCGTGATCAAACAAGAAGCCAGAGCCGATATTAGACCTAAAAAATGCGCGAGTGCCAATTTGATCGTCAATCTGCAGGTGCTCTAGATTGCGATCAAACCGACGCTCTATGCTTCTTTGAAGTCCTCTCAGTTGACGGGAAGCGGACAGGAAACGTGGGTGTTTGTCGCCCAGTACAGCCCGAAATAGTTTCTCGACTTTCGCGCCAATTTCTTTTGCATCTTCAAGTCGGTCTTGTGCGATGTAGGTCAAGAAAAGGCTATCCATGGAGGTTACCGTGATGGGATGCGAGTCCCCAAAGCGAGCTTTGTTTCCTTCAATGGTACTCTTCAAAAGCTTCTCGGCTTTATCTAGAGCACCTTGATCTTTGAGAACTAACGCTAAGTTGTTTTGAACGGTGAGAGCCAGAGAAGGCCTCGTCGGATCTGTGTCGTTCCATTCCGCTAAGACATCCTTGAACATCTTTTCTGCCTCAATCAAGCGTCCTTGGTGTCTATAGGTTAATGCCAAGTTGTTCATGGCGTTTAGAGAATCAGGAGAATGCGAAGAACTCTGTCTTCTGTGATATGCGAGTACGTCGAGCTGGAGAGCTTCTGCCTTGTCGTATTGGCCGTTCATCGACAAGGCTCGTGCGAGGTTTGTAGTAGTCATCCAGATCGAAGGATTGTCTTTTTTCAGGATCATCCTTTGGCGCTCCAAAGTTGATGTGAGTATTTCCTCAGCTTCATCAAGCTCTCCCTCTAGAATCAATATCCAGCCAAGTGCACTTTGGGCTTCCAACATTCGTACAGTAGAATCGCCAGGCAGTTGATCTTGCAGGGTTATTAGCTGCTTGGTAGCCGCAAGTGCCTCATGATACCGTCCATGAGCGGTGTAGCTGTATGCGACATTTTGCAGCAATTGATCTGCCATTTCTCCAAAATTAATGCAAGTAGCTTCACTCAACACCCTTAGTGCATGGGGAAGATAAAGACTGCATCGATCCTGTGTTCCATGCGCCTCGGTTGGGAAACAGTCGAGCAAAATGTTGAATGCGTGGGATGCATGTGTAGATCTAGTACCCTCGCTCGTGAGGTGATGTCGCATGGCCATTGAAAGTAGCTTGTGCTGGCTGTAAATTCGAGAACCTTCTTGATCGTCCCCCTGGTAGTGCAAGAATGAATAATCAACGAGACGCGCTATTGCGTCTTGAAAATCGTCTTAGTCAGTGTCTATTCTCACAGAACGTCGCAATAGCGTGAGTGTTAAACACTGGTTATCAAGAAAAGCTGCCGTGTGGAGGATCTGGAGGGCGTTTCTGCCAACGCCCTTTTCTTCCTGGAGGCGTGCAAGGGACACAATCCAGGTTTTCATGACACTATTTTGCCTGGTATGCCGATAGGGATCCTTCTGGTCCCGCAGAAGCAACTTCCAGGCTTCACATTCTGAGTTGCATAAACGGTCGACGTATTTTCGAATGTTGCCATTCCTTCGTATGTAGGCAGCCGCTTGCGAGATAGCGAGAGGCAAGTCTCCCAGCTCCTCCAAGAGTGCTTGTTCGTCCGCACTTGCTGGCTGGGCGTATCCATCTAGAGCTTGGGGCGTTGTACGATGCAGAAGCTTCCTGAAGAGTAGAAGCGAATCGGAACTTTGCATAACACTGGCATCAATTCCTCTGCTTATGCCATGCGGAAGATCAAGAATTCCACCATCTCGAGTCGTCCAAACAATAGCACCCGTTGCATTTTTGGCGTAAGGTAGCCTGGGGATATACTGGAGATACTGGCTCCGAGAATCGTCCAGGTCATCTGCGTTATCAACTACCACCAACTAATTGTTCTGGCATTCAATCCATTTCCTGACCGCCCGGAGTTTATCATCTCCTGTCAAGGTCTCTGGCAAATTGGCTTCCTTGGCAATATCTCCGTAGCTTCCCATAAACACATCTTCTGAGTCCCCTCGAATCCAGAAAACTGAGCAATTGTTCGCATCATTGCGTCGGTATGCGTAGTCAAGAGCGAGCTGGGTTTTCCTGGAACGAAGTCTGGATCAGCACCTTTCAACTATCGAAACGCCCACCGTACGTACCCGCACCCCCTAGCCCCCAGATTGCTATCGAACCTGGTCTATCCAATGGGAGGAGTCTATCTAGTTCCCGATTGAGGATGTCCCTGACCACGAAGTCCTCATTTCGCGCTGGAGCCATTTTGTAAACTCTATCAGGCTGCCTCAGTTGATCTATTTGGCATGCATTAACCATTGTCTGCAAAGAAAAAGCTTACGCAGCAGAGACATACCACTGGAGATATAGAGATTTTCAATTTGCTCTGCCATCATGGTTGGTTGACAAATTGTCAAGGCCTTGGGACCTAATATGTTAGTATCAGCCTTAGATTCCTCACCTGATCATCTGGTCTCTCACTTTGATGATATTGAATATCATCCGGAAATGAAGGATCGTGCTTTTTGATATCTTCAATAGCATGCAACAACTGCTCGAATTGATCTTCTGTTGCTGCACCCATGGACCGATTCTCAGCCAAGAGCTGGATATCGGTCAAAATACCCACCATCAGCTCCCGTACTCGACCACCTTTCCCTATCGTTCGTATAGCCTTCTGATATCGCTCAAATCTGCTGGCATCTTCCCCCGCCAGCGCTTCCCTCAACAGAGTCGAAAGTTTGTCGGATTTCAGCTTGCAATGCTCCACGAGTGGGTGGATAGCTCTGAGCATACTTTCCTCGACCTTGCCATTTTTGAGTTGTCTCTCTGCTTTCCTTAATATGGCAAGCACCAGCGGCATGCGTACTGCCATCTCGCGAAACGCCCGAGGTAAGCCTGCGGCATCGTGGACGGCATCGTATACCTTCTTTGCGGCATCAATGGTAGAAATTGAAGCTGAAATCAGGCCGAGGACAAGTGCAGCCTCAGCACCCGACATGGCGAGTGTTTTGGTCAGTTGAGTATACCTTCCGTGAAGAGATGCGACACCCTCCTCCAGAACCTTGATGAATAATTTAGTTAGCAGCAGTTCAGTAGACAGATTGGCCAATTGAACTGGAACAGCAACTTCGAGACTGCGGCTGTCGGTACAATAAGTAAGTTGCACTGGGTGAGGCAGCAAGAGAATGATCCAGATTTATTGCTCATGCAGGTTGTTGGCCAATACCACTGCAGCTAACGAATAGGACAGGCCCCGTGCGTAATCATGTGAACAAGGTTCAGCTAGACAGGCATGGGTGTCGCTGCCAGGTTTTGAGACCAACTGGTCTTGGGCGCAGTTTAGGCCAAATGAAAAAGAAGACGAGCAAGGCCTCTGCGTATTGTGGTCAGCCGTGGTGAATCTTATGAAATCTGGCTGAGGGAAGGCCCTCTGAATGGCCCTCAAGGCAGTCGCCCAAGAACGCGCCCCAGCCTAACCATTTCCAGCCCAAGACGCCCTTACCAGCCCTTCTGGAAGCGCTCAGGTTCAAGGACCAGAGGCATCTCATTGTGATCGCCCCGGGGACCCGAGCAGTGGGCTTGATTTTAACTGTCACTGCCCTTGAATAAAGCAAGAATGGTCTGAAGGAGTAGTGATCAGCAAAGGAGTGCGGGAAAAGTACTTAGCGCTCCGGGAAGTGGCGCTCAAGTCTATTGATCTCGCATTTCTTTTCCTTTTGCTCGCCTGAAAGCTGCCATCAACGAAGGTTCAAATTCGAGAAAGGATGAGCGTACTTGGCTCCCTTATTGACGATGCCATAATCTAAATATTTGATAACGGCGATAGGCTTGGGCCTCTGCTAAGTCACTGTTACAGTATGGCCGAAAGCTTAAGGGCCACTAGCACACTATCAATGAAAGACAAACATCTGTGAGGTCAAGCGACCACCGTGGACTCATTTACAGACGACCCTAACGATTAGGAAGCACAGTACCGGTATCGCTCCATCATGTTGAGATGTATTACTGGAACACAGATGCAAACATGATCAATAACATGCCTAGAACCGTGTCCTCCGTGTTCGGAACCTACTTAGAAATTCGGGTAGGGATGCCTATTTCCACCACCTCTTCCCCACCCTCTCCCCTCCCCAGACGACGATACGAGTCAGTTGTTGCACCGAAGAGGTTTCACCCACGTATCACGGATTCAGCATCAAACATCTCTGGAATCAAGCCTTATGCATTTCGAGTAACTCCAGCATGCAGAATTCCAATGATCGACGTTTCAGTTTGATATTTTCCCATCTATCGGTGGAGTCGGGGTGTTTGCTAGAAACGCATAGATAACTGAGGCGGAAACGATTCGATGCCTTGGCTGTAAGGATAGGTGAGTTAGGCATCAGGAAGCTTGACAAACCTTGGCTGTGTACCCTGTCGCGTGATATATCGGGAACAAACCGTGTTTTGAGAGGGCCAAATATTATCTTTTCGGTCGTCCGCTTGATTCAACTTTCCGTTCTTTCATCTATTTCTACATCTATACCGGTGTTAAACTATTCACGTACGAGAAAGATTCGCGCATTATCACAGAAGGAGCAATGAGTCCCGGCTGCTGCGCACCGGCTGATGGCCACCCACCGGCTTCTTCGTCAGCCCATAGTCATGATGAGAAGGTTCAACCTGTGACCGGATGCGACGACGGAGACAGCTGCTGTGGCGGTGATGACCACGATGACGACGATTGTAACAGCGAGAGCGACTGCTGCGGCGATGAGAAAGGATGCAAGGGGGACGAAGGCGATGATTGCTGCAAGCCTACTGCCGGGGCCGACGATGACTGCGAGAGTACTTGCTGTGCTGGGTCCAATGATGGCACCGACGATTGCTGCAGTGAAGATGTCAAGGTTAAGGAGAAGCAGGCCAAGACTGCTGGTGGATGCGATGGATGTGCTTCCGGAGAAGGGGAGGCCTGTAATGGTTCGTTATTGACATTGTTCTGCTCGCGAGGCTCTCAGATTCTGTGGGAGGGGTGTGGAATTTTGCTGACGAGGTTTTCTTCCATTCACTAGAGGCTTGCATCGATCGTGCTGCCGTCATAGAATGCCGAGCCGAGTGTGGACCGACTACCATGAAGGAAAAGAAGGAACAGAAGAAAAAGGAAATGGAGAAGGCAGGCCTCATGGACGAAAAGGCGATTGCTGCATCGACTGGTAGCACCTCCCCTACCGTACTTACAACCGAGAAGAAGTACGCGGAGAGCAATGACACCTCTTCTCTGCTCAGTGCATGTGACGACCACAAGCGAGCAGCTCGTGAAAAGTATCGAGCCGTCCAGGGTGTTTTGAGTTGCATCTGTCGTATCCTGATGGCCAGGAACCTCGAGCCATGTTGTTCTCAAAAGACGGCAGTTCGACGACCCATCAGTAGACGTTCGCATTCGCATGAACAAGGCCATGGACATGCTCACGGAAATGAGCATGGCCACGATCATGGCCACGGCCACGGCGCAAAGCATGGTCACTCTCATGCCAAGGCCACCGGCCACTCGCACCACAACCGCGCTCACAATCTTAAGGAACGGAAGGCAGCACGCGACAAGGCGCATGCTGTCAAATATGTTCAGGAAATTTCATCCGTGGGTGGAAAGGTCAGATCGACCTCTGATCCTGAGAAAGGAGCAGCTGAGACAGAACATATCGTGCTCAGTGTCAGTGGTATGACCTGCTCTGGTTGTGAATTGAAACTCACTAGGACTCTTGCAAATTTCAACCATGTCCAAAATTTGCAGGTCAGTGTCATTCTTGCCAGGGCGGCCTTCGATCTCGACACGAGCCGAATGTCCTATGACGAACTTCTCACTTACCTTAGACGGGCAACCGAGTTCTCCTATGAGCGCGTCTCTACCAAAGGTCAGGAGATTGATGTTCTCTGTCCTCAGGGTGCGAAGACGTTTGCGAAATCTCTTGCTCCACTCGGTGTCACGGGCATGAAAACAGTGACGGACAAGATAGCTCGGATTGAGTATGACCCGAAAATTCTTGGTGCCAGAGATCTGCTCAACTCCTTCGACGAACCTTTGCAATTGGCTCCCATGAAATCTCCCGAGTCGATCGAGGCAGGAATGAAGGAAGTTCGCAAAGATGGCATGATCACCCTCTTCTCCCTGCTTCTGACGATCCCTATCCTCGTCTTCGCTTGGGCGCCTGTGCCTGAACACCCCGTCGCTTATGGATCGGTGTCTCTGGCGCTAGCGACGATCATTCAGGTCTTTGTGGCAGGTCCGTTCTATACTGTGGCTTTCAAAAACATCATCTTCTCGAGACTGGTCGAAGTGGACATGTTGATCGTGCTCAGCACGAGTGCAGCATACATATTCTCGCTTGTTGCCTTTGCGTATGAGATGCAGGGTCGCCCATTGGAGACGGGCGAGTTCTTTGAGACAAGCGCCTTGATAGTCACGTTGATCATGCTTGGTCGATTCATCAGCTCTTGGGCTCGCCAGAGAGCAGCAGAATCGATTTCGGTCAGGACATTGCAATCGGCCACCGCCGTACTCATCGATCGAGCCACAGGCACAGAAACAGAAATTGATGCTCGACTCCTGCAGTATGGCGATATTTTCAAGGTCAGTCCTGATTCTAGAATCGTCACTGATGGTACCGTGATCTCTGGTGTCTCCGAGGCAGATGAGTCCATGGTGACTGGGGAGTCTTGTCCGGTGCCCAAGAAGAACAGATCAACCGTCATTGCAGGGTCCATCAACGGGCCAGGTGTTCTGCAAGTCCGCCTCAGCCGTCTACCTGGCGACAATACCATCAGTGCGATTGCAGATATGGTTGATGAGGCCAAAATGACCAAGGCTAAGACTCAGGAGATCGCAGATCGTATCGCTGGATACTTTGTCCCAGTCGTATGTGCTGTCACTATCCTCGTGTTTGTCGGCTGGATTGGATATGGCATTGATCGAAGAAACTACTCTGGTTCTCGAGCTGCCGAAAATGCTGTCACTTATGCTATTGCTGTCCTTATTGTCTCATGTCCTTGCGCCATTGGTCTTTGTGTCCCTATGGTCATTGTGATAGCGGGAGGCGTGGCCGCCAAGCATGGTGTCATTTTCAAAACCGGCCAGACGATCGAACTCGCGAAGAAGACTAAGCATGTTGTCTTCGACAAGACAGGTACACTCACAGAAGGTAACTTGTCGGTTGTCGCCGAAGCCTTCCCCGGTGGTGCTGCAGCCCTCATTCAGCCTTTAGCATTGGGCCTCGTGGCAAGTGTGAAGCACCCTGTCTCAATTGCAGTCACCAGATATCTCAGTGACAAAGGAACCAAACCCATCGAGATCGGCGATGTCACTGCTGTTGTCGGTAAAGGCGTCGAAGGCATCTTCAACGGCAGTAAGATTCGTGCTGGTAACTCTCGATGGCTACATGTCGAAGATGATCAAACAGTGCAAGCGTTCCTTGCTCGAGGTCTGAGTGTTTTCTGTGTCGTCAAGGATAATCAACTCCACGCGGTTCTTGGCCTCGAAGACTCCATCCGACCTGACAGTGAAGAAGTCGTCACGGAACTACGCAAGCGTGGAGTCTCGATCTCTGTTGTCAGTGGAGACGACGATGGAGCCGTACAGTCCCTTGCTGCGAAACTCAACATCCCTACATCACACGTCAAATCTCGCTGCTCTCCCAAGGATAAAGTCGCCTACCTCAAGGAAGTTATGAAGGATCCTGCTGCCGTTGTTGTCTTCTGTGGCGACGGGACCAATGACGCACCCGCCCTCGCTCAGGCCAGTATCGGTATTCATATAAACACCGAGGGTAGTGATGTTGCACAGAGTGCGGCGGATGCTGTGCTTGTCAGGCCTGCTCTGAAAGGACTCTTGTGCTTGATCGATCTCTCTCATGCCTCAGTTCGACGCATCATGTTCAATTTCGCCTGGTCGTTCACATACAACCTCTTCGCGGTGCTGCTGGCTTCTGGACTGTTTGTCAAATTCAGAATTCCTCCAGAGTATGCTGCTTTGGGCGAGGTCGTCAGTATCATTCCCGTCATTGTCATTGCCATGCTTCTGAAGTATGCAAAGCTCAACGGTTGTGATGGTCATCGTTGAGAGGTCGCGTGGTGGAGGGGAATACGATCACTTTCGTGTGGCTGATTGACCTTTTTCGTGCCTGTCTGGTTGTCTCATGCCGCTGTCACTCGCTTCAGCAGCATCGGACTTTGATTAAGTAGATACTTTCATTCTTCGCTGCCTCAGTTAGTCAGGCATCTGAATCTTATTGAATGCCCTCAGTGCCACTTGATTCCCGTAATTTATATGTCTCCAGAGCTTTCGAGCAAAGTGTTTAGTAGGCGTGGCCAGGAGAAACACGCAACTCTCACCTGACCGATCTGACTACTTGGGGCTGGCACTGACTGCTCCTGCTTCTGTAATGTCTTCAATAAGTCGAGGCCGAAGTGCATCCATGCCGGGCATGATCAAGTTTTGACGTTCGTAGGCGGATGCCGTTGGACACGTTGTCAACAATTCAACTTCACCTTTGCTCTCCACGATCGTCAAAAGGTCTTGATGACATAAGCTCGATAATTTCCATCAACTTCACTTGGTCGAGTACGAACTAGATTCTTGCCTCCAAGTATTACACGACACCACCACAGCAATAATCATTAACATCTTAATAAAGTCGTTCAGTCTCTTCGCTGCTGTATAATACGATTTCAGATTCACTGATAAAACTACAAGGGCAACACTTAGCTACTGGGTCTTGGAGACAACCTCCCATATCCACGACCACTTCAACCAGTCAAAATCCCAAGAGCCACACGCCAACAACGACAATGTCACACTCCAAACGCAACACATCGCTCGCCTTCTTCACGGCTCACGAACGCAGCCAAGTTCGCGCGCACTGGGGCTCGCAGTCCACACGACTGACACGCGACAGCTTCCTGCCCTTCGGGCACTGCCGACTATGTCTGGGCATCGCACGCGACCCGGTGACCTGTGGGGGCATCAGCGTCAACATCAATAGCAATACCAATAAAGACTCGTCATTATCACCAACAACACCAAAAGTCCACATCTTCTGCCGCGAATGCGCGCTCAATGACCTCGTCGCGCAGATGAGGGAGATCAAGCGCGTAGAGAAATCTAACGAGGAGAGGGAGCGGGACGATGCCGCGCGCAAGGCGGAGGAGGCAGAGGAGAAGCGGAGGCGGGATGTTGAGGGGTTTGAGCGCGCGAACTTATTGGGTTTTGGGCCTGCCGATGCCGCGGCGATTGCGAATGGGTTGGGGAAGCGGAAGAGGGAGGCGAGGGAACTGCATTCCTCTTCGTCAGCAAACGCCAAGCGGATAGAGAAGGACGGACACGCCGACAGAAAGACAGAGGACGACGACGACCAGGACTCGAACCACCGGGAGAAAAAGACCAAATCCTCCGAAGCGAGTTTCTGGATCCCCTCGACCAACAGCAACGAAACCAACAACCACCGCATCAAAACACACGCGAAGAAACATCCGATCTGCCCCGCCTCGACGCCGACAACACAACACACCTACAGCCTGAAGACGCTCATCACCGTGAACTTCAGCGAAGAGGGCTCGGCAGACGACCACGACACCCCTGCGTCATCAGCTACCAGTACTTCCACCACGACCAAGACGCGCATCTGCCCGTCCTGCCGGAAAGCACTGACGAACACGTCGCGGGCGATGCTCGGCTCGGCCTCTGCGGCAGCTGCTTCGCCTTGCGGCCACGTCGTGTGCGGCAGCTGCGTGGATCTCTTCCGGAGCGTGCCTTCTTCGTCTTCGGCTCTGTCCGGGGAGAAATCGGCATCGAAACCGCGGCGGGAAATACGATGCTATGTCTGTGAAGCGGATCTCAGTGGCGCTGGTGCTGGTGCTGGTGTTGAGGTTGGGGCTGATGTTGAGAAGGAGAATGGTTCAGCAGAGCATGATGGAAAGGGGAAGAAAGGCAAGGGGAAGGGGAAGTCGAAATTGGGTCGTGCTGGGAGGTTACTCGAGATCAGCTGTGAGGGAACAGGGTTTGCGGGCGGGGGTGCGAATATGGCCAAGAGGGAGGGTGTTGCTTTTCAATGTTGAGGCTTTGCAGTGTGTTGCTTGGGGACTCAACATAGTGCATGTGTACTTTCGCCAACAGTGTTGGGCGGTCCACGAGGTAAATATCGATCAATGCCAACGAGAGGACTACTGAATACGAGCTTCCGGGTTGTAGTGACCAATGGTGCAAAGCATTATCTATCAGCTATCAAGCGTGTCTCTTGTAATTGAAGGTGGGTATCTTTGAAAGTTTGTACTGTAAGAAGTAGAAGAATAAGGTGTCATGTCCAAATCGTCGACCCATCCCATTCAGGCGACAAATCAAGATTTCATACCAACACGGTCTGTGCTTCTCCAATTCCGTTCAACATACATGTCGTGACCTTCCTAACGCACCAGAATGTCCAGCGATGATGACCATAGTCTGCCCAAGCGCCATGCAAGTATCAAAATCATTTCGGCGTTATTCAATCCAATCGCTCAGTGATGTCCATCTCGTTTCAAGCAATGGGGATTCCAGAATCCCGCGGTTCCTCGGCAGGAAATCAAATTCAAAATGTCTCATTCAAGTCATAACCTTCCTGAACATTGTTCAATTGTCGTGATGGGGGACGCATATCACCCAGGCTTTCTACTCGGTGAGTTCCAGAGCTTTGCCGCCGGGCCAGTGAAGGTCTACTTAACCCAGCTGCGGCATTTAAACTTTGCCTTTTGGTCGGGCTAGGTATAGCTGAGCCAACATCGCTCGTTCGTTTAGCAAAGGTTGTTCGCCGAGGGGTTGGAGTAGCTGTGTCTTTTAGGTCAGACATGATAGAGAGATCGCTGGTCTCTGAATCAAATGCTCCATCACAACCATATGTGGAAAGACTGCTCTTAGGTCGAATCCTATCCGTCGAAGCATTTGGGGCATGTTGAGAACCAACTCCACTACCCAATGGTGCACGGAAGCCAGAGATACTAGCTCGGCTTCCTGGACGGCTGTGTGTGGGTGCATATGATGCTCGACTTGAAATGACTCCGCTAGCTCTGCTGTGAGGACGTGGTGGTGGTGCTGCCATTTCACCACGTGTTGGAGATGGAGGAGCTCGTTGTACAGATGATGTGTGAAAGGTTTTGGCTTTGGGCATTGATGGGGTGTCTGACGCTTTGTCGGGGAGCGAATCAACACCGCTTATCGTACTGCCATTGGTGCGTTTTCGACTTCGAACAGTGACAGAAGCTGGAATATGATGACCCAACGCTGATCCACTTCTGGGTGAGCTCCGAGGCGGAGTACTCACTGGAGCGGGAAGCTTCGACCTGGCCGTCTGAACACGAGCCTCGAGTTGTTGCATCTTTCCTCGCAAGTTCCTAAGATGAATGATTGATGTGGATTGTGGTAGACCACCATTCCGAGTAACTCCAGCTTGATGTTTGGTCAAACTCTGACGGAAGTTGGAAGAAGGTCTCGAGTAACCAACAGTGGCAACGGAACCACCACGTGCGTGACTGGGAGGTTTTGGAGTGATGCTGGAGGTAACGGAGGGACGGGGGATCGAGGCACCATTAAGAGACGATCTGGTCTTGGGAATGGAAGTCGCTGCTGGCACCGATGACTTTGTGTTGACAGATTGATCGGAGACTGGGGGAGATGGGGGAGTAGGAGCATCGGAAATTCCTGAAGAGGAAGCCGTCTTTGCTGGCGGAGTATCGAACGTGGGTGAGGAGGCGTTGGTCGTGGTGGGAGACAATTCGGATCGGGGGGATGCTGAAATGGTGATGGGCTGTAGGGTCAGGTTCTTCCGGATGCGCGAAGTCTTTGAGATCTCCATCTCCAGCTTGTTCTTGGTAATGTCGGCTTCGACTCTGAGATCAGAGAGTTCGTCCCTGAAGCGTTGAGCATCTATCCGAAGAGCTTCTCGTTCTTGTTCATTGACTCGCATCTCCTCTTCCAACAGGACACTTCGTTCAATGGCTTGGTTGTATCTTGATTCCATGTCTTCGAGGGAGGATTCGGTGTTGCGTTGTTTCTTTTCGTAGTCATCGTTGGCCACCTCGATGTCTCGGAGGCGCATTGTAAGGGTCCGGTTGGTGTCGCGTAATTCGGTGATTTCTTTCTGGAGGGTATTTTGAGCGTTGGAGGCTTCGGTCTTGGATTGTCGGTATTTCGTTTTCCATTCGTCGACCTCATACTGGAGATTGGCTGCCTTCTCCTTTAATTGGCGTTCACGTTTTTCTGAAGCCTCGATGTCTTTCTCGAGCTCCGCTTCGAGGTCTTTACTCGAGGCTTGAAATTCGGCGAGTTCCGCCTCAACTAATTCATACTGTGATTTGTAGTATTTCAAGGAGTCTTCTAATGACGTGGCAGGGCCAGGAGACGATGCAGGTGCATCATCAGAAAAGGTCATGATCGCGTGATTGAGGATAAGACGGTTGTTGAATCGGGATCGCCGTAGTGTCGTGATGCGATGTCGAATAAGTTTGATTGGGAATCAGGCGTGTTGGTCCATGTATTTGGCGATTGTTTATTCTTGGATCGGCGGTTGGATGTAGGTGTAGGCGGTGTATCGTTGGGCGGCGGTAGATTGTTTGCTGGTCGTTGGATATTTTGTCGAGTCGGATTATGCTGCTATGGTTAGTAAGAGTCGCATAATGCGCTGAAAGCGCAACGAGAAGAGTTGTAGGACGCAGATGGTTGATGTTGATGATAATGTTATGGGAGGGATGGGGACGGAGATACTGGCAGATGGATGAGAATTAGGTTGGTTTGGGCAATCAACAAGTGGCAGGCACAACCGCGACCAGTGACCACCAACGGCAGGTGCGACTGTTTGCAGACTGCAGACTGCAGGTGCAACTCGTGCCACTCCACACTGGCAGGAGCGATTCACTGGCAGTGCATGCAGGTAGTGGCCCCTGTCGAGGCAACAGCCATGCCAAGATCCATTGCTCTCCACTCCTCGTACTCCATTTCTGCAAATAATTCTCCGAGCACATCAACAATGATATCAGAGAAAAATATGCTGTACAGATTATGGGGTAGACTAGAAGTTTATTCTTTTGTGTCTACTCATGAGAATTCACGGCGGTATATCTAACACAAAGGCAGACTACTAGCCTCAGGTGAGTTGACAAACAACTTTTTCAACCTCCATGGTTGCTCCTGCCACCGCTTTCCCATAAACGCTCTGCTCAATTTCCGAGTTTTGTGTTTGTTTGCAGACAGCCCTTTACTTCAACCCCCGACACCCCTTGAAATGCCAAACAGTGTTGGTGAGGGAGCTCGGGATGTAATCTCTTTTCCTGAGCATAATATGCACTCAAGGAGAAGGATGGGTCTCGCATCGTCGCCATAATTCCATCTTCTCAGGGATCAGTTCAGTACTGTTACCTGCCTGGAAGGTGTGGATAACTGCGCGCTCACTCGCTCTTCTGACCCTAAGGGAAGCGTTCTCCCAATGGTAACAGAGCAGAACCGCTGTGCAATACAGAAGTAACGTGTAGCTATTTTTGCAACAGGTACTCCACAACTGCTCTGCACTCAGAAGCCTCGGAGTTGCGTTCACATCTGAATGCCTCAAAGGAGCTTCGTCGAGGCATACGTAAGTAGTTATCCTCGGATGTGGCATTACGCAAGCGTTGCTCACTGGCTGTCAATATTATCGACCGTTGGTAACAATCCCGTAACGGGAATAGTGTCCAACCATTACATTTTTCTGAATGTATTTCCAGATGCACTTCTCCGATCTTTGGATCGTTTTTCACTTCTTCCGTGGTCTCTCGTGTCCAGTCGATTCTTGGTTCTCCCGCTTGGTGCGTCAAATGTGATGACTTGATTGCCGACCACCGCTCGTGGACCATTTCGTTTGATACGTTGACCAGGTCTCATGTTGTCCGCTCGCGATCCAAAAGATCGATCTCCTTGTTCCCTACCACTGGCCCTGGAGCCAGCAGAAGAAGTAACTTTCATTTGCATTTGCTTCCCTCCCTTTTGCCCGGATTTACGCTTGTAGTCAGCATTGGATATGCGTTCCTTGGTCTTATATCTCGAAGATGCTCCAAAATCATCTTCGTCGCTTGATGGAGGTACTTCATCAAGGGCTTCTTCCTCCACGGCAGTGAGCCCTTTCTCGCGATCCAAATTCGTGGAAACAGTAGTCTTGGTACTCGGGTTGAGCTGTTGAAATTCTCGAGAAGTTTCGTCCACAGCAAAATCTTCGTCCTGGAATAGCCTTGCGAAACGAGAATCTGCCAAAAGACCTTTCTCTTCTTGACTGGTAGGCTCTGGCTCCTCTGTGGCACCTTCTGGTTGTTCGATTTCCTTTTCATCCCCCCCTTGAGCGAGAACTCGTTGTGCACGGCGTCTTTCATTCTTCTCCTCGCGATCCAGTATTCTTTCCACCATTTTGCGGTTGACTTTTGCGGTGACCTTCTTCTTGCCACGGATTCGGCTTTCTCGCTCCTTTTCGATCTTGGCCTGCACACGTTTCTGTCTCTCTTCCTCATAAGTGGTGGGGTTGGCGATAAGCCTGGCTTCCTCATACAGTCCCTGTGCAACAAAATAACCATGCATATAGGGCCTGAGCAGATTCGTCTTTCCAACCAAATGATCCAAGTTGAGCATGCGAAGTTGAGGTAGAGTGAGGAATTTGAAGTTGTCGTAGACTTCACCAACATTTGATCGGGAGAACGCCATGGGGTCGTTTGGATCATCTGCCATCTCTTCAACCACGTTGTCCAAGAATGAGCACCATTTGGGAGCCGGCCCTAATTGAGGGATAAAAAAGGCATGCTGTTGTCGCCCCTCGTTCGCGGTCAAGAACATTCCGCTGTCTCGGCACCAAGCAACACAATTGATGTCGACCGTGGGCTCCACTGAAGTCCAGGGCGCACCATCATACTGATCCCACAATTTCAATATCCGTTTGTCTGCAGAAGCGATCTTAGGCTCGGAAGTTGAGGCTCTTGTAGTACTCGAAGCGGTCAAGTGTTGGACGTAGTGGATGGGATATCCATAACCCTGGTCCTTCTTCAACGTGGGTAGGGGGGATCGAAGATCGTAGAGGTATATGAGTCCGGATGAGGTGCCCACGGCAGTACTGATTCCCGAGCGATGAAAGTCCAAAGCTGTAACTTCAGGTCGGCCATCATGATCAGTGGGCATCGCAAGTGTAGCGACACGAGCTCGGGCTCTCGAGTCCCAGAATTCCACAGTGCCGAGGGACGTCCCAAATGCTAGCAAATTGTGACTACCTTCCGCCACTGCAGCAGTATTCACACTCCCGGTACGTATACCACCTTGCAAGGCCCCGCCACCCATCGAAGTCAAATCGTCCCCGCCGACATCAACTTCAAACTCTTTCATGAATCTTCCTTGTTCCAAGTTGATCCTGAATACCTCGCCCATGCCATTCGAATTCACACCGACAGCAGGGACAAGCAATTCTGTACTGCTTCTATCGTATGCCAGATCGCGGCCGTATCTAGGTATCCGTAGGGAGTCATGACAGCCACCAGGAGTGTGAAATTCTATTGAACGATCCTCCTGCAAGTGAACCGTCTTGGAATAGTCGGAAGAGAGGAAGAGAAAGGTTTTGTTTAGGGTATCGGTATGCCGCGCCCATGATAGAGCAAGATTAGGTAGATAATGTGTGTGAATCTGAGGTTTATATGTCCCCGTGCTCATGACCCATTCGCCATCTTCGCTGACACGAACGCAAGCGCTCGCCTCTTCGAATTCAAAGTCCTGTAGGATTTCGACTCTGTTGGCATATTCGGGATCATTTTTTTGTTTTTGTCTTTGTTTCTGCGACAGCCAGTCAGGAAGACTTCGGGAGGTAGATGAGCCGGAGACTGTGTAAACTGGAACCGTACTGTTGGTGAGTCTCATAATGGCGGCGCAGAAGGCGGTGGGGGCACTAGCGGACGACCATGAACGTGATAAACTCTCGGTTTTAATATACCATCCGTCTGCTTGGGGTCAGCTCATCGTCGACTGGTGCAATTACCGAGCATAATCGTGCAACATATCTGATGGAGTGGACTTCAAGAAGCGCTCCCACTCCGAACTTTTTTCTGACCCGCAGATGTTTTCAAAAATATTGCCGAGGTATTGCCGCCCAATGGGCTAGCTTGGCTTGGCAAGGCTGCCATCCATCACGTGGAATCCTTAGGTAATGCGATGATCTCGCTGTCGACCCTTGAACCTCGAGCCGACCTGAAAGTGGCTGGAAATATCGACCAACTTCTCATGAATCAACAACTACTACCCCTATCGTCATTAAGATCTTAGTCATATCTAGACTGAGTGTAATCATTTGATATTGCAAGCTTCCTGGATCACCGGGTGCCCACTCAACATTCTTCCGACTTATTCGGGTATCATAAGATGTGGCTCTTTAGCCAGACAGAAATCGCTACTCACATTCATGCCGTATGTTTGATCGAATGATTTGATATCGGCTATTCAACTCTGGAAGGGCAATGAACATCCTCCTCCATCAAGACTCTTCATTGTGCTTTACGCAGCACTGGGTTCTTGTGCCTCCCAACGGCTGAACAATGGCCACTGCACTCGATTTCCCCGGTAATTGTACGACGAATGTGTATACACTTGTATGATAGACCGCAAAACTTCTTGAACTGGACTGACATGGGAGTAGAATGATTTTGGCGAGATTGCTTATATTGTTTGCACCGTCGCCAATCCCCCAAACCAGGATCACTCAGTGTTCAGCAATACGCCAGAAAACATACTAGCTCGTCTCAGAAGAACAGAACGACAATTCAGAGATGCGTCAATCCTTGCTGCACTTGATATCGAAGCACTTCAACTGTTTACGTTTTATAAAAAAGTCGATATCGCAAATGCCAAAGACCAGAAGACTTTGCTAAGCAAATTCGGCTTTGTCCTTCGAAGCAATACCTGTACCATCGCCTATAAGACTGCAGCACGGCTTCCAGACTTGATGAAACCAGATCAGTCTCGTCTCTACCGGTTATTTACCACTGCGATCATCTCTAGCCTCAAGATTTCTCCATCAAACGAATGCGAACTTCAATCCCTGGGGCCAAATCTGTACTTGGCCGAGCACATGTCATCCGGATCAGATGTCCATGAGTTCAACTCTTTGAGTAAATGGATTCTCCATCGCGTGGATCTCCAGGTCATCCCAAGTGGCCATATTATTTTGACAATTGCCAGAGATCATGACTTGTCGTTTATGAGACTGACAGATGCTCTATCACATGGTGGACTTTCTGCAAGAACAGCAAGATCCATGCCTCTCTATCTGGCTCCTGTTGGTATCATCGCTCGTCTCGATACTTCCTGCCTTATGGATCTTGATTCTCCCATGGAAGATTGCGTCCAATCACCAGGTGATGAGTCGTCGACTGCCCGAAAAGAAGTATGGAAAGAAATGCTTCCGTTGTGGCTAAAAGATCGGATCAATTTTGCAGCTGATCTCAAAGACTCCCTCTGGATAGAAGTACAGGTTCCTGTTCGAGGGGATGATGCGCAAGCGGAAGAAGGTTCACAGGATTCTTCCTCAGAGCCTGTAATATTCGAATCAATTTCGTGGAGGACTGTATTTTGGCCTGCCAAACTTTGCTTTCTTCAGCACACAAAGCAAGAATCATTTCAGGAGAGCACGGATGAAATCGACGATCCCCTCCAATTCGTACAAACCTGGATCAATGGGACAGTAGAGGTCTCGGCCACAAACACATCGCAGACCCAGCAGAACATGTTTGAGGACGAGGACGAACCACTTTTCGCCGAGGATGGTACTTTTGACGATCCTGAGCACTTTCAGCCATTCGGTCCACCAGCATTTCCAGCCAGCCAAACGATTTATCCAACCCCGCCGGACGCCCTCATGACCCATGCGACGCCAGGTCTATCTGTAGACGGTATCCCGGTAACACCGGCGAACGGCCATCATCACAATGCTACGACACAATCAGGACAGGATGAGGAAATGCCCGATTTTGACGTTTCCCATACCTCTGGCACAGGAGCTGGATACTACGACGAGGACTTATTTGACGAGATGCCGGATGACAATTTTGGTCAAGAGGGTAACGGAGACGAGCCAAATTGGGACTTCTTCGATGACCCTGGGATGGATACAAAAGATGCCTCGACAGGCGTACAGCGGCAGCTCAACGATGTTTCTATGACTGGTAATAACGGCAACGATGTTGGCGATCACAATTACAAGGCAGCTGAAGACATTGAAATGTCTCCTACCGACCAAAGAACGAAACCCGAGCAGGTCGCAACTAGTGCAACAGGTGAAAGTACTGTAGACACACTTAAAAAGTTGGACCTCCCATCGCAGGCCACTATAATACCAGAGACCGACTCACAGGCAACACAGATGGCTCCTCCAACATCTCCAAAGCAACAAATCATCTTCGAAGAGCCCATGCCCAAAGGCAGCCCACAATCAAACAATGACCGCCGTCGCTCAAGCGTCTACGACGGACTGCAATCCGTTGCAATCACGTCCGACCGCGACAGCAGATACGCGTCCGACGGCACCTATTGGTTCGATCCCAGCCCAACCACCACCAACCCCAAAACCGCTCTGAAACAGAGCGCAATCTATCAGATGATGCCTGGAAGCCCCTCGGGTAGTGACGATAGCTCACTCAGTAGTTACCCAATGTCACTCGACCATGGCAGCGCAAATAACTGGGCAGCCTCAGGGCTCTCGCGGCAATGGACCGAATACCACGTCGAATCTCCAGCCGGGAACGACTTGCACAACGACGACGATAAAGCAGCGATAAAGCAAGAAATACAGCAGTTCTTGAACTCGCTGCCGAATGGACTCAAAACACCTCCTCTCGCAACAGATTTTGCTGTGTCCAAGCGTGTCCGGGAAATCCCAGTCATGTCGAACCAGAAATTCCTCCAGGTCGCTCACATTCTTGTCGAACAAGTTTCTCAAACATCTCTCATTCCACATGCAGAGCACCTGGACCATCAAGCAATACCGGATGATCAGCTAGACGTCCACGCTGACCTCAGCGGCATCAACACCTCTGCCTCGTCATCCAGCCTTTACCAATTGGTGAATCTCAGATCAGAGAGTAATCAATCCAGGCCACACGGAAGAATCACTAAGCTCGCTTCACCACAAGTCCATGTGCGACGCGCCGAACAGCCGCTAACGGCATCAACCTCGATCCTTGGGTTCTGGGATATCCTCAATCTCCAACCGGAAAACGGTGCCAAGGATGTGACGGCATTCTGTATCCATCCCGATGCACGAACTGTAGTCGATGGCTGTTCCAACTTCTTGCAGCGGATGAAGGATGCATACAGCGCATGTGCTCTTGGTGCACACTCGACCGGCAATATTGCAGGTTTGACGAAGACTGGTCTTTTGGCATGGAATTTGAATGAATCACACCAGGCCAATCTTCGTTCAATGTCCAAACGCCTTGGAAGTGCTCTGGCCGCGGCTTCTGACCTGAAAGGCATGATAGTTGTGTACATGATCAGCAAGTCAGACAGAATGACTGACTACCTGGAGACGTGTTACGCGTTTCACACCTTGTTCGAGTCATTCGTACAAGCAACCACAGACAAGAAGAATGTCACAGATATCGCGTTGCAAATCATCCCAATGAGCTTTGTCGCAGATTCAGAAACCCTGGTGATTCCTGCTCAGGGTGCATACCTCAAGCTAGCGCTGGAGGTCTACAACCGTGTTCCGCCGCCACAGTCAGAAGCAGCACCCCCACCAGGGATCTGTGCCTCCGCAGCCAGTATTGCAATGACGGAGGCTTCCGTCCACTTTCGACTTACCACCGAGGTCAGCTCACCACTGTTTCAACACGGCTCATGTCTCCATGTCGCGTACTCTACCAGTGATGACGGTCGGTGGATCACCGCTGCTTGGACCGATGCATGTGGCAAGCTTGGTCTGACGATGTCCTATTGTACGCAAATATGGAGCTCGAGTCCGAAAAGGCAGCGACAGGATATATTCAAGGAGATATGGGAGATTTCGCACGATCTGATCGGCAAGGCGCAAAGTACTTGGCGGTTGTGTGTTGCGAAAACCGACGTCTTTGATTCCGAGGAACTGGACGAATGGCGAGAGGCGACTGAAGGATCGTCCTCAAACAAGAAGAAATGTGTGCTGGTGTTGCTATCCGTACGGATATATTCAATGTTGAAAATGGTGCCACCTCCTGGCCTAGGAAGGACTGGTGGGCCCAACATGTATGGAACACCTGCATCAACACCACAAGCTGGTGGTATTACGTCGCCAGATCAGTTGGTCCCGGCTACTCCAACGCCTGGTGGTAGTGGGATTGTGAATGCGCCCACCCCACCCGAACACGGCTATGATCCGAATGCCGACAGCGATCTCACATTGATGGACCCTGCCGAGGAGAGCTGGTCCATTGTCCTCCCATACGGCATCAATCAAACGACCAACATGGTGGAACTACGTCCTTCGACACTCACCGGACTATTGATGAAACGGAAAGGCGTGAAAGGCGAGGATGGACACACGTCAATTGAAGTCAGCTTGTTTCAATCAATCCAACCTAATCCACCTGTGGATGAACCGTGGACGGATGAACTTCTCGAAGACATCATCAGACAGTATCGAGGACTGGTCACACTGAGTGTCACACGAGGCTGTATTCGACCCAACCTCGATTGTCTTCCATGGCATATTGCGACGGCGAAAAGGGGTGCGTGCGTGCTTGGGCAAGTAATGTGACCTGGAAAAGGCGGATATCAAGGCAAATACCAGGCTCAAGCGTCCGTACTTTGGGTCTTAGGCTCTCAGCACCCAAGCATTAGTGCATGGATGTTTCGGTGCTCCGATTTCGGAGTGCATCTAACCCTAAATCATGAGCGGGAGCAGCAAGTCCTGAAGGGGATCAGACTTGACAAAAAAAGATTAGCTTTGTGAACAAGAGATTAAAATTGAATTGACTAGCATTGTTCCTGGAGGCTATGAGGCATCCACTACTACATCACTTTATGTCTGGCCGTATCCGGAGACACAGTAAAGAAGTGCAGAGGTTTGGGCTACAGTACTATATTATGGCGATAAACTTTTGCCAAAGACATACCAAGTACGAGTACGGATACCCAACGACATGTTATAGAATTTCCAGGTTGAAGACATTCGTGCTGTAATACATGGTTATTCATGATTCAATGAAATACTAGGCAAATATCCTTACTTGGGCGTGAAGAGACCGCGGGTCAGAAACAAAACAGTCTGTCCGAGGGAATCTGTATCTATCGACCCAGGGAATGAGAGGTCCAAAGACAGCTTGTTTCCCCACAAGGCAGGTGCAACCCTTGCCAGGTCTGTATCGGTAGTAGTCCTGCGTTGAAGATCATGCGGAATGAGAACATTACGAACCAACCCAGAGGCTGCTCACTGGGCACCCGGGTGACCCCTTGCCGAGGCCGAGGGCCTTCAGTGGCGTGGGAGACCACCTGGAAGAGGGTGCAGCTGAGCTTGTGTTAGGCTTACTGCTTCGTACAGTACTTGCCGTCCAAGCCGTGGGATCAACCGATCTGATTAGATTTTTTATCATTGACTCTCTTTTCTCCATCACAGGGGTCTAATGCAACCTAAATTCCTCTGGTTGGCTTCCAGCTTCCAGCTTCCAGCTTCCAGCTAACTTGGGACTAATTGACAAGGTGCCTCGTACAGAAGTCTCAAAACGAATTGGACATGCTGTCGTCAGAAGTGCTGGATGGCCCCTGTCAAGAGCAACCTGAGTACTTGCTACCCCCATGTTTACCTGGAACATTGTCCTGCAAGAATCTGATCGACAGCTCCCACGAACGTCGAAAACATACGGAGAAGACTCGATACTTTTTCGGGCTGGATAATCGAGATAGATGACCTCAATCCAATAGATTGACATTTGGCACGGCTGCTAAGCTCTCATCAAACCCATGGAACCCGCTCTCTCTTCATCCCTGTATAGTCCGAACAACCGATCATTGAGCTCACACCCGGACCATCCAGGATGAGTTGTATCCACAAAGGGTCTGAAAACTCTGCATCTGATAAGATAATCACCAATCGCTTTGTCTATACTAGAGGCCTGCACCCCACCCGGACTATGTAATACCCTGTTCGTGCACCACCACTCGAGCTAACGGCAGCAATTATGCAGAAGCTGTGTCATCATACGAGTGAATATCGAGGGACCAGCTCGAGCTAGAGATGGTGTCTCCCGTGTCTGGCGCTAAAAGAGAACCTCAATGAGCAACTATTCACTTTCAAAGTAAGTTCCGAGTTAAAAATGAAGGCCTCGTGGCACTGGATTGTTTACTCTGCTATTCGGACTAGTAAATGTTACCCTTCGATCATCCCTGATACTACTATAACGGGGTCTCCGACCCAAGACTTACCCATCGGATGATCCTAACCGCCACATGGATCTCCGACATAAAATTTGAGTTGCGACGTAAATAAAGCCTGAATCCGTGTCGACAGGGCTTTGCTCTTCAACCTTCTCCTCCTAATCGTGTGACGACGTGGAGTGTATACAACATCACTCGTGCAACAGATAATTTCTAGACCAGTCCAATTGCCGTATACCTGCACTGGCGCAATGTCGTTCTCCGACACTTCCAAAGATCGCGAGCGAGGTATCGGTGGCAACAACGATAATGGCCTTCCTGCCGAGCCCAAGTCGGAACAACCAGTCGTCAACAACGAAGCACAAGAAAAATTAGGTGGTCCGGACGAGCAATACCGCCAGCGCCATGGTTCCATCCTCGTTGGTGCACAATCGCCTGGTGTGGCCCGGATGGAGGCCATGAGCGAGGTCATCACCCGAACGGATCGCATCTTCCTATTCATCGGCGTCTTCTTGATCGCTTACGCCTATGGTCTTGATGGAACTGTGCGCTACACGTACCAGACCACTGCCACCGCTTCTTGGGGACAACATTCACTTCTTGCCACTGTCAACGTGGTCCGATCGGTCATTGCTGCTGCTGCACAACCCACCGCCGCCAAAATCGCCGATGTTTTTGGTCGTGTCGAATTGGTTTTTCTCAGTGTTGCATTCTATGTCGTTGGCACCATCATTGAAGCCGCTGCCAACAGTACTTCGACATTCGTGGGCGGCGCCGTCCTCTACCAGATCGGATATACCGTGGTGATTCTGCTGGTCGAAGTCATCATTGCAGATATCACTTCCACACGCGCCCGGTTGTTTTTCAGTTATATTCCGGCTCTTCCTTTCATCATCAACACTTGGGTCAGCGGCAACATCACTGCAGCAGTTCTGGGTGCCACCACATGGAAATGGGGCGTTGGCATGTGGGCGCTCATCTACCCGGTCTGTGCTCTACCCCTGATGATCTCGTTGATGGTGGTATCTCGCCGTGCGAAGAAGGCTGGCATTATGGAAAAATATAAATCTCCGTATCAGCAATTGGGCGTCAAGCGATTGACCGTCGAGCTATTCTGGGCTCTGGATGTGATTGGCATTATCTTGTTGATTGCGGTGTTCGCCCTGATTCTCACCCCTTTCACAATTGCCGGCGGTTACGGTGACAACTGGAAGAAAGCGCACGTTATTGCACCGCTGGTTGTCGGACTCCTTTGTGTTCCCGCATTTATTGTCTGGGAGTTGAAGGCCCCCAAGCCTCTTGTGCCCTTTGACCTATTGAAAGATCGAGCCGTCTGGGGCGCTCTGGGTATTGCTGGTACCCTCAATTTTGCCTGGTATATGCAGGGAGATTACCTGTATACTGTCCTTATCATTGCTTTCAATTTCAGCATTATGGGAGCGACCAGAATTCTGTCCCTCTACAGCTTTACTTCAGTTGTGGTGGGCTTTATTTTGGGATTGATTGTGTACAAAGTTCGACGGCTCAAATGGTTCATCGTTGCGGGAACATGTCTCTTTGCGGTCGCGTTCGGCTTACTTATTCATTATCGAGGATCACCAAACTCGGCGGGACAGTCTGGAATCATCGGTGCTCAAGTCTTACTTGGATTTGCTGGTGGTATGTTCCCATACCCAGCACAAGCGTCAATTCAAGCTGCCACCAAGCACGAGCATGTCGCCGTGATTACAGGTCTATACTTGGCCACCTACAACATCGGATCAGCATTTGGAGGCTGCGTCTCAGGAGCGATTTGGACTCAAGTTCTCCCTTCGACACTGGAGGATCGTTTGGCAAGCTTTGGCAACTCGACCCTGGCGGCATCCACCTATGCGAACCCCTTTGCTGTTGCTGCTGAGTTCCCGATCGGCACACCTGAACGTGCTGCGATTATCGACGCCTATCAGCATGCGCAAAGATTGCTCACCATCACTGGTATTTGTCTTTGCGTGCCATTGATCTTTTTCGCCAGTATGCTTCGCAACCCCAAGCTTACCGACACTCAGAGTTTGCCTGAGGCGGAGAGCAAAGTCGTTCGATAAGTGGTTATCGATGGCGACGGTGATTGCATGAGCCTACCTGCGTTTTCAGTTGGACGCAAGGTGAAGCTGTCACAGCTGTTAGTGGCATGTTTTTTTATTAGCTGGTGTACTTGTATCCTCTATCCAAAGGGAACGATGACATAATGTGTTTCACAATAATTTAATTTATTCTTTTGAACGCGTCCTCCTCCTCCGTTCCGTACTCCCGTCTAACCTTTTCGCGATTTGAAATCCCTTCCAACTTGTCCAGCACAGACATCACTATGTCCCACGGTATGGATTGGACAGATGCATGTCACCGTAGCACTAGCCACAGCAGAAGAAAGTATATCGACCAACACTTTCTCAATTCTGAAATCTGCTTGGGCCCTTCAAAGATGAAACCCCCACTTACTTCTCATTCTGCAGCCACTTTGCTCAGTGGCTTGAAAGATGTGTGGCTGTGCCGTTCTCCTTCGGGCTTCAAGCGAAGATCATGACGTACCAAGCACTCCCCGGCGTGGAAATTACACCTCGCAACCGCCCAAAGAGGAAAGGCAAGGGCCCTACACAACAATGATAAAGGAGGGGGTGTTGCGAACTTGGTGTGGTATGAGCACACTGACACTGTCACCTTTCCGGCTCCGTCTTGTCTCTCGTCTTGGGATAAATATGCACAATTCTGCCAACCATCTCATCCTTTAATTGCGACTTGTACCCCTTGAAGTTTACAAGACACCAATTGATCCTCCACTTCTTCCCTTCCCATCCTGCAAAAAGCAATCACATCACAGAGAAGGTGCAACCGTGCTACCTACTTCCACTTGTGCTTCAACTCTGAACAAACCATCAAAGGCGTCTAGGTAAGCACTCTGACGCTCGCACGTTCTCCCCTGAACCACAGTCCAACACCTGCTAACCATCATGAATATAGCTCACTATTTCACCAGTCCTCCTCCCAACTACTACGCTCTCATGGCCACTACCAATCTCCCCACCAGAGCCAACACAGTCCGCACCGACTCCGGTGAAGAAGCGTTCGATGGAGATCCATCAAGCGCCGCAGGTCTGCTGATTGAGCGTCTACAAGCATGGAAGCACATGTGTGGTTATCTCGAGAATTACATCTCGCATGTCGCAAAAGATGAGCAGTCCAAGGCAAAAGATCAGGAGAAAATCCTCAAAACACTGTCCGACCCACTCAAAGAAGCGCATCACTTTGACACTGCCATTGGCGGAATTTCTTCGCTTTTCGATAACCTACGAGCAAACACTCAGGCACAGAGTCAACTGCACGTTGAAACTTCCAAAAACCTCACGGGACAGGTCCTACCTATTCTCGAGAGACTACACGCCGAGATCAAGAACAAGAATAAGGAAATCACTAACGGCGCGGGCAAGGGGTCCAAGGTGGTGGATGCAGCTCGTCAGAACTCACAAAAAGCCATCGAACTCCTTGGCCATCATGCCGCCAGTTTTGATTCCTCAGGCGGCAAAGTCACTGCACAACATGACCCATATGTCATTCGTCGAGGCATCTTGTACCGCCTCAACCGACAGATTCTGGAAGAGAACAGCAACCGACAGGATCTGATCGCTGTACAAAACGCCTTCAGTCAATTCGAGGCCCATGTTATAACCACTGTGCAGACCGCACTGAATGCCTTCAATCAGTTCATGAGTACCCAGACCGATCGTCAGAAGGCAATGTATGGAGATATTGCTGCAACCGCCAGTAATATTCCCCTAAATTTTGAATGGGACGGCTTCATCAGAAGAAACAACGCAGTTTTGGTCAATCCCAACGCTGCCCCCAGAACGATGGACGGCGTGTCCTTCCCCAATGATTCTCACCGTGCTACGAAGCCACTCATTGAGGGATCTCTGGAACGGAAATCACGCGGAATGGGAGCACTGAAGGGTTATAGTACTGGATACTATGTGGTGACCCCAGCTGGCTACCTTCACGAATATAAGGACAATGACAACTTCCACAAAGACCCGGCCCCGGAAATTTCTCTGTACCTTCCTGATTCCATCATCGGTGCCGTCGACGGTCCAAAGTTCACCATCAAGGGCAAGGATTCTTCTGGCAGTAAACTGGGACAGAAGATGGCCATTTCTTCCGAGTTTCAGTTCAAGGCGCATACTCACGCCGACGCCGAACAATGGCGTTCAATCGTCGCCAGCTTTGCAAATTCATCCAACAGCTTGCCCACCAGTCCGGTTGAATCTCGAAATATCACCCCGATTGCCACTAGGATGGAGGAGCCTCAACAGTCCGGTGTGACAAGTGGACCACTCAGCGCAACTTCGCCTCAAGCGGGGAGTGCACATCCTATAACATCCCCAACTTCGGCCACCACCACCAGCCCTGCTTCGGCTGGTCCGTATCATGGTGCACCTGCAGCCACTCCACTCGGGGATAGAAAGTATGTTGAGAAGTCGTGATTGAAGAAGAGTGACAGATCATATATGTCTTCGTTTGTCTCTCGATCGGGTCTCACTTCATGGAAGCCTCTTTTCTTAGCTTAATACCCTTTTAATGAATACTTAATATGACTGAACTGAAATAACTGCTCATTTCTTTGGTGTTGTTTAACTTTCATAGTTAGGCTATGGACCGTTCTGGGGTAGCCTTCATCAACTCACAACTCCAAACTACTTCCCATTGGTAACCACCACCAGCTCCCTCCCCGGATCATCACCACGCTCAAGCCCACCAAATCCCAACTCCTCAATCCCATCCCAACCCAACAGCCCACTCCTCGGGGGACTAAACTGCCTCAAGCCGACGCCGGCCTCACGCAAGACCCTCCGACTCGCATCATCCATATTATAGCTCTGACTAAACACGACCTCCTTGACACCGACCTGGGCGATCTTGACACTACAGGTCAAGCACGGACAAGTGTCGCAATAGAGGACGGCGCCCTCGCGGATGCGCTCGCGGCCGGCCTCCAGCAGCGCATTCTCCTCGGCGTGCAGACACAGGCAGGTCGACAGCGCGGAGCCGCCGCTGCTCGCGGCGTTGCAGCGCTCGCACCCGCCCTCGTTGCAGTTGCGCAGGTTGCGCGGCGTCCCGTTGTACCCCGTCGAGATGATCCGGCTGTTGTGCACGAGCACGCACCCCACGCGCCGTTTCATGCAGTTGGACCGTTGGGATGCCAGCGAGGCGAGGGTCATGAAGTATGCGTCCCATGTGGGCCGCAGGCGTGTCGGTGATGCGAGGTCGAGCGTCGAGAGGAATGTCGAGTAGGCTTGTGGGTTGTGGAATGAGTTCAGGATCTGGAGGTGCGCGTGTGCATGGAGGTGTGCGGTGCCGCGGTGGTGGGGTTTGGAGGACGGTGGTGGAGTGCATGGTTGGGTTGGAGTGCTCGGGCTTGATGTGAGGTTGGTGGCGCTGCCGTATAGTTGGAGGTCGTTGTATGAGATGAAGTCCAATATTGGCATTGGTGGGAGTTTTCGCCTGTGGCAGCTGTTGTTGTGGTTAGACAGAGAGACGGTAGATTAATCAGATTGTTGCTTGGAGCTTGGAAAAGAATGTGTTCTGGTCTGGGTACATGACAAGAAACGTCTGACGATTCATCTTCTTCCTCTATCACCTCCTCCATCCGGTTTGGTCCAATTCAATAGAAGATATCCAGCATGAAGAACGTCCCAGAGTAAGTAAACACTCACAGACCCAACCACACCTCTCTTGTATGCTCGACAAAGAATCCACGGAAGACAACAAAAAAGAGGCAACTCACCGATCACTAAACCGTTTATACCTCAATCCAACAGGCGCATCGACATTGATGAGCAGGAAGAACGGCCTTCTCAATAACGCCTCCAATGTCGCCTCGTCAACGATATCTGTAAGTACCCAATGTTCTCGCCATCGCTTCGTGACAAACTCTAGCAACGAGTCCACATCGGGAAACGTCAGGCCTCGTGTGCCACGTTGGTCCGTCACGGACGGGAGGAGACGCTCATGGTTGAGTTTCTGCTTTGCGTCATATAAATCTCCGTCCAGCGTGGAGGACGATGAGGGAGAATGGATGTGCTCATGTTGTGGCAGAGATCTGGTGGTGGGTAGATGGAGCCGAAGAAACCCATGGTGCTGCACCAGATACTCGGCTGTCGTGTGTTTGCCGGAGCAGATTGACCCGCAGATACCTATGAGCATTTTGATATGATTTGTTCAAGCTTATAGACCCAAGCTCGGGCCTAGACGAGGCTCGCCTGAAGTGGTCTGGAGTGAAATCGCGAGGCTTCAGAAGACGGCGTGAGGAAGCCTTATCTCTGGTTTTTTCTTGAACTCTTGATGAAACAAATCAGCCCTTTCCTTGGTTCGTTTTGTCACTACCATAAAGCGGATCTGTCTTGATTATCCAGATACTGTGTAATGTCAGGTCGTCTTCTAGCAGCAGCCATAAAGATCATACCTCGGTGTGGGACGCGTTAAGTGGTCATTTGATGCAATGAGCGCGTCAAATGACCGGATCGATTATTCCGATTGGGTGGCCATCTGATATCCAACCCAGGCCCGTTTGTCACCCACACTCCTCCATTTAAGGTCACCAGCCACCCATCTAACCTCGACGCCTGCCTCCTTGGAGCCTTGCTGCCTATCCATCGCTTGGTCGTCATTTTGAAGTGGTGTTGCTCGTACGCTTTCGAAGCTTAGATACGGAGTACTGCGAACACCATCGACTCACCACTTATTGATTCCCGGACTACGCTCCCCGTTCTAAAGCGGGCGATTGTTGAACGCCAATAACCAAAGAACCCGAATCCAAGATGCAGTACGTCCCGTTTGCATCTGATATTGAAATCCCCTTCTACGCGTCTCTCGCATCCCATAAGATCAACCATGATAAACTCGACGACTCAGCCCGTAAGCTACTGGGTCTGTATGAGATCCGACCTTCCGACGCCAAAGAGCATTCCTGTCGCATGCAAGTGCATGGAAATGCATTGACCAGCGATGATGTTCCGGCAAATTACTACCGAGCTGAAGGTATCATCAAAAACCTCAATACCATCGAAGAATATCGCAACATCGATAAGCTCCAGTTGATCCAACAAGCTGGCAGGACGATTTGGGAGGCCATTAACGATGGGACAATTTACTCTTGTCCATCTCTTTTGGCTTCATTTCTTGTACTGTCATTTGCGGACTTGAAGAAATACAAATTCAATTACTGGTTCGCCTTTCCCGCGTTGACCCAGGATCCCTCTTGGGTGCCTGGGGAGGGTGATGACTCCTCTTCAATAGCTTCACCGCCGACTTCGGACGCAAAATTTCCATATACGAAGCTCAACTCCATTGAAAGCACCAACCTTGTCGATAAGGTCATGACTTGGAGATATGGCGTCGACACCCGACAACACGGCTTTTTCCTCGTGCGAAAAGACTACGGCGCATTCCACCAGCCGGTCGATGACGATGCAGGAGACTCGGATTTTGGGCCAACATCTCCTCGATCGCCACTCACCCCATCAGCAAATTTAGGGTACACTTGGACTGTGAGCTCACTATCCAGCTATGAGACGGGGTTCTTCGATGGAATCGATCCCAAAGATAGATATGTGTGTTTCGCGGACCCTTCGAATTATACCGACCCAGCCGCTCCGGGCTGGATGCTACGGAACTTGCTTGTACTTGTTCGACAAAGATGGAAATTGGACAAGGTACAGATCCTGGCATACAGAGAGACACAAATGCGGAGAGACGCCGCGCGCAGCATCATATTCACAATGCAAGTCTCGAAAGAGAGCAAGAAACCACGTCAGTCATCGTCTTCAGCAACATCAGCACCAACCGTTGAGCCCTCATCTTCCACTACCACCACATCACAGATTCCACCGACCCCCAAAGTTGTTGGCTGGGAACGCAATGTACAGGGCAAGCTCAGCGGCCGTCTCGCAAACCTGACTGAGTACATGGATCCAAAGAAACTTGCCGACAGTTCGGTAGACCTAAATCTCAAGTTGATGAAATGGCGGATTAGTCCGAATCTAAATTTGGATAAGATCAAAGAGACGAAATGTCTACTTCTCGGTGCTGGCACCTTGGGAAGCTATGTCTCGCGCAATCTGATGGGATGGGGAGTTCGAAAGATTACATTCGTCGATAATGGCACGGTCTCGTTTTCCAACCCTGTCCGTCAACCACTGTTCAATTTTGAAGATTGTCTCGGTGGGGGCAAGCAGAAAGCCATAGCGGCCGCCGAGGCCCTCAAATTGATCTATCCGGGCGTGGAATCCGAAGGCCATGTCCTATCCGTACCCATGGCGGGCCACCCGACCACAGACGTTGAGAAGACAAAAGCCGACTACGAAAAATTGCAGAAACTAGTGGACGAACACGACGTCATCTTCCTCCTCATGGACACGCGCGAGTCACGCTGGCTCCCAACCGTAATGGGCAAATCAGCAGGCAAAATCGTGATGAACGCGGCGCTGGGGTTCGATACCTACGTGGTGATGCGACATGGCGTGAAGCAGACAGATCCCGCGTCGTCGGAATCAGAACTCGGCTGCTACTTCTGCAACGACGTCGTCGCGCCCGCCGACTCGATGAAAGACCAGACCCTCGACCAGCAGTGCACAGTAACCCGCCCGGGCATCGCAGCCATCGCATCCGCCCTACTCGTCGAACTCCTCGTCTCCGTCCTGCAACATCAGCTCGGCGCCTCTGCGCCCGCCACGCTCGCGCGCACTTCATCTTCCAATGATGCGGAGGAAGCAGTCGAACATCCCCTCGGCATCGTGCCGCACCAGATCCGCGGATTCCTATCGACCTTCTCGAATCTGAACATTACTGGTCGCTCTTATGATTGCTGCAGTGCGTGTTCCGACAAGATCGTCGACGCGTACCGGAGCGAGGGCTGGGAGTTTGTGTTGAAGGCCTTGAACGAGCGCGATTACGTTGAGGAGCTGAGTGGGTTGAAGGACGTGCAGAGGGCTGCTGAGGCGGCGGAGAAGGATATTGATTTCAGTGAGGAGGATGAGGATGGGGACGAGGGGGAGGGCGAGTTACTTTGAGTTTGAAAGTTTCGGGAAGGGCAGAGGTGAGATCGTTGGTTGTTTTTACAACAGTGATGAGGGACGATGGGATCTTGGGATTTATGCAGCGCTGAGTGTTTTACTGTCCAGGCACGCTGGCCGTGTTCGGATCCAGAGCAGTCATACTAAAACAAGAGCAGAGGCTAAGAGACATCAACCCTCACTGAAGACCGCATCCCGATCAACCTTGGCCAACCTCTTAATGCCCACAAAATAAGCCTCTTTAGATTCACTGCGTGAGCTCTCGGGCTTATCGCGATGCACCTTCTGAAACATGGCCTTGAGGCTCTTCTCGAGCGCCTTATCCTCCGCTCCTTGGTAAAATTTACACACGAAGTGGCCGCCCACCTTGAGGGTGTCATAGCTGAAATACAGGGCAGAGCGGCAGAGGTCCTAGGACACAGATTAGGATGCGACTTTGATGGAGAGAGAATATGCAAGGGACAAATATCCACGTACCATGCTACCGGCGTGGTCGCGGAACGCATTACCACTCGTGTTCATTAACCTGCGATATGGGTTACTGATTGTTTTCTTGTACATGCCGTCAAGCGGGTCCCAGGGTTCCCACATGTCGCTCAAGACGACGTCTACCGTCTTATCGAGGTGCTGGGCCGCAGCCTCGTCTTGTTTCTCCTGGTCACCCTCTTCCTCAACGGCGGTGCCGAGGCTGTGCTGTCGCTCGAGGTAACCTGTCTCTTCCTCTTCGATCTTCATTTGGTCGACCGCGGTGGCTAGGTCGCTGTTGGTGGGAGATGGATTTTCCGAGCCGACTTCGAAGATCGGGTGGCTTTGGCGGAGACGTCCCTTGTCGGGGTCACGTAGAAACGATTTGATTTCCGCTTGGACATCTGGAGACAGGAAATTGCCTTGAATCGCAGATACTCCTTTCGGTGGCTGTACTGGTATGAGATCGACACCGAGAACACGGCCGCGGGGTTTTGTCAAATCGATTGCAACCTACGAGCGGTAGTTGACCCTGTTAGATGACTTGTATAGATAGATATGTTTCGGAAGAGATATTCATCGCACCTGACTCCAACTGCCCGGCGCAAACCCTAGATCGATGACAGTCATTCCAGGCTTAAATAGCCGATACTTGTCATTGATCTGAAGTAATTTGAATGCCGCACGACTTTTGAGGCCTTGAACTTTGGCCGCGCGGGCGAACTGGTCTTTGCCCTGCCGATCAGTCCAGCGCCGCGATGAAGCGAAGCGTTTCCACTTCGTGGCCACCCAGGGTGAGCATGGTGTAGGTGATGTGGAACGTGAAAATGTAAGTCCAGCTCGCGATGAGGTACAGAACGTCCCACTGCTCCATGATGCTGTCACGCAGGTGGAGGATGATCCTCGCAGGACCAGGAATTGGTGTGGGAAAGTGAGGAGAGGAGAGGAAAGTGCTTGCCGTGCTGAGCGGTGGAGTTGCGATGGTGGGTTACATGATGGCATAGCACGGTGGCCTTTGCAGGACTCCGAGGTGGGAGAGAGTGTGCTGCAAGGACTACGGCGGGTGAGGAGCTGTGAGATGTTGGAAGCAGAGATGCACCTGGTGGAAATGTTTCTTGATATCGACTTCAATTCATTGCGGTTATTTAAAGCGGCCACACGAGTTAGGTATCAGCCTTGTGCCGCTTTAATTGTCCTTGCATGTAGCCTGCCCACATGCCTTGCCAATAGAAACAAAAATGGGAGGCATCATGATCTTGACACTGGGAATCACAATCTTGAAGTTCCAATACTACGCAAAACACTGTTCTGTATGCTAATAGGAAGCATATTCTTCAAGAAAAATGCTCAACCCAACCCCACAGCACCTCATTAGAACGCATAATCGTGGCCACATATCATTTCTCGTCCATTAGACAATCAGATCATACCAGAACCGAGTCCATCGCCCTTCGATCCTTCTTTAGCGGAGAGAACTCTGCCAACACCTTTGCCTTACCATTCGGTTTAGCCTTCAAATTCAGTCGTCCAAGGGCACCAGGTCCACCACCGAGATTTCTAACCTTGGGAGCTGATGCACCATCCTCTTCATCGAAAATGTTAGTTCGCTTGGGAAAGAGTCTCTCCGCCTTGGTGGTGGCTTCGCTTGTGTGTTGCGTGGTCGATTCGGTCACATTTTCTGTGTTGCCATCGGTTTCGTCTTTTTCCTGGTCACTGTCCACGTCGGAGCTTTCCTCCATGAGTTTCTCGAGTTGAGGCTTCTTCATGGTTGTGTTGGCTTTGGCATTGGTTGTTTCTTTGAGCGGTTGAGCAGATTGGGTTTTCTTCTGTCCAGGTTTCTTGGTCGCCGAGGGCTTCTCAGGCACTGAACGTGCAGTCTTCGCCTTTGGTAGCGCTTCCGTCGCATCTTCAGCAGCAGTATCGGTTTGACCCTTTCCAGCTTTTTGTCTCTGCTTCTTCTTTTGAGGCTCGTTCTCTTCTGCAGTGGGAGACTCGGGCAGACTGCTGAGAGTACGGTTCAAGAACGGTGTCATGGAAAATGTCGATTTGTCGCCTGGGTTGACTGAAAATCGCTGCTTCTTTGCTGCAGGCCCACCATTTCCTGGAGTGCCGATCGTCATGTCAGGATCGAAGTGAGCAACATTTCTCTTTCTAGGATTTGCCGCTGCACCACCGTTAAGCCGCATCTTGGTCATCTCGGTTGACTGCGCCATTTTTGCAGCCTGCAATCGCTCGATCTCGCTTTGGGCTTCCGAAAGCTGGTCCTTCATTCCTCGAAGTTTGCTCTTGTATGCCTCCAATTTCTCTTCCAAATGATCCTTCTGGCCCTCCCATTCAGCCGTCTTCTTGCGATTCTCACGATCTGTCTTTTGAGCCTCTCGCTTAGCGCGGGCCAGCTCTTTCTTCAACTCCTCGATCTCGGCCGTTATTGTGGCTTCGTCGCTGGCAGATGATTTCTCTTGCGCCTTGATTCGATGTACAGTTCTCTTTTCCGTGTCCAACTCAACTTGCAGAGAACTGACTTCGCGTTCCAGGGCTAGTTTCTCCGAGAGCAACTTTTGTTGAGTGGACGTGTGCGATTTCAAGTGTTCGAGCTCAGGCTTCAAGATGTTCAATTCTCTCGCGAGCGCCAATTTTTCTGAAAGCAGTTTGGTCGCATCTGCGCTGGCTGCGTTCAACGCGTTTACCTCGGCTCTGAGGTGATCCAAGTCGCGTAATCGCGCTTTCAAGTCCATCTGTGTCTGCTCCAAGTCCGTTTCCACTATTGCGACTTGATCTCGAAGCTCCTCATTTGTTTCCTCCATAAAGTTGTGCTGATCTTCATATTGCAGCGCCTGCTCTTGTAGTTCTTCGTTCTCATCTTCAAGTAGTAGCAGCGATACGCGGATAGCCCGGACTCGTTCTTCCTCGTAGATTCGTTCGGCTTGTCGGAGAGCGCGTTCGTAGGCGAGTTCGAGATGGGCAGTTTTCATCGACTGCGCGATCTCCGTAGAAGTCATGTACGCTAATTCTGAGTCCATGTTTTCGATGCTTGTCACATAATACACTACTTTCATATCACTGTCGAAAGAGGATGGGTAAGATGCTTGAGGATGCCGGGGGTTGGTGTCGTTGGTTGGAGTGACTGCTTTTGTTGATATTTGTTCCAAAATGGGTTAGCCTTGCCAAGACTTACCGTTTCCCTTGAGGGAAAGATGGGCTGCAAGTTCGACATCGACATCAGCATCGACGTTAGTATCGACATTAGTATCGACGTTAGCATCGACATCAGCATCGACATCAGCATCGACATCAGCATCGACATCAGCATCGACATCAGCATCGATATTAGCATTAGTTTTTTAGTTTGTAATATTATTCTAGACTATATACCTACGCCACCTAAATAGCGCGTGGAGAGGTTCTAGATAAGATCTTCTGTAGCCCCCTGGACTTAGTAATTCCTTCTATACTAAAGGTGGGAAAGAAGAAGTGCTTCACATTAATAAAGTAAGTATATAAACCGCTTCCCCTTCTAGAAAGACAAGATTCGTGGGGCACCTACTAGTATTAGCTTTAGACATCAGTACGAATATTAAAGCACTAACAGCAACAGCAACAGCAACATTCTACCTCTATTATAACCTGAATTAAAGAATTATAAGGACCAAGAAGAATATAATAGAAGGTAGATAGGGTATATAGTGCAGTTTGAATAAATGTAGTATACCGATATCGTGGTTTGCGCTTATCGACATGATAGCTTCTGGAGAGATCCGCTCACTCGTCCACCTCTCGAGCTTAGGCATTCTTGGATCTCCCAACCAAAAGTATCCCTACCTCAAGCCATCAAGCATTTGCTCTCAATTTTCTACAATCACTCCAGTCGTACATAGCTAGTCCTCGGGCACTTAAACCTTATGCTCGTGCTGTGCCTTCTCGACATCACTGTCAGAAGTTTCCTGGACGATCTCGGTATGTTCGCCTGCGAATTGATCGACCTTGGTCTTGTGGAACTTGCGTGCACTGACTTTGTGCTCGAAGAGGACATCAAGTTCGCCGTACGTACGTCCTTTAGGCTCAGGAAGTCGGAAATACGTCCACACGCAAAGCAAGAAGCATGCACCGGCCCAGAAAAAACCTGCAATAGTCATCAGTATTTCTTCTCAATTCACTTTCTCTAGATCACGAACCTGTCTTTGCTCCCCAGTTCCACGCATTTAATCCAAGCATACGAGGCATTAAAATGTTGTTCACAATACCTCCCTGGATAGCCAGTTAGCAAGGAGACGAATAGACAACGAGAAGAAAAAGGGAAAGAAAAAGTGAGAAGCAAAAGTGAGAGGAGGCGAGGAGAATTCTCTTGAAGAAACATACCATATTGTAGAAGTTGCGGGCCAGAACGACTGTCTTGATTTTGAGGCGAGTGGAAGGGATTTCGGCCACGATGGAATAGCAAACCGGGCCGACAGTGAAGTCGTAAACGAACGTGTAGACCAATAGGATCGAGCCAATACCCCAACTAGGGCCGGCGCTTGGCGGCATAGTTCCCAAACCACCCACTACAAGGAGCAGACAGAGCATAGTAAGGAGACCGTAGAAGTAGATAGCGCGACGGCCGACATAGGTCATCAGCCACCATGAAAGGAGAGTACCGATGGCTCCCATGACATATTGACCAATGTTCATGTTGAACGCATTCTCATCGGAGAGACCTGCTCGTTGGTAGAATTGGACTGAATAACCCATCAAAGCAGCACCACAGAAGGCTTGGGCCACCCAAGCGACACAGGCAATCTCGGTACGTCGAGCATCAATACCTTTGAAGCAGGCAAGATAAGAAGTATCCGAGGAAATCGCCGCTTCGAGTTCATTTGTCGCTTTGATCATCTGTACTTGGGAATCCACATCGAAAGGAACTCCACAGTCACGGGTAGTTATTTGCAACAGGGATTTCTTTGCATCCTCGAGGCGACCCTGGCGAACGAGCCACCAAGGAGACTCTGGAGCGAAGATTGTGCCGATCAAGATGGGAACTGGCCACACCCACTGAAGAGCAAACGGGCTAGAGTATTGATGTTAGCCTACGGCAACGGCAGAGGGTTGTGTTCAACATACATTCGGTAAGCCCACTGGTCAGACCTTTGCAAGAAACCTCGAAGGACACCAGCGGCGACCAATTGACCAAAAACCCAGCATAAGTTGACGTATGTTGTGAGCTGAGAGATCATAAGTGTTGTGTTCCTACAAATAGACGACATTTCACCAAGGGTGTGCACTTACATATGGTCTGAGGATAGTAGGCACAACTTCAGAAGCATATGTGCAAGTAAGGGTCTGGAAAACACCCCATGGAATTCCCATCAGCACGGTGCCGGCCAGAATTGTTTCAATATTTGTCGCAAAAACCGGGAGGAAGATAAAGGCAATCCTGAAATGAGAGGCTCACGATCAGCATCGTTGATGTGTACAGCATCTGAATCGTGTATAGCTCCAGTGTTCGTATTTCGAGCAAAGACTTACATAAGAATGAGTGAGCCAAACATTGTCTTCTTGTAGCCAATCTTTTCCGAAACCCAACCATTGAGGTAAAGTCCGATAATACTACCAACCTATACCTCTGTGAGCGTGGTAGTGGGTCATGTTGGTTCAATACTAACCTGAACACCGTTTGAAAGACCACTCTGCCATGGCGCCGAGATGACCATACCTCCGTCGGTGGGATCAGGCTCAGTCCCATATCTGTTCTTGAATGGTGGAAACCCGTAGAAGGACCCCATCAACGACAGATCGTAACCTTTAAGATGGTTAGAATATGGACTGCTATCAAACACATGTGATACTCACCCTCCATGACGACCGCCAAAGAGAAAAGCAAGGAGAACAAAACTCCTTTCTTGTACAGCTTTACGGCATCTCGAATAGTCAAGTCTTTTTCGTTTTGCGAAGCCTGCTTTGCATTGGCGATATCATTTGCCATGAAAGCATTCGCGTGCGACATCCGCCGAACGGACTCGTCGTTGATTCTCAGCACTCCATCATGCTCCCGATTCACCTGGATGACCGAGGACCTTCGCCGATCAGACGCCATTGTAGAGTATTAAGATATTGAGAATTGCAAGTAGTAAAGCAGGCCAAACACCTATCTGAGTGATATTTGTCTGATGGGAGAAACCTGCAGAAGACTGCTTGCAGCGTTGGGCACATCAGTAGCTTTAAAATAATTCCACAGACATCAGCTTAGCCGAGACGCCTTTCAGGTTCTCCTCTTCTTCTCCTCCTTCTATCAAGCCGAAGATTTGGCCGAGAGGAGATTTGGTTGTAACATATGCCAAGACCTCCCCAGACTTTCTCCAGACTAGGAAAATGATCATGGCGGAGGGTGTTGAATATGAGGGATGGAACACAGATCAAGCTGCATAAAAGGAGGAATAAATGGGTCGATGACGAGGATGTGCTTGCCACGATGCGCACCATTTATCTCGACAACAAGTAACTATTGGTTAGTACTCGTCTCCGTTGGTCTCGTGTATCAATTCACGAGAGCTACATTTTCCGGTGCATGGTTCCAGCCTGATGGCTAAGATGGGCAGTTGCAACAAACCCTGTTCGAATGACAAGGAGGATAAGTCACGTAGGACGTCATCGAATATGGCACAAGAACAGGACCAAGGCTTGAGACAAGCTAGACGAGTGTTGGCAATCAAAAATCTCTCAATCTCCACTCCGCTGCCCAGCGCTTGGTACTTACATTGGCGCGAGAGAAAGGCTGGGCAGGAATGTACCTAGGTAGTATCTGGGTGACATGGCTGCCTTTGGAGAGCACATCAGTATTCGTCCAGGCCAATGGCAGAAACAATAAGGCCAGTAGAATGAGGAGCTACTCCGCCATAGTTTCAACGAAGAAATGGCCGTCTAGTATCATCAGCGGAGCCTTGATCAGAGCTGTGGGATTGGGAGCTTGACGGAAATATGAGAAGAGGCAAAAGCCCTGAACTGGAGACGATGATCGTCATAGCTGTGAGGCTAAGATAAAGCTAAGAGGCTAAGCGATTTAGGGCCTGATATGCTTGGCGCCAAGTTGTATCCGCCGAAAGACATTAAAGTTAGGTCCCCGATCACACGCCATCCCTCTCAGCTTAGGGTAGGATCCAATTCTTTGCAATTTAAGAATCGTCTCATTCGATCTTTCTTGTTGGCAGGCGTGATCATCAAGCCTCGCGAGCGCGGCTTCGCCTAATCTTCTCGCTGATTTGGTCGCATACAATTACCTCAAACATGTCCTACTACTTCGTCATCATTTCACCGACAGACTCTCCGGTCTTCGAATTGACGTTTGGCACTTCCAAGGCTGGGGGTGATGGTGTTGCGCGTTTCCGGAATGGAGAGACATCCCGCTACATGAATCAATTCATAGTGCATGCTGCCTTGGACGTCGTAGAGGAGGTCCAATGGTTGACCCCAAACATGTGGCTCAAGGTCATTGACAACTACGCCCCCACCAATTCTCATATCAGCTGCTTCATTACTGGTACCAACTGTCGCTTCATGCTCCTTCATCAACCTAGTGCGTTGACGAATGCTTCTGCGGGTAGTCGTGCTTCCACCATCTCATCTACATCAATTCCCCAGAATCCGACCAGTCCACAGACAGAAGAAGCAATTCGACAATTTATGAATGAAGTATTTGAGTTATGGGTGAAGACTTTGATGAGCCCATTTTATACCGTCGGTAATCCCATCAAAAGTCCCGTGTTCAGACAACGGGTTACAGCTGCTGGCCGGAAATGGCTATGAGTGGCCAAGGCCCGTGCATTCAAACGCAAATCATTCATTATTGTTGACCCTTGTCTTCATATCGATAAAGAAGATCAAGGTTTTCACAACTCCTGGTTGATAGCATCTATATGCGAACCAGTCCGGTGACTGCTCTTGATGGTTCCACTGGCACACCCATTCGGCATCTGACCAGCTGTCTTCTGCAATTCAGGAGCAATATCAGAATACATCTACCCACACAGCCAGCCCTGTTGTATGTATAACGATGCATAGATTGAGATACCGAAAGCTTCGCTTCCGGGATCTCGGTCGTGGAAAGGCGCCCGAATCAAGATATCATATTCAAGGGCGAGCTCTAAGATTTATTGGTCCAGTACCACAAGATGACAAACGCGACCGCACCCCAACACAATGAAGAACATGCCATCGCAAAAAGATTTGTAGATAGCTTCAGCGATTGGCCATTATGGTTGCAGATTATACTCGTCCTGTTACCTATGACGATATGGATACCCCTATACTTTCTCGTGCAGCTCTTCAAAGACTGTGTTTGGTGCCAACGACGGAGGAAACAAACGTCCGTTTAGGCTATGAAGGGGATCGTTGTACAAACAGGCAAGGCCCATGGACAAAGTGTTTTCGCTTTGTTCACCCTGCTGTTTAGCTATCAGACGTCTCGATCAGTACATACTCTTGCTCCCTCCCATTGTCGTTATGTAATTGTATGCCTCCCAACCTGTCGACTTATGTATGCTATTGCCCAGTCCAATTGATGCTGGCTTTAAGGCATGCAAACTGAGGATCAGACGCTGGTTTGGCCAGGGAGGAACCTGTCGCGATTGGAAAATCCTGCATAGCACGCCCACGTTATGCACGCGGACACCACCACTGCAGTAACAATGATAAAGATGAGCGGCTCGGTGTCCATGCCCTGTCTCTTCCCAAAATGCCTCCTGTAGGCACGAGTTCTGTTGATCCCTAATGTTCAATTTCAGTCTTTCCATCTTACTTCATGCCGAATCTTGGATGGTCATACTCGTGGTAGAAGTCCTTCTTTGATGATGATTCGAGACGAAAATGCGTCGACTCTTCTTGACTCCCGACAGTCTCCTGATGTAAATGTCTCTGCGTCCGCCCCTGTGGATTAGACAATTATCAGCGTGTGAGATATGGGCGTTACTCTCTGAATGCGATGAAGTGATGAAGTGGGAATCCCACGTTGTATATGATTGACCTCCCACCATCCTTCCAGTTTTCCCGTGGTCATCAAGCGTTTGCCAAAGATGCAATCGTACAAGGAGCTGCGCGGATATATGTCTTTGACGATTGCATCAGGCTGTCCTTTCACAGTTTCTGCCTGTCTTGTCGTGTAAACGAGACACAGTGTTGTGACCGCGCCCTGTCCAGATTTATGTCCTTTTACACACCGTGCCACAAACTTGTGCTACTTTGACATTTTATTTGATATAGATCCCGGCTGCCATACGTTGTCGATGTCTCCAGAGTACGACTCCAAATTTTGATGCTGTCATACATCTATCGACGAGGCTGCGTGATAACATTGTATGAGATATGATGTGCGCCACAGATCGTGGTCGTGACCGCGAAGCAAAATAATGGGCCTCCATTACTTCCCTCAAGGTTGGCATGTCTTTGTATCCACAATGAATGATGTAGTCGGTGGCCGATCTTCTGTATCGTGCTCTACCGAGTAGTGCCTCTATTCCAAGGCCTGATGTTTTTTTTCTGAGACTGTCCTGTTCGTTACGTCGAGGGAACGGACAGTGGAGTAAACCGTGCCCTGGCTGGAATTTCCTCGATTGCTTGTATTTTGAAACACTCCGCCAAGTCTGCCAATCCCTGTGCATGAATCTAGGACTGTGTGTTCTCATGAGTTAATCTTGCATAGGCAGACATTGAGTAGCGTTTGGTGCTCACGGGGAGTTCTGGATAATGTAAATTGGTAGCAAATCCACTCTGAGCATCAGCCGAATGTGAGTCTAACAATGGCTCAGAGGCTAAGTGTATATGTGTTTTTTACCTGCTTCTCCTATTCCAGTGTTCCCGGGGAATTGTAGAGACAGATCGAATGGGATTCAGTAGATGTATCGTTATGTTCAGGGCTAGGCTGGCCAGGCTCCGTCGCTGCCATCGACGATGAGGATGATGCAATTCTAAATCATACACAGTAGATATCTATAGCCGCGATTGTTGGTATTCCTGAGGGCCTCCTCCTTCCGCTTTCCCGAAACCGCGATTCTCGGCGTAGTCTCGCCTGTGTCAGACTTCTGGGAACCGCAAACTCTTGTAAATTCCCCTGATTTCTTTGTCCTTCCTGCCTCTTGACACTGTGATGTCCATCCTTCTCTCCCAAGCGTCCTTCGTCCCGATTCCCGAATTCCCAATCTGCGAATGCCTGGCTGTTCCGAGAATAATTGCGGTTTTCAAGCACCATCGTTGTCCTCTTCGACTAAGAACTTCCATCGATTATCAAAGACAGATCCAACTAAGACCGTGAAGGACTATTCCCACCAAGCCATCCAGCGACAAGGGCTTTAAGCAATGGGCTCCGAACAATGCTGGCGACCAGGCTGCTGGTCTAACATGGCAAGTCTTCTCGCATCCGAATATCAACGGTGAGTGACTTGCTGACACCCCTGGTCTCGCGATGAAGACAAACCCAGCTTTGTAAACAAGACACAAAGCAGTCAGACTTGATGCTGTTGCTGGCTGCTGGATGATTAGGTGTTCTATCCCCTTTGAAATACTGACGAAGTGCCACATGAACCAAAGGATAACGGCAGTCGCCTGATCGGAGTATCGAATTCAATATACTGCTCTTTGCGAAATGCAAATATTCGACGGCAGAAGATCCACTCAAGCATTCTCGACACTTTTCATACCGCGATGCAACTCAATCAATAATAGTCCCCAAGCAGATGACGATCAAGCAGGGAAGGCCAACTTCCCACAAAATACATGCCTTGTAACTCTGCTAAGCCCACCGATCGCTCATGCTCTCCCAATCAACCTTGTTCAAACATTGTCAAATGCTTGAACTACTCTTTGTCCTCTCAGCCGTATACCGCTAGTCAGGCTGCCTTTGAAAATTGGACACGACAGTCGTATATAATGTTCCACCCCTGCGTTATAGACAACACCGGAAGGCCTCGGTTCCAGGGTATGGCTTCATGGCCATATGTCGTTTGTCCAACAAGAGTTCCGTTTATTATAGCATATTTGTGGCCTGTTCAACGTTTCCAACAGCTGTACTATATCTGGCGAATTCTTTGTCAACCCCAGTACCAGTGTCTCGTTCTCTTGAATAGGCAAAGTAGCTCCACAACTTCTTTTTGTCTTTATCCCTGTAATCGCCTCCACACGTGCTGTCTGGCGACACGCAGGCTAGTAGTTCATTGTCGCTGATCTGTTCATAGTCCTTTGACTATTTACTGTCCGTGTTCGAGCTCTGCGTGCCAGTGCTCGGCGCGAATTCATTGACCACGCGAGCTATTGTCCGTGAAACACTCCATGATAGGCCCCGCGGTGTTCTGGCCCCGTAGTGAATAATCCTGAACCTCTGGTACTCTTACTGCTCAATATCTCATCAGTTCAAACCTCAGTCGAGTGGTGGATCTTTCTCGTCTTTCAAAACCGAAGAAATCGCTGGTTTCTCTACTAGAGAGACGAGAACTTGATGTGGTTTTCCTGGAGCTATGTTGGATGAGAAGATCAATCAGCAACTACTTTGCAGCTTCTGCTCTCTTTCCGGAGAAGACCAAGGGCGATACTAACTTTGGCTTCAGCGCAAAATCTATTGAAGCAGGCGGTTGTCCGATAAGTATCCCTCAACCTCTTGTTTCAAACCAAGCAAAAGCAGATCGGCCTCTGACGCTCTATTTTGTATGCCCCACCATTCAATGGCCTGTCCCAAAGACTAACTGACGATAGAAGGTCGTGTTGTCCTCGAATCAAATCCAAAACCCAGCGCACATCCTGCAACAATAGCCACCAAAGCACGCACACCTTGAAGAACAACGATCTCAAACCACCTCCCTCCCCTGCCTGTTCATACGGTATCCCAAACGACGTCTGCTTCAAAAGTCTAGCGTTTCTCGAATATTATATCCTTAGGAGTTTGCGATTGCTTCTCTGAGAGAACAGTGACTTTCGACGGTCCGGATTAGGGAAGGAACTTAGGAGAATCGATGATAGCAAGATAGGAACAGTACTCTATCCTTTGACTCGTCATCATGGACTCTGAAAACCTCACCGAACCCAAACCCAAACCCCTCAGAGCCATTTATCGGGATGCAGGAAATAGCAAAGGTTATGGTCTCTTCGCACCATGTGGTATTGCTCCCGGAGAGCGGATCTACAAAGAGAGCGGGGCTTCATTTCCTCTATTCACACCATATCGTCGTCCATGGGAGCTGCAAGAGGGCTTTGACGATTTCGGGCTATTCCAGAATTACATGCAAATCGTCTCGGGACATATGTCAATGCTACGAAAGCTCTATATGGAAAAATGGACTCAGACTCTCGATGGCTTGGATTATCCAGACGACATCGAAGAATGCTTCTCACGCAAGGTCAATAGCTGCAACTATTCCATAGACTTTATCTGTGAAGCTCTGCTTGGATGGCTTGGTGGCTGGCGCGAAGCGTGTCCAGAAATCGCAAAGCAGGCAGACGTTGAGGCGCGATATAGTGCCCGAGGTGCGCAGCGATTTCTCGAGGACAGCTTCACTTACCCTGTGTATGACGAGGTCGTCGAGGGAGCCTGCATTTTCGGTCTTTTGACAGGTCTGGCAAATCATGCTTGTTTTCCAAACGCCATTCTAAGCGTTCAAGGAAACACTGAGATCGAGACGGGTAAATTGCCACGTGTCGTCGCTCTTACTCTCACTGCCTGCAAACCGATCAAGAAGGGAGACGAGATTACCTTTTGCTACGTGTTCGGCATCCTAACCAGTGTTCCTCAACACCGCGCGCAACTTCTACACTTCTACAAATTTGACTGCCGTTGCGATTCGTGCATTAGGGAGGGAGACCATTCTTACAAGCTGGGGGCTAGAGATGCTTTGGGCCAATGGATTTTCGAGTCCAAAGTCGAAAGAAGTGACAAAGTTGAGCAGCCCTTGAAATTCCTTTGCAACAGAACACGTTGGATGATTGACGCAAGCGAAGAACTGGGCCTCTTTGACACAGAATTGCCGGCAGCTCTTCGTGAATGCAGCCGTCGGACAGAGAATGCAAATGATCTACCCCGTGCTTTTTACTTTTCATATGCAAGAACCGAAATGATGAGGACTCGAATGCCAGGTAGCTGTCATGTGGGAAAGGCTGAGCACGAATTCAAGGAGATGTGCGACCATTGGGATGCTCCAGAGGCTTTACATTTGTCTAAACGTCTCTACAATATTGATGATGGTCATGAAGACGAGGCAGGCTATCGGCATGTCATTGACAGGATCTTCATGATGTCGCAGGATCCTGCTGACGACAAGTTCACCACAACAGATGTGAATGACGAGCTGCGAGAGATTGTGCTGGGTTTCGAAGAAATCAACATACGAACCCAGGGTCACAGTCAAGAGGACACTTCCAAGCTACTCGCAATCGCAGATGTTACAGCTAAGCAAGCCAAAAATGCGAAGAACCAGAAGAGGAAATCTCGAGCTCGTCGAAGCAAACAGCGTCAGTCCGACCACGATGAGAATCTGATCGAATCCGACACCGAAAAAGAAGATGCGTCCTCTTCCGAGCCGCTTCAAGACCTCCACATTTCTCAGGAGGAAGAAAATGCCATGGATATGAGTATGAAGATCTCCGATATCTCGGATTGCAAGACTGTGATCCTTCCTGAACGTCCAGCTACTCTATGTCCTCCACCACCAAATTACGCCTATTTAACGGCCTTTATTGCGGCCTCTGCTGCTAAAGATAGAGTCTCCAAGCAGTTCTGGTGCGCTTCTCGCCGGCTGCAACAATGCATGCCCTTCGCACCTCGGGACATTGAACATTTGCTGGCAGAAAAGGACGGGTTGGGTTCGAAACATGATGGGTTTGGCCTCAAGATGCGCCGAGATTCTGCATGTGGTCGTTTGGAGGGAGATATGGAGTTTCTGGACCTGGAGAAGGTGTTTGGTGGTCGCCGCAGAGCACATTCCTTTGGGAATGATGCTGGAAAGAAGGATTTGTTGAAGGAGGCTGAGGTGTAAAGGGGTCAGGTAGCGAGATAGCAGGAAGAACGTTTTTCCAGAATTGAATAGTTCGGGCGAGTCCCTGGAATTCAAAGTCAAATAGCTGTTGAATGCCTAGGGCGTGCCCCTGAAACTTTTAAGCTCTTAAGTGTCGATTATCGTAGGCGTGCCCCTAAATCTCTTAAGCTTTCAACTATGGATTGCCATAGGCGTGCTCCTGAGAGTTTCAACCTCTTAACTCTTTGTTATCCTAGGCGTGCTCTCAGAATATAAAGCTACCAAGGAATGAGATTCTCTAGGCGTTCTCTTAGTGATGCCTAGTATTAAAAGTCTAGTGAGCGCGGTGTAGTTCGCCCAAACTAAAGGTATATTATTTGATATAGGTGAGGTCCCCTAGAATCTCATGGGCCCTCCACTGTTCGACAGCCCCTGGGTGCTCCAAGAAAGAATCCAATCTTTAGGCGCAGATAGACGGGGCGGGTTCCTCGGCGCTAAGAGCGGCAGTGCCGCTCCACCTAACCTGTCCAAGAGTTCTGCCACCATAGTGACCGCCTGCATCCAACGGCTGCGCTTTGGTGATCATCCAAACTTTTGGTCCTCCAACATTTCAGGAGACAACATGCCAGCGCTGGCATTTGGGCTAGGTGCCAAACCCAAGCAGGGACTCTCCAGACCACCACAGAAGCGAAAGGCTATCTTCGACGACGACGACGACGACGACGATGACGAAGATCGCGATGAGTCTGAATCAGCACCACCTCCTCCGCAGTTCGCAGCAAAGAAAAGTCTGAAGCCTTTGAAGCCGATCTCTGGGTTTGACGACGACGACGACGGCAACCAGGAACCGGCCCAGAAGTCGCCAACATTGTCGAAGCCGGGATTGCAAGGTTCTGGGTCCAAGACTTTGATTGGTGGAGGACCCGACAAATACACGAACTTGTCTGCCCTCCGATCTGCGAGGCTACATGATGAAGAATCGTCGAAAATCGACGCTTCGGTCTATGACTACGATGCAGCCTACGAAACATTCCATGTGCCCAAGGAGAAGAAAACCAACAGTGTCGAGGACTCGAAACCGAAATACATGGGTTCTTTGATGGATAGCGCTGACGTGCGGAAGAGGGACCAACTACGTGCCCGGGAGAAGTTACTGCAGCGCGAGAGAGAAGCAGAGGGAGACGAATTTGCAGACAAAGAGAAGTTTGTGACTGGAGCGTACAAGAAGCAACAAGAGGAGCTCAAGATCATGGAAGAGGAAGAGAAGAAGCGTGAAGCTCTGGAGGAAGAACGCAGGCGTAAGGGAGGTGGAATGACAGCCTTCCACAAACGCATGTTGGAGAAGGACGAGGAACGGATGAAATCCATCAAAGAGGCTGAAGATGCGGCCCTGAAACGGAAAGAACACGGCGAGGAAGTCATCGTAGAAGCTGAAGATGAGGAGTCAGAGAGCAAGATTGCTCAGGAACTGATTGAAAAGGGCGCCAGAATTATTGTGAACGATGATGGAGAAGTGGTCGACAAGCGTCAGTTGCTCTCTGCTGGCCTCAATTCCGCGCCAAAGAAACCCGGTACCCAACAGAGTACGGCGAACGCAAAGGCGACTTCTACTCCTCAAGAATACCGGAAATCCTCCAAAGCTCAAGACGCTCGAATGTCTCAACGTGAGCGACAGACAAGAATGATGGAGCGTCAAATCGAGGAAATTGAGGAGAGGCAGAAGCAAGCCGAGGCAGAGGAGCAACGGGCGCAACAAGAGAAGAATAAGAGCAAAATCACCGAATCTGATAAGATGGGTGCTCGGGAGCGATTCCTGCAGAGAAAGAAAGAACGGGAAGAAGAAGCTCGGAAGAAGAAGGAGGCGGGAGGTTGAGCCTCTGCAGATGTGGATGTGCTTCTTCTACCAAGGCTCTACTGGATAAACATGCCGCCATCAACGGCGACGACCTTATTGTGGACGTATCCGGTCTTCACAATCCAAACAACGGTCTCTGCTATCTCTTCTGGTTTTCCCAGCCTGCCAATGGGTATTTCTACAAGATTTCGGGGTTAGCATGATCTCGATGCTTTCTTCATCCATACGTACTAGCTGAGAGCTCCGAGTTTGAACCAGGCAGCATCTTGGTTTCCTCGATCAACGCAGGCGCGACTCCGTTGACAGTGATGCCACTTTTTCCGTACGCATTTGCCAACCAGTGTACCAGGCCATGGATGGCTGATTTGGATGACCTGTGCGAAGTGAGACGATTTCAAATACACGGGGAGAAAAACGCTGGCATACGCATAGTGTGGCCCAACGACACCACCGGTGAAGCCTGCCACACTGGAACAAAATATCACCCTACCCCAACTACTGGAAACCATTGCAGGGATACACAACTGAGTGAGTAAAAATCCAGTGCCACAATTCGTGCGCCAGGTTGCCTCGAAGTCGTCTATGGTGATCTCCGATATGTCTTTGACACCGCTTTTGCCCTGAGTCACCCCGGCATTGTTGAACAGGATGCTTGGATGACCCAGGTTTTTGACGACTTCGCCATGAAGCCGTCTTGTTTCATCGTATGATGAAAGGTTTGCCTGAAACGCGGCGGCTTTCACGCCTAACAACTGGAGTTCATTGACAAGTGTGGTAGCTGTCTCAACAGCAGAGTTGTAATGCACCGCAACACAATAACCCAGCCGTCCCAAGGCAAGTGAAGTGGCATATCCGATTCCCCCTGTTGCTCCTGTTACCAAAGCAAGAGGAGGTTTTGAAGTGCCTGCTCCGGCCATAGTGACCGGTAGAGTTGGGCTGGGCACCGAGTGGCGGTAAGTATCTCTAGACAATTATTTCTACAATCATCCAGAGCAAGTTGATCGTGAGTGCCGTTCAGGGTTTTAAATGTATGCGCAAGATTAGGGACTCTCTTCACGTCCATGCAGTCTGATGATCATAAAGCTAACTCGCGTAAGCGATGACGAGCCTTTCCAACCACGTGATTTTCATCACGTGTATGCCAAGAATGTCTCGCCGCCTTTGGTATCGCCGTTTTCAAGGTCTGGGAGTGTTGTCTTCTCCTGCTCGCTGCTCAATGTCAGTCGGGATGATCACTTCTAATTGTCCCTATTCTTGTACCTTCTCTTTCTGTACTCTTATCCGATCTTGCAAGTACAACTTCTGGCTTTGTCGCGACTAAGTCAAAGACGTGTAACGCCGCCTGCGGACGTTGCCTGTTGGCTCACTTATTTGTGACCGTCATCCCGTGGTTCTTCGCGTGCGCAGCTTCTTCAGTCTAGCCCTTCATTTCTCCCGCAAAGATGACAGAACCAGATGATGTTGAAGAAGATCTCTTCGCTGATCTGTAAGTCTCATCCCACTCCTGATCCTGAACACCACAAACTCACGCCTCCACCCCTTTCTCCGCTCACATTGTCCTAATCTGATCTCAGTTACGACGCCGATGAAGCCGCAGCTCCAAGCCATGCTCCTCCTCCTAGCGCTGCTGCACCCGCTCCCCTTGACACTGTTGCCAACAAAGCAAAAGATGAACCAGGTTATGGCGAAGAGCCAGATCTTGCCTACGATCCCTCGTCCTTTGACATGGATGTCACAGGTCAAGATGACCAGACCAATGGCAACAATCACATGAGATCAGAACCAGAGGTACCTGAGAGACCAACTCATACCGAGTCTTCCGGTCTCAACATGAAAGAGGATGGGTAAGTACAATCAGCGTTCATTCTCAGTCATTTTCCTTCTGCACCCTCCTTTTCTTTCCCCTTCATTTTGTTCGTTCAACCCACCATCGGATCGTCATTTTACGGCTTGGACGGGTCAAGGTGCACCAGGAGGTCAAACCGGAGGTCCCATTGTTTGGAAAAATAATTCACCATACGGAGTGTCGGAATTCCCAAGTCATTTCAATGCTCGAGGGGTTCGTGCCAAAGGTCTAGAGTGCCTCTCATCCTGATGCGGAACTAGCCGTCGACAGCGTATGGCGACGGTTATTCCTTGGTTGCAGTGGTGATGTTGGATTTATGGCTATCTTGCTATGATGTGGTTCCTGCACTACCATCACGCAGCGCTGGACGCACTGGGTGATGACAAGGGACTGGTGCATTGCACAGGTCGGATCAACCCTGACGGGATATGAGGCTGGAGAACCATTATATCATCGGTCAGGCGCAGTGGTCAAATCGAGTCAAACAAGTTTGAAAAGCGTCGTCCAGTGTTTGACCGTTAGCTCAATACCGGGTATCAAGGGCATCAACTAGCCGGATCGATACAAGTTTCATAAGAGACATGTCGCCCAATCGTGGCTGTATAGTTGGAGGAACTCTTGCGTCCATACACCACATACTTCTACAGTTCAGAACAGTACAGGCAGAGCAGAGTAACAATCTCAAGATCAGACAGGAGATAGATGCTATCAGTATCTGTTGCAGTCTCAAGAAAAGAAAGGCAAACCAAAACCATGTCTGCAATCCGCTAGACGACCGCATTGCATATGCATCCACAAACTGGAAGTAGTCGTCATGGTGGAATTGATATGACTGCCATCTCAAACCCTACCACGACTACCCACCAAAAAGGAATATCAAAGCCACCCAGATTACAATGCCTCGAGTCCTGGTTAATTGTTGAACGATGATGAAACGTATCGCAGTCTCTTTCCGATACGCATCTGAATGGGTGGTAGAACTTTTTCATAGGGTCCGGCCTTGGCTCTCGTCCTATTCTCAAGTCTGCTGCGGATCTGCCATACATTGTACAACTCCTATGCAATCAAATCAAGCTGCTGTGGATATTGGACGTGGTGTGGCTATCCGAGCAGGGTCTTGCATCTCATCATTCGCTCTACGTACTCTTGAGAAGTCCTGCACATTGGTCTTGGCATTTTGATATCATCGAAAATATCGATCCAAAGGCCGTCCAAATCCAAGGATCCACAGGTGAATAACTGGAGTGCATATTATACGCTGGGGCATGCGTGCCTGGCCATATGCTGGTCTTCTATTCTCCATTATTGTTGTGTTTCATGATGTCGCTATTGCTGTGTTTCGCTCTTATTTTTCTTCTGGAGTTTTGCTAATCAGACCCTCTACAGGAAAATGTTTATTGGAGGCTTGAATTGGGAAACAACCGATCGTAAGAAACTCCTCCACCACCCTTCATGGCTTAAGAAGTTTCTCTACCTCGTCCGCCGTTACTAAATATGCCTGACAGAGTCACTCCACGATTACTTTTCACAATTCGGCGAAGTTCACGAATGTACGGTCATGCGGGACAGCGCCACTGGTAGATCCCGTGGATTTGGATTTCTCACCTTCAAGGATCCCAAGACTGTGAACACTGTGATGGTTAAAGAACACTTCCTTGATGGAAAAATAGTAAGGCCCTTTATGTTTGATCCCCCAAGAGCAAGGAAAGAAAATGGTCCCCTTACCTCCCGGGCAAGGCGCAAAGGCAAAGGCAAAGGCTTACATTCTGGCTTTCAGATCGATCCCAAACGCGCGATACCCCGAGATGAACAGGAGAAGACGGCCAAGATCTTCGTTGGTGGTGTTAGCCAGGAGGCATCCGAAGAGGATTTCGAAAGCTTCTTCGCCCAATTCGGCCGGGTCGTCGACGCGACGCTAATGATGGACAAAGACACCGGTCGACCTCGCGGATTTGGATTCGTCACGTTCGATAGTGATGCGGCCGTGGAGAAATGTCTGGAATATCAACCATTGGAGATCCTTGGCAAGATGATCGAGGTGAAGCGTGCACAACCCCGAGGCAAGATGGGAGAGGAGGATGACTTCAATCGTGGTGGGCGTGGAAGAGGAAAATTCAATCGCGATGACCGATTCGGTAATGACAACAATAACAACAACAATCAAGTCGGCCAAGGCAACCAGAATCAGGGTCAGAACATGATGGGATCCAATGGAATGAGCCCCCAGATGATGGCACAATACTGGCAAAGAATGCAACAATATTTTGCCATGATGCAACAACAGATGGCCTCGAACATGATGGGAGGCATGGGTGGTATGGGTGGGATGGGTCAAATGACACCGCAGATGATGATGCAGATGCAACAAATGCAGAAAATGCAAGGAGGAAACAGCCCCAACCCTCAGGGGGGAATGGGCAACATGCAAGGCATGAATCCACAGATGATGCAGCAAATGATGCAAATGCAGCAACAGCAAAGCGGCATGAATGCAATGAACAACATGGGAGGTGGACGAGGATCCATGGGTCAGGGACAAACCAATAACCGTGGGAGCTTCTCTGCACAGGAGCAGATGGCCTTTGAGCAACAAAAGTATGAGCACCAACAGCAGACTCGCCGACAAGGCAGTTTCCCCGCCGGGCCTCGAAGTGGCGGATTTCAGAACCAGAACCCTCAATCGTGGGAAGGCATGTATGACGATGTCCCTCAACCAGACGGAGGCCATGCTGGACCGGTACGCAACAATACACCTAAACCACCCAAAGGACCGGCTGCTCAGGCAAGTGCGGCTCCCGCAAACGCGCCGACAGGTCCCAAGAATCCGGGTAAGCCCACAGGTGGTTTCCGTGGAGGCCGTGGCAGATTTCATCCATATGGTCGTTGATGCGGGTGTGATTGTCGTCTTCCCCTGTTGATGGGGGCAGCGAAAGACGCGTTTCCCCTCGAATGTTTCTTGCTCCTCCCAAGGATGGCATCGTGACTGTGCAATGGGGTTGCTATTGGCTTTTGTCCTAGCGTCAGTTTCATCAGGAACCGGGAGCGAGAAGGCTCGGCCGTGATGTCCAAGGAGGAAAACTTCTGGACGAGATCAAATAGCTACAGATGTCTCAAAATCCTGTCGCCTTGGCGTCGGGGTTCATCCTGGACTCTAGCCCACAGATCTGGATGTATGATAGTTTTAAAAGGGGTTTAGCTGGTGAACAATCTCATAATCGGCACTCCCCCAGATGCTTGATGGAAGCTGGTCAGGGGGTTAAGCTTTGTGTAACAATAACCAGATCCATTTCTCATCGTATGGTGTGTCTTGGTACGTATTTCGAGAACGACCGACTGTGCGTTTAGATTTCTCTTGAATTGTAACAAAAGTGCAATTGTGATGCGAAGCCAGGGCAGATTTGGTGACTAAAAGCTTAGATTGCACACGCTACTCCAAGGGACGAGGCTGTGTGGCGTCTGTGGTCTTCGCCTATGCCCGTCAAGCAACTATTAATAGGCGTGTTGGGTGGTCTTGGTGCCCACTAAATTTCTTAGTAGGCGGGGGTGCTGTCACTGGCTCGCTGGCAGGCAGGTGCCTGGGAATGACCCTTAGACGATCACCGCACGCACGCGACAGTCACTTGCATTAACAGTAGTTAAGTAAACCACTTAAGTGATATCCAGCACGTGGCATTGTGAACAACGTGTCTGTCTGTTTCTGTTTCTACACACCCCTTCTAAAGCCTCATGGCAATTATCTTGCAGGTACGACGGCACAGCCTGATCAAGGGGGATAAAATCCTTGGAAATCACGCATCAGTCACGATCTGGGGAACCGACGCCTATCTAACCCCCGAAACCGATTGGGAGTCGACCCCGGGAGGCGCAGTTGAGCGCCTAGAAAACTAGCCGGGGATAGGCCAATAGCGGCTTCGATAAGTCTCGCTGTTGTGGATGAATGTCTCGTAGCTCCAGCTGTCATGGCACTCAACTGGCTCTCTTCGTTAACAACTGCGCCTCAAAGCTGTCCACTGAGGAAAATTGTTCGCCAGATCCACTGATTTTCCCTCAGGCACGCCGCTACCCAGTCAGATATCTGTGGAAATCGGTATCGTGGTTGGTGGTTGAAATCCTTACCATCAGGATTCTCTTCTGAATGATCAGTTAACCCACCAGGACGCGAACGACATCGTTGTGAAGGCGCTCATTCTGGAGGATCAATAATCGCATCAATCTATGTTTTGACACGTCCCGTGTTTCAGTACGCTTGTGCTGAAGAACGTGTCTCCCGAGGGGCGACGTAATGGTTCATCGAGGTGGCATTAGCAACAGAGAAGTAACCATGCCTCAGCCACCACCACCAACAGCATCGAACACAACCATGAGCAAAAATCTTCTGCCTCTGGATCGGTGGGTCGATGCCCTGGTCGTCCCAACTCCCTCAGTTGCGGAAGAGAGCGCCACCCCTGACAGGCCTGTGGGCCATGGCCTCGATGGGTCCTGGCAGACACCGACGGGCCATTCATCGCTCTCAACTGTTGGGGAGGAGGACTGAGTTTTCCCAAAAATTGCTCCCCCTGGTCCACGCCACAAGCCCACCTATCTTTACCCTGGCCAGGTCACTAACCCACCTTCCGAAGGCTTCGATGGACCTTTCAGGTGTTGCCATTGCGTATGTCTTGAAACGGCGTCTGCAAGCGGCATGCTTGGCTCCTAAAAGTCAACAGTGCAGTGCCATCCGTCATGAAGTCTTTCGTATTACTGCCTGCAACGACGCTCAGCTGAAAAGCAACCGTCTTTCGTTTTCGTTGCATATGAAACTCTTCCCATCTACTGTCGTTACTCATCCTACACTCACTTCTTACGCTCGCTCTTAATCTTCATCCTTTTTGCTCAATCCCCGTCACTCGTTCTTCTCCTTCTCCCTTCTCCTTCCATCCCATCGAATCCGTCAGGACCTTTCTGCCGATCACAATTTCCCTTCCATCCACGCCAGCGGCTGCCCTAGTAGGTGCCTCGTCAACATATCAATAAAAATTCAATTGTCCTTGCTGAAAGTCGACCTCAAGATCTCGATTGTGGTCAACGCAACAGAGTCTTCAACATGTGGGGGAGGTCAGCAGTGGCTCTTGCCTCGTTGGCTCTCCTGCCTTCGGTTCTCGGAGCGGATATATTGAAAACAGATGGATTCACAAACTGTGCAAATGGAACTGGGACCATCAAAGTAAACAATGTCGACATCTCGTTCGACCGGGACACCAACAAAGTCAACTTTGACGTCTCTGGAGAAAGCACCATCGAACAAGAAGTTATGGCAGAGCTCGTCGTCAGCGCATATGGAGTCGAGGTCTACCGGGACTCGTTCGACCCTTGTGCTGAGGATACCAAAATCGATGAATTATGCCCTGGTGAGTGTTGTAGACTTCAGGAAAGCGGAACAGTACTGACCATATCTTTAGTCCCCGCCCGGGCCTTTAGCGCAAAGGGCTCACAAGAAATTCCTTCCGAATATGTCGACAAAATTCCTTCCATTGCATACTCGATTCCCGATCTCGAGGGCAGTGCTCAATTGTTCCTGAAAGGAAAAGACGGGTCTGAAATCGCTTGTATCCAAGCCGGGGTGAACAATGGCAAAACCGTTGAGGTTCCTGCTGTGTCCTATGTTGCGGCAGCGATTGCCGCTGCCGCTGCCGCTGCTTCTTTGATCGGAGCTGCGGCCAGTGGTGCCCACCCCGGCTCATCCACATCCAGCCCTGGATTTTCGGAAGTGATCTTTTGGTTCCAAGGCATGGCCATGAACGGCATGCACTCGGTTCCTTATCCGACTGTCTATCGCAGTTTCACCAAGAACTTCGCATTCAGCACAGGCCTGATCTCATGGGCTGGCTTGCAAAAATCGATCGATAGCTTCAGAGCAAAGACTGGCGGCGATCTCACGGATTCCAGTTATGAGTTTTTGAAGAACGCGACTCTTGTCTACCCTGACAATTCGACATCTTCTGCCTCGTCTACATTCAAGAAGCGGGCCTTGCTATTCATGCGTCAAATTGACATCTCCAACGATACCAGCAGCTCGACCGGTGGGAATGAAAAGCAGCAACACTTTGTTGAGGGTATTCAGGGTTACGTTGAACAACTCACCATTCCTGATGCTAATACCTTCATGACGGTGCTTCTTGTCTTCGCCATCGTTCTCGCGGCTATCATTGTTGGAATCCTATTGTTCAAAGTCATTCTCGAAGCATGGGCACTGTTTGGAAAGTTCCCCAAGTCCTTGACCACATTCCGAAAGGAGTATTGGCGCGTCATTGCACAGACAATCGTCGCGCTGATTCTCCTGCTTTATGGTGTCTGGACGCTGTATTGCATTTTCCAGTTCACCCATGGCGACTCGTGGGCGGCAAAACTGCTCGCGGGTGTGACTCTAGGCGTATTCACGCTCATCCTAGTTTTCTATACCTGGAAAATCTGGAGTGTCGTGAATAAGCTCAAGAAGATGGAAGGCAACTCCCACTCCCTCTACGAAAACAAGGAGATGTGGAAAAAATACAAGACGTTCTACGAGAACTACAAGCGTGGATATTGGTGGTTGTTCATTCCAGCCATCGTCTACATGTTCGCCAAAGGATGTGTCTTGGCTGCAGGCGACGGTCACGGAATGGTTCAAACGATCGGTCAACTATCAATCGAAGTCATTATGCTTGGTCTCCTGCTCTGGACTCGTCCTTATGAGCGCAAGTCGGGCAACTGGATCAACATCATCATTCAAGTGGTGCGAGTCTTGTCGGTTGTGTGCATTTTGGTCTTCGTGCAGGAACTAGGCGTCGCTCAGACCACAAAGACCATCACCGGTGTCGTCCTGATCGCCGTCCAGTCTGGTCTCACAGCAATCCTGTTCTTGCTCATCCTCATCAACAGCATCATCACATGCTTCAAGCAGAACCCGCATCGCAAGCGTCGCAAGGCTGCGGAGAAGAATCTATCCCGAGATCTGGAGGGAGACGCCTTCCTTATGCAACCAAACCCCTACAGTGCCACTCCTCCAAGCCACAGCCGCGAGGTGTCCAGAGACTCGCCAGGTTACGAGCCAATGCGCGACCGTTTTGGCAACCAATTTGACGACAGCCAAGAAGCCCTCGTCAAAGGTGCTGGACCCATGGGTACATCGCGCTATCAGAGCCTGGGTCAGGCCAAGAGTGGTCACTCCATCAGCCCTCCACCCTTTTCCAGGGAGCCGAGACTGCCTGATCTTGGATATGAGCAGTATCGACACCGATAGTCGACACTGAAATCTGTCCAATAAGTGGTGTATGACCGCTATATATTTGATTGTACTTGAACAAAAGTGGCGGATGCATTTGTTTTCTTTTTCCCAACTTTTTCTGCATAGCGATCTAGTGCTCGATCTCCATCATGGCGTGGACCAGATCTGGAGACGACGAAATGACCAAATTTGATGACCGGTTGGAAATAGAAATGTACTATGTACTACTTAATAATTTATATGTTGATACTTATATCTTACCTTCCCTAAAGTCGAAACGAGTACGCATTGTGCAGGTAGTGCAATTTTCACCCGTTCCTCGAGTATGGAGCTGGCAGCGAGGCTGCCATTGTAGGGGCTGACATCAGACCTCGGCAAGTCGAGGCTAGGGGAAAGGCAAACAACCGACACTGAGGGGTTGTTCCGCGGTTGATAGAGAAACTCCAGCCTCTCGAATGCGCTTACTTCAACACTCCAAGACCAACAGAAGTAAGAATTCCGAGGAGAGTGGCACTCGGATATGATAAGTACTTGAAACAGTCAATTTCAACCCAGGAAGTACCATCTGGATAAACGTCAAAGCCGTACTTGGAGAAACATCAACATGTCCACCAAAAGCAGTCCGATCCCGTTTGCAGAGCCCAGCTACCTCCGCGGCCTGCCATCGCCATACTTTCAGAAAACACACCTCGACTTCCAACAGCGATGCCGCGCCTTCTTCAACGAGCATTTCCTGCCGTACGTCCTCGAGTGGGAGACGGCAGGCACGGTCCCGGAACACGTCTGGACGCTCTTCAACAAGCACAACATGCTCCTGCCCAATCTCAAGTCGCCCTTACCGGTCAAATGGTTGAGGAGACTCGGACTGAACGACATCCTCGGCGTCCCCGTCGAGGAGTGGGACTACCTGCACACGGCGATCTGGGTGGACGAGCGGGCACGCGCAGGTATCTCGGGCCCCAGCGCGAGTTTGACGCCCGGGTTCGCGTATGCGATCCCCCCGATTCTGAATTTCGGGTCTGAGGCGCTGAAGGAGAAATTTTTGCCCTTGCTTCTGCCGGGCCATGCGCGCGCGTGTATTGCGATCACGGAACCGCAGGCCGGTTCGGACGTGGCGAATATTCAGACGACGGCGGTGAAGTCGAAGGATGGTAAGTACTACGTGATTAATGGGGAGAAGAAGTGGATTACGAACGGCATATGGTCGGATTATGCTACGATGGTGGTGAGGACCGGTGGGCCTGGACCAACGGGCATCAGTCTTGTGGTGGTGCCGTTAAAAAACCAGCCCGGGGTGACGATGCGCCGGTTGCAGGTCAGTGGGCAGCAGGCGGGAGGTACCACTTATATCGAGTTGGATGATGTCAAGGTACCCGTGGAGAATCTAGTGGGCAAGGAGGGTCAAGGTATGAAGTATACCATGACCAATTTCAACCACGAGCGTTTCTTGATATCCTGTGGCGTCACGCGACAAGCTCGCGTGGCACTGTCGACGGCAGTGGAGTATGCAATGAAGAGAGAAGCGTTCGGTAAGACGCTGATGGACCAGCCTGTCGTGCGCCATCGGATCGCGAAAGCAGCCGCGGATCTGGAGACCTTGCAGTCCTGGATATTTGAGTTCGTGTACCAGCTAAATCACCTGTCGAAAGAACAGGCGGATGAGAAACTCGGAGGACTCACCTCGCTGCTGAAAGCAAAGGCAGGAATGGTGTTCAACGACTGTGCTCAAACGGCCGTCTTGATCTTTGGCGGGAATGGGTATACGAGAACTGGCCAGGGCGAACTGGTCGAGAAACTGTATCGAGATGTCATGGGTGCTAGGATCCCTGGAGGAAGTGAGGATGTTTTGCTGGATCTGGCGGTTCGTCTGTTGGTTAAGGACTTCAAGAAGCAAGCGAGAGTGGCGGACACCAAGTTGTGAGGTCGGGGATGTAAGATAAAACACGTGGATTTAGAGTCGACTGAGGAGATTACCAGTCTCCATCGTCAAGAGATTTCCATGACAGGACAGTGCAGTTGCCAGGTGTGAAAAGCTCGTCATCGCTGCAAGGCGCATGTTGCTGGGGTTTACATCTTTCACTCGCAATTGTTATGGGCAATACTGACTGTGTGGGAAAATAAACCACTCCTACAAGATACTTCCTAGACAGGCAGCAACTTTGACCCGTGAGGCTTTAATTCCGGGGGCACTTTGGCTCGAGTGACTGACGCAAGAGTACCACCTGCCCAAGTTAACATATACAAAGTTTCCACTTTCAAGAATTGCCAGCAGAGATGTCGCTCAGGATGAACGATCAAACGCGAGTTTGGGATCTAGGTAGCTTAGCAAAGGGTCTGATGCGGCCGACAATGCCGCTGGTTGTCTTGACTTAACACTAGTGGGTCGGCACTAATTCCGTTGTGTGACTGTCGGGAAAAGTATACAGGGAACGGTGATAAACCGGTCATGATTATTCACTTGCGGTTCCCCTATTCGTGCTTGCGGGAGATTCCTTGGGAAGCTTGTTACAAACTTCCGTCTTACTAAATCATCCCCACCCATTCTGTAGGACTGACGACATGTCGTAGCCAGGGTTTCTCAGTACTCTCACTGCTCGCTGGATAAAGCCTTGGGCGAGAAGAATATTTAAGAGGGGATTTCGCCGCAAGTTGGACTGTTTGAACCAGCAGCCTGGATCTCGACCGAGTTCAATATCAGACGTTCTCGACCTGAACCAAGAATAGCCATTCAGCACAGGAAAATTCCTACACTCTCATCATTAATCATTCATCGAGAACCAAGATGGCAGCCACTAAACCTCTCGTCCTTCTGACTGGAGCAACCGGTTTCGTTGGTGCACATGTCCTCGATCAGCTGCTAGGTCTGGCTAAGTATCGGGTCCTCGCACCAGTGCGGTCTACCAACAAGGCCAAGTATTTCCTCGACAAGTACGCCAAAGAGATCTCAGCAGGAACTCTCACCTTCGTTACAAACTCCGATCTATCTGCTCCACATGCATTGGACTCCACGCTCAAGGACAACGAGATCTCGTACATCATCCACCTCGCCTCGCCCTACTTCACGACCAGTTCAAACCCGATCGAAGAACTCGTCAAACCGGCGGTCAACGCCACCCGCAACGTCTTGCTGAGTGCGCTGACTTATGGTGAGTCGGATCTAAAACGACTGACCGTGCTCTCGTCTTTCGCCTCGGTCGTTGACCTCTCCAAAAACCCGAGAGCGGGTTACAAGTACCACTCTGATGAATGGGACCCCATCACAGAGGAACAGGCCGCTGAGAATGGAGTCCTGGGCTATCACGCAAGCAAAACTTTCGCCGAGCGTGAAGCTTGGAAGCTGCACGACTCGGGTATCGACGCCACCAATCCCCAAAAAGCCAAGTTCGCCTTGACGACCTTGTGCCCGCCCATGATTTATGGCCCGCCCATTCACTACTCGGCGGAGAGTGTGCCTAAGGACGGCATCTCTGGCTTGAACACGAGCACCGCGCGACTGATCAATGGGATCCTTGGCAAAGATCCGCTTTTTGCTCCCAAGGTGGCCACCCCCGGCCTCCCTGCCTGGATCGACGTCAGGGATATTGCCAAAGCGCTGGTCTCAACTCTTGAGTTGGCGGATGACGATAATGAACGAGTCATTTTGAGTGGCGGCGTGGCATATTACGAAGATGGTCTGAAGGGCTTGCGGGCTAGAGGTGTTCAAGGCTTGGGCGAGACTGGGGCGTTGGTGAACCCAGACAATCACTTTTCTCTCGACAGAAGTAAGCAGGAAGATGTGCTTGGATTGAAGGAGACGATACCATTTCAGAAGACCGTGGAAGATACTTATGATGCTGTGAAGGCATTGGGCTTATTATAAAAGACGCCTCGTAGCTGGATATACTTTGGTGATGAACAATATTGATTTGGCCGCATACATAATTTTGAGTCCCAGCTGCAACCGTGAGTGAGCACTGACCAAACTCACTAGGCCCGCTTACCCCTTTTGTTTGAGCTGAATATACTGAGCCAACATCTGCTTCACCGTCTCCTCGAAACTGGTAAACTTCCAACCAAACGCCTTCTCCGTGCTCATCGCATCAACCCGCCATTTGATCGTCTGGAGCGACCCCTGGAGAGGAAGCATGCCACTGGCGACTTCTGCCGGAAAAAATTTCTCGGCCGCCTGTCTGACATCTTGATCCCATTGCACACCTTCTGGCGTGTCCGACGAAAGAATATACTCCGTATTCCCGGGAATGAGGTCCGCGTTGATGGCGTCGACATGTGCTCGTGCGACGTCACCAACGTGCACCGGTACTCCAACATATGGGAAAGCGGAGTTCAGATCACTCGTCAAGGCAGGAGCCAGAACCGCAGCACGAGCTCCTGAAAGCAGTTCGGCAGCTTCTCCATCTGCTTGGATGCGATCGTCCGGTCCAATGACGACCGATGGCAGGAGGTTGACGTAGTCGAAGTGCGGGTTCTTCGCAGCGAACTCTTGCGTCGTAATGCGGGCGAGTGCTTTTGAGGCCCAGTATGCGTCCATCGCGTTGCTGTAGGGCGTTGTGGGATTGCTGTTGATATCCTTTGCTGTGGTCCTTGTTAGATAGACTGCCGCCCTTCAACATCGGGCACCAAACCAGTGTAGAGTGTATTTGAGTCGGGGCTGAAGTTCCATTCGAATGGAATCAAGGTGACACCTGGTAGAATAAGCTTAAAGGGATGCTAAACACCTACGGATCGATCATACATGATGACGTTATCACTACCCTTCGTACTGTAGAGACCTTTTGGGCGCTTTCGAGGATGGTGCTGACCATAGCAACGGCAGGTTCCACAATCGTCCGCTCAAAATTGCTTTCCTGGCGGAGGATTGCACACTATCAGTCCTCACTCGCGCTCCAATGCCGACTCTAAGATTCACTCACTGCCTCAGCTAGAGGTGACGCCAAGTGGATGATCGCCGTGATTCCTTCCAGTGCTTTTCCAAAGACTTCTTTATTGGTGAAGTCCGGAACGATGGCAAGCTCGAGCTGTCCATCGGCGAGACCCTTGACCACAAGCTGACTTCGTTTCCGCAAGTCTTGAATATTGCTTTTCTTGCGGACTACACCCTTTACCTTGTAGCCTGTTTCCAGCGCGATACGAAGTGTTTTGAAACCGATGTACCCGCTGATGCCTGTTATCTGGCCTTTGAATTAACTGCGCAGATCATGAGTCTTCGGTTGAACAACTCACAAGCAGATATTCAGCCTTGACATCATGCCCTCCAGAAGCCATCTTGTTCCCACGATTCTAGCTCAGGCCGGAACTTATCTGTGCTAACAGCATACCGGACATTCTGTGGCAGGAAGACCGGATACTTATAGCATGGAATCTTGTGTCGGATTTACCAGAGACAGCAGTCAGCATGAACTATTGAGAATGGGATGCGTGACTGAGTCAAGGCTACACCTCTAGCGCTGCGGCCAAAGGTGGATCGGTACCCGGAAGTCCGAGTTGACGCGCAAAATGTGGTGTCCATTTGCTATTGAACATCCACTTGAGGAAAAAGCGTGCCTTGGGCTGCACTGGATTTCTATAATTGTCAGTAGTCTACGCCTGAATCTGTGGTAGTCAGCACTTCAAGATCTAGCTAAATCGAAAGTAGCCAGATATCGCGGTTTACATACGCATGCCGATCTATAGGAATTTGGCATGACGGCCCAGCATCTTTGGGTCGATGACGGAATTTTCTGCTGTCGCCTTTTAGTTAGCACACCACAACGCGTGGAAGGACGGACTGGATTTCGTAGCTTGTACTGTGAGACGTTAGGGTGGAATGTTGTTGAAATCGAACAATATCTATCTTGTCAACATATCATTATCGATGAATATGTCAGGGGTCAGAACTTGTACAGCACAAATCCGGTTGGCAGCACTTCATAATGTTGACATTTAGTATTATGCCACGGTATCAGCAAGATTGGAAGGTGGGTTACGGTGGCAATCTCATCTTAAGTAGATGAGTGGTGGCGAGAGTACGTAGGTAGAGCTTTCTTACAAAAGTATACTTCCTCTCCTCGCTTTTTCAGATATTATATTTCCTTGGCTCACTTTCTTATCGATTATGTGTTTTACACCTCTCAGTGTTCTGTAAACCTCTATTTACATCCCTCTTCTCAGAGTAGAGACAGTCGATACTATCAGGAACTAGGTTTTTTTCTCTGCTAATATATCTCAGGAGGGATATTCGTCGAGACACCTAGGGAGGATACGTGCTCTTTCGAACAACCCTTTCTGCTACCAGTCGTCCTCAACGGGGCATCCCGGCGCATCCGCGTCGTCGGAAGCTGTCGTCCGTTTCAGCCGGTAGCCAGCCGAACTGCGCTTAATCTCAGCCTTACTTCGCGGTGGGTAGATCGCCCTAAGCGTCCAAGGTGGGGGGCTTCCCCAGGCCAAGACATCTTTGCTGCTTTTAAGCATTCTGGTGGGAAATGATACGTTGTTCGAACCGTCCTTCCATCAAACCTCATCAATCCCAAGCTACCAACCTGACGTTACTAAATTGACCACTTCATCTCTTCTGATCTCACTCAATCCTTTCCGACCGAAGGCTTCTTAAATCCTAAGGCTGTCATTGAGTTGAGACCACGGCTGAGACATGCCTAGCTGAGCAATGGGCCGGCTCCGAGTTGCGTGCCTCAAGTGTGCGCTGATCAAGACTTCTTGTGATAAACAGCATCCGTGCGCACGCTGTCACCGTAAAGTGGTCACTGGGTAATGTGTATCACCACACCGCTGACTCGTTGATAGGCCTTTCTTTAACGTGTGAATATCCAGCGGGTCGAGGCTCGATATCCAGCGAGAAACCTAGTGCTCCCGAAGACAAATATGGACGACGACGGGTTGGCCATACCAGATCCAAGGCAGGCTGTGCCACATGTCTGCGAAGGTCACTGTCTCTATAGACGTTCAACCTAATTATGCTAACCGCTCGGCAGAAGGAAGAAGTGTGGGGAAGAGTCGCCGATTTGCGGTGAATGTGCACGATTAAATCTCCCGTGCATTCCAAGGAATTCTGCGAAGGCCACTTCAGATGTGCCAGAAGCGTCCAACGAAAAATCTCTACCACCAGCTGCCACGCATGAAAGTCCGGAGGTGATCAAAGCTGATACCACCCCAAATTCGACCGACGACGCGGCCTCATCGGGCCGTACGGATGATCAAGTCAGCCTTGAGTTCACGGACTGGGTGGCGCTCATTGACGGCGAAGCGTCCTCAGGCCTGCGGGAGAGGGCTCACCTAGGCCATAGCAGCGCCTTGAAAGTTTTACCCGAAGCTCGAGCAAGTGATGAGGATCCCGCACCCGTAGGTACCGTACCTCCCGTCACCCTTGATTATTTCTCAGATTTCACAACCGAGGCGCTCAAAGACTGGACCGTTGGCGAGAAGCACCTACTCAACCACTATTTGCAGGTCGTGTCGAGGGCTTTGGTTGTGGTTCCAGATGATGTCAACCCCTTCTTACGGGTGTTGATCCCCATGGCATTTGAATCTACGACCGTTCGCCATGCCTTGATAGCCTTGTCGGCTTGTCATCTCTACAAGGTTTACCCTGACTTCCAGAGGAATCTCTTGTTTCACCGCAGCATGACTTTGCAGGGGCTCAAATCTGACCTCGATGATCCGGGTAGTGGGCCGTACTCTTTGGCAGCTACTCTTTTGTTGTGCTTGTTGGAGGTGTGTAGAAGCTGGCTTAGCGTCAGCTCGTAACCTTCACCAATAACTGACGAATAGTACAGATTTGTGACGGAACCTCCAGAAACTGGATTCTACACCTACACGGGGCGAAAGCCCTTCTCGCAAACTCTCCTAACCATGACCCCGATGTTCGATCAGAATTCTTCACAGACCTATACGACTATTTATGCTGTATCACCGCGATCACGAGTCATCGGGTGCCTGTGCGACGGAGCCCTCGGTGCATATCCAGGGAATCCGCCCATGGCAAACGAGGCAGGACATCCATTCACCCGCTTTACGGTGTAGGAGAAGACATATACAGGTTAATCACACAGATCAATGAGTGGATAAGAGGGTATGTAGCTCTAGGCTCGGCCGCCGCAATGGATGAGTCTCTCAAACACAATGCACTGGAACTCGACCAGCGTCTTCGGCGGTGGACCCTAAACGACGACTGCATCTTTGACAAGGAGCTAAGGGAGTTGTCTGCAGCTGCGGATGCACTCCGTTGGGCTGCCGTCATGCGGCTATCGCAAGCTACTCGGCGCAACCCGGTACCAGAAGCCCCCACCACTCTGGAGGTTGACAAGATCCTCTCGGCGATGTCCCAGATAAGGCCAGGCTCGCACGTAGAGACACAACTTGTCTTTCCATTGTTCATGGCGGGAGCTAGCAGCCCTGACAAGGCATCTCGGTTGACTGTCGAGTATAGACTGAACGTCATTGAGTGTACCAAAGGCTTTGGCAATATCGTATGTGCTCACAAGCTACTCGATGAAGTGTGGGCTCGCGCCAATGAAAGACAGGCAGTTCATTGGGAGGTTGTGATGCACCAGCAATTTCCCGACCTCGTGCTACTCTAGGGTTCCGGCATCTCCAGGCCGACTGGTGTAGCTGTGTGTGTTCCACAAGGGCTCGGAGTTGGTCTGCGGCAGTGACTTTGACGCTCGGTTTTGCCACTCCGTTGTAGACGACGGGAAATAAAATCTAGGCCGACGACCGACTTCGGAGTGGAGAAGGCCAAATACGACCCCTCATATAAAAGGTTCAACGGAAGAAACGCTGCGTTCCCCTTTCATTACATTCAGCAATGTATCACTTTGTTAGCAACACCAATTCGTAGTCTGTCGCCTATGGCTCCTATCGCACTTTCACCACACTCCTCCCCAGTACTGAAGCCAAGCCATCATCAACGGATCTTGAAGTATGTAGGTACTTTAACTAGTAATGTCCTCAACGCTGACCAGGCGACAGTGGAAAGTACCATGATTGGAGAGATGATTTGCAGAAGAATGGCTACGTGGTGGTGAAAGGGGCCATTCCTTGCGACCGAGCCACAGAATTGCAGAAGCGAGCATATGCATGGTTGAAGTCATTTGGGACAGGGTTAGACTTCGATGACCCGACGACGTGGACGACGCAAAATCTGCCCGTTCAAAGCAAAATCAACACCTTTCAGTCGTACGCAGTCGCTCATGAGAAATTCATGTGGGACGCGAGGATGGAGCCTGGTGTTCTTGCAGCCTTCTCGCAGCTCTGGGGTACCGAGGAACTGCTCGCCAGCTTTGACAGTTTAAATATCACTTTCCCCAACAGAACCGATGTACCCAGAAAGCCGGCCTGGGAGCACATCGACCAAAGTCCCTTACGGCGAGGCCTACATTGTGTGCAAGGCATAATCAACCTCTCGCCGTCCGGGCCTGAGGACGGTGGCTTGGTGGTTTACCCAAGATCTCATACCCTCAACGAAGAATTTTTCGATAGCCAGACCGATCACTCAACTTGGGATCCCTTGGACAGGTACATGTATGACAGGGAACAACTCTCATGGTTCAAAGCACGAGGGATCGAACCCTATAAAGTCTGTGCCGATGTCGGTGACCTGATCCTCTGGGACAGCCGTACGGTTCACTACGGCGCAGAACCGACAGCAAAGAGTGACCGAATCCGGACGGTCATCTACGCAGCCTACACACCTGCTAGATTTGCAAGCGAAGAACAAATACACCTGAAAGCCGAGGTGTTCTCCAATTATGGAGGCACCACCCATTGGCCCCACGACAATATCGTGGCCAGAGAGACACGGACCTTCCTTCCTGACGGTACAAGAGACCCGCGCGATCGAGAGTCGCCTCTGGAACTGCCTGAAATGAGCGACAAACTTCTCAAGCTTGCGGGGGTGAAGCGTTACTAGTCATGTTTGTACGATCAGAATTGGGATTCTGCATCTTCTGTCCTTTCATGCCTCAATTCCGAGTCAAGTGTACACTCGATCCATTTTCAGCGAACTTTACTCAGCATCACATTTCAAACACCGGGCGTTCATTTTTGGGGATATTGGTCAACCGCGATGATTTCGACCTTGCCACGGCGTCTCCAGGGGGTATCATCTGCACCTAAGCGAATATGCATTGAAGTTGTAATCTTGAGGAAAGTCCTCCTTATTGAATATCGTTATCACAAGCCAGATGATTCGTGGGCTTTGTACACGACGGAAATCCTGACAGGGTTCTCGCTTTGAAGTCAAATAAGAAAAGAAGAGTATTTTGCTTGCCCCTTTCCTTGATTTTTCCAAACTTTGCAGGGCTAAGCATCAACCTCTCAGCGGGGAAAATGGCATGCACCAAAATTATACTGAGCTAAGCTAAATGTCGCCTGGCTGCCGCGTCTCTAACTAGAATTGGAATAATGTACTCTTGGTGACCCCGCGAAGTTACGAGAAATTGGACGGAAGTTTGGCAGAATACCACATCCCCCGGCCATGACAACACAACTTTGCCGTTGCCTCAGCCAGCTGTGCGTCCTCCATGGTGTCCTCGAGCCAATGATTGAAATGGCCATATATTGATGCAGCTGTCGCTGTCCATATTGGGATATGATCAATCTCACACCATGGCTTATTGGCCATCGACAGATCATTTATCTAAGCGAGCCTTATTTGAAGGACAGCAGTCAAGAGACAGAAAAGCCCAGCGCTGGGCGTATCGCTGGTTGAAAGTCACTCCATCATGCTCAGCAGTTTAAGAAAAGCTTCAACTTGATATCTGACAATTGATCCATCATCATCATCAAGGCCCGAAGCATCGCTGCCTAAGAAAGGGCTCATCTTCCACCCGTCATCATTGATACAATCTTCGATCATGCGATTTCGGCCATCCATCAGAAAACGCGTCGATAGCGCTCAACCTCCCTCAACTCTGCTGAACGTGACCCGCAGGGAACCATGGTACCGGGATCAAGGACTGCGTAGAATGAGCTTTCCGCTTCTCGTCCTGTACTGCGTCAACTTGTGTACCGGCTTCGACGCGACTTTGACGGCAAATTTGCAGAGCTTTCCAAAATGGCGAGCAGGTCGGTCACTTTCATGTCCTCACAAACTTTCTAAGGCTGACGAGAACGATTCTGTGCAGACATGGGAACTCCAACTCCGTCACAACTCGGCTTGATCACCGCAATCTACTTCATAGGGGTTTTCTGTGGTGGAGTTCCGGCGTCCATTGTTACGGACAGATTGTAAGACTTCAAGCTCCTCACCCTTGCCACACAGGTTTTCTGACCCGGGTTGCCGCTGACAATCTACCCCAACTTTAGTGGACGAAAATGGGGAGTGACGGTAGGCCAAATTCTCACCGTTGCCGGTGCCTCATTTCAGGCTGCCTCGCGAGGTCGAGCACAGTATATGGGGGCACGTTTTGTCCTCGGCTTTGGCATTGCGTTCAATATGTGTGCCGCAGCGACGTTATTGAGCGAACTCGCCATTCCCCAGTTCAGAGGAACTCTGGTATCGTTGGTACGTTCTGATGACTCGCCTCCCACGCGAAAGATGTCCCAGCCATCTGCAGAAAATAACTCACCATTCCCAGTTCAACCCATTCTGGTATGTCGGTTCGATTATAGCCGCATGGACCTGCTTCGGTACTAGTCACATGCCAAAAACAGATGCATGGGGATGGCGAACCCCCTCCTTGCTACAGGCGTTGTGTCCAACTTTCGTGCTCTGCTTGATCTACTGGGTGCCAGAGAGTCCCAGGTGGCTTGTTTCAAGAGGGCGCAACGCGGAAGCTGTTGCCATTATTGCAAAGTACCACGGCACCGGCAACGATGATGACCCAACCACGTGCGCTGAAATCTCCGAGATTGAGTTGGCCCTCCAACAGGCTCGCGAAGGCATTCGGTGGAGCGCCCTTGTCACCAAGAAGGCCAATCGTAACCGAATCTCCGTGGTGATCGTGATGGTTCTGATGTGTCTCTGGTGTGGTCAGAACATCATTACTTACTACTTTTCACCCATCCTCAATTCGATCGGTATCACAGGATCTACAAAGCAGTACGTATATCTCTACCCCCATTACTATTAATATCGGGTTCTTATTCACTTTCCCTTTGAGACAATTCGAAGCATCACTTACACACCCATCTCTACAGGACCGGGATCAACGGCGGCATCAACATCGTAAACCTCGTATCATCCATCCTTGGTGCATTCCTCGCGGATCGAGTGGGACGGCGAAAGCTCTGGATGACATCATTCGCAGGCATGATCGTGGTCGGTGTGCCCTTCACAGTCCTCTCGGCCGTGTACGTGCAGACCCGCAAGACCGGCGCGGGCTACGGCGTGGTGGTGTGCCTGTTCCTTTACGACGTGGCATACAACATCGCCTGCAACCCCTTGCTCTACTCGTACGCCACCGAGATCATGCCGTTCTTCATGCGCGCGCGCGGCCTCGCCGTCAAGACTCTCGTTGGTCAGATCGCCCTCATCATCAACATGTACGTCAACCCGATCGCCCTCGCCGCCATTGGGTACCACTACTACATCTTCTTCATCGGCCTGAACTGCTTCTGGCTGATCCTGATCTTCTTCTTTTTCCCGGAGACTAAAGGCTATTCGCTCGAGCAACTCGCCGTTTTGTTCGACGACGGCGTCGACACCGGCCGCGGTGGACCGGACGGGCAGGGAGCGACAGACAGGTCCATCGTCGCCGCGGTAGATGACAAGAGCCAATCGATCGTGGAGGTGCAGTCGAGCGAGAGTCAGACGTCCTCTGAGATGGATGAAAAACATCTCAATTAGCTCGACCAATAAGCTGAAATCATCCCGTGGTTGGACTGACGGGTGTGTGCTTGTGACCGACGAACTGCAGCGCTGCCATTTTCCGCCTGACTGAGTGGGGGGCACGCAAGGGGCCTGGATGTTTGACAGGTCAGGACAATACGATACTGCAGCAAAGACACGAGCTTGTGTCACCACGCCACGCCCAAATGGCAACCCAACTAGACCGCTGTTCTCGAGGGATGGAACATGCTCCGACATCGATATTTGTCAATGTCCATGCTTGGTACTTGGGTTTGTGTCATGGAGCAGAGGCATACAAGCCTTCTCAAAAGATTCTTATTTGTGCTAACTGTTATACAACTGGGGATATGATACATTGGAGCCTGATATAGTACTGGAAGTCTGTGTCTGTGATATGCTTTCCCCAACCGTCGCCCGATGCTGTGGGCCCACCATATTCCTTCTGATGGCGGCGAGGTGACACGGCAGCTCACTGGCACAAGTGAGTGCATATCATGAAGTACATTTGCGTCTGGTGCTAAGCACTGAATAGCTATTGCTGGAAGGTGGTTTTTTGACCAGTGGCAACTACAACTTCGACATCGTGGCTCTGTCAATTGACGACCGCATGTGGTTCTTCGGATGGGTAGGCTCGGTGTCAGTGGTCTGGAATTGTGCTCCCACGCCAGCTACGGCTAATCAGCATTTGACGCTTTTATCAAGTATGGAGACGACACACCTAAAATGGGATGGGCCTCTAACAAGACGACGCTACCCACGTATGTTGGCCCATACGAGGCCAAATCAATGTCTCCCAGGTCAAGGACTGTTTCCACATCGGCCATGGCTTTGAGTGCTTCCTTACTGACGGAGAAAAGGTTTGCCATGTGAATAATTGAGGAATGAGAGTGTGAACCTTCGTTGAAATTTAGTGAAGAGCGCAAATAAAGGCAAGGATTATGAATTCTGATGATAGAATGATCAAGCTGTCAATGAGACACGTTCTGGGTAGAGTATCGGTATCAGAAGAGGATGAGAGGTGCAGAGCGACCAGATATCATGGATATATACGTCCTTGCCGGGAGAGAATGCTCTCTCTGGTGGATCTTGTACTTTCGGAAAAGTACTTGGTATTCCAGGGCAACAGGACAATGTGCTAAGCTTAAAAATCATGGCCGAACACAAGATGATTGGTCAACGAGCAGAGGGGAACTGTCGTGGTGATACGGTCAGATTCCCTTGAAAGGTCCATCGACCTGTGCGACCATTGACGAGGAACGGTTGGTGCCAATATTCCTATGGAGATCAAGCCCTACCATCAAGTTGGTGGAGGAGCCAGTGCTATGCTTGGAGGCGGATACCCTTAGTCCCAAGTCCATAATCTCGGGCAGGATATTGAAAGTGCAGATTAACATGACTGTCGTACTTTCCTCTGGAAACACGGTGGGAGTGGAGAATTCCTCGTCGTCAACGATGAGTTGCACCACTCCTGACAGAGTTGAATGCCATGCCCAGGATGCGAAACTGAGCATGCATACCCCTGACTGAGACTTAGGCTCGCTCCATCCGCTGGATCCTGGACGACAAGGGGTAGGGAAGGCGGTGCTGCTTTCTAGAAGGTGAATACGGAGAAAATGAATTTGCTTTTTCTTGGGCGCTGGGGGCTAACGTAGTAAGCCTGTCACACCCAAAAATCACAGGCCACGCGCCCGACCATCATTGTTGAGTCGATCGTGGCCCTTCTGTTCAGACTCTTGGTGAAAATTATCGGCTGACCGCTGTTTTGAAAATCTTCTTCATCTGTTCGTTTGTCCCTCTGCTTGTGCCAGGGTGGTGGACTGTAATTTCTCTTAACATGCAGGCTTGGGGAGAGCGACAAGGGTAAGTGCTTTAGCATGACGCAAGTTTCCAGAAGACCCTCCATGTCTTCCAGTGCCCGCCGGAGCCGGCTACGAAAATGTGATTCAAGATGTGGCTCCGAACTGCTGGAACCTTTGGGCTTGCTCTCTATGCCTCCTTTGGCAAGGATCCCACCTATTAGTTCCGGGGAAGCAGTCTCTCGCCCATCCGGCTGCTGAAGAGCACCGAGATTATGACCCAGAACTCTGGGTTGACGAGAAGGGCTACACAGCTCGATCCCTCCAACCCTTACGCTCGTGTGCTTGACCTCGACCGTCGGCCAATGGGCTTTGGGGCAGATCGACAATTCTCAATTATCCGGGCCAAACTCTTCCCCAACAGGGCACGACGTGCCTCAAATTACCACTGTCCCGATTCTTGAGCATGTCTCATCTCCAAGCGAGACACATGCGTGCCGGAGTCTGCATCATCTGTCCCAGCAAAGAGGTTCAACCGGTGAAGATATCAACCTTGTCTTGCTGTCCTTTGACCGCTACAATTAGTCCTTCGAGAGTCAATTGGCTCGGAAGTCACGGGCACAACAAGATTCGGGGCTGAGTTTCCGCTTCAAACGTGCCAACACATCAAGATAGGATTTACCAAAAGAGGGCCGACCGAAATGGCCAACATGGGGAAGGAGGACTGGTTGCCGGAGATTACAAGCGCAGAGATACGGGGGACACGGCTGCCGTCTTCATCCCAGATTTCGTGATATTGGTCCGAATCTGGCAGGACCAGGACCTCAAAGAAAGAGCGGACCAGGTGATAAAGGTCATGGGTACGCAGAACACTCCGGCCACATTCTTGGTTACTCCCTATCTCTAAGATTGATTGAACCATTCCAGCCCGAAAACAAGTCGATGCACGAGCAGGGCGAGGGCCTCAGCGAGCTGCACGCGTTGAACACCTTTTCTGACAGCACTCCGAGTACCTCGTACCGATGCCCAGCAATCATCTTCCATCTTGTCACCAAAGCCCGACCAACACGAAGCCCTTTTTGGATTGAAACGATCGGCCAATTCATTTCTACTCTGGGCGTCGAATGAAGTAAAGGCGCTGCCCGCATGATCATTCAGGTTCCACGCTAAAAGGATGGAGTATCTGATACTCTAGGGAACATGTCAGTCAGCCTATCCGCAGCGCTTTCCCTCTGGCTTTCTGGGCGTATCTGCTCGTTACGATAGGCCCACTCCAATTGAATCATGTGCCTTGCGGTCCGGGAAACCGTGTCAAGGATTTTAAAACGTTGACAGGACTCCACAGCCAGAATAACTTTGTTCGTTGACAATGCAGCTCCTGGCAGGGAAGTGCATCCAACTAGTCTAGGTTACATCAGATACTCGTGTCACCCCTCTCGTGTCCTCTCCAGCCCTAAAGCATTGAGAAAGCCACACGGAATACTTGATTCGTTAGGCTCCGGGCAAATGTCAGTGACGTACGCCTCAAGGGGATCATTCAAAGTGACAGCGGACCGCCTGACTAGGAATTGGCTGCTCCAGCCATGATGCTTTCTGCATGCACTCATCAACCCTGGAATCTCGGTACCAGGGCGATGGTAACAACCTAGACAAACATTGTCCTTTGCTGGGTACGAGAAGGATTTGACACATGCATTCGGTGCATTAGCAAACTTTACCTAGGTCAGACCACTTGCAGCGTAAGAGAAAGCAGTGGAAGCGCTCTGGCAATCTATCTTGATAATGAAAATGTCAATCACATTGGTCGAACCGTCTGCATGTGTAGAGGGTGTGTGTCTCAGTGTGAGACTCTGGGCACTGCGACCGATCCCCAATCTTCAGCGGTCCGTCGTAGCCCCCTCTCTACCGAGTATTGTGCATATGTACGCTAAATTACAGTCGAGCCATGAGGTGGCCCGACCGTCGTCGGAGGCCCAAACAATTAGTTGGTATTCGGCCTGCGTAGGGATGCAGAATTTGTATCAATTTGGCTAGCCATGCCCGCCTGTTGTTGTTGTTGTCGTTACCGAACGTGGTTGAGCATCCTCCCACTCACTGCCTGAGCGATGAATAATTTTGGTGGCTGTGGAAAGTAATGCCTCTGGCTCGCGACCATTTACGTGGCTTCTGATATCATACATGCTGTAGTTCTGCCTTGAAGCTATGTACCTATGATATACGAAGTACTGCCTGTAACAGAAAATTTCATAAACGGACGCTTCACCAAGCATCATCCGCAAAGATCAAGTTTGGGAAGGGTTATCAAGCCGGGGGGGCAAGAATTATTGGCGATGATCATGGCCTATCAGCTCTCGACCCCGCAACCCAGGTCTCCCTAGAGAGCATGGGATCTTTAAAATACATGAATCCCCGCCTACGGAGCGCAGCCTGAGGGGAATTTTTCAAATCTTTTCGCTCACTGGCCGACCATTCCTTGACGCTTCCTTGCAATTGTCCCACTTGCTTTTATCGCGGTGGGTTTATACCCATTCGACAAATGGGTTCGATGCCACGCAGAGAAAGCTTTGGCCCACATAGGATAGCCTGAGTGGGACTGTGGGCATTTGTGGGCATAGCACGAACGTTTTTTTCGCGTGGAACTGCGCTGCTCACTTCCGTTGAACCATCTTTCCACTACCACAAACCTACTTCGGCCACCCGCAAAGCCTAAGCAGACTGCCTCATAGGTCCTCCAAGCAGAATCCTCACATTGGAAACTAGTGTACAGCTTTGAAAGGAAAAATGGTTGTCCTCAAAGCCAAAAGTCAGAAATCAATAACCATGGCCGATTGTAAAGAATGCAGTGCAGAAGAAACATCCCGTAAACGATAGCAAGGGCCGTTGCAACTGTGGTACAAGTATCAACCAGCAGACCAGTTGTACCACTTTCGACGGCACGAGCCGCTCTAGGCGCCACTGCATCGGAAACAAGGCAACCTATCCCAACCACGCTCTCCTGACCCAATGCGGCGATGACGGGATGCACCACAGGGCACCTTGTGGCGCAGACACTCATGTTTAGGATCCAGTTGAGAACATGGTGATGAGTTCAGTATTGCTCGGGCCTTGAAGGAATAAAACTGGTTAGAAATAGCCAGAGACATAGAAGTGCATTGACCGCTTACGGGAATTGGTTTCCGGATTCTGCCCTCCATGCACAGTCGATTCAAATTTGGTCATGAGGACGTCGAGTGTTGAGATCAAGAGTTTTTGTTTTAATGATTGATATGTGCGTGCAGGTATTCCTAGATACAAATGATCGAAGGTGTCCGGGGTTTTGATAAATCGAGCCAGCATGATTTTGGAACTCATACTTGAAACTGCTGAAGTCGTATATTCTGAGTAATACAAGTGACTGGTTGTCAGATGCTTATGGTAAATTCAGCGTAGATTAGCAGTGAGCTTTGAGAAAATAGTGAAGAGGCAGAAGACCTTTTCAAGCACCCGCTGGCAAGAAGATTGAGTCGAGTTTCAAGAGCCCATTCCGGGCCTGTATTCGAGCGAGCTGATGCATATCTTATAAAAATCACATAATGCCGTGAAGAAGCGGTGAAGCATCAACGTTCAGTTGAGGCCTCAGGCAGCTGTGAATGAATCAAATACTGAGAGTGACGATGATGCCCAACCGGATATCCCTGATGGCTTCGTGCCCAGTCATTCCACCCCTTCAGCCAAATCGAGCTCTAGAATAAGACCCATGTACGGTGGCAACGGTGTGCGCTAGACCTTACGAATCGGGGAACAAATGTTGGGGGTGTCCACACGTCCAGCACTCGGCTGAGCAAAGTAGGTTGAGTTGGTGCATTTAGCGATGCTTGCTTTGAATGCTCAGAGTTGATGGGCGTGGAGGAAAGCCGCTTCGAAGGTCTGAGAGGTAGATTCTAATAGGCCCTGGAGCACCTGCACATGGCATGCGAAGGCTCTAGTTGTGGGGCGAGGGGGCTCGTTTGCACTGCCAGCAGGGCGAACGTAGTGTCAGGCGCACTGGAGTTCCTTTGGGTTCACAACTCAAGGACAGGTAATCGGATGCGGCTCCGTAGGGCGGTAACTATTGGTGTAAAGTGGTATTTCGGACGCTTAGGCACAGCTTCGACTTGGGATTTCTTGGGTGAAGACCGACACGGACTAGACCTCTCTCAGAAGACACAAATGCGGTTGCGGTGACAGGAAGGCCAATGTCCTCTCGACTGGTTAACTCTGCCCCCTTTTGTTCGACATCACCAACCGTGCAGCTCCCAAAGATAGGTATGATTGTGGATCGAGCTCATCATCCCGAAACTATTGATGGTCGTGATCATGGTTTTCTGCCCCTTGTGAAGTCTTGTTGAAATGTTGTTCACCTCGAAGGTGCCAGAGGGTTGATGAGGGGGTGTCACCCGCCTGTCATGACGCAGGCGTGGGACGCAACCACTATGATCCTTGCTATCGAGCAGGGTCAGGGAGGGAGGGCGAGGGTCCCAATTCTTTTCTAAGCGTTCACACGTCAATTCACCCATTAGTGCCATGCCATCCTAGCCATCTCTGTACTCAACCACGTGTGAGGGAACAATCAGGAACATGCAAGTCTGCAATATCAAGGGTAGTTTTCAGCCCGTGCATTCTGCTGTACGAGGTATGTCCGGTGTAAGAAGTTGTTCAGCCGATTTGGTGGGCCACATTTTGAGGTAATGAATCAATAAATCATCCGCTCTCCAAGATTCGTTTTACAATCTCCCGTTGCCAGAAGGCTTCTGGTTTCTCCACTTGAGGCACGGTCAATCTCGTATTTGAGACTTGGTCGGCTCAGGCGTCAGCTTGAAATCGTCATGGAGACTGTTTGCGACGTCTTTGAGGACTTTGATCATGAAAAATGCCTTGCTGAAGTCGCGTTTCCAGATCACAAGTGAAAGAAGTCGTGGGCGCGTCCGCCATCAATCTCGTCGTACAAAACGGTCCAGGAACGCATGGCTCGCGTCAGGTAATATCTGACGACAAGATTCGTTGAGGAGCAGTATCGCGTGGTGCTGTGATATCTTACACAGCTGGTACAATCGTAAACGTTTCTTGCGTGGCGGGCTGAACTTAGGCGTGTTTGTAGCAGTGGTTCCTGCCTTTGACAGAAGTGGCAGGTTCCCCCTCGTGCATCATCCTTGGTCGTAGCTTCCGTCACGCACACACACCGTTACCTTTGACCATGCCAATCTGTAATTGCAATATTAGGATGTTGATTTGACACTTCAACTTCCGAAAAGCTTGCAAATACCGACAACACTGTTCATTCAGCCACCAGTCGCCCTGTCTGTATTTCTGCAAGGATGACAGGTTCCATTTCTGTTCTGGGGAAGGGTGAGAGCGGGGCGCTAGAGATCAGCCATTGTGCAAAAAATCGGATGTTGTGCATAATTCCCAGCATCTTCGATCCGAAGTCTATCTTGCTGTCCGAAGTTCCTGCAACGCTCATTCAGTATGCTGGTTGCCAGAAAACACGAGACTCGATCGTAGTCATCGACACGCTATCACAAGAATAGTCAACCCACCTGCTTGAAGACGGCGAGGTATGAGCTCATGTGATGCGCTCCACAGCCATGACATCCCCTTCCATCCAGTTATCTTCAATCTTGTCACACGCAGATATCAAATTGAGCTTTTGTTACGGTGACCGAGACTTTTGAATCCAAATGGACCGTTGTTTGTTGAAAAGCCCCGTGATTTTGGGTCACAATGAATCAGTGAGAGAAGTGCTGGAGGCTCCAAAGTTGTAGATGTCTGCTTGCCAGAAAGCCAAATCCTCTGTCCAACTTGCCATGTCCGAAACGCCGACCGCCTTCTCAGCTTTCGGTTCATAAGGACCAGTCCGCCTCCGTCTGGAAGTGATCGGTTTCGGGTATATCGTCCTCCACGAAAGGGGTCTTGAAATCTATGACCAGACAGATTTCGATGATAATTTGGAGGGAAAGTGCAACATCTTCGTCCTACTGTCAGGAGGTGTCGATGGAAAGCTGGAAGTCTTCAGTGACATCAACGCAATTCAGACTGGCCTTCATACATACCAGATCCTGATGGATCTGCTTGGTTGGTTAACCTACCATGAGAAAAGACGTTCGCAATCTTGGCGAAGAGACTCGACCTCCATGTCCGTGAGTTCCACCACAAACGACAACGACTAAACCCTACAGGCGAGCTCTCTACCATTACAAGATACATGCTCATGACTGCCAGGGCAGCTCGATATTCTGGTCAACCTCGAGTATGTTTGTAGCGAGACGGCCAATTGGAGCGGTGAGGGTCAATACTCGCCTGCCCAATCTGTACAACTTGAGCTGTCCTCCAATAGACGAGCAACCTCGCGGTGAAGCACCGAGGTTCGCGATCACTGCACAGGGGCTCTGACTGGAATGCGACCACTACTTGAACATCAACAACATACCGTCTCTGACCAGTTGTTTCATGACAAATTCCCCAATGATGTATCCCAGTGAAACTGGCTTGGCAAAACGTTCTGTTCGACCCGCCATGTTGTGAAGTACGCCACAAGCTTCTCCACGGGCTCGTAGATGGGTGCGGTTATTATGTTGGAAAGGAAATCAACGATGACCTGGCGACCTTGCAGAGTCCTGGTCTATGAGATTCTAAGCCCAAAATTCTAATCAAAACCATCTCCATAGGACTTGTTTGTGGGGTGAACTGTGTGAACCACTGGTCCCAGGTGCTAACGAACACAGCCATCCTCACTGACATGGATGAGATAGACCCTACACCGAGCATACCTGCTGATTTTCAGACCAGTGAACCAATCGTGGCAAATTGCTCGCCTATCTTACCGAGGGACATCGGAAGAGGGAAGTAATCGACTGGCCCTTTCTAGAGTGGATGGCAGATTGCCTTTGAAGCGAGTGCAGCTACTTTGCAGGTAGCTAGAGATCGGTACTTGTAAGTCTGACCTAGTTCGACAACTTACGGATACCTCGCCGGGGTGGGAGCAGCGAGATCCGATTCACTGCAACCACGGCACCACCCGCATTTGAGACGACTGGGGTATCATGTAAGGCTGGCAAACCCCTGTCCGAAGGAATGTTCGAAACGACAAGAATCCTGATTTCTTGTTGGGTTCGTGGTCACGACAACGAGTTATTCTGGCACTCAGGCACTAAATTCTGAGCGGCAATACCAAGCCGTTTCACATTCTAACCCTGCTGTACGGATATGTCTCGAGTGGTGACCGTGATCTGTCGCGGGACACCGCATTGGGAGCATTCCACGAGCTGGACAAAGCCATCCTTGATACAGACTTGACTCGTCTCTACGGGTTAGGTTCGGTTGCTAAAAATTGTACAGGGAAACTCGCTAATTACACAACAGGGCATATTTACTCATCGATGTCCTTGGCTTCCTGAGCGAATGCTCACGCCATAATCCTTGTTTCATCGACTGCAGCTGGCGTCTTCTCTTGCCGCTAGCGAGACTTACCAGTTTTTATAGACCTTGATTCGAAGTTTAGCTCGATACAAGACAGTGATGCCTCGGCCGAGGAATATTGAGAAGCACTCTTAGTGGTCGGTTCTTCGAATGCACAATTGACAAAAACTCAAATCTTTCGGTATGGCGAAAATTTTCCTAGGCATCGGCGCAAGGCTTGGTTCACTGTATCAGAAGCTCTGAGAACTATATAACCCGACCACGGAACTCTATCTTGCGTTGTTGAACCATCAGATAGCTCAGGAGTCTTGATCTGAATCGTCCTCGATCATTGCCATTCATTCATTCATTCAACGCGCTCATCAACCGACCTCACTTTCGTTTTCGAAGAAATTGCTCAACATGCATTCCTCTCTGATTTTATCTCTCCTTGTGGCGCTGGTCGCTGCATCACCCATCGACAAACGCCAGACGATCCGCCTCAACGCAAATGAATTTGTGAATGGCGGCTGTCGCGATACGATCCTATTCTTCGCTCGGGGAACGACCGAGGGTGGCAACATGGTGAGCATGCGTGACAAAATATCAATCATCGAGTGGAGCTCTGATCATCTGTCGTAGGGTAGCGTAGTTGGCCCACCTTTGGCCAACGGGCTCAAAGACGCACTAGGTGATGCCAACGTCGCTGTCCAGGGCATTGACTATCCGGCGGCTCTCGCGGGCAACTTTGTACGTGGAGGTGCCGATCCAGGTGGCATCCAAACCATGGCCGATCTCTTGACCCAAGCCGCGACACAATGCCCGGATTCCAAACTCGTCGCCAGTGGCTACAGGTAAGCCTCGGCTGTTCTGGATGCTTCCCTAACATAACGCTGACAAGGAGAAAATAATAGCCAAGGAGCAGCACTTGTCCATCGTGCAGTTGAAGATCTACCACAGAATGTGAAGGATCAAATGGTTGCCGCCGTCACGTTTGGAGATACCCAGAACCAGCAAGACAATGGACAAATCCCCAATTTCGATCCGGCAAAGACCTTGGTCATCTGTAATGCTGGAGATGCCGTCTGCAGAGGTACACTTACCATCTTGCCAGCTCATCTGGCCTACGGAGCCCGAGCTGATGAGGGTGTTGACTTCATTACTGGAAAAGTTGGTGCTGCATGAGCAGCATCAGCTCATTTGAGGGGACTTGGACAGGCTTTTCTGGACTGCATGGTTTCTCTGGGACCTCTTACTCCTCTGGTATGGATTGCCACGAGATGTGACTGAGCAGGCAACCTAGATCAGTTCACCTGAACCCAATGCACACGAAGATATGATTGTACAATTTAGGCATAGGATAGGAGTTCATGGAATAAAACATATGTGTGGGCCCACGATAAAGTTTTCGCGTTGACAGTGTATGATCTTGCTGAGCACAACGACGACGCCTACGTTGTGCTCGCTTTGCGCAGGATCAATCTCATCTGACTAATCAGGCTGCCTGCCAGTGGAAAGGACACCAACATCACAACTTCCTGAAGCTGCCTGATGTCCATGCTGTGTTTGAGGTATCTCAAAACATGAGAGGTTCCGGCCAAGAACTCATATGAGTCGCAATAGCTGTTCTCAATGTTCCTATTCTTAGTGCTGGTGTTCGTGCAAACATGAATGTTTGAGGAAGATCTCAGGTGACACAGCTCCTGAAGCAGCAAGTCCTAGTACCGCCGAGATAATTGCGCTTCGCGTCTATCAGTTGAACCCTAGATTACGTAGCTTGACAAACATGCCAAGAGATATGTTACAAACTTCCAGAATGCGGGCACCTTACGCTTGTGTCTGCCACTGCTGTGAGAGCGAGATTTTGATATCCGTGACCAGGAGGCATTGCGCAACCCCCCATCTTTGAGTAACTCTAGAGTCACTTTCACGGCATGGGAAGATAGACCAACATCACCAATACCTCCCACAGTGTTCTGGTATACCACAGACGCACACCCAACCCCAATATGCCGGTGAGACCTCATACTCCAGGTGACCCTCAATGCCGCTGACACCCCACCCTAGGCATACCACTCGATCTTCCTGGGAGACCAAGGCGTGCAGACGATAGGTACACAAACTTTCCTCTCAGCGCAGCGACAGCGAGACCTTCACTAACACACCAATGCACACAGGAAACTTCCCACTCCTCCCACTGCGCACCAAAACCCGAGGCCCAGCGTTCACACTCCCACAACTGCCGGCGGGCACGAACGCACTGGACGTGGACCCGGACTCGGAATCGTACGACTGCCTGGACGAGATCCTGTCATTGTTCCGCGCCAACACGTTCTTCCGCAACTTCGAGATCAAGGGCCCCGCGGACCGCATGCTAATCTACGGCATCCTGTTCATCTCGGACTGCCTGACCAAAGTCAAGCCGCACATGGACGCCAAAGCCGCCGAGAAGGCGCTGATCAACGGCGCCCTGGAGCAGTTCAGTCTTCCCGGCGAACCCGGCTTCCCGCTCAACCAGGCTTTCGAGGCGCCGCGCGACCGCAACGAGGCCGAGGCCTTGCGCAGTTATCTCAGCCAGGTGCGTCAGGAGTTGGCCGTCCGGTTGCATGCTAGATTGTATGAGAGTGGCGTCGGCCCGAGTAAATGGTGGTTGAGCTTTACGAAGAGGAAGTTTATGGGCAAGGGGTTATAGAGGGGTTTTTTAAGTGCGAGGGAGGGATGGTGTTAGATGATTCACGAACGATAAAAATCAAAAGTGAGCGTTCAGCTGGGTTGGGTGTGTCAACCCGGCGGACCAGCATTTTATGACATTGCAGCTCAAGCTAGTCTCCCGTCTTGATCTCTGTGTCTTCCACGTCCCGCGAGGCTTCGGCCATCAAGACATCCGAGTCCGCTTGGTCTCCTTGAGCTTCGACCACAGACGTCTTGGATAACGACGAGGTGTCGTCCTCTGCCTGAGGAGTATCACTTTCCTGCACTTTCTGTCTTTTCCCGTTGCGCGGTGGTCTCCCTCGCGCCTCTACTTTTCCCTCGAGGGGCAAGACTCTCGTCGCCGTGAAGACGTAGCCCTCTGCGCCGCCTCGTCCAGTCATGAGCGGATGTGTCCGCCCAGGCAGGACCTGCCACTTCCGCACCCGTGACGTCTGAACCATGGGAGGCAACACCAGCGTCGGATCGAGTGGGAAGTCCTTGGACGGGACGGTGCGGTCCTCGGCGGGCGCGTTGAGGAATGCCGTCCTCCGGCTCGTGGAATAGTAGTCAGAGAGTTCGGCCAGAGGCTCGACGTGCGGAGAGTACACCACTATCTGGCTTCCGCCGGCGAGCAAGGGGACGAGATGGCTCAGGATCGAGACGGGGTCGGTCGAGGTCGCGACGACGAGACCATTGAAGCCGCCTGCTCGGGTCTCGTCCACGACGCTTTTGGTGCGCTCCCACCGTCGCCGCTTGCGGAAGTAGGTCGCTCTTTTGTTGGATTTGGCTTTCGTGAGCTCTTCGGCCGTCATGATTTCTGGCTCTTGGTAGGTCATGTCAGACTCTGGATCGACGAGTTGTAGCCAGGATACTGTTTTGAGGCAGGTATAGAGAGGGTGTGATTGGGTGGGTGTATTTGCGTCGTAGTTGAAGTAGCGTAGCAGACCAAGGTTGGGTTGTTGGTTTGCGTGGATTAATGTGATGGAGTTGGATTTGGCGCTCATTGGTGTGGGTTTCTGTGGTTTGGCGGACTTGTGTGGTGAAGATCCTTCGTGTGCTTCTGCCTCGTCGTCCGGACTGTCTTCAGCGGATTGGTCGGGGTCCTTCTCGAGTGATGTCTGATGTAGTATCCCCATCCGCTCTGCCATTGCTGCGACCACCAGGCCGCCCGTGTCATCCACCACTAAGTAGCGGCAGGTTGGATCCATCTGTGGCAGTGCATTGGCGTCATATCCATCGAAATGGATGTTGGCCCAACATCCAATCAAGCCCAGCGATTCATTCCTCATCTCCATGATCTTGCTGGGATCTCTGTCCTCCATCAACCAGTCTGTCAGAGTTGGAATATCCAAGGGAAGAGGCGTGAACCATTTCATGTATTTCTTGTGCTTTCGTAAGGAGTATTTGGCAAGAGAGAATGCTGTTTTTTGATCGAGGGTCGAATGAGATTGCATGATCTTTTCAATCAAGTCTCTACCGCTCCCCAATTCTTCTTGCTTCAATGCTTCAATCTCGGACATTGTGAGCTTTTGGTTGGTCCGAATATCGTGGATGTTGACATTTGACTTGGCGGGAGTCGATGAGCCCGTCTCCCCATTGGCGACGGTCGGAGTGGACGCTTCATCGATCTCCGCCTGTTCGACCAGAGCCACGGCATGCAATTCGGCAGCGGGAACGATCCTCAGCTCTCTCCCTTCTCGGCCTTCTGATCGGTCGAGGATCTCGAAGGTCACGTGGTAAGGACGTCCCAAGATTTGATTGGTGTGAAAAGAGCCGTATTTTCCCAGGTTGATGATCCTTGTAACAGAGTCAGCGACAGCATCCAAAGCCGTTGGCTGATATCTGTTGTTTCACAGATCTTGAGTGGAACCTACGTGTTGGGTAGTATCTGTTCGACTCTGACTGCATCGGACGGCAGCCGTAGAGCGACATATTGGAAGGGTTGAATGTAAGAGAATGCCATTTTGGCGACGTTGTTTGTAACTTTGACCTACAGTGTCATGTTTTTGAGCATCGTTTTGAGGTCCTCCATGTTGGGGCTAGGAGGTTTCTACTGGAGAAGGCGAGCATCTTGTTTTTCATCGAAAATATGGGTCTCGAGAGACTCGTGGTTCAGGAAGTAGTGCGCGACAGTAGAGGTAGTACGGTGGATATTATGAGCCCCTTCCGCGTGGCTCGGCACGGCTAAGTTGCCCAAACTGGATAGGCTTGATCAAGGACACACGCGAAAGGCTGGCAACATTTCGACCTAGATGCTTCACAAAATCTACGATGCAGAAGCTCATCATGCGTAAGACGTAGATTCATGCCGTCCACATATCATGCTTAATTCAGGACCGATGAAATGCGCCACAAGATCGGCGAACCTCGTGATCATCGGCCAGTCAGGAAGTAATCTCAAGCCACGAAAACAGGAACTCGAAGGTGAATCAGGGCGTGACGTCACCGGGCAACAAAGTAGAGATGGAATTCACAAAGACCATTCGAGGGAAATTGAGCCAGTGTATGATGTGTGACGCTTGTTGCGATATGACGAGGGTGTTGCTCCCCAGGTAACAATGGCACGTATATATTGACATCAGGCTTCCGTACTTTTGCTTTGATCTCGTAGTCTGTGGTTGAATTCGTGCAAAGAACGCGACCAAGAAACAAAGTGACATATCAATAAATTCGAAAAAAACAATCATGTCGGACATCGCCTCAGGAGTGGGAAACTTGGTCACCTCGATCGTGGAGATCATCAAAGGGATCATTACCACCATCTTTCATGTCTTCGAAGGCGCGTTCAACGCCGTCCTGGGAGTTTTCAAGGGCATGTTCAATGTGACCGAGGGTATCCTCGGATTTATCATTGGTAAGTCATTGTTCTGTTCTGATGCGGGTATGGCCCCAACGACTGACACATTTGACAGGAAACTTCTTCCTGCTCGGAACATTGGCTGCTGTGTATTTCGGCTACATCTTGTACCAACAACGTCAAGGGAGAAACCCCGCTCCACTATCAGCAGCAGCGACGAAGAAGACCAGGTAGAGGAGAATTTCAATGTGGGCAGAACCTGGCTTTTGACCTGGATTGAGAACTGGGCGGATTAATGACAGCCCATCTCTGTTGAATATCCTCGAGGCTCACCAGTTCGAAGGCTGGGGGAGGCTGGCGAATCCGACGACGGCCTGAAGTGATTGACATTCAAAGGACCAACACTATAATAATTAGGTAGAAATGGAACCAATTCATACGAGTATGCAACGGGCTCTTCATCTCTCCACTAGTCGTGCTGTGTATCGCCTTGATTGTACAGTGGCTGAGCGATGTTCGCAGCTGGAATCTAGGCTTGGCGATGGCGCTCTGGGCCCTGTATCCTCCAGTCCGGGGCGGTCGCCGTAACTCTCCATGCCTAATCGAGTAACTGGAACTTTCCTTCCTCCATTGGAGCACAATTCTGTATACGAGAACCTCACCGCGAACAATGAAAGAGCCAAGGTACTTAACTAGGTACACAACGCCACCATCAGCAAAGCAGCATCACTCACAACATCAACCCAACCCAACCTCATTCTCCATCTTCAAGACTCACTCTAAAGAACTTTTAAGCCTTTGAATCCCTTAAGAACACGACAAACAAACTGGCACCACTACTGGATTGCGGCTCCACCACCACCGTCACCATGGAGGTCAGATCGAAGTCCAGCAATCCCCCTTCTCCTTCCATCACAAACGAGTCTTCAGATAAAATCGAACAATCTCCATCTCGAAATGGCGATGACGAATTCGATGCAGCACAATGTCTGTTCTGCAATCAAACCAGCACCGATCTGGACCAGAATTTGACCCACATGTTGAAAGCCCATGGTTTATTTGTGGATTCGACAAATTTATTGGTAGACGTTGGATCTCTGCTGGCCTATTTCCATTTCATCATTTCCGAGCTTTACGAATGTCTTTATTGCGGCACGCAACGAAACACTCGACAGGCAGTCCAACAGCACATGATGGCCAAAGGACATTGCAAATATGATATCTCAGATGAAGATGGTGAGCTCCGAGAGTTTTATGATATCCCCGTATCGGACGCGAGGGAAGAACTGCAACAGAAGCAACTTCTATCACAAACCAGACCCAAGAAGTCCCGAGCGTTAAAGCATTCAGATGGACATGGGATGGCATCTTCGATTGACCAAGCGCTACGAACCGGACGTTCGCCCTTACATAGCGATACGGAGCCAGAGTCGAGTTCGAACAATCAAGTAAGCACCAGAGCGCTCAAGCAAGAACATACGCTCAACAGCCAACTTACACGACTTCGTGCCGATGACCGGAGAAGTCTTTTACATTTGCCGGCCTCACAACAACGAGCATTGTTGATAACTCACCACAAACAAATGGAGAAGGCCAGGAGGACGGAACAGGCGAGTCAAGGGCACTTGCAGACTGCAGGAAACACGGTCAATTGTCTAAGCAAGCTTAGGTTGGTGCGTAAACCGCCGCATATGGGACATGTGGCCAACCTGACACATTGAGTGATCTTGAGGGCATCGGGTTGAACTGTATAATAGAACACCTAGGTAGATAGGCAAAGTGTAATCGTAATCCACGACTCGAGAACATCAAAGGGGAAAAAATGTCTCTATCGAAAATGGAAGGGAGCCTCGGCGTGCCAAGCCCTGGATTGCCGAGGTCCAGAGTCAAAGTTCCCGTGACCGAGTGACAGTTCGCGCCTACCAACTTGTCTTGCTGTTTCCGTTATGTCACTCGCCCAAAATCACGATGGCAGACTTCATCTCCAACTTCATCTCCGACGTCAAACTGCGAACCCTCCCGACATTCTCCTTCAAGTTAGGTCTTCATCTTCCTCTTTCTCCATCTACTCGACTCCCTGCACATGTCCTCCTTCCCTACGCAATAACAAGAGCGGGCACCTATTGACAGCTTTGCCTTATTTCTTTCTCCTTTTCTTCCATTCCTTCCCTTCTGTGCCCATTGCCATTTCCTTCATCCTACACTTGCCCCTCCTTGACCACACTGCTATCCAGCTCGACACTGAAAATTCCCTTAAAACCCACCTCCATCATGTCGCAGACAAAGGACATCGCGCCATTCCCTACTGAGGGCGACCTCGACAGTAAAACCTCCACAACGGTCGGCGCTGCTCCATCTGCGACCAGTACTGCCCAACAGGGTGACAACATTGCGCATGCTCTGGCTGGCGCCGGTGGTGGCCTTGTTGCCATGACCCTGACATACCCTCTGATTACCCTTTCTACTCGCGCTCAGGTTGAATCCAAGCGTGCCGACACCTCGACCCTGGACGCAATCAAGCACATCATAAACAGAGAGGGCATCAGCGGACTGTATGCCGGTCTTGACAGCGCTCTGTTCGGTATCTCGGTCACGAATTTTGTCTATTACTACTGGTATGAATGGACCAAATCCGCCTTCGAGAACGCAGCCATCAAGGCTGGCCGCGCAAGTAGAAAACTCACCACACTTGAAGGCATTGCAGCCGGGGCCATTGCAGGATCCGCCACTGTCCTGCTCACAAACCCTATCTGGGTTGTCAACACCCGGATGACTGCTCGAAAGAATGAGAGCGAGGAGGTCCTTCCTGGTGGTGAGAAGAAGCCTGTGCGAAAGCCTACTACTATTGGGACTTTGTTGAAACTATTAAAAGAAGAGGGTCCTTCGGCATTGTTCGCCGGCGTCCTCCCAGCACTGGTGCTGGTCAGCAACCCAATCATACAGTACGGGCTTTACGAGCAGGCCCGTAATTTCATCGAAAGCCGCCGGAAAGTTGGACCTCGGGACGCCTTCTATCTCGGGGCCCTCACCAAGCTTTTAGCTACTTCCATCACATACCCATATCTCACAGTGAAGTCTCGTGCCCATGTCGCTGGCAAGGACGCCAAGTCGGTGGGAATTCTTTCTACGTTGAACAATATCGTCAAAGAAGAGGGGTATGGAGGACTTTATAGAGGTAAGTGGAATTTCAAAAATCCTCAAAGCTTTCATCACGCTCACATGTCTGTCCAGGTATTGCACCAAAGATTAGCCAAAGTGTTCTTACTGCTGCATTCCTCTTCGCATTCAAGGATGTCTTCTATGAGATGACTGTGAAGGCTCGTAGAAAGGCACTTGCTGTCAAAGCAGCATAGATTTCGACCGCGCCGGTACTGTTGGAGTCTGTATGCTTCCTTCTGGTTGCATGTCACCCCAAGATTTCAAGTGCACCGTTTCAACTCTTGTTTCGGAACTATTCGAATTTCATGAAGGTCTTATTCCATATACAAAGCAAGGTGTGCTTCTCATAGCATGCCCATTACTGGGGCGGCTTGGAAATGTGCTCAATTAGCACATGTCGGGGCTGACTAAAATTATTAAAAGGGAATGGGACGGGCGGCATCGTGAACGAGTTGGTTAGTCTGTGAATCTGTAAGACAGGTCATGATTTGAGAAACTGCCCTTAGATTATTTTATACCTTACCTTCTGATGGGAATACTATCGATGTGCAAACCTTTAAACTCAAGCCGTCTCAGACTTGTACGAGAATTTATGTTTCCCTTCCTGCAACACATCACTCCCCTCCACCAAAAGCCTCGATAACACAGCTGTTCACAATTCCCTCTGCACCCACTCCCATAACTTCAATACATAGGCCTCATCCATGCAATCCTCGACGTCGCGCAGCACCGGCATAGCGCGAAACGTCTCGGTCATGTTATACTGCAATGCGTCTTCGTGTTTCCTCTCCTCATTCTCAACAGCCTTGTCACCAGCAGCACCAGCACCATCAACAGCACCACCAGCAACATCAACAGCACCAACAGCGTCATTTTTCCCGCTCGATGCAGCTCCGTAAGCGTTCCGCCAGAACTCCAGCAGACGCAGTGCCGGATGATGTTTCGTCGCTTCGTCGGCTTGTAATGCGGTGAGTTTTTCCAGCCATTCAGCCGCGGAAACCACGGTGAACCTAGATTGAGAGTGTCGGGACAGCCATGAGAGTAGGTCGGACCACCGGACCGCCATGTTTGGGTTGAGGACGTGGTGCACGGGGATGGTGGGTCCGTTGATTTGGTCGGTGGGCGGTGGTGTCTGGAAGTGGGAGTCGACGAATGCGAGTTCGAGGAATGCCCTCGCTGCGACGTCCACGGGTAGCCAGTTCAATACTTCGTCTTTCAGGTCTGGGAGGACGCCGGTGTCTTTCGCGCTCGAAAGGAGCAGTGGGTATGCTTCCGAGGAACTCCACGCGCCAGTGTCGGTCGCGCCCGAGAGTTGGCCCACGCGAGCGATGGATATGTGGCCTTTGAGACGTGTGATTTCGTGGGCAGCCGAGCATATTGCTTCGCCGACCCATTTAGAGCGCGCGTATCCTGTTGGGCCGGAGATGTTTGGGGCTGCGACGAATTGTTCCGGAACCGTGGTGCTGGAAGTGTGGTCGGCAGAAGGGGATGTGAAGTTGGAGACGGCGGCGACGCTGGAGCAGAATACAAAGCGTGCTGGTGCTCTCCTCGAGTCTGAGTGCGGTGGTCTAGCAAGTGCGAGATTCAGTAGGTTGCGCAACCCGGAGAGCTGGGTGTTGGCGATGGTGCGCAGCGAGATGAGGAAGTTGACGCTCCATGCTAAATGGAAGATGATGTCGACTTCATTCGAGAGGGTTTCGTAGTCCGAGCATGAGAGGCCGAGGTTGGGTTCTGAGAGCTTGCAGGGTAGAATGGTGGTCTTGCAGGACAAATTCGAGGGTATGTCCAGGCCTCGACTTGTGAGTGCTTTGGTCACCCGTCCAAGAGACGCGTCAGTACTGGCACCTCGTACGAGGAGGTATATATGTCCAACTCGAGCGTCGTTGAGCAGCTGGTGGAGAAGATGAGAACCGAGTGACCCCGTTGGGCCTGTCAGAAGGACTCGCAGTCCGGGTGGCCGTTGGGTCACTGATGGCGATGAGGGGGCCGAGCAGGGTTCGGGATCTTCAACACGATATTTGTCGACAAGATCAGACATCAGTTTAATCTGATCATCTTGCTCTTCGAGTTCAGCTCCGGATCTCAAACGAATGATGAAGGTGCTGAGTCGGTCGATCGTCCCGCAATCCTCAACCACACTAACCGGCAAGGCTGCCGCCCCTGGAATTAGGCGAGATAGCCTTTGCCGGATTTGCATGCAAGCCACCGAATCCGCACCATACGAAAACAGGTCTGTATCGTACGACAAATGAGTTGTATCTCCACTTCCAACGACGGACAAGACAATTTCGCGGATCGCCTGTGGTATTTCAGCATCGGCGATGTCGGAATTGCATGCTGACGGTTCGCCGTTATACGCGGCATTGATCTGTTCCGAATACTTTTTCTCAGCTTGTGTTCGGATAGTCGTCCCTTTGCTGCTCTTCTGAAGTGGCTTCTCTTCATACTTCATTGGAATAAGCATGGCTCGCGATATTTTGGCATGGCTCTGACTTTCTTTGTTCAATTTTTCGATTACAGGGACGATGCTGTCAACAAATTCATCCTCTGACAGAGAGGAAGCTTGTTTGGTTCGGAAGAGCAATGCCCCTGCATAAGGCTTGCCATTTCCAAATATGAGCACATCTTCAATGACAGTAGAGGACGCTTTGATGGCATCTTCAAGTGGTGCCGGGTCGAACTTCTTTCCAGTAACAAGGGTTAACTGAGAGTCCGACCTGGAATGGTACCGCCATGCTCCTACAATGGATGGGTGGGGCATGAACAAGTCTGCAGTCGCAAAAGAACCGTTTTTTCGGTTGTGCTTCGCCATGTGAGGCCAGCCTTGCTGAATGACAAGCTCCAAAAGATTGTCTTCTCGCTCTTCAAACTGGAGGAAATCACCAGCTGAGGATGACCTGAGATAGTCCCATGCCTTGTCTTTGCCGTAGTCACGATGCGAAGACATCAAGAAGCCACATTCTGCACTTCCGAACCTTGATATCAGATGAACGCCCCTTTCGACAAGCATATTACCGACGTCAGACGGAAGAGCTGCTCCTCCGACGCCAACAATCTCCATACCCTGGAGGAGCTTCAGTCCCTCTTCATTACCAGCCATCATTTGCAGGATGTAGGGGACCGATGAGAAGTATTGGACTGGTGGGCATAATCTTTTCTCTGCACGTTGCTTTGCGATTTCTAAGCATTTGCCCACATTGTTCGCTGTTATTGGCAACTGTTTCCCAGGAAAGAGCCATATCAATGCATTGCTGGTCCATGCCCGGAACAGGTCTGCAATTCCTCCATGATAGAGCGGAGTTGTGGTAAATGTTGCTGCATGTCTTCCATCGAGTGTAGGCAATGCTCCAACTGCTGCATGGTGACTTTGCGCTATTGGCTTGGGCACCCCACTAGATGTTCCAGATGTATGATGCAGATAGGCGATTTCCGTTGCTTTGGCTTGAACTGAAGGTAAGGAGCCATTTGCCAAAGGCCTTCCAATGGCTTCAGATACATCCTGTCCTGAAAACGGATGCAGAATTATATTGAAAGCAGCACCCTTGGCAGTACTTTCGGACAAGGTGCTTTGTGCAAGGTCCTTATACTGATCATCGTATATGAGATCTTGAACATCACAAGTCTGGCATAGGTGCGAGATAGCTGACGGAGAGCATTGAGGGGCTATCAGCAGGACTGAATGGCCGAGTTTCATCAGAGCCAGCCAGGTGAAGAGAAACTCAGGAGAACTTGGACACAACAGGGCAACCGTACATTTTGCCGTGGAGTGTAACTTCTGTACAAGCGAGGTCGCTGTCGCTTCGCATCCACGTGCAACATCTCGGAAGGTCAAGATGTGCGCCCGCCATTCTTCTGTGGACTCAGAACAGGGCTTGTAGAAACCAACTGCCGGAGTGTCTCCCTCGTTTGCAGCCTTGATATTGATCAATTCATTAACAGTTCGGAACGGACTGCGCTGTCCAAGCAATTTGGCTTGGCCCAGCGTGCATGTGAAATATGTCGGTTCCATTGTCGTCGCTGCCCACACATTCAATTTGTATAGCAGTATCTCATGGCCTTGAACTTTCTCAGAAGTGTAATTTGCTCATGACACCGTTACCTCCTTTTGTCCGATAGCAAACTGGACTTCAGAGCGGTATCTCAATTCAGATTAGACCTATAACTCTAGGGCGTTGTGACCACAAAGACAATAATACAGTGTCACAGAGTCAGAAATTGTTTCCAGAATGTTATAGAACTGCAATTTATTTGACGCATGAGTTTGTCTAAAGTACTCGGTATTCATAATGGTGACAGATTGCGTCTGACATCATCATCGTGGTAACGAAATTTTCCAGATTTTCCACGTGCACGAAGCAACAGATTACGATAATGGACATGAGTCGAAGCAGGGTTGAATCATACACCAAAGAGGGTTTGAATCAAAAGTAGTGCTTTACTGTGGCAGATACCTTCCCTGGGTTGGTGATTAGGTTGTGATTGTTTAATGATATATCTCCAAACCCCAAGTATCGAGTTTAAATTCCTATCTCAAAAAAACATTTTGAACCCGAAAACGTTACCACGTCTGTAGATTTTATAGAACCGTTGGTAATGCGCCATGCCCACTCTAATGAACACCGTTGCTAACACCGTTGCTATGGCCATTTGTCCCATTGGTGACTCCATTTTGCTTGCCATTGCTTAGCCTCGACTTCACATCAGTGGCACCATTCTGAAGGCCATCAACACCTTCTGGGCCCGATGCATGCTTGGTAGCCTGCGAAGCGCCGTTGACTTTACCATTCGTCGCATGGCCGTTTTGTCCATTCGTTCCATTCAGCCCGTTGGACGCTATGCTATCAGCCTTGGTATCATCGTTGAGGACACTAATCTTCTTTAAGCCATCAGAGATGCCGTTCTGTTCAACGGGTTGATCATTCATGGTATAGCCAGTGTCACTGGCGTCAACAAAGGCCTCAAGACCTTCTCCATTTCGGGGGTAACCTTTCATGATCTGCTTGTGTTTCTTGAGAGCGGCGAACATTTCCTCCATGGCAACGTCGTTCAAGAAAACGCACTGTCCCAGTGGGCTAGGGACAGCAGCACGGAGCTTGCCGTCTCGAGTTCTCAGAATGGCTTGAGTAGCCTTCTCGAGAATTTGTTCATCGAACTGATGATGATCCATGGAAAGACCAGCTCTGGAAAAGAGGTTCAATAGCCTCTTGTGTTCCTCGTTGCTGAGGAGACCACGCATATTGGCGAGAGTTGCTGAATATGCCATGTCTATTGAGATAGCATGACCGTGTCGTAGGGGAACTTCTGGAACAAGTTCGTGGAGTGGTGACCACCTAGGGCAGTCAGTAATGGTTCATTCAGTATGAGGGCATGACACTTACGTATGGCCATACGCGATGACTCTGTCTAACCCAAGTTCATGAAGATTGGGCGTCTCCAGCTTCAGCATCTCGTGGATACCACTGCGGTTGATAGTATCCGCAGCATCCCGCACTTCTTGTGCCGCACCATCACAACGACCAAAACCGGTCGTGATGAGCTGTTCACAATACTTGTCGAGAAGTTCGAAGGTGGGAAGATGGGCACAGGTCGAAATCTTAATGAGCTCGGCGAAACCATTACGGATCTGGGCCTCTGGAAGTGTTCGGAGGAAGGTGAAATCTAAGAATGTTTGCATAGGTGCGTGGTAGGCACCGAGCCGATTTTTGTAGTTGCCATAGTTGACAGCGACTTTGATCGAGACAGACGCATCAATCAATCCAATGACGGTGGTTGGGACTCGGATGAAGTTTGTGTTTCTGCGATACGCGGCACATGCAAACCTGCGGGTCAAAAGTCAGTCATCATTTTTCAACCAATGGGAAATACAGCCGAAAAGGGCGTATGGGCCAGAGTGCCTTGAAGTCATCTTTGGCAAGTGGTAGCTTTTACCCAGCAACGTCAGTAACAAGTCCACCGCCAATGACGAGAACAGGTTCCTGTGCACATGTCAGTCGGCGAGGATCGGCATTGTTGAACTCGACAAGCTTACCTTTCGGTAGATTCCGAACTTGTTCATGGAGTCAACAATGCTCAAGAAGGTGTCAATTGACTTGGCTTTTTCACCAATCATGGTTTTGTGCACGTCAAGGTCAATATCGTAATGGTCGAAGTACTTTTGGACTTTTTCTCCATAGACGGAGAAAATGTTGTGGTCCATGACTGCTAGGCATCTGCCCCATTTCTTGTAGCATTCAGCAAGCTGGCCATTTGGTGTATCGAAGACACCATCAATAAAAGTGAAACCATAGTTAATCTCCTCTACACCTTTGACATCGAAACCAGTCGCCGTCTCGGCAACTGTCGCCTTGAGGTCTGACATGTTGAATGAGAATGCAAATATTTGGAAAAGACTTCACAGAGGGCAAGTTGGATTGGGAGAGAGAGAGGAAAGGAGCAGTATTTGAGAGGATAAAAGGCTTCATATAGAATCTCTGGGACGAAATCGTCACCATGAGCGTGCTGTGGAGCTCACAAAATGCACTATTACTTGTGCATATCATTTGGAGACATCTCTTCCTTGAATTTCTGGCCTTGAGTACAGGTAGAGGAGCACATCGGACTGACTGATCATGATCCTGTCGAGTGGATCCAGATCCAAGCGGATCTCATCTTGCATCAAGGACTCGATAATCTGTATGGGATTCTCAGGATCCTGGCACAACGGCATCCGAAAGCAGGAATAGCATCATTTAAAATTCAGACCAAAGACAGTCATGATGTCGTACAAAGTCGGCAGGAAGTCGACAACAGCCATGCTACTGTACCTATTGTGATAGATATCAACAGCACGCTCATGCTCAGGGACGCCACAGCTAGACCCGGCAAGTCTAGACTTTCCAGACTCGAGCTGGAGGCAGAAGAACGTGGAGAGATTGTGGGAGAGAATTTTGCGGTTCTGATCCCAAAATGGCGTCAGAGCACTATGATCTGCCAGATCCTAGCGCATCGTTCGGAAAGATTGGGTTAAAGGAATCAGTAAGGACGAGCCAGTCACGACAACTTGCCGAAACCAACTGGGCCTGGATGCAAAGCAGGGAGTCCCACTTCTCCCAGACACGAACCAAGAAAAAGTTATCTCGGAAGCATTAGTTCATGACGAAAGAGTGGCTTACTGGACTACCATTTGATATTTCAGAGCTGTTAAGAAGATGGAAAAGAGTTGAGGTTCACGGGCCACAAACGAGGTTGGCATTTATATGCAGCTAGTCCCAAAATGGCTCTAGTGCATCTCATCGATTGGCGGCCCGCAACATCATCGGATCATCAACCAAATTCCACCATCAACCCTGCCAACAATTCCATCTCGCAAGTCAAATCCTAACCCAGTGAGATGGAACTTGAGATGATATTTCCGGGGCTTCAGTGGATATCTAGTGACCCCACAGCCCAGGTCGATACCCACAAACGCCCTGAGGCGGCACCATGAGGCCCTGAATTCAGGAGATGCTCTCCTCCAACTGGCCGGATGCCCTTCCGGAGAAGTGGAGCGTCGCCTATCATGATCTAAGTGCCCTGGTTAGATGTCCTTATTTTGCCATGCAGGATCAATTATCCGTCGAATCTGTCGAAGCGGACGCGTGTCAACCATTGGACACGATTTTGTGAGGGAGAGAACGATTTGGAGACAGGACGGCACGGCGAGTTGATGCTTGACTTCTATCATTTTCAACGAACCATTAATCCATTATGGCCGACTTTGACCCCGAGAAGAAGTATCAGGAACAAGAAGAGACATTTGTATAACTCTCGAACCCATTCAATTCTACCTACTGACATTATCAAAGTTTGACGATGGCCGAGAAATCGAGCTGCTTCATTTTGTCTACAACAAGTCAGATGTTGACCAAATCAGAGGCTCGCCACAACGGGTTTTGGCCGCAATTGATGAGTATGCCCGAACCCAAAAGTACCTCATGAACGTGGGCGAGGACAAGGGACGCATCGTGGCAGACCTGATTGCCGAAGTCAAGCCAAAGGTTATGCTCGAACTTGGTGGTTATGTTGGTTATTCTTGCATTCTGTTTGGGGATGCAGTCCGCAAAGCTGGCGGTGCTAGATATTTCAGTCTGGAGAGGAATCCTGAATTTGCTGCAGTCATCGCGTCACTCGTGGACCTGGCAGGATTGAGTGACACCGTCAAGGTGGTTGTTGGATCCAGTGATGCCTCGATAAAGCGCCTTCATAAGAGCGGCGCTTTGACCCAGGTTGATCTCATGTTTCTCGACCACTACAAGCCTGCCTACACAACAGATTTGAAGCTTTGCGAAGAGCTGAAATTGATCACTCCTGGGACTGTCTTGGCCGCTGACAATGTCATCAAACCAGGAAATCCACCATATCTTGAATATGTCCGCAGCAGCGTCGATGAGAAGAAGAAAGCAGTCAAGAAAGCCGGCTCGGTGAATGGCGTTGATACTCGCTTCGGTGACCACACCGCAAAGCAGTACCTACGTCGCGAGGGAGAAGCGAAACTTGACGAGAATCGAACAGGTGACCCTTGCCTGGTGTATGAGAGCCAGCTGATCAACAGTTATGAGCCCTCAGGTGTTCCGGTAAGAAAATGTTGGCCGTGCTCGAGTCCATGACCACTGATGACGTTACAGGATGGTGTTGAGATCACTCGATGTGTGGGCAGAAAGGAAAGCTGATAGGCATACAACGGACCTACAACGGCTGCAGAGAAGCATCGGTCATGACCATGTCCAGTCTTTCGCTTTAGGGTAATTGATTTTCGAGAGAGTGATATGGTGTCCTGGTTCTCACAATCATATCATCAATCTTCAACTAATAATGGGTCCTCCTCGTCCACATCACCTCCTGAAATTATTTCACCTGCCCAAGGCTATCTCTGCAATATAATAAATTCTCCAAGCCAAAGACATCTGTAGATCAAACGACAATGAATATCGGATAAACAGGATTCTCCTGTGAATAGCTGCCCAATAGTGCCACCATCTGCCAGGTGAAGAGTAGATTTGTTATGCTGAGCCTTAACCACTGTCTCAAGTGGGCCTTTCAGCGTTGGGGTAAACATGAATGGCATTCTACATCATCGGAAGATATCTCGGTCTGGAGTGACGTCGATATTTCCCACCACCAAATCGGTTTCTCAGCCACATGCAAATGGCGAGGCTTCATTCGAACCAATGTCATGGAATTTCTTTTCTGCTTCAGTTTTTTCCAGTGAACCCAGTGCATATTTGAACAACAAACGGAATATTGGCCATGCTTGACTCAAAGTCCTCCCCGCTCCTTCACACCCTGCAAAATATCTCTCTGATAGCACTCTCCCTTGCATTTCTTCCCCTGGACACCTTCATCTTAGGTATCAGCTATCTTCTAAATCCTATTCTCCACAATAAACCCGAAGAAAGCCGGAGAAATGTGCGATCAAAACCTGGCTTTCAACCGAGAACCATATTGGTCACTGGAGTGGGGATGACGAAAGGATTGGTCTTAGCACGGTCATTCTACGAAGCAGGACATAAGGTCCTTGGAGCCGATTTCGAAGCCAACGGTGCACCAGTCTGTGGAAGAGTGTCCAGAGCCTTGACGAGTTTCCATCCTTTGAGAAAACCAGATGTAGTCAGCGGTTCTGCACCATATCTGCAAAGTCTTCTTGATATCATCATCACTGAGGAAGTTGATATTTGGGTCAGTTGTTCTGGTGTTGCTTCTGCCGTTGATGATGGGATGGCGAAAGAAATCATCGAAGCCAGAACAGACTGTAAGGCGATTCAGTACGATGTCAAGACAACGGAAATGCTTCATGAGAAACATAGTTTCATTGAGCATACCAAGTCTCTCGGTCTGACCGTGCCCGAGACTTTTGAGATTACCAAAAGGAATACTGTCGAGGAACTCCTCCGGAATACACCTCATGGCCGAAAATTCATCATGAAAACAATTGGAATGGACGACTCTGTGCGTGCGGACATGACACTCCTGCCAAAAGCAACACAGGAGGAAACGTCGAGGCATATCGCGAGGCTGAAAATCTCGGAGAAGACGCCTTGGATCCTGCAACAATTTATCAAAGGCAAAGAATACTGCACTCACTCGCTTGTGGTCAATGGCCACGTCAAGGCATTTGTTGCATGCCCTTCCGCAGAACTACTCATGCATTACGAAGCCCTTCCGGCCGATTCATCACTCAGTCGAGCAATGCTCGCGTTTACGAAGACTTATGCCGAAGGAGGCGGCCAAGGATTTACAGGCCATCTTTCATTCGACTTCATGGTGGAAGACCCTCTGAGCAATGACGCCAGTGGCATTGTCCTATATCCCATCGAGTGTAACCCGAGGGCTCATACTGCAGTCGCATTATTTAATGGCATGCAGTCAATGATTGATGGTTACCTCTCAGTGCTTCCCGATCATTCAGCATCTGAGAACCGACTGATGATACCGCAAAGAAAGGACAAATACTACTGGGTCGGACATGATCTGGTCACCAAGGTCATTCTGCCAACGGCACAGTTCCTTACCTTGAACACTTCACTATCAATACTCCTTTCAAACTACAAGATCTTTTTGCTGCACTTCTTCATCTGGAAAGACGGAACATATGAGATCTGGGACCCACTACCTTGGTGGTGGCTCTACCATGTTTACTGGCCGATGCAATTTCTATCATGCATTCGTACGGGCAGGAAATGGAGTCGTCTCAATGTCAGCACCACCAAGATGTTTGAATGCTAACCGGACTGGAACTTGCTTAGGGAGAGCTGCAGATGTAACGAGGATGGCGAGTTCTAAAAGCTAGCCTTGGAGGTATACGACCCCTTTATTGGAGGGTTTGAAAACGTCTCATGCTGTGATTATTCCTTTTGTTCATAATACCAATCGTATTGCATGGTGGGTACTATCTAGGCTCGAAAAGACAGGTCTAGGTTAGAGTCTCTTGATTCCGGGCAAGATGCGAAATCCTAGGGACTATCTCCTTAGATTGGTTGTGGCTGGCTATGAAGGTGCTTGGTGGGGTGCTCATTCCCGAGCTGAAAGCAGATTGAGGTTTGTGACTGCTCGACGCTTCGCAATGTGGTGTTCCCTCGTCAATACCGTTTGATGACGGCTGGGATCCGTTTTCGATGTCATCGATCCTACGATTCTTTCTGCGCCGTGCCCGAAGATTCAAATGCTTCCAGAAAGACCCGTTCTCTCCAATAGTCTTCTCAGTGCGTGAGAGCGTTCTGACAGCGGCTCTGAAGATACGACTTCCGAATGCCATGAGGCTGAAGATCCCAAGGAACGCAAGAAACCATGCGAAATTCGCCTGAGAGAATGGAAGATTCTTCTGCATTGAGAAGAAGCTGGTGGTGGTAGCAATGGGCATCATGTATCCTACCAATCGACTTTGTTCTTTGTTGGTTTTGAAATCTTCACGAGTCAAGATAAGTTCGAGAGCATCTTTCATTCGTTGGCCCTCGTGCTCCATGTAACCAATTTTCTTCTTCAGCGACTTCAATTCCTCAAAGATGGAATCTATTCCAGTGATGGAAGCACTTCCGCCCGCTGTTTGTTGTAGATCGACGAAAAAATCCATGGAGTGGGTACGAAAGGCCTCGTAAGAATCGATTGTTCTGGTTAAACATTCATCCAACTCTGAGAAAAGAAGGAGAAACTGCGTTCTCAAGTTAAAATTTTGCTGATGTGTATTTCTGTCATATTGGTTTTCGCCTTTCGAATGATGTGTTTCTTGTGACAGTAAAGACTCATCGTAACTTCGAGAGTAGCGGCGAAAACTGTCCCTGACAGCTCTGATGATTGTGGCCCACTCAGATCTGGCCTTCATCAGACGGAAATAAACAATGTGAATGAAGTATTCTCTAGGATCCCAGATTGGCTGATCACAATCAAGATTTCCCATTGTCGGCGCGTCCGGAGTCATACCCTGGGGAAGGAGTGATTGCTCGTGATAGTCGTTCACACACTCCTTGCTCTGATCGTCGCCATCGTGGTAAGTGTCCACAAAGCAGTGTGCCACCCAACACCGATCATGAAATCCTGAAACTACACAGCTTACTTGAGCTTCATGGAGTTGAGTCGATTTTGCACTGTCTCGATGATACCAATTCAGGAAAGAGATGTCTTTTGTGTTCCTCAGACGCATCTCCCCGTCGTACAGACGGTGGTCTGTATGCGGTGTAGGAGAAGATCTCAGGGCCAAAAAAGGCAGGTGGAACGATAGTTTGAACATGACCAATCCTTTTGTGATAGAAGACCTCATGATTGACTCAGCAGCAAGATAGTTGCATAGAGCATCACGCAGGGCAGCGGCATGATTGCCCGACACTGTTCTTATCAGTGCCAGCGCTGTGGAAGAGTCGAGGTCAGTAACAAAGATAATGCGTCTGTCAGCGTCTGGCTCTTTGCTTTCAGCTTCGAGATCAGATCTTGAAGTTACTGGGCCAAGCTGGAACGTCGGACTGGGGACACAAAATTTGTCGTTGTCGGGAGCTTGACCAAGGTGCCTCTGCGGGTCCTGGGACGTGAGCTGAAGATCTGAAGGGGTCGAGGAGTTTGCTTTGTTGCTGTGCACACGCCTGCGATGTCTAAAACGGGGACGCTTTAGGAGTTTATAAAGTTCGTCTGCTGTGAGCGGGCCTGGGTAAGGTCTTGATTGGGTCTGAGTTCCGACAAGACTCTTCTCGTCCAGCAAAGCAACGTACGGAGGGGTCGCTGCTTGATCCGATTGAGCGGGCTTCACATTGCTGGCAGTACAAAATTGGGCGAGCCCAGCAGCTTCTAAGCTGAATTCATCAGCATCATCTCCGCCGAGGAATTGCTCGACCTCATCAGCAATGGTCACACAGTCAACACTGTCTCTGAACGTGATTGGTCCATGTGACAATAACACCTCCACACGGCTGTCGATGAAAGGTGTATTTTCATTCTGATAATCGATGTTGTTATGATCTTGTCTCTTGAAATAATTCAAGTATTTGAGGCAGACACTAATGTTTTAGAATTAGCGAACGTGAAACAGTTCACACGATCCGGCAAGAAATCATCATTTAGGATCTTGTATATAGAGGTCACTTACCTCATTGTATCAAACTAGCTGCTGTGGTATCTGTATACTCTAGGGGCATTATAGCAAAGTTGTGGGAATACCTAATCAAGAAAGTAAGCGCCGGGTCACAATTCAGCGAGGTAGAATCTGAAGTGCTAGGATTATTCTCATCAGACCTTTTAAATCAGAAATCTGGAAAAGTCACAAAGCCAAGGGCCATTCTGCCAGTGGTCCAATTTGTGTATGGTTCCTCTCAAGGTTGCATCCATTTTGGGTCTCGCGACTTTCAGGGATTGAATCAAGTAATTGCCCTGCATAAATACACCTCCCATTGGTTCAATCTACTAGTTTCGACCCAACATACTATGACTGTCGTGTTGCCTTGTACTTCCCGAAACTCCTAGTTTTGCTCTTCAATTCTGTCAGATCTGTGTTCATTCTCTCCTCTTGGCCTGACGAAAGAGTCGCTTGTTATGAGTTAAAATGAGGGTGATGCTGTCGTTGATGAGGACACTGCTTCATAAGAATGTTGCAGGTAAGGATTTTGGTACTCGCCAGCCTTACACAATGGTTCCCAGGCACTTTGAGAATTTTGGAATCGCCAATTTTCGCAGTGCCCGGTCGATATGACAGTGAGGGATTATTCTCATTCGCTTTTTCGACTCGACCAATGCTCGACAACCACGAATTCATACGACATGCAACCAATTCTCGACAACCACGAAGTCGTATGAAACTACTTCGCTGTTGGTCGAAGTCTGATTAAGCGATGTCACACGGAGCAAGACTACCTACAAAATTCTTGCGGAATCTCAGGCCGAGGGTTCTAAGTCGCTGTGTACTGTAACTCGCCATTTGTTGGCGAGAGACCGAGGGCTATGTCCCGATCACCAGTGTCCTGAACCTCACCGGCGTCGATCAAGTGCGAAGTAGCGTTTGAACTTGGTTGAAGGAAAACTTGACTTGCTATTGCGAAGTACCTCGTCCAAGTGACTGGGACAGGTCCGGAAAACGTATCTATCTACCTACAGTAAGTTAGTTGAAAACCGAGAAAGTAATTACATTGGATCTTCCTCTTGTCTTGTCAGAATCCCAGGCCCTTCCGTCTCAAGAATACTGGACTTGAAGGGCTACCAGCTCATGATTATGTAGAGAAAGAACGATGCCTCTCTTTGCGGCACAGTTATTTCTCAACAAAGTACTGATGCTTTGATCCAAATCTTCACCGAATTTTTTTGGGATCAAATACTAACTCGCCATCTAACGCCAGAGATTTATTATCGCCTCATCGGAACATTATCATATCTGTGTCATCAACCTTTTCGAGATCAAGACGATGCGACTTCCTCCATTCGAAAAGTGATCGGCGTGCATCAGTGAGTATACCCCAAACTTTTTCCACCATGCGAGCCAATGTTAAACCACGCAACCGTGGAATATGCACCGCATTATCTGTATCTGGACTCTCGTCTCCCGAAATCCTCACCATGGATGATCCACTACAAATGCATGTATCGGTTACCTACGATGGCGCCGTGAGAAATGGCGTGCAAGAGAAAGCCCGACCTTCGGCTTCTATCAACCTCACTTTTGCAAGTCTAAGAGATTATTTAAGTGCGTAACTAAATTTTGTGGCAGATAAATGCCACCGAGAGGCAAGAAGGTGGTTATGTTTGTCTGGACGTGCTGCCATTGTGGTCGGAATCCCATCCCAATAAAGACTTCGTCATGCACTGTGTGCAGTCATATCAGAGATCAAACGTGTCATACAGAGAAGATCAAACAGTGATACACCCATCAACCCAGACGACCAAACCGAGGGGTGATGGGAAGATATGCTGGTGATTCAGGAAAGCGTGTTGCGAAGGCATGAATGAGATTTGTGGTTCCCACGATTGACCCGATTCAAAAGCAACGATTGAAGTGGAAAGTATCCCCGGAACCGTTTCGGCTTCCTTGCGCTCTAGAAAGTTCTATGATACCGTTAGGGTACTGGCGGCACTGTGCATAAAGATAAATCCTTTCGGCATCATTCCATCTTTCCTACTCGTGACGCCCAAGCCCAACTACTGTTTTGGGACAGCCATGAACGGTGTTATTTGCAGTACATGAAACGCGTCGACGTCCACTCGTCACATATGTACCGTGAATCTCATAATTTCGCTGGTGACTATGGGTTGCAATTGTTAGCCCAGAAACTCTAGGACCCACCGAATGTGAACAGTTGCGTGATCTATGTGTCACAATCTCTCGGTAGGTAGATGTCCATCAGTCAAAACATTCTTGTCTACAAGCCGCACAAGGCTGAGAAAGCCTCTAACGACGCCCACGACTTCTTACATAGTCTGGACCGAGGCTGGGGTTGACATATCAAAATTGAGATTGATCTCGCCCTATTAACCTGCTTTCACGAAGTAAATCCTGGGTGGTGCGCCAAAAGTGCAGTGACGATTGAGGAATGATTTCTTACTCCTGAGAATGCAGGACCCCAATACTAATTATCGCCTCTATCAAACACCTTGCTAGGTCATTCTCTAACCACAATCGCACAAAATTGCTGTGACCATTCTAGCCTGTGTTGCAAAGGCGACAGCGCCTGCAGAATGAAACAAACGTCCTTGTGTCATAAATTCGTTAATGCTTCTTGCTACTTTCCAACAACCAGACCACGCCTTCCACGGCATCACTCATCCTCTTCTTGCTCATATCGAGCTGGGGGTAATTCAACCACCAGCAATGCGGCCAACCGGCATACATGTCCAACCGGGTATCAATGCGGCACTCCTCCCTCAGGACCCGCTCATATATCAGACTATCATCCCTCGCCATGTCAAGGCCACAGACCTGGAAATAGGTGCGAGGAATCTCTAGATGGCCGTGTTTCACACTGCCCGTACCCGAATCTGCCGGGTGGTGCTGGTTGAAGCTCGCCCACAGTTTACTGTCGTGGTCAGGCTTGAAGGCGTCGCGGAAGATCGTGTAGAGATCCTCATCGAGTAGGGGCGCACGCTTATTTTCCGACCACGAGAGGAATCGCTCTTTATAGTTCGTGGGCACACGCGCTGGAGAGATGAATGTACCACAGCACAAAAACTGGCCCGTTATTTTCGGAAATAGGCCTTGGTCTCGTGCCAAATGCGAGAGTTCTGCTGCCAATCCGGCGCCTGCAGATTCACCGCCGACGAGGAATCCCACACGTGGATCGGTGCACAGTGGCAGCACGGTGGATCTGAACTTCCGCGACTCAGACGCCGCCCATTCCAGGGTCTCCCAGGAATCGAGAATCGAGAATGGGAATGGGAATTGTGGCGCAAGGCGATACGAGGCGCAGACAATAACGGCTGGACACGATTTTAGGATCTCTCGCGCTAGAGGCACAAGTCCCTCAGGATTTCCGACCGTGTGTCCGCCACCGTGGAAGAGCAGTATCAAAGGTCGTGCGGGTGTCTTGGGACCGAGATCGGCCTCTCGGTGCAGGACGAGGATACGAGATGAGTAGCTGTCCCGGAGTTTGATAAAATGCTGCTTCTCGACGAGGTCCTCTGGCCGTGATTTTGCGAGCGTGGCTTGCACTTGGGGCAAGCTGAATTTGCTCACCTCTTTAATGTCCTCGAGCGTAAAGAATGAACCTGGTGGGAAGGGAGACTTTGCCCACACCTCTGCGAATTCAGGCGCGATCGTTCCCGTGGCGCGGATCTCCTCGACCGTCGTGGGAGGCGTCGACGGCATATTGATGCAAGCTTTCGAATGTATTCGAGATATCAGATTTGTGGACCTCGTCCGAGTCGTGAAGGTTACTTTTGGGTAATAAACAAAGAGGATCCCTCCAGTGTCCACGCGCACATCCGAATATGGCGAAAAAGTCGGCTCAGCCTGATCTGATGATGTGTAAAACTCGTTCACAGCCTCATCGGACTATATTGGTTCCGCCCGTTAGATCTTAGTCGTGCGTGTTTGATTCCAGTCCTAGACATGGGGCCGAAGAAAACGATACTCTGCTCTCGCCTATTTACACTAGAGACAAAGGCATCCACGGGGCCGATCTCGTGGAAATGTCTTGCATTACTTTGTCCTTTCTCAGAAAGAACTTGGCCGATACGAGGCCACCAGAGATCTAGGGACGAGTCGGTGAGATCGGGCTCCGTGTGCGTACGAATGATATGGTGCTGACGGCTTAGGGGGTGAGTGATGGCTTTCTGTTTGCTCGTACACACCGCCCACCACATGCGCACTAAGGCCAAGACATGTGAAAGATGGGGGCTAAGGAAATGGGCTTGGCAGGGGTTGGGGCCTAGAATCTCAAAACCACATTCTCAACCCTTCCTCGATTAGTACAACCATGTGGTCTGCTGGTGTTGCGGTTTGGTACGGACTGCAGAGTACTAAGCCTTGTCAAATTACCATCTGGGTTGTTCGTATTTGTACGAGGCAAGGAGAGCCGGGAGGGCGGACGTCATCTGTGGCGTGTTGCGGCCTGAGCACTACTATCTTAGGTCCCTACAGTGCTGCTTTCCGAACATATTATCGAGCACGGTCGCCCTGCTGTGTAAGATTGTTTTGAATCCGCTGTAGATAGAGTTGTTACCAATTCAAGACCCGAGCACCGCACTGCCCTTTGACTCGCATCTTTAGAGCAAATAGTATTTGCCAAACATAACTGCGAATATTACGACTTTTGAAGAAATTCCTGGACCGTACTTGATGTACATCAGCTACGCATAGAATACCATACTACGCTTCCGACTCCACCATCCACTTATCGCGAGTGAAAAACATATTACACACCGCAGCCTTTAAGGACTTGACCTTCCTTACCACCACGTCACGGATTCGGTCGTGTGAGTCACATTTTTGCTCCATACTCTGCCACAGGAGTTCGCACATGCGTTCTTCAAACCGTTCAACGTCCTCCATACGCTTGTCATAGACAGCATAGATATCGAGCAGAATTGAAAGGGCTTCGGGATTGCCACATCGCATGGCCTTGAGGACGTACTCGTCCATGTTGTCCTGTGACCATGAGGCCTTCTCGAGGTACAACTGTACCATCGGTCGATCCCGACTTCCAGGTGCCGACGAAATCAGCTCACCCGTAAAGCTTTGGTCGGCGCTGAGATGTGGTGGACTCTGGCCTTGGAGCATGATCAGGAGGATCTTGAGGAATGGAAGGTCTCCGAGCGGGATTGCCTCGAGGATGGCGTGGTGAAGAATCTTTTCGTCATCTGCTCGAGTGCTGTCATGATTGAGGGAAGGGATGTCAGTGATGAAACAGCGGCCACCGGCTTCTTGAATCAGATATACCAGGATGCCCCGTTTTTGTGCAGTCAGTGGTGAGGTGAGCAGAGGCCGTGGCGGTAGGAAGTATGGTCTACCCTTGCTGTCTGCTTTCATGTTCTCGAGAATTGCGCTACTCTGTTGTCCCCCGAAGGATAGTCGGCTGGGAAGGTCTTCCGGTTCGCTTTCGTTGATTCGCAAAACGTTCCAGCATTCTGTCCCAGCCCATGCTTGTCGAAATATAAAGGCGTGTTGGCTCAGGGTGACTTCGCAGGCTTCTTCAGTGAAAAGTTCATCCCCCGGTTGCGGTCGCGCGAATCCATCCCACGAGATCTGCAACGCCGGTGAAGGCTTCATCAGAGGCACAGATATGATGATAGACAAATGATAATTGGGCATTGACTTCCATGGTAAAATGAGCGGCAAGTCCTTGGGACCTACTCCATTTCGAGGCGCTGTCCAACTCGCCCAATGACTCTCGAATCTGCGAATATAAGCATCGAGTTTATCAATTTGATCAAACCCTGTGAGCAAATCGGGTTCGTCCAAACGGGCTCTAAAGCTCAAGAGATGGTGTCTGAAAAGGAACAAATGGACCGCATGGAAGCGGCTAATATTCCACCACCCACTGCATAAGACGTCATGTTGAAGTTGTGCACGCTCTTTGGAGGAGAGTGGAAATGACACGTTCATCCCAATGCCCAAGACAGCATGATACTGCTGTAGGAAGGACTCCGTCACCGGCCCCGGGAATGTGAGATTTTGTCTCCACGGTCGATCATGGAACGATGCGTGTATGGGACTGATCTTACTGAACGCAAGAATAGCGAATGATCGGGCCAAGGTTGTGAAAGGAGGAAGACAGGCACGGAGCTCTCGACAAACGTTGATGAGGGATAGTTCCCGGGAGTACCCTAGTATCAACAAAAGTATTTCGGCGGGTAAGCTAGGTAGATTGGAGGTGGACGCCATGATCAAGGTTGCGGGAATTGAAGTGAGGTTGAAGCAGAACGTAGAGCATGAATGGAGTAATATAGGCAACAAGGCGGCCGCTCTCGTCAAGGCTCAGAAACTTACGCTAGTCCTTGAAGGGTAAAGTGCATATGCATGAAACCAGAACATCGCCAAGTGTTATGGTCCCTGTCTGCATCTCGCTGTTCAAAGTGTTAGCGTCAAGTACAGAAGATAATCTCATAGGCAAAGGATTCCATCATGGTTCTCTTGGAAGTGTGGATCTCCCTGTGCATAACCTCATTTGCTCATTACCAATGACATTTTCATTGAAGCGGCATATCACCGCGGCGCCGGTCTATGTGGAAAGTATGTATAAGTCTTGAAATGTCATGCAAGGGCCTCGGCGTGACGAGTTTGAGGTTTGCGCGTCAATTCGTATGGTTTCTGTCCCACCCCCGAGACTAGTTGCTTGCATCGCAGGTTGATTTGCGTGGGAGCGAACCCATCGAGGGCTTGGGGCTCGCCAAGTCATATACATGTCTCGACAGAAGTGTCCTTATGACGAGTGCGCGTCCCGTAACTGCTGGACATTCATGCTCTTGGAGAAGGTAGGGGATCTGATATACACTTTTCATACATAGCCTGTGGAGGGAACTGTCAAATAGAGGTCACGTGCGGGATGGACACCGGGACATACCTTTTCTGGCTCCTTGAAAGAAGAATCTGACCACCAAGACCTGCAAGACGGCCATCCCCACCATCATGATCACTTCAATCAAGCTGAAATTGAAGATTCGCTGTTCTGTACTTCGGACTGTGCTGAAATTGCGGTTTTCTCTTGTCCTGAAATACTTCTGCATCCGACTGATGGTACTTAATTGCCCGCTCACTTTGAAGATGGAGTCCTCGAGGGAGGAGTGCTGTTCAGGGCTGGAACCGGCCTTCTGGGGTAATAAGGCCGACTTGGATTCGTGCTCGACCTATCGTGGAAGAAATCAGATGATGTGAGTGTATGTCGCATCCATGGAGACCTACTGCAATTTCAAAGTCCACCATCTTGTCTGCATAGGTCGACATTTCATTGCTGAAACAGAAGCGGTACTCTCCAACAGTCTGCGCGGTGAAGACGAAATCTCCTTGTCGTTCCTTCTGCCCTTCCATTATCCTCTTGTCATTTGGTCCGACCACCGCGTAATCGACATCGAACGAGCCGCCGGATTGGACCTGAGATGGCAATCGTCAGCAAATATATGACGCATAGTCACATGAGGGAGACTCACTGCGAAGTAAAATGCGATTTTGGCCTGGCCAATCTCAATGTTGGTAAAGAAGCATGCCTTCTCACTGGCACCCAACTTGTATGTCAATGCAGTGCCATAGACAGTAGAAACCGTCAGGGCCAATAGGCCGAGGAGCATCGAGGAAAATTGCATGGTGGCTGCTTGAGGAATCGTGAGTGACACAGGTTCTCAAGAGCAACACTGAGTGTCAATGCGGGCTTCAACTTCAAGGTCAAGTTGAACTTGAACCTGGCTGCGGGAACTTTTGTCGAAAGGGGCCGCAAAGGGGCAGGCAAGGCCACTTTGCACCAAAAACCCGCGAAATCTTGGCAGTGAAAGCGGCAATGTTTGACCTCGGTATTAGGGTATGACCATATGCCGCTTTATCATTTCACCAAACGCGGCTCGGCGCGACTGAATGGACTTCCTGGTCGCCCGCGCCGTCCACTGGCGAGATGTGTTCGGATAGAAGGTACAATCGGATGTAGAGTCCATCTGTGTATTGCAATAAAGCGGTCACAACGAGAAGTTCATGCACGGAATCATCATTACATAGATCTTGTCGAATGCCTCGATTTGAATGATGATGGTAGCCTATTTGGTTCAAGTGGGGTCGTTTCCAAACGCCGTGCCCCGCCATCAGGTATCAAAATCTCAGCCTGAGGCTTAGGACATCCCATGGCGCCTTACTCCTCCCTTTTTCTCTTCGGATTGTGAGCCCTCTTCTGTATAATTGGGAGCAACAATTCCAATAATGCCTTTCTCCAAGCTATTTGGGAAAGAGTCGAAAAGCTCCCATAAGAATGGCACGAGCTCCAAGCCAAAGGAGCAAGACATCCCAAAATCATCTTTGAGAGCATCCTTAGGTACGGTTGCAACTCCAGAGAGAGTCAATCTTCATCTCGATCATACAAATAATATTAATAGCCTCTCATTTCACCAGCCACGGAGAAGCGAAAGAGTCAGAAAGTCCTGCACGCATTGACCCAGAGCCAGGTGCCAGTCTTCCGCAGATACTCCAGAGTAAAGCCGACCGTGAAGTCGCGGAATCTCCAAAGGGTGATGCTTCATTGATTGCAGAAAAAACCCACGGGGCTTTCCGCGCATCTGAAGATACCAAAAACCCATTCGGGCTGAATGATACCCTTGATTCGCCTTCTGCAAGAGCTGATCTGGGGGTCAAAGATTCTTCGGCAGCCAAGAGCCCTAGTCTTTCCCAGGAGATCTGGAATGATGCCTACGAAGCGATCTCGAAGGACGAAGGCGATCTGGTCAAGTCTTATGCCATGGCCTTGAAAGTGTTTCTGGAAGACGAGAAAACGAGCAACGCGCCATCGCTGAATAGCGATCTCTATCTGTCCCAATTCAATGACCGAACTCAACGACAAGAATATCTAGAGAAGCTAGTTGCGAAGGGAAGGACAAAGATCATGACCACGGTGAAAGTCTCAAATGTTATTGGCAACATTGCCGACGCCGTTCTAAAGACTAAGCCAGTTACCGATCTCGTACTCACAATTCCCCAAGCCGCACCCGCTGCTCTCCCGTGGGCCGGTGTTTGCATTGGCTTGCAGGTGAGACATGATGTTGTGTTTCAACGAACCCAGCTGATATTCTAGATACTCTCAAATCCCAAGTCAGCCTTGAACTCCAATCTCGCCGGTGTCGCGTATGTAGCTTCTAGGATGGATTGGTATTGCGCCCTTGTCGAACATTTACTTCATACAACCAACGTTGATTCGCCGAGTGTATCATACGAATCAGTCCTCGAGAAGCTGAGGGGGAAGGTTATGGAGCTCTACAAGACCATCCTGCTATATCAAATGAGAAGCGTATGTTCATATTACCGGAATCAAGGCTGGAACTTCTTCCTGCAACTCTGGAATTTCGATGACTGGGATGGCGCTCTGGACTCTGTTGTGCAAGCTGAAAAATCTCTCATGGATGACTGGGACAGGTATGACAGAGCGAAAGCTGGTAGGGTTCGAGATGAATTGCTTCAATTGACCAACTTGATGGAAACCCATCTTGATGATATTCGTCAGACCCTAAGAGATCATTTCATTCAGCAGGATAAGAGGCTTCAGGATAAGGAAGTCCATGAAACTCTCTCAGCACTTTTCGTTGTCAACCCTCTTGATGATATGACTCGTATAGTCAATGAGAGAGAACCTTTAATTAACGATGTGCACAAATGGATCCTCAAAGACGAAAAGTACGAAGCCCTTACCAATTGGACAGATTCAAACGATCCACAATGTCGATTGTTATGGATCAAGGGTGATGCCGGCACTGGGAAGACAATGCTTCTGATCAGTATCGTTCGAGAGCTCTCTAACCAGCTTGCCAAGTTTACCCCTTCACTGTCGTGCTTTTTCTTCCAAAGTCAAGGCAAAACGAAAAAGGCTTTGGACAAAGCATCAGATGCTTTGCGCTCCCTGGCGTGGATGCTGCTCACTTCTCAACCAGATCTCGCCGTACATCTACAAGGAGACTACAAGCTTTCGAAAGAAAAACTCTTTACAGACGCAAATGCACCGGAAGCGATGCTTCGAAATCTGGAAAAGATTTTAAGGCATGCTCGGCCAGTATATTTCGTCGTTGACGCTCTTGACGAGTGTGATCATGATTTTGATCGAATTCTTGATCTCATTGCGACTTCTCTGTCCATCTCCACGAAAATAAAGTGGCTAATTTCTAGTCGTCCAGAAGTCGACCTACTTACAAGGTTAGACGACTTACGAAAGGACAAGCTTGAGATCACACAGATTGCTTCAGAGTTAGACATGGAGGGTCAAAACGACCGTGTGGACACCTACATTCGATACAAATTATCAGCCCTCCAGAATTCCAAGAAATTCGGCAAATCATACCAAGATGAAAATATTTTGAACGAAATATCCAAGGAAGTTACCCGCCGGGCAGAGGACAATCTGCTATGGCTCTCACTTGTCTTCGACGACCTGTCGCAAATGCGAGGAAGTTATGCTATCAAGAGCATCAAGAAGTATCCCAGTGGACTGCCTCAACTTTACGACCATAAGATGTCAATTCTTGAACATGAGGAAGGAGAATACTTGAACTACTGTAAAGACGTCTTGATTGCAACTTCTCATACCCAGCGAGCCCTGTCTCTTACTGAGCTTGCGGCACTCATTCCCTGGGCAGACGAGACAGATCCATCTATGATAGTGGATAAGTGCCGCTCATTCATCACCGAAATTGAAGAAACAATCTCATTGAACCACAAGTCTGCAAAGGACTACCTTGTGAGTATAGTACCCCGGCTGAGGGGTGGAGCCATTCAAGGCCATGCGGAAATCGCAAAGATGTCCATTGAAGTTATGAAACTAAGTCTCAAAAGAAATATCTACGGGCTCAAGTATTCGTCAGCCCCAACTGATATAGAACCACCGGAATCCGACTCACTCGCTTCAGTGGCTTATGCTTGTGAGTTCTGGGCCGACCATTTACGTCTTGCAATCGAGCAACGTGAAGAGAGCTTTGAAATACAGAAAGAACTTTGCACACAAGGGTTCCATTTCCTGACGCAACATTTCCTACACTGGCTTGAAAGTTTAAGTCTTTTACAGAAATACTCGAGTGGGATTATATCCATGAGAAATGTTTTGCGAATTATTCAGGTAACGTTGGCAACAGGCGATACGGTCTACATGTGCTAAACTATCACAGCAGCTTTATGACCAAGACTACGAAATCCCTCGCTTCTTGATAGAAGCAGTGAGGTTTGCGACGACCTACGCCTCGATTATAGAACGTGCTCCTATGCAAATATATGCAGCGGCACTTCTCTTTTCACCAGCAAAGAGCCAGATGAAGGAGTTATTTTGGGAGCGAGAACGCCCAGACTTCGTTGAGAGCATCCAAGGGATCAGTCGCAGTTGGAACTCATGTTTACAAATTCTCGAGGGTAATGACAGCACTGTGGTCTCGCTTGCTTACTCTAGCGACGGCAAGAAGCTCGCGACAGGTTACTATAGTGGGAGATTGCGCCTTTGGAGTGTTGAGACGGGAACTTCAGAGCCGCTCAAAGGACATGATGACACGACATTCTTTGTTGCGTTCTTGGAGGACGGCAAGAGGCTTGTATCAGGATCATTTGGTGGGGCGGTGCAAATCCACAGCATCGAAACCGGAGCTTCCAAAATTCTTGAAGCCAACAAAGATGCTCTCGACGCAATGGCCGTTTCTCCTGATGGTGCGATGGTAGCGCTAGGGTCAAGCGATGGGCGATTAACGCTGTTAGACATCGAAACGGGCAGTGTCAAAGGAACAGTCAAGGCCCATACGGACAGGATCATGTCAATTGCTTTCTCGAGCGACAGCAAGACCCTAGCATTTGGCGATGGCCCAAACCAGGTGCTACTCTGGGAGACCAAAACGGGCGCGGTCAAGCTTCTCGAAGGCCGCACGGATTCGGACCTATTGCCTGTCTTCTCTCCCGATGGCAAATTGCTGGCCTTAAGGTCAATGGACAATAATGTGCACTTGTGGGACGTCTGCACAGGTGCGATCAAGCAAACAGTTGAGACCAAGACGAAGCGAGTGAGAGCGATCACTTTCTCGAACGACAGTGCTACCCTAGCGTTTGGGGATGGGCAGCCAGGGCAGTATTACGTGCATCTGTGGAATCTCAAAACGGGTGCTAGTAAATTGCTTGCGGGGCATACGGACTGGATCAGGTCGATCGCCTTTTCAAAAGATGGCGCGATGCTTGTTTCAGGGTCGGCGGATAACACAGTGCGGCTTTGGCAGGTTGAGAGCGGGACGTCGCAGGTTCTCAAAGGCCATACGGGGAGCGTAGAGCTAATTGCGTTTTCACCGGATGGCACGACATATGCATCAGCAACAATATCCGAACAGACGGTGCGGCTCTGGGGTGTTGGAAGCTCCAATTTCGAGCATCTCGAGTCTCATGATTCAGCAGTGAGGTGGGTCAAGTTTTCCGCCGACGGGACAGTGCTCGTGTCCGCGAGTAGAGGCGACGGTACAGTGCGGCTCTGGGATACAAAAGCAGGGACTTCTCGATCTCTCGAGGGCTTCAGTTGTTATGCTGATCCGATCGCTCTCTCGCCGGATGTCAAAAGTCTCGCAGTTGCGGATGCTCATTCTTTAAAGCTCTGGCATTTCGAAACGGGTAAATTCCAACTTCTGGACGACTCGTTCGAAGCGCGCTCTCTCGCCTACTCGCCCAATGGCAAGACCCTTGCTTCTGCGAATGGTGAGGAGCTCCGGATCTGGAATTTAGAAGCAAGCACTTTCCAAGTGCTTGGGAATTCTGAGGTTGTTGTGTTCTCGCCTGACGGTAAGAAACTTGCTTCAGAGTCAGATGGTGGAATCGGTCTCTGGGAAGTAGAGACAGGTGCCTTCAAGCCGCTTCAAGACTCGCCCTCATTTAGTGCAACACAATTGATCTTTTCTCCGGATGGCAAGACTCTTGCTGCATCATACAATTATGAGGGCGGGGTGGTGCGAGTATGGAGCACTGAGACAGCCCAGCTTCAACGGACGCTTGCAAAGGCATGTTATCATTCTATGTTTGCGTTTTCCAATGATATGTCTTGCATATACACCGACAAAGGAATCATCCCTCTCGATACGCCTGAGTCAGCAGCCTCCTCAGGCCTGTTCGACAGAGAACGATGGATCTGTCGTGGCTCGGAACCTGTTCTGTGGCTTCCTCCAGAATATATAGCTACGAGCGTGGATGTTTTCGGGGATACTGTTGCGCTGGGACATGAATCTGGCCACGTAACGATCATTGAGTTTAGTCCATAGGCAAATACTAGATTCTGAGGATGAAGACGGCGAGGAAAGACCAAAGAGGGTCATGCAAGGTTTGAGCACTGTTTAGAGCGAGTATGAAGCGGCGAATAGCCGATTAGAATAAGGCGGCAGGTTGCTCGTTCTACACTTGGGGGTCACGAATAAAACGTTGACTGGATGTACTTCTGCTTACTGGGGAGGAAAGGATCCGACTCGAAGGTAACCCAGATCAGCACTTCCTGCGAAGAGTGCGGAGTAGTAGGCATGCCGAGTCAACCAAGTTGACCGGGGCGGCCTAACATAAGAGGGGGGCATAAGATGACAACAATCTCCTCCTCGTTAGGAAGGTGACAGGAGCAACATCCAGTTACAAGATGCTGACACAGAGACTTGACAGAAACTCCTCACACGTAGCTGTTTGATGAATTCATACAACCAGAGCGTGCACACGATGGCGCCCCTCTCTGAATATGCTCTGCGATATGCCTTCAATGCTTTTTATATCTGGATCTCCGTACTCTCAACTGTATGTTGCGTGAAGAGCGCTTGATATATTGTCCATGAAAGACCTTACTGACATCTAACAAGATCACTGGAGTCCTGGTCTTGAAGTTTCTGTACAATGTCTCCCCCTTTCATCCACTATCTAAATATCCAGGACCGCTCCTGTGGAGAGCATCCAGGATCCCCGCATCTTACCATCACGCATGTGGTGATCTCTACAAATGCATCGCCGCCATACATGTCAAGTATGGTGATACAGTCCGCATCGCGCCCGATGAGCTCTCATTCAGCGCCCCCAGTGCGTGGCCACAGATCTACAATTCCCGTCCGCAACTGAACAAGAGCAAGTGGCACTTCGCGCCCAACGATGTCGAGAAACTCCCTGCGAGTATGATTACAGCACCTGACGCTGAGCACGCCAGACTTAGGCGTCTCGCAGGTCCCGCTTTCCTCAATGCCGGCATCGCAGAAGTCGAGCCTGTCTTACAGCAATACTCGGACCTCCTCTGCTCACAACTCGCTGTGGCCAGTGGCGAAGGCTCGCAGAACCTTGTGGAGTGGTTTCTATGGGCTCTCAACGATGTCATCGGTCAGTTGGCGCTCGACCAGGAATTCCAATGTCTCGAAAAGCGGCGCATGCACCCGTGGCCACATTTCCTGCTCTCCGTGTTGAAACAGACTGCCGCCCTCAATCAATTCAGGCGGTTCGGGTTTCCAATGCAAGTCCTCCAATTAATGATGACTCAGAAGATGAAAGAGGAACGTGATAGCTTCATGGATTTGGCCAAAACCTCCATCAACAAGCGGCTCTCTCGGGACAAGGAGGAGTCTTCGGAAATCGTAATTGACAATGCTAGTAGCAAGAAGAGACCTGACATTGTCGGTCTGATGCTGCGAGAGATGAAAGGTGGCGAACGATTGACCGAGGGAGAAATTATGTCCAATTCGGTGCTTATTGTGGGAGGAGGAGCAGAGACGACCAGTACTTGCTTGAGTGCCACCTTCTACAACCTGTGCAAAACCCCACATGCGATGAACAAACTGAAAAACGAGATCCGCAGAGCTTTCTCATCCAACGAGGAAATCACGGTCAAGGCAACGGCGGCCCTCCCGTATCTAAAAGCGACCGTCGATGAATCTTTGAGAGTCTTCCCAGTGGCTAGCTACATCACGCCCCGAGTGACACCGGAAGCGGGATATAACATCAATGGAGAGCACATCGGTGGCGGAGTAAGTCCCCTCTCTTTATTTGCAGAGCATCGCTAATCTCAACATATAGACTTACATTTCCATGGGCCAATGGTACATGGGCCGGTCAGCCAAACACTTCGAGGAGCCTGAGAAATTCAGGCCCGAGCGATGGTTCGATCTCGAGACGAAAGGGCCCGCTGGACTCGCGGTCGACGAGGTTCTTCGCCCCTTTAGCTTGGGCCCGAGGAACTGCATTGGCAAACTGTAAGTCAATTCTCCACCCTTTGCGTCAAACTATATGACCAAGAACTGATCTGCAACAGACTAGCGGTCGCTGAAGCTCGACTCGTGATTGCGAAGCTTTTGTGGAACTTCGACATCGAGCTTGACGGGCCGCATGAGACGTGGGTGGAAGATGCGAGGTTCTATGTGAGTGGCTTCCCAAACCGTCAATTATGTCCTGATACTCATTGTTCGCATCAGATCCTGTGGCAGTTACAGCCTTTGAATGTCAAGCTCACCCCTGTCAAGCGATGATGACGCTTTGTGTTCGTCTCGCCTTTTGTTTTGTCCAAGGCGATCAGCATGGAAGACTTTCGCGCAGGGATGATATCGATCGGGTAGTGGGTGGAGGGAACAGGACAGCGTGCGAGAGAGTTCCTCTGTCCCGTGAATTTAGTAGTAGCTTCCTCGCTTAGCAAGGTACTCCAAAGATCGAACCTCACACCCAACATCTACAAATGCCATGGTATCAATTGAGGTTATAATTAGCATTCTAATTGCCCGCCGCCAATCACTCATGATGATCTGCTGAAGCATCTCAAGCCTTATCCCTATGAGCACCAGAGCTCATAGCAGGGATTGGTGGGCACATCGACGTTCCCGAATACGAGCCCATCTCCTGATGTGCCGTGCCTAGCCTAGAAATGCATCTTCTTTCCCCCGACTAGAAGGCGTGCAGATCATTAAAAATAGCATTCTTGGTCGGCCTCGCTTCCAGAGGCATGCATATTCACTCAATGCCGTTTCTTCGAGAGATATTGGCACCTCATGACGGCTCGCTTGCAGTGACTCATTACCGTCGTATCAGGGTAAAATGAAGATTGAAGTATAGATTCAGCATGTGCCATGCAAGCAGGGCTATCGATCTATCTGGCCTCGCGATCCACTGACCCCTTCTTCTCAAACCACCACCAGCGGAATCTGCTAAATCATGGCCAGCAGCAACAGAGATAACAAAGACATTCGAAGGCTCCCCACCGACAAGTCCATCACCTTCCGACCCACGAGGATCCTGTACCTCCGTCCACTGATTGACAAGGACCAACACTCCGAAATCCTCGACCTCACCGCCCGTCTCGAACCACTGTTCCGCGACGACATCACGCCCGAATTCCAGGAGCTCGTTCAATTGACGCTGCGGGCCAACCCGGTTTTCCCACCGACATGGGTCATCAACGGGCCGGCGAAGTTCGTAGCCTCGCATCTCACCGTCGAGGCTTCTTCATCCACAGCGGAAAGCGGGACTGGACAGACGACCAAAGCCGCTGTTGCTGAAATCCGAACACACCTTCTGAACTTTGGTACCGTTCACATCCGCTTCCCGGCGAACTCGATGCACAGCACGCATGAGATCAAGGTCGAGCCGCTCTCGCATCGGTCTCGTGCGCAAGTATTCACGAAAGACAGCGTACCCTATGTCTGGGACACTTCTTCCTCTGGCGCGTCGACCACGACAGCAGACAGGGGTTCAACATTCTGGAGCAAGCCCATGGCGTTGAGTGGACGCTTGGCGCTGTCTAAGGCTGTGGCGGGAAAGAGATTCGAGGTCGCTCGGTATGAGAGTGCGAGTGGGAAGTTTGAACTGGGGGGTCTGCTGGTGCTGGAGGATCGAGAAGTCGATGTGCTTGTTGCGGTGCTGACGCTTGTGGCGGTGTTGGGCCAGAATGATTCATTTTTGGCACCGGGGCTGGATTTGATGGGCTAGAATTTGATTCTCTGCTGTAGATGGCAGTTTACGAAGGAGAGGAGAATCGTTTGCTTGAAGATAGACTTGATTTAATCGTCTTTTGGAAATTCTTCCTTAATGCGACCTATCCACGATCGATGATCAACCATTAAGGCCATCGTCTCGATTACTGCCATGCACCATATCAAGCGTGATACGCAGTGCGAATTCTCATCATAGAGAAATAGAACCCAGTCACATGAGCGAGTTGACAAGCAGAGTTCTTCGGGATCCTCCCCTCATCTAGGGTCAATGTCCTTATATGGCCTAAGCACGCAAAAGCGGCGCGGAGTGGCTTCGTGCTGAGTTCTGGTTGAGCATGTCAAACCCGTTTGGTACCTTTCGTGCGTCGTGCTGCACCATCCAGCTCGAGGCTGGCGACTCGGTCCAGCAAAACATGACAAATGGTGGGATTTCCTTGAAGAACGGGTGGTAAGCCATGTTGACGTTGAGATCGAATACTCAGTATGTGTGAGGACTTCTTGAAAATAGAAATGAAGCAGAAGTGATGCTACCTAAATCTCAACGGCAGGAGCAGCAGAGCCCGCTGGAGGAGTCTTCGGCCCATTTTTGTCCCTGACAACTTCCGGCTTTGATTTCAGGGGATGAAATTCAAAGATTTCGCTCCGACCAACCCGACCAGCGTCCCATTTTCCCAGCCGATCGCCCAGGTAGCCCTTGTCCCATATTAGAGCACCTACCCAAGGCTGAACGTTCCAGCTCACTTGTAGAGTGGCGTTTCCTCTTTCACTGAGCACACCACTTGGATCTGTGACTTGGTATTTGGGTTTCTGGTTCTTCAAGGAGAGTACCCCGGGTTTGGTGAGATCGGTGGTTTTGGCCTTGGCAGCAGGTGTCTTTCTGCTCTTGCTCTTGGACTTTTTCTTCTCTGGAAAGTACTTCTGCTTCAGACTCTGCCACGAGTAGGGCGTAGCAGTCGTCGGTATGATTGTATCCCAAATAACGGCCTCGGACATTCCACTGTTGCCGTCCTTGGCACTGGGATAGTTCACGGTAATGTAGACAAACAGCTGCTTCGTGTTCCAAGTGAACAGGCTCGAGAGGTCCGCATCAAGGTCAAATCGGATTTGGGCATACTCCTCACGCTTCTCGGAATAGTAATGCGGCCTTCCCTTGACCACTTGAACGTTGCGGACGGAGATGGATGCGCTAGGAGAGGAGGCTGGAGACGGGATGGGTACTAGAGAGAGCACAGCAATGATGGCCGCCAGAGCAAAGGCACATGTTGTGAAGTACCCAAAGGTAGATTGCAAGCGATTGGCAGTGCTGTGCATCTTGGATGAGGCTCGCGCAGGCGAGGGGAATTACGGGCGAAGATGAAGGGAAACACCGCGAGAAAAGAACGAGGTTCGCGCTTGGGATCTCAGTACATGTTGATTCAGTGTCTGAGATCAGTGTAAGGGGAGGCGTGAAGTGTTCAGAATGAGCCTTGACTCTCGGACCATATGGTTGAAGGACAGGTGGTGACTGCGGAGAGAATATCTCGGCGAGTCATGATTATTGCCAAGACACTAGCCCTCGAGTCAAGCAAATCTCGCTTGCTCTTTTGATTTCTCAAAAACTTCCAACTCAAACTCTTCTTCTCTTTTTCTTCAAGGACTTCAGCTTGGCGGCTCACACTCGAGGCATTCAATGTTGCTTAGAAGTGGTGGCAACTGGTGGAGTTACTCTACTATGTTGTCTCACGAAGTCCTAGAAGGACCACAAAAACCTGCCGTTAATCGCCCATACATCTCTCTTCATGAATGATGTGGGTTTCATATTCAAGGTTACATATTCATGACTTGGTACTGTGATCCTGAACTGTCATACTACCGTGTTCAAGAAAACACACCACAAATAACATGACCGCTGTGAAGCGACCCTGGTCCGCTCGGGATCGTGTAGAGCTGGGTCAAAAAAAGACTTCTAGATCTAGGACAACACAAGTCCCTCGCAGCTGAGGATTCCTAACCTGGCCCTTTCCACTCAAAATCAGCGATCCTCGACGGGATCGTGCTCAAAAATTGCTATGGCTAATAAGCAGACCTGGCGCCATTCCACAATCGAAAAAATTCCTGTCCTAGGTGCCCTGAACCATCATAATGTTTTACACATAATCCAATCGGTCTGAATACACCTCCCCATCTGGAATTCGTGTTCGCCAACCCGCGAAAACCCCATGGCCTCATATATGCATTGAGCCTGGAAGTTGCCTTCCCAGACACCAAGCCACATTGTTTGGTATCCTTTTTCCAGGGCCATGGTCTCGGTCACTCGGGTCAAGGCCCTCCCAAGCCCCTGGCCGTGGTAATCTGCATGAACATATAACCGTTGCAGTTCCACGATGTTGGCCAAGTCGTCTATACAAGGCTCGCTTGTACCTTCAGTCAATTGCGCAAAAGCTATGACTTGGTTATTCGTAGTATCACAAGCGACAATAACGTGCTTCTTCGGGCTCAGTATGTCTTCCTGGACTGCTGGAATGCTGTATGCTTCGTCTAGATAAGCGGCAAGATCCTTTGCTGGGATTGAGAACCCGAAAGTTGTGGAGAAAACTGATGATCCAAGGTCTGCAATAACTTTCGCGTCTTGCACCGTAGCTGTCCTTATTTTAAAGGGTTGAGGGTCTAACTTTGATGATTTTGGTCGCACTTGAACAGCAGAAGGGGATGAAAATTGAGGGTTGTACGTTAGGTCTGGTGGGGGTGAGTGGATGATGGCCTGGGCAAGCATCATCGTGTCAATTGTCAACGATAAACAGGCACGATATTTAGATGGTTACAAATCAATCCGACATGCTTGTTGTTCAGACAATCGGCAACAGCTGTACGACCTCGGGGTTGATATAACACATATGAGAAGATGGTGGTGAACTCAAATATGTTCCTGGCACGCCCTGCCACTGAAAATCACGATATGATGATGGCGATCAACGCTTTTGCCGCCCTGTGGGTAGAAACTCAACCCCAGACTTTTCAGCCCTGGGACGGCTTAGACACGCCCTGCCACAAACGAACATCACGATAAGCCATTCTTCCCGCCTGGACGATTAGGGAAGCTCAAGCATCAGACATCCGTTCGGGCAGCAATATCACACCATAAGACGGACCGTGAAACCCGATCCTCCACCTATTCGTTCTTTTGTCGGGTTGTCGGGGCCTGGTTTCCTCCCTTTGCTATCGTCAAAATCGTTCCTTTTTCAACAGCGACGGCGACCTCCGCCCTTTCTCCACCGCAGATATCCGTCGGGAACCGCGCCCTCTTTCAAAGGCGTGTTCCTGATTCCTTGATCCTTTGTGGGCAATTACAAGACGGGCCGTCACGGAGCAAGGATCGATTGGCCGAAGCTTTACTGACCTCTTCACGATACTCTTTGCCATCAGTGCGCATCGCGACCTTGCATCCTTATTAGGTAAGGACAGTGTTTGATGGAGATGAAAGACATCAACGACACAAGGTATGTCAATAGGTATGATTTACCTTCAGTAGCATTTTGAGTGCTCATGCGATCATGTCGGCGTCCTTTGATCTCAACCATCTGAACATTCCACTCCATCTCGGGATGCCCTGCTCTCTCGCATCCCATGCGATACCTACAAGCTCTTGATAGACCTCTTCACGCTCTTTTTGAGTCTTCGCGCTTCGGCCTTTCTTGGATATCCGGACCTCGATGGTTCGTTTCGTGCAGATACCGGCTGATGGCAACATGACCTCGTCACTTGAATCCTCGACAATGGAGAAAAAGTTGAACCCCAATGAGAGACTCTGCGCCTTATTTAGGGATATCAACCCAGCCCGGATCACACAACTCCTCTTGTTGTACCTGGCGCGGACGTCAAAGGTATGATCCCCGATCTGGCTATTGATGCGGATCTGCGCCAGGCCGAGGCTCATGTCAATGGGTTGCAAGACCTCTCTACGGATGACAATCCTTTGAAGCTGATCGAAGCTGGAATTGAAGAACTTGTTCCCCAACTCTCGAGCGATGGACTCATCGCTCTCATACAACATTGGGAGACTGGATCCCAATCCACACCCGCTCGATGTTATTTGTTTGATGATGTGTTTTGGCGCAGGACAACTCAAACTCTTCTTGTATGCGATTGTGCAACAGGTGCACGCTATAAGTGGCTGGGCTTCATCGAGGTGTTGGCGTTTCGCCGGGGGACAAGGTCTCTCTTTGGCACCAGTGGTCGCCAACCTGTCAACGGCACCCTTCCGACGAGTTATGGAAGGATCAAGGATTTCTCCTCCTCCTATCACGTCCCAGAGCCTATCGACCTCACTACTGGCAGTTCTTTTCAATTTATTTGGTCTGGCGGAGTCAGAGGTGACGGGAGTGGACATTGGGGCTTGGCGATGTGAGGAGGTGGCAGGCGACATGGTCGGTTTGCGAGATTTAAGAGAGCAGAGAGTGAGTATGGTTTATGCGAGGATGGGAAGAGCGTAACGGTGGCTGCAAAATGAAGAACATGAAAATCATTTCGCTCCAGCTATATCTACATTTGAGAGTTGTTTGCTCTAATGGGGAGGTCCTCAGAAGACGCAGCCTGATGCCTCACTGGGACTCGCCAGGGACAACCGTATCAGGACCATATGACCATTCACCCGCCTGTCAAGACCACCGCCTCATCCTATCAGAAGGCGATCTTGGAGCAACAAGGCAACTGTAGAGCTTGAGGCCCACTGTTTAGGTTGTGATTCTAACTTTGAATGACTGTTCGAGCCTTGCCCGTAATTGCTCGAGATTCTGGAATTTCGCAGCTCTTTGCCATGGAACTCTGCAGCAATGCAAGACATCAAATCCCTGATCTGGTCATGCCTACTAGGAGGAATCGAGAGACGTTGCAGGGACGAGGGACAAAGACGAACCTGAAATATCAGAGAGACTTTGACTAAACTCTATTCTATTAGCTAGTCTAGTATACCACTTGATCTCTAGGCTTGTCGACATGCGACACAGGCAAGTGCGAATAGTTCTGATCAACACTATGCAAAGGACTCCACTGCCCCTCCTCTATCGTCTACCATCAATTCTATTGTCGACTAAGCCGCTGGAGCGAACGGATAATCGATATATCCCGTCGGAGACTTTGGCCTGTAAAACGTGTCCCGATCATAATCATTGAAGGCGATATTCTTCTTGATGCGCATGGGCAGATCGGGGTTCGCTATGAAATGTCTTCCAAACACAATCGCAATCTTGTACGACTTATACCTCTGCAACGTATCCTCCGCACCCTTGGCCGTGAAGCCACCCGCCAAGAAGGTCGCGCTGTGGGCGGATTTATTCTCGGTCCACGCCTCGAGAAACGGATCGACCTGTTCCGAGACGACATCGATGGTTTGGTTCCCTGAGATCCGCGACTCCACGATATGGATGTACGCGAGACCCAGCTCCGCGAGTTTCGTGACGTGATGTTTGAACTGGGGTACTGGGTCTTTCATCTTCATGCCCTGGAAAGGACTCCACGGGCTGATTCTGTAGCCCGTCTTCTCGGGCCCGATGGCGGCCGTGACGGCTTTGGTGACTTCGAGACCAAATCGAGAGCGATTCTCGATGCTGCCGCCCCAGCGATCTGTGCGGTCGTTGCTGACGTCTTGCAGGAATTGGTCGGGGAGGTAGCCGTTGGCACCGTGGATCTCTACACCGTCAAAACCGGCCTCAATGGCGTTCTTTGCGGCATTTGTGAAATCGTCAATGAATCCTTGGATCCCTTCCTCGTCGAGCGGTTCTGGCGTTTCTCCGTCTGGAAATGCGTGGTTCGAGCTGGACACTACTTTGTACCCGTCGGCAGAGAGGACTTCCGACGTCGCGGCTCGTCCCAGAGCCCACAGCTGACAGTAGATGAAGCTGCCTTTCTCGTGCACGGCGTCGGTCACTTCTCGCCACGCCTTGATTTGTGCGGCGTTCCAGATCCCAGGGACGTTCTTGAAGCCGCCGGCGCGGGGTGAGATGAATGTCCCCTCGGTGATGAGCAATGTACCCGGGACAGAGGCTCGTTGCTCGTAATATTCTTTGACGATCGGCAGGATGGGGACGTAGTTGTCGTCGGCACGGAATCGTGTCAGTGGCGCCATGACCACGCGGTGTTGGAGTTTTACATTGCCGACTTGGAGAGGTTCGAAGAGGCGAGACATTGTGGAAGAAGTGAAGGTGATATCGTCTTCAATAGGGCAAGAAGAACTGAACTGCAGGGAGTAAATCTGTCACCTCTACAAATACTTGGGTGAATAAAACTACAAATTCTCAACACGCCATTGATATATAGTGGGCTTGATACAATCGAATAGAACAGAACCGTCAAGTCTGAAACGCCATCTGCCGAAAATTGCTTTGATCCATCAAAATTCGGATCTGGCATTAGTCATCAAGAGAATTTCATCTTTGGGTGAACTGAAAACCCACGCGAAGCCAGCCTCGCTTGCTGGAGTCGTGATGTAAATATTTCTGCGACGGTAGAGGGAAGTAGTCCCGCGGTAAAAGCCATGACATGGCATGGTGACATCACCTGAAGGGCAGGGGAAGACCTTTTTCAGCCCGCAAGGCTACAACTCGCATCCGCGCTGGGCAATTCTCGGGGACTTTTTGCACCAAAACACGTGTGGCCAATGAAGACCATCCCAAAACCAATCTCATCACGTGCCGAGTGCCAAGCGGAATCAGCCGAGATTCGGAAGGAGCACCGTTGGTAGCATCATGAACTTCAAGTCGAAGCTTCACTCGATTGATCGCAGGTGGTTCCCTTCTCGACACCGATCAACCCCCTCCACTCTACCACAGCAATGTCGGCGACGGTGTTTTCGCGCAGGGCGCTTCAGACTACCACCCGGCGATGTATGATGACTCGTCCAATGTGTATGATGCTCGAACTGACTTGATTCATCACCAGTGGCCGCGGTCAACCCCTCCGTATTCACCAAGACATCCATCTCCCGCCTACCAGCTCCCCTGGCCATTGCGACAGGTCAAAACTTTCAGATTAGGTCAGAACCTTCCCTTACAAGTGCTCTCAGCTGGACGAATGCAGTCTCAGTCCCCAGATCCCTTCCCGAAGACCAAGAGTTCCATTAAACTAACAGAACCTACAATCACAGACCAGCAGCCACATCAACGGTATCACAAGCCCAAGGTGCCGACATCCTCGCCGCTCAGCGTCGACACCGTCCCGTCAGCCCACATCTCAGCATCTACCGCCCACAAGTGACATGGTACCTTTCGGCACTTAACAGAATCACGGGTTGCATTCTATCCGGCTCGCTCTACGTTTTCGGTGCTGCATACCTCGTTTCACCTCTTTTCGGCTGGCATTTGGAGTCGGCAACACTCGCCGCGAGCTTTGCTTCCCTTCCGATCATCGCCAAAGTCGGATTGAAGGCGTTCTTCGCTTTCCCATTCACCTTCCACAGCTTCAATGGATTGAGACATTTGGCTTGGGATACGGGCAGGACCATCACCAACCAGCAGGTGATCCGGACCGGGTGGTCGGTTGTTGGGTTGAGTGTTGTCACCGCATTGGGCCTGACCTTCTTGTGAGCGTGAAGCGTGAAGGAAGGCGTGGGAGTGCCATTTGTGGGCCTCCGCTTCCAAACACGAGAATGTGTAAATAAAGGTGTTATACAAGATATGAAACCATTTGACGATTCTTGTTGATTTCTTTACGCTGCTTCTCGTGGTGTATTCCTCTACTTCACTCAGGGTACTGAGTGTCACAACCTATACATGGCGACTACCCGACAGGACAGGATCGTCACCCGACTACAAGTAGGTCGTCATCCGAAGCTGGCAAGAAACAGAAGATCCACGGAGGTAGGGCACGTTCATCTTCATTGGGGTCTAAAGGATAAACGACTGAGATCGTCTCTACGAAGTGCTTACCCAGATGGTCCAGAGGAGGTTGACCTTGCTAGTTGACCATTCAGATGACTGCGTTTGAGACTGATCTGGGATCGTACCTTCTGACCACCAGACGCGTCACCGTAGAACCCTGAGAGATTTATGAGGAACGGCTCTGTGCTATAGCATGAGTCTCTCACCCGGGATGTCTCTGCAGTCTCAAGCGGTTTTGGATCCCGAGATGGTGAGCGAGAGAGAATAGGTCCCCGAGGGCTTCCCGACTCGGCTGTGATAGAGTTCTGGGGACAAGCTTTAATTTGACCTGAAGCCCGGGCTCCTCTTGTAGCTGTGTGGATTAGTCGAGTCAGCGAGCGAGATCCCCCTCTCCCTTCTACCACTGAGTACTATACGGTGCGGTCTCATGTCAGTTTCTCATCATTTATCCACAATGTGATACATCACGCTCGTGTTCTTATCTGGGATTCTCCAATCACGTCAGGTCTTTGGCTCGGGCAATGTGCGGGGCAAAGGCTTGGATAGACATGGACCTGCTTCCATGGTACCGAGTGCTATGCTACTCTCCCGGATGAGAGGTGCTTTACCCGATATCTGACTACAAGAAGGAGCCTTGGGTGACTACAAAGTTTGGGATCTTTCGCAAATCACCACCCGCCCGAGAACAGAATCGTTGAAAAAAGGCCAAATCAAGTTCTACAAGGAGCAAATGGCAGCCAAACCGGTCATCATCTTCGTGCCTGGAGCCTGGCACCCTCCAAGCGCTTTTGAACCAGTGACGAAACGACTGGAAGCAGCCGGCTACGAAACGAAAGGCGTGCATCTCGCCACGGTCGGTGCAGCGGAGCCCACAGAGGACTTCCAACCGGACGTGGACGCGATCCAAGCGGCCATCAGAGGCTCGGCCGACGAGGGCAAAGACGTCATGCTCTTCGTGCACTCGTACGGCGGGGTGGTCGGCAGCGAGGCGGTACGTGGGCTCGACAAAGCCAGCCGGGAGAAGGAAGGCAAGCCAGGCGGCGTCTCGCACATGTACTTCTGCTGTGCGTTCGCGCTGCCCGAGGGCGTGTCGCTGATGGACGCCCTGCAGGGCAAGCCGCTGCCGTGGTTCGGCATCTCCGAAGACGAGCGGAGCGTGGTGCCCAAGACGCCGATCGAGACGTTCTACAAAGACGTCGCGGACCCGGAGGCTTGCGTCGACATCCTCAAGCCGCACAGCTATCGCGCCTTCTTCAGTAAAGCCACGTATCCCGGTTGGAAACACGTCGCCCGCACCTACTTGTACTGTGAGAAGGACATGGCGATCCCCATCCATGCGCAGAAGGGCATGGTCGAGGCCTCCGGCGTCGAGTGGAGGACCGAGTCGCTCGATGCTTCTCACAGTCCGTTTTTGAGTATGCCCGAGGAGGTGGCGAATTCGGTCAGGAGAGCTGCGGGCGAGTCGGTTTGATGGTGTTGGACTTTACGGTGGGATACTTACACGTCGAAGCTATTTCTATATATTTCGGGAGGGTCAAGAGATGCTTTGTCTTTATTAAGCCTTAATGTGTCCCCGTATCCGTACTTGGCTAAGAGACTTCTATTGCACAGGGCTGAGGGTTATCAATGCTTGACTTTATAGGCAGGTCAGCCGGGGCTCAACTACCCAAGTTAAGTACTTAGCTACCTACCTAAATATGACCCCGCAGCTGCAGGGGCTTCTTGCCTTTTTTCAGGCACCGAAACCGATGCTGCATCTCGTCCCTCAGCTTCTCCGATTCCTGCCGCCAATTCTCAGGTACGTAATAAAAAAAAAGAGTGACTAAGACGTACCAAACCTCACTGCGCTCCAACTTTTTGCCGTTCAAGACGTTTGGCATAAAACACCTTCTCATTGATTGCTTCTCGTCTATAAACAAACCCAAACGACTTGTATCAGTTTACGTATAGGTACATAAGAGTGACCTTCCCGTGCACCACCATGACTTCTTGATCCACACATCGACGATGAGTCAATCTCCACCCAAGTTACCTCTGACCGACACAAACTCTTCATCCTCCACGACGATCCCTCTGCACCCCAAGCCTCGATCAGCGGTACCGCCTCATCTGCTCAACGGTGGTTCTCCTCTGCGCCGACCCACTCCCTCACGGGCAAAAGAAAGAGAAAACTTGACATCCTCCATCAAAAGCACCTATGGCCGTAGAAAGACTATAGACCTGGGAGACCCTCAATATTATTCACCACGCAGGATGTCGGGAATTTCGTGGACGGGCCTGGCTGATGGCGACCACGCCGTCGACCACAACAAACCGGTCAGCTTACGGGAACCAGCGAGAGACGACAGGGATGAGCCACCGGTCACTCCTCCTGCAACGGCTTCTCGTCCCGCCAGTCCATACACCATGAACCCCCCTATTGATTTTGATGGTCTGAGTTGGCCTTGCATTGGTACCCGGGAACGATTGGAGCAAACCCCGGAAGAGGCGCAGGCTCGGCTGGACAAGCTCGCTGGAGCGGTCAAGACCATCTTTGAATGTATCGGCGAAGATCCGAACCGAGAAGGCCTGCGCGAAACACCCGAACGCTATGCCAAAGCATTGATGTATTTCACAAAGGGCTATGAAGAGAATGTACGAGATTTGGTCAACGGCGCGGTCTTCCACGAAGATCATGATGAGTTGGTCATTGTCAAGGACATTGAAGTGTTCAGCCTGTGTGAGCATCACATGGTTCCCTTTATTGGAAAGATGCACATTGGATACATCCCGAATCGAAGAGTTCTAGGTCTCAGCAAATTGGCGAGACTGGCGGAGATGTTTTCTCGACGACTCCAAGTGCAAGAACGGCTGACGAAACAAGTGGCGCTGGCCATTGCCGAAGTTCTCCAACCACAAGGAGTGGCAGTGGTGATGGAGTCAAGCCATCTGTGCATGGTGATGAGGGGAGTACAAAAGACTGCAAGCAGTACGACGACCAGTTGCATGCTTGGAGCCATGAGAAGTAGTGCAAAGACGAGAGAGGAATTCCTCAGTCTTTTGAATCGCAAATAAACGAAGTGAAGGAAGAAGTGTGGCATGCCCTTTTTGTCTCCAACAGATTATCGGATGGGCTTTTTGCTATTTCAACATGGATATGATGGCACCTCAACGGCGGCTGTTTTTTTGTCATATCAAGGATCACAGAACTTGGAAGGGGTCATCAACAAGCCCCACTCATTTTCTTTTTTGTCACTCGAGAATCTCGATTGGCCATTTGGTGATCCAGTTGGAGATTGGAGCGTTTGAGACCTACTGCATGATGGCATCGGGAGCCAAGTTGGGATCTGTGTGGGTCCATGGGGGAAGGCTTGTTTGACTCGTGGAGAAGAGCAAGAGCCGATTCACACACACTTTTACATATCTGACAGGATTGTGAGCAAAAGGTCGTTGAGAAGGGAATGTGCTTTCCATATCAAAAAAGATGGCGTCACGTGTGCGGGGCAGTTATGAATTCGAGAATTGGAGATGATGATGTTTTTGATTAATTGATAATGTCTGGCAAGAATATCTGTGAAAAGTCCCCCATAAATGCACGTTATTTGGAGGTCATTCATCCGTCACAGAGCAGAGGCCGACATCCGAGGCAATGGCTTCATATTAACGACGAGACTTATTGAACCCCTCCATTCCGCCATTAATAATGGCGATTGCTTGTATCTGACCGTGGGGTAGATTGAGGTCGGGTCTCCTCTGTGATCAGAAAATCAATCTACTCGGCTCGGTTCAAGTTTGGGTTGGGCATTGGCGTATCTTTCCACCCAGTGACATACAATCCCTCAGAGCCGTCGATTACTTTTCATCTCACTGGAGCACTCCATCCTGGTGGGCCGCGTTCATCGCATCCGACTTGATTTCACATCATCATTCAATTCCTACCAAATCGAAATCGAAATCGCACACTCGCCTTCTCCATTCATTTATACTTCCCATCTCACATATCCCCTCCTCTCCTAACTGCCTCACTGTCTTTATCTAGTATATTTTTATGCTGGGTCGGTCCCCTACTTCTCTTGCATATCGGTATAGATATAGATTTATTCTTCTGCACCTCACCAACCACCCACTCCTTCCCCCTCTAGAAAGGCCCAGATCTGCCATTACCACTACCCATCTCGCAACTTCCCTTTGCTCCCATAGATTCGTCCATTCAAAACTCCCCTCCACCGTCATCCACCCATCCATCTTCGCAGAATCCCCGGTCAACCCTACCAACGACGACACAATGGCTGCTCCTCATCCCGATCTACCACAGCCCTCGCATGTCGAGCGCGACTCGGCATTGGGTCGGAAATTCGGACGTGAAGTCACCAATTATTTTGGAGGTGAGCCCACCCTCCTTTCTTTCCAGAGACACCAGCAAGACCCGACAGAATATCCTGTGCTTTCGCGAACTCTCAAGGATCAATCAAAATGCGGACATGAGAAATTGACCGATCCGAAACAGGTTCCCCAATAAACCGCCTCTCCTTCCTTCGAGACGACTACACTTTTCTCAAAGAGGCATTCGCCCACCCGACGGCAAGATTCATCCTCTTCAAGACCCTCTCCCCACTAATCACGAGCCCGACGGAATTATACTTCGCCAAATACGACGAGATCAAGTCCCTCATCCCATCCAACCCGTTTGAAAAGACCGAGAAGGAACAGGTCGAGGAGTTCGACTCGAGGATAGAAATCCCCCAGGTCGTCTTTCTAGGAATCGACGAGAAGAGTAAAGATGGCTCACTGTTCCATTACAAGAACTTTACGGGCGCACCACATTTCGCCCTCGATATCACACCAAAGAAAACATTTGAAAAGGAAGCCATCGAGTTGACCGAGAGCTTTGTAAAGTCTGGATTGAAGTTCAGTGAGGGCATGAGGGCCATGAGTTTCCCAGCCGATGTTGGTGAGTGAACCAGTCCTCTCTAGAGCAGTTTTTGAGTACTTTCCCCTTGGTTGCACACAGCAAACTGACACCTTTAAAGCCGCCGAGTACGCCCAAGGAAGGCATTATCTCGACTGGAACTACCGCAACACCTTCTGCGGCACCTGTGGCCACAAGACCCTCTCCGTCCACGCCGGCAGCAAGAGAGTATGCCCACCAAAGGACCAAGCTGAAACCCCCGTTGAACGTGAAGCCTGCTCCACACGCACTACCCTATCCAACCTGACCTTCCCACGTACCGACCCCACCATCATCGTTGCAGTCCTCAGCCACGACAGCAAACGCCTCCTCCTAGGTCGCCAGAAGCGATGGCCCCCTTACTGGTTCTCGACACTTGCGGGTTTCATCGAGCCGGCCGAAAGTGTGGAAGATGCCGTACGCCGTGAAGTCTGGGAAGAGAGCGGCGTCATCTTGTCCCGTGTGCTCGTCCACTCCACTCAGCCTTGGCCGTACCCGGCGAATTTGATGATCGGCGCGATCGGACAGGTCGCCAGTCCCGAAGACGAGGTCATCAAGCTCGAATATGATCCCGAACTCGAACTCGCCAAGTGGTTCACCCTCGAGGAGATCCAGGAGGCGTTGAAGTATGGAACCAGCGGGCTTGGGGATCCGGCTCCTGAGGGCTATAAAGAGGGTAATCTCAGGTTGCCTCCTCCCACGGCCATTGCCAATCAATTGATCTCGGCGGTGGTCAAGGGTGGCTTTTTGGAGGGTGTCACGCCCATAACGGGTGGAAAGCTATGAGCGAAACGAATAGAAGGGTTGTCGTCGTGAGGGGTTTGGTGTATTGAACGCCTGTTGCAGAGTTTACAGGTTAGATCGCTTCGCTTGACTCTGGATTACCAGTAGAACATGTGATCGATATCGAGGACTGGAATGTTCATGTCGAGCCAAGTACGGAAAAGATAGACCTCGGTAGATCGGTAGAGACGAGTCGAGTCGAGAACATAGAGCGAATATAAACAAACTCGACTGGTTATCGCGACCTTAGGCACGGATTGATAACGTGCCTTGGATGATCGATTGTCCACTTTAGAGCTTCTTCGGAGCCTGGGCCCAAGATGTGTATTCGCGTACGAGGACACAACATGCTCCTGTTGCCAGGACCTTGGATTGGTTCAGCTCGTTGTAGAGCTTCCATCCGTTGACATTCTTGGATGCCATGCAATGTCATCCCATGCCTTGACGCCCCAAGGGTTGAGGATAGCTCTAGACCTCACCTCGATTTATGCCACTTCATCTCTGGCTAACTGCACCTCCTTGATATGCCCATTCTCCTCCCATCCCCTACCTCCCTCCACACCCGTCTTCTTAATCCCGACCACGACCAAATTCCGCGGACTATGGCGATAGTCAAAAACGGACTCGACCCAACAACGCTCGACACAATCCTGCTCCCTGAGAAACAACCAACGATCCACCACGATCACACTCTCCACGACCCCGGCGCTAAAAGCCATCAAACTCCAAATCACCGCGAGATGTTTCTTCGCAAACCCCCACCGCGTCTCATACGCATCAATGACGGCGTCATCATCCAACGCGCGCGTCTTCTCCGCCACCAACGCTCCATCCACCGGGTCGCGGCGTAACTTCTCCAATGCACCGTGCACATACGCGCGGAAGGACGCGAAACACGCCTTGCGCAGCGTGCCGACGATCAGTGGCGTGCCGCTCGCGTCGCGCCCCGTCACCGATCCGCCCGTGCCCGCCCCCAGGCCCCCCGGGTCCGCGCACTGCTGCACGACCCCGACGTCCAGCAGCATCCGCTGCAGCAGCGCCCGGTAGAAGTGCCGGCGGAAGAACGCCTCGCTGTCCTCGGCGCCCCAGTTGTACGGCGCTTGGACGGCCATCATTCGGGCCGTGATGTTGAGCCGGACGCCGCGGGACGTGGATGTTGGTGCTGTGCCCTGCTCGGCCCCGCTGGGCGCGAACGTCTCGAGCGTCCGCGACATCGGGAAGCCGTGCGGGTCGAATGTGTTGCCCGTGGCTTCGAGGCGCGGGTGGTTCGGCCGCAGCTGTGGCAGTTTATACGTGGCTGGTCCGAGCCGTTCCGTCAGCAGGTTGTAGCAGCATCCGATCATCGCGACCGCGCAGACGGATGGGTTGAGGATTAACGACCGTAGTCCGTGGTGCAGCAGGTTGCCGCATGAGTGTAGCGAGATTACCATTGCTTTGGGTTGGGCCATTTTGGTGTTGGGTTCGGCTGGAGGAGGTGGTGGTGGTGGGTCGGGACGACTGGTTGTGTTGTCGGTTCCATCTGCTTGGGCTTGGGTGCTTGGGTATAGAATATGCTCTAGATGTCCGTCCGTGATGTCGTGCTCGACGTAAGTCATCGAGCCATTCGTCGCATCGAGCGGCGTCTCTCCCGAGGCCTCGAGCTGCTCCAGTACAACATCAGGCACCGAAACGACCTGTGACTCCTCCACATCAGCCGACACCGGGCTCGAAACACCCTCATTCTCGTCCTCCTCCGCCAGCGCAAGCTGCCTCTTCCACTCTTTCTTATTGCGCATGACCTTCTCCTTCTTCGCTAACCTCGCATGCACATCCATGCTCCGCGCCCCGTCGATATTGTGGTGTTTCCGCTCTATGGCAACGACGTGTTTCCGATACGGCGGGCCCGCCAGTGTGCGACCGAGGTAGTTCTGCCCGGACCCAAAGTCGACGACCGCGACGGGCGCATCGAACCGCGCGGACACGTCGGCCGACAGCTCGCCCACGTAGGCCGCGAAGTTCACCACCTCGTGGATCTTCTTCGGTTTCATGCCCACCGCCACGTGCCGCGGCAGCTCCGAGATGTCGTCTGCAACGGGCGAGAAGTCCCGTCCCAGCAGGTGTTTTCGGACGGTGCTGATGTAGTCCAGGAGGCTCTGTGGTGGGGAGGGGAGTGTGTCGAATGAGTCGGTCGTTTCTCTGGGCTGTTTCTGTAGCCCTTTGATGTCGAGCCGTAGGAGTAATTCGAGGACGTCATCGATGCTGACGAGGTCGAACCACTCGCGCCATTCCTGTGGCAGAACCGTCGTGTAGAGATCGGGTTCTCGCGTCAGGAAATCCAGAACATGGACGCCGCCGCAGAGATTGTGGAATATGTCCGACGTCGTCACAAATCTCAGAAGAGATTGGACATATTCATCCTCGGACTGCCAGTCATCGCTGTTGATGGGCAAACTCTTTTTGCCGGAATTCATGATGGTGGTTGCGAGACTGGCCAGATCGCCAGAGACAATGTCTAGTTAAGAACGTCTAGATGTTTCATGTTATCATATCCGAGTAGCAACGATCGATTCCATCGTGAATCAATACACTAATCTCTGTACTTGTTTGTATGCTAAAGCTGGCAACGGTCTTTAACGGTGTTGGAGAAAAATATAATTGCCAAGAAATCCTTGCCCCTGACCCTCGAGCCTTGAGAGGCACTCTGGAAGATTTATAGGACGCAACCCTGAAGTCGGTAAACTCTAGCCCGACAAGATGATCCGGCATCTAATATATAGCATATGAATGTTAAGGGGATTAATTGAAAGCCATAACTCCAGAAGCGCTCTAATTTTGAGCCTGTACGGTGTGCTAAATATTCTATTTAATACTGTCCTCGACCATGATCATAAGGATGATCTTGACCTACTCGAGAGCCTCCACCCTCTTGAACGTACGGCTATCCAAGAAATTCTAATGGTCGTTCCCACCTGGGTTGAGACCGCCTGTGACCATGGGCTGTGGAACTGGAACCGATACCATGGTTTCAACTTGACGTACCGTGACATCTGGTCCAAAAGGTTCCGGTCGCAAGTAGTGCCACTGGCCATTCGAGGTGAGGTAACACTGACCTCGAAATCTCCAATAGCCCGTGGTACACCCAATTTCCAGGAGGTACGGTCTCGCGAGTAGCTCCTTCTTGTCACGCTTCATGAGTGCCCATGACATTAACATATCCTTCATAAGACGTTCAAGGTAATATCGGGCGTAGTTTCGTGGAAGCCCGTCGTTGGCATGCCTTTCTCTTTCGGCCCATGCCAGGAAATCAAAAGTTTCCGTCTGAGCCACTGTGAATCGTTGCCTCAGTACCTCCCTTTGCATATCAGACCAAGCTCCACAATCCACAACTTTGGTCACCGTGACGCCAATCGCGACGTCGAAGTGTTCGACGGTCAGATTCCCACACATGAACGCAGCACTGCACTGTTGCGTCGAGAGATATCCACATTCGTATAGCTCACCAAACACATATGCGTACAGGTTGGCCGGGCATTGATTAGCCAATCTCCACTCTACAACCTCCATCCATTTGATTTGGGAAGAGACATCGGCAAACTGTGACAGTGGCATTGTTACTTGTGACTGTGTGTTCAATTGCGCTGGGTACAAGGATAATGTTGGGTTCCAAAATCGAAAATGAAACTGGAGGGCCCCATCATCGGCAAGACTGGCGGTGATGAAGACTTTGGATAATAGGGCTCGTGGGTCAGGCGGGGCCATCCATTCACCCAACAGAATTTCGCCCACCGCCATGGTCGGCAAGCCGGTTGAAGGCTCGGGAGGGATGTCCATGATGTTCGGTGTCGACATTTCTTGAGGGAGGGTTTGATAATTTTGCCATTCTGGAGGAAAATTCTGTTCGGTCGGCTCGTATACACGTTGGCTTTCGTCGAAGTCTGGAAAAGGTTCCGTAGCCTTGTCGGGCTCCAAAACTCCACGACGACGCTGCTTGGACACCATATCAGCTCCTCAACGACGTGCCGCTTGGCTTCCTCCTTCCTCCTCCAAAATCCTTGTCCTGATCAGACAGATATAACAAAGAGCATAACAAAGACCGGTCTTAACACTGTGTGATATCTTGCCGAGTGAGTCAATGGATGGATTGAAGATGGTGTCATACTGTGATTGAAGAGGTAATTTGGTTGCGGGTACATGTTGATGAGGAAGCCCCTCTGGAAGTATCTCACATAAAAGTGCTCTTGCCTCGTGAGTAACTGCCCATTGACCCTTCTATGAAATGGTTGAAGCATATCAAGTTGTGGTAGGTGCAGATGTCAGCAGGTCTCAGAATTCTGGCGTGTCAGTTCCTGCCTGTAAAGGCACATTTCAGTCAACACCAATAAACAAGGATTCATGGAATCTGTGGGTGAAGTGTTGCAACCTCTAGTCAGACACACGTAAATGCATATGGATTGAAGCTCTGGTGCATGCATGAGTGAAAATTTCAGAACACGCTGGCTGTAAATGTTGTTGGATTATCATCATTATTCGTTGATTCAACAACCAAGCTTGATGACTTGGAAATAGATGGTCAAGTCTCATTCGACGCCGATCCAATCTCCTTCCTCTCCATCCTCGTCCATGGCTTCGAACTCGGCCACATCTTCTGAAGATCGGTTGCCGATGGATTTGTGTGTACCATTCGTCATTGGTTTCTGCTGACATAGATATTCAATCTCGAAAGCATTTCTCTCGCTCAGATTCCGCACTGTTCTTCCAATTCCGTCAACTCCACGGAGAACAGCCCGGAGTTCACCAGCAAAGTCACCTTGCTTCTCTTTGATGTATCTACCATGGATGCTCAAAACTTCGCTCACCCATAGCAGCGTAAACTCAAGATGTGGACCATTCTCCATCTGCTGACCAAGGAGCATCAGGAGACGTCCAAGATAGACTCTGGGCAGTTCCCGAACGACGAGTGGGATCGAACCATACGGGACTGCTTGGTAGACTTGTCGTATAAGTTGGCGATCATTCAACCTAAATGCCATCACTAGAGCTTTGAGGTGCACAGGTTCTGCTTGTTTCAATATGGCGCGGATGTTTTGTGGTGTGACATCGATATCGAGGTCAAAGGGATCGAAATCCTCGTTCCCTGAGTTGTCGAGACTGTATATCAGTAGCCCTTCGGTGCTACAGGCACAAAAGCTCCTCCCTGCTGGAGAAAATTCGACGCCGGTCACTCGGACCTCATGTCGAAGTGTACGGGCAGTTGCATCTTTTCCACGTTTCACCCCAGGCAGGCTCCGGTCGATACGCTCTTCGAGGTCACTTGCCTCCCCCTCGGTGTCGATCATGTCTCGCGGTAGGCCGTTGGACATGATGGCCGACGAATTCAAGAACTCTTGCGTGCCGTCTAAACTTAGGTTTATTGACACGGTAAATTTCTTGATGAGAGTCAGGGTGCTCGTAGCGTAGAGACAAATATATTTGCTGCTTCCTGCGGCGAGGAGGCAGGATCCATCACTGGAGTATGTGATCGAATTGAACGACTTTGTGCCGGGAGTTGAAGCCGCGGTCCGTCGAGAAGTGAGGGTCCGCCCGCCACTGACATCCCGCCGACCATCGAGGCCAGATTCTTGTATCGATGTGTTGAGGTTCCAGAAAGAAATCGACCCGTCAAGCGTTGATGCCGCAATTTGGGCCGAATCTGGTCGGACGGCAACACAGAGCAGGTCTGAAGTGAGCTGGAGAGCCTCGGAAGTCTGTGAACGGTCAAACACTGACCACACACGAATGGTTCGATCCCATGAGCCCGAGACGAGATATCGACCATCCGGTGTGAATGCCAAAGTGGATATAGGACCTTCGTGGCCCGAGAGACGATCAAGCAGAGCGCCTGTTTGTACCGACCAGAGATGTACGTCGAAGGAGTCGTGTGATGCAGCACACACTATCTCAGCGGAGGGATCAATCGCTAAGCAGGAGAATGATAGACGGGTAGGGGCGGTAAAGGTCCGGAAATTTCGGTACCGCAGCATATCCCAGGCTCGTACGGAGCCGTCCAAGGAAGAGGTGAACAGAATATTTCCTCGTTTTGAATAAGTTGAGGCGGTGACTGCCGAGGTGTGCTCTGTGAATGTTGCTATGTGGAAACCGGATGATACGTCCCATATTTTGATGAGGCCATCATCGGCACCAGTAATGATTCTTGTCGAATCGGGAGAATATGATAACGTGGTCATGGTATCGAGATGTGAAGATTGTTTGAGAATGTTTGACTCTGAGGCATGTTCCCAGACAAGTAAATGGCCCGTTTTCGACGACCCCAATGCTAACCACTCTCCCGTCTTGTTGGTGGAGACGGCCGAGATGGGAGAAGAGGCCAAGGAGAGGCTGTGGATGTTTGAAAAGGAGGGGACCTCATACAGTGAGAACAAACCATTGTCAAAGCATACGGTCAGGAGACCTGTCTGTGGGTGGAAGGTCGCACATTTCAGTTTGGCATTCTGCATGAAATAGTTCCGCTGCACAATCCGCCATCTTTCGTCAATGGGCTCTTCGGTCTCGTCCTGGTCATCTTGTTGTTTCGGGACAAACTCCCACCTAAACAGAGCTCCATCCTCGCTGACGGTGTAAATGGCTTCTTGACTGGCGGAGAACCACGCATTTCTGACTTGTTGTCTGTGACCTGAGAGGACTGTTGGGTCAAACCCTTCTTCGGGATCCAAGCTCCATATTCGAGAGGTCAGATCTTTGGAAGAACTCAGGAAGAAGCGTGAATCTCCAGACCAGCTGAGATGTCTGACATCGTCAAAGTGACCAGCGTATTCCCGATGCAGAATAAACGGCGCAAACTCGAGCTCCCCATTTGCATCTCCCCCGGGGATGGAGGGAGTCTTCCAGGCTTGGATTTTGCGGCCCAATCCGACAATAAAGTGCTTCCCACTAGGAGAGAACGCTAGTGCCGAGACTGGAGTCTTGAAGGAGAAGTGATAGATGGCAATTCTTCTGGTGAAAATCGACAGTATTGCACGGCCATCTTCGTCGACGGTGAGGAGTAATTTGCCGTCAGCCGTAAGGTCGAGGTGAGAGATATTTCGGCGATGTGCAAAGGGAAGGGTGTAACTCGTGTTCCTACACAGATTAGTATGGTGATAATGACAGAGAACCTCGCCGCAGGGTCTCACTTGGTCAGGTTGAAGACAGAGACACGATTCCCGACTGGCGAAAGTAGAGAATTGCCATCGGGTGTGAAGACGAGATTTCCTCGACCGTAGACGGTGCCGAGGAGGTTTGAGAACTGGTTGGGACAATTAGTTCAGTGCTTAGTGAGATGTGGAAGACCATTCGTACCTTGAACTCAGTCTTCATGGTGCCATTGTGTGGTGGTGTGAACTGGCGCAAGTCCTCATGTCGCAGTCCGCTGCACCTGGACTCGTCCTTGAGCACCAGTGCGGGCATCAAAAAATAAAAAAGTCGTCGGAGAAAAGATCAGACAGCTCCGGGTCTAGGCCGGGAATGGGTCAGCATTTCCCGGGGAATTTTTGGCAGGGACGACTGGGGGTTCTGTTTATCACGTGACTCCCCTCAAGCCTCAGTTTCAGGGGCATTTTGCTGCATTGGGATTTGCATTTTGATCCAAAAGAACACGAACCCAGAATCGACGACCCAAGGTTCATCATACCCCAAGCCCCTAAAGATTGTCGCTCCGTTCAGTTCAATTCTTTTGCCTGTGCCCATCTTTCGCTCACCAACCTCGTCACCGCTCTTCCTTCATCCTTGCTCTCGTTCGATTTGATTTCTTCCAGCGCTCACCATGGCACCACCACAACCAGCCCCAGAGGCGGCCTCTCCCATTGGCATTGCCAATCTCCCCAACCAGAGACATAAGATCGTCGCAAAGAGGGGGGCTGCTTTCACTATAATGGTATGGCATTGACGTCTCCCGAGTTCTCACCCTTCAAGCGCTGACCCTCATGGCTAGGTGGCTGGCGAGTCCGGTCTGGGAAAAACCACATTCATCAACACTCTCTTTTCAACCACCATCAAGAACTATCAAGATCACAAGCGAAGACACGCGAAGCAGGTCGACAAGACGGTTGAAATCGAGATCACAAAGGCCGAGTTGGAGGAGAAATTCTTCAAAGGTATGGATTGAATTGCACGTTCTTTCGTTTCAAGTCCCGTTCGTTGACCCCTCTTGAATTCTACAGTTCGTCTCACCGTCATCGACACCCCCGGCTTCGGCGACTATGTCAACAACCGCGATTCCTGGCAACCCATCATTGAATTCCTCGACGATCAACATGAGTCGTACATGCTTCAAGAACAACAGCCCAAGAGACATGACAAGATTGATCTTCGTGTTCACGCCTGCCTCTACTTCATCCGCCCTACAGGTCACACCTTGAAGCCCCTAGACATTGAGGTCATGAAAAGACTCAGTTCGCGGGTCAACCTGATCCCCGTCGTGGCCAAGGCCGACACCCTGACCCCGACCGACTTGGCCCGATTCAAGCATCGGGTGCGAAGCGTGATCGAAGCACAGGGAATCAAGATCTATCAACCTCCCCTGGAGGATGACGACGAGGCCGCCACTCAACACGCCCGCGCTCTCATTGCGGCCATTCCTTTCTCCGTCATTGGCAGTGAAAAGGATGTCAAGACGAGCGATGGCCGTATTGTCAAGGGCCGACAGTACGCCTGGGGTGTGGCTGAAGTGGAAAACGAAGACCACTGTGATTTCAAGAAACTCCGATCCATTCTGATCCGAACCCACATGTTGGACCTGATCCACACCACGGAAGAGAATCACTATGAAGCATACCGCGCTCAACAAATGGAGACCAGGAAATTCGGCGAAGCCCGTCCCCGAAAACTCGACAACCCCAAGTTCAAGGAGGAGGAAGAGGCACTGCGAAAGAGATTCACCGAGCAGGTCAAGGTGGAGGAACAACGATTCCGGGCCTGGGAACAGAAGTTAATCGGCGAGCGTGATCGGTTGAACAAGGACTTGGAGTCTACCCATGCCGCCATCAAGCAGCTGGAGGGTGAGCTGGAGCAGATGCAAGGCAGTGCCGTCCGCAGCGGTCGTCGCTAAATGGCTGGTTTTGTCGAGAGGGACGTGTTCGACCAGGAGCTGAAAAGATTCTGGCAGTTTTTTCAGCTCCGGGATGAGGATGGGGAGAAGACAGAGAGATGCAGAATGGGCTTTCGTATGGTGTACAGGGAGCCACGGGGCTTTTATTTTTACTTGACACTTTTCAACCCAACCAAAGGCGACGAACTACTTCAATAATGTCATACCTCTTCTATTCTCTATTCATGAATCTCGTGTCTATCGTTTGATGCCTGGCGTGTCTCGGAGTCTATCTATGCATGTCTAACCCAGTGGCAACTAGATCTATCCATCCAAGCCCGACTCTACACAGCAGCCTTCTCCAACCGCTGAGTGATGTGCCCATTCGCGCCACGTCCACCCATTGGATCGTGACCCTTGAGATTCTCCCCGTCTCTCCTTGACCGCTCTTCTTCCTCCTTCACCGCACGATCCACATCCGCGAACCCGTCGTCCACCACCGTACTCCCCTCCCCGCTCGCCAGTCCCATCCACGCCCTCATCTTCTCCCTCTTGAACTGCTCAAAGTCCCACTCCTCGGCCTCCAACGCCGCCTCGCCATCCCTCCAGATATACGTCTGGGCCACGACCTCGCCCACGACCAACCGACTCGTCTCCTCGTCGCTGACGCGCTCGTCGAGCCCGACGTCCTGGAGGACCTGCACTGTGACGGCCTCGCGGCTGTACTGGTCGCCCTCGAAGATGTCGAGCCGGTAGATATCGCCTTCGGTCAGGCCCGTCACCAGCGTGCCCCGGACTGTGGAGTCGGCGTGCGGCAGGATCGCTGGGTAGTCGGCGTGGCGGACGCGGTGGCGGCGGTGGGATTGCAGAAGTGCCGGCCGGATGGTTAGCAGGTCTCGCTGCCATGCTTGCGGGTCGGGTGTGCCGTGGATCACTCGGTGGAGGACGCCCGGCGCCATTAGTGTGCCTGTGGTGGAGGGAGGGAGGTGGTCAGTCACGATGGTGTCGGAAAAGTGAAGCGAGTGGATTGACATGGCAGTGAAGACCAACCGTAGAAGAAAGCTGTGTAGTCGCCCATTGCGTGTCTATGTCTCTTGTGCGTTTTGGAGAGTGAAGGGAAGAATGAAAGCTCGTGGACTGGATTGCTGACCGAGTGTCTCGAAAGACTTTCTCAGAAACTACTATCAGGCGCGGAATCGAGATGTCTAATCGCGTCGTCGTCGTGGGAGTGCGAGACCGGAGGACAAGTAGGGATGCTTTGCGGTAAATTTTGGTTGAAACTCTGGAGTTTCGAGTCCCTACTACGCTTACCGAGAAAACCTTTCTAGTTAAAAGGATGACTGAATGAATGAACCATGATCACTGTTTGTCGAGGTATCCAGCATGCCTCTGGCGGGGATGTATTATTTGTCTACGACTTTGTACCAGTTCAGGCAAATTTCCCGACGAGTTTAGTGGGCAGTGCCGCCGCTTTTAAAGAACTTCTTCACGATATAATAGTGAACCCTTTGTAAATGTGCTTGGGTAAGTAATATTGGAACATTGCGGGAATACGAAATCAAAACAACGAATAGACTTTTTGGTCACATAATTTGCCGAAAACTGAAAGGCTAGAAATGTCCCTGTGTAGCACGGAGGTCCCTTAGGTACCTAGCCTAGGCATGCAATCTGCTCCAGGAGTCAGGTCCTGGCACATCATCTGGCTGTCCCTACACACAACTCAGTATTCCCCACAAAAATTGAAACTCAGCTCACTTTCATGTTGACCATAAAAGAAGGATACTCTCACAATTTTTCAAAAAAAGATTTCCAAGGGAGATATGAACATGTTTGGTCATCATGGGGGTCGAACCCAGGACCTTGGCGTTGCAGAGACTTCAGAAGTCCGAAGTATTAGCACCACGCTCTAACCAACTGGAAGATATTAGTATAAGTGATGTGATCGAGCTGGTGTGTACGAACCTGAGCTAGACGACCGTGTGATTGTTGAGGACGTTTGGAAATAATAAAAATATGACTCCCAAAAGTTTTTGTCACGTGTGAGGAGAGCTGCGGAGTGGGTCCATACATAATCTCTATGTGAACAAAACCTCGCGTTCAGGATTACGATAATTCTAATCCCTGCTCGATACAAAGCAGAAAGCGTATTGAAAAGAATGCCAGCCTTCGTCCTTGGCCTAGACTGTAAACTATCTATCTGAGCGTCTTTTTACTACTCTATGTCGTGGGACTCTCTGGTACGGGTCATCATCAAGAAAATCGGTGGATCGATCAGTGAAAAGCCGACATATCGGCGACTGAATGGGCACGGATTTTCTCAGCATAGCTCACTAGAAGGAGCCTTGTTGGAGGTGATGCTAGAGCGGCAGACCGGATGTCCGAGTGGATAGCTCTATGTGTTCGAGACGACTACAATGGAAGACCTTCCGTATCTCTATCGAGTTTAGCAGGATAGGAAGAGAACTGGCGATGTGAGAGGTGAAATGTGAACAATACCACGTTTGAATCATATTTTCATGCTTTCCGATCTCTGACCCGGACCGTGAGGGAACGAATACTACCTAGGTATGTACTAATACTTAAGGGCAAAAGTGAACGCCAATACCGCCTTCGCTATGATAGCATGGAAACTGTTGGTTGCAAACTCATAAGACTCATCACACACTGATCCGAGGAATCAAAAACCCAGCCGTTTCCCGAAATCTCGTGGGAACCCCATAGAAAACTAAAATAACAGACCACCGAGAAGAAGACCACCGGCTAGACCACCAGCAATGGGGAGACCATAACCACCACCGCGATAAGCCCCATATGGTCGATTGTAGGGGTAGCCTGGACTGATGAACCGGGCATTGGGGTTGGAGTATGGTCCACTCGCGTAGGGATTGACACCATACCCTCTACCATACCCACCATAGCCCATGCCCGGACCTCCCGGAGGTTCGATATAGATCTCCTTTCCATTTCTGTCCCGCGCGAAGAATTGAGGCTGGCCGGTCATTTGCGCACGCTGCATCGCTTGCCGTAGTCGGATGTGTGCTTCGTAATATTCTTGTTCCTCCTTCGCTCGTTCTCGACGGTCCTGCACTCGTTCTTCGTGCGTCATACCGGTGACTTTGTCCTTGAACCTTTCACCAAATGACTTCTTTGCACCACTTGCGCCCGGCGGGTGGGATCCCGCCGGACGAGGCGGCAGCTCTGGGCCGCTGCTGTGGTGGTGGGATTCATCTTCGGAATGTTCGGCAGAGACGGGATGGTGTTGACGGAGCTGGTTTTCTTGGTCCTGCAACCGCTCACGCTCTTCTGAAGATAGACTGCTGACTATCTCGGGGATGTCTAACGGGTGCTCCCAGTAGGACTTGGGAGGGTCTGCTTTGGTGTTGACAAAGAACTGGTGATTCTCTTTGGCATCGTATTGCCTCACCCAGCCGTCTGGAAGTGGTCTCTGGAGGTCTTCCATGGACCGGCGGGCATCAGCGGGAATGCCATTCTTGGCCTGTGGTACTTGGAGGTGTGATGACGCTTGAGGTTTGGATGACGCGGTGGAAGAGCCGGTTGCCACGGCGTAGGATGGAGGGGCGTCAGGCGGGGCAGACATGTTGACGGGAGTGTTGAAGATGGATGTATTGAAGGAAGAGGCACAAAGGAAGGGTTGATGGATAGATGTCTTTATTGTGCTCAAGGCTGCCTGGAGAAGGAAGAAGACACCGAGGGAATATCAGACGCAAATGTAAATCACCAAACTAGTATCGAGTACGAGTGAGGCTCAGATGCGAACGATGACGTTGCTGCAAGTCTCGACTCAAAAAACGGTGTTCCGACATCCGGTGCTCAGCCACAGCCAAAGATATTGCCACGGTCCCACGTGACCTGTGGCTAAACCAGCAGTTGCTTTTTGCGCTTGCTGCACGCTGAACGCCTTTTTGGACTTCAGGACAACACAGTTCCTTGATAGCACCACAAGAGGCTCAATATTTTCCATCCGTCAGATAAGTACATCCACTAGTATGGAAAGTAGACCCGCCACACGGTGCGGCTATCATCTCAACAGGTTTGTTGATTTTGGCTGAGTTTGCCATGCGGGCTTTCTTCACACCCTTCCCTCGCTACGCGCTTTCTTTGTGTAATGCGACGGACCGGCCAGTGGAAAGATGCAGAATATCTTGATGGATGGTTGCGGATTGGGCTCTCAGCGAGGCGGTGGCAGTGCGGTCCTAAATACGGGGATAGACGGCCTTGATATCCCTGATGGTCGCGGCCGGATCAGGTCGTGGAAATGGCAGCTTTTGCCACGACCGAGATTTGGGTTCGCTGCAAGGCGGACCACACAGACTGAGGCTCGATGCATATTGAGTAAGTGGTGCGGCTTATCGCTGGAGAGTTTGGCATGAAGGTAAACGCCGAGGACTTGATGGGTCAAGTCTGCGGCACAATCACGTTCAGTCATTCACTCTTTTCTCACCGCGTAGCCCATCTAGTTTTCCTTTGGTGAGGAACAAGGCTGCCAGTCGCTTTACTTCACTGCGTTGCCAAGATATAACAAGAGGCTGCTGCACTAACGACTATTTCTCTTTTCTTCAAATCCCTTCCTGCTTCTCTTCATCATCTTTTTCGATCGATTATTCTCTACCCTACAACATTCATCCCTGGCTGGTTCTACAGCTTCTGAGTTCTTGATCACTCTGAAAAACAATACAGTACTCCTGCTGAACTCCCTCCACCCCGCCTTTGCCTCAGGGCGGGCTTACTGCGCGCCAAATCCTGGATTCAGGTAGCCGACAGCGCCATGGACCATGCTCAGGCTCGTTTTATCTTCCAACACCTTTTCCTTCCGCCTGACCTGCCGCAAACTGATCATGAAGAGCTCGGTGCCGAGTCGTTGCTAAAACAAGTCGAGACAGTTGCTCATGCCTTCTCATCAGCCCTTGGCACCGACGCGATAAGAGGAGGATGGAGATCCCTTGCCAGATCAGCCAAAAAATGGGTTCAGCTCTACGCAGATGGAATGCCTAGCAGTTACATTATAATGCAAGCCCTCAATGACATGCAGGATCATGGCAAGTATTTGCCTTCCAAAGTGAAAGTGTCTCAAGTGCTCATCATCATAGATGTCCTCATGTTTTACGTCAAGTCCCAGAATGCTACAGTCATCGCACGACACCTTGGCACCGGGATAGTCTTTGAGTGCTTCGAAGTTGTGCCTGAGATGAGGGCGGTCATCAAAGCTAAGAATGCCTTGGTGCGAAGCTTCCCTGCGAGAGCCATTTTTGTGCCTAAAGAGATCATGGAGGCGGACACATTTCTGGAGGAGCTCAGTCTTGCTTTGCATAGGTTGTCTACAGAGCAGCTAAAACAATCCAAAGAAGTTGCGATCAAAGCTGGGAATGTTGTCGCTGAAAGTCGAGAGTCGCCTGCGCCAAAATTCGTCACCGAATGGTTATTTGGTGCTGTTTTGAGTGCCTACGGCAAAGTCACTTCAAGCCAGTCTATCTCCAAGCGTACCCATGATGATGTTGTGACCAAAGGTCTCGGCATACCATGGCGGCGATCTGCGGTCTGGTTATCCCTCAGAGTTACTTTTCAACTTGCCCTGCTCAATTCCGACCTCGATGATTCGGACAGCACGCATTATAAGAACTTCATGTTGTTCTTTCTGGCTTCAGTTTCCACACAGATCATTCATAAAGACACTTCGCCCGCCACACTACATGTTATTAGGGTGAAATTGGCTCGAAGAAATGCAAAGTTGGGTCAGCGTACCTTCAGCTTTGTACAGGACTACGTTTCGAAAACTCTGGCTGAAATCAATACCGCGATGAAAACTCAGTAGGACAACGTTAATCAGAAAGAGAAGGCCACTATCCCCAAGGTCTACGGAACGCAAGCTCACAGTCGCCTGTATCTAGCGAACAGTCGCGAGCATCTTCATATGGTTTGGGAGAGGTCCAAGGGTGCTTTTGAGTACTCGCTCTCGCGATACACTCCTCCTATCACGACCAGAAAGCAATTATCACCCACCAATTTGCCTGATCCTGATGATATGGGAAAATCTGATGACCAACTCACCTCGCTCGCACTTGTTGAGCTGTGGATAGAGGAGAATCTTGATACCTGGGTGAGTATGAGACTCTCACGTCCCTATGCCTCTCGTATGCTGCATCGGTTTCTGCTCGCATACCATCAGGCCGCCAAGAAAGTGTATCAGGGTCACCCGGAACGCATGTCCCATATGTTTCTCGCGATTTTCGAGCTTTGGGTTGCCATCGATCGCATCTCCACTAACCTACATCCACTGCTATTGGATCACTCGCCCGAAGTCCCCCTGGGTGTGTTAGAGTCTCTACTGCTCGACAAGCGAGCGGCGCTGGAGCGCCTGGCTCGAGTTGAGCTGCACATCGCGACATGTCGACAATCAAACCATACCCAGCCGCAGTCCATGTTCAGTGACCCTTCTGAACAATCCTTTGGCGTCAGATTTTACAATCAATCCGAGCCAATGCAGTACTTGAGAGCGAAAATCGAAGCAGATGCTCAGCAAGTCAGAGACAGCAAGTCGCTTGAGTGGCAGGAAAAGAAGACACACTTTGAAGACCTCATGAAGAGAGTCAATCGTATGGATTGTGGAACATGGACGCCACGCGACACGGATCGAAACGGCAACCCGTACGTCGGACAAACTCGACACGACAAGAAATGCCGCAAGTGCAAGCTCAGGAAAGAAGCAAATGCAATCGAAATTGCAAAGCATGAGTGGCCATTGCCGGAGGATGAGGTGCAGTGTAAAGCTGCGGTATTCGAGCTTCAAGCCCCAGAAGCCATACTTACCTGGAGAGATGCAACCTGGTTCGTTGTGCACACCCTGGGGAGGGCTGATTTTGAAGGGCCAACATCCCAACAAAGCCTGCTGTCCTATCCACCGCTGGTCAAGTATGTACAGAACAATGACCGTCGAATCACCCTCGCCTCACGTGTCAAACCTATGATCAAAACTCACTTCCTCAAGAGTGGATTGTTCATCGACAGAATATTCGTCAACAATGGCCTAATTTTGGCATTCAAGGATACCGCTCGCGGACGAGAGCGCGTTTGGACTGCGCAGCAAGACCACAGTGCGATTTCCCTCAGCCGGGACTGTCAGTCACGGCTCTTGAGCACCGAGCCAAAGCACTTGGTTCGACAAGTGAATGCGACAAGTCATACACATAATTCTGTCCTTGCAATGCAGTCGAAGTGTCCTCCTGAAATGAGCCCGCATGAACATGTGCTCTTCGGATCTCTAAGATCTGGTGAGAGACTTCAGCTCATCAACATCTTAGCAATGGTGATGTCCTCAGAAGCGGATATCAACTCGGTGTCAACAGCTGTGCTTGCCACTCATGCAATTTGGCATGTGGGAAAGCGAGATCTTCAACGTCTATCTGGGTATTTGCGCGAGAGCCAGCTCGATCTTCTCAACGAAAGCTTTTGTGACGCTCTTCTCTCTGCTGTGGATGCTAGATTTTCCTCAATAGAAGCAAATTGGAAAGAAGCAACCCAACCGCAGCAGGGGTACTTCTGTCGGTGCTACTTATGATTTTGTCACTGTCACCTCATGCTGCACCTGGCGAGCGCTGTCTAGACTTGGTCCTCCGGATTCGACATGCTGCCCTGAATTGGATTCGCCGATTAGCTAAGCTTTACAGTAACAGAAGAACTGCGTCTGCCGGGAGCGAAAATCTGAAGGAGCTTTCTCGCCAGATTACAAGCTCCGGACTGCTTGCACGGCGTACATTCCACCTGGATGCTTACCGTCAGCAATTGGAGTTTTCAAAGATTGGCACAGTGGCAGATTATGTGGAAGCATCCATCCATCTCCACGACCACCAAGATCAAGCCACTAAAGACGACGACCCCAAGCGGCAGGGCGAGTTGCTGAACGATGCTTACCACTCCAGGAATTCCGAAGCCTATCTCCTGCTCGCTTTACAGGCTAGTGGCCAAGGAATTAGTGACGGGATCAAACGTTTCTGGCTGGGGGCATCATTCACAGACGCGTGGCAAATTGTTGACGACCACAATAAGTCTTGGATCAAAAACTGGTCAAAAAGCAAGATTGTGCATTACAATCTTGTCACTGGAAGCCTCCTTGTCTCGGGGAGATCGCTTTCTCGACTCCCGCCTGGCTATACGGATGACTTGTTGTATCGTTCTATCTTCGCCGACCTTGACCTCGAAGTCTTCGCGTCAGATGTGGATGATATGGAGTACATGTCACGTGTCGAGTATGAAGGCCATCAAATCTACTTCGGAAAGAGAGACAACAATTTATTGATCCGTTCGCGTCGTGGTGACGAGACTTTTGAAGCGATATCCAGGGACATCTTTGATGAGGATCTGCCGCAGCCTGTTTTCAGGAACACATCCCCTTGGATGTCTCTGGAGACTGGAAACGTCTTCTTTCGCCGCCACAACAGCCCTTGGATATCTCATGACGATGATTGGATGTTGTCTCTGGATATCGAATCAAGGCGTTCGATTTCTTTGTATTCCAATATTGGCTATCTGGTGGACAGCAGCAGCGTTGTTGGCCAAAATATTTGTCATATTTTCGAACCATTCGAAGATCCACAACACATCGTGATTTTCAAATCGAATGATGCGATAACCACCGTTCAAATCACACTGCCACGCTATCACCTAAACTTTCTCTTGCAACTTAATGGCGATATCAAGTGCAAGGAGCTTTCTGCGATCGTCGACCGCAGTCAGTCCATCGGAACCTTTCATGGGTTGAAGAATAAGCTTGTTCTCAGAGCGGCCAATACCATCTCAGCAAGAACTGTACGGACTGTCCTCATACCGAATGGCAATGTGACAGTATCTGCAGTACCGCCTCATGTCGAAGTGCGCATACAGTTGAACAAAGATGGTAAGTTGACATTCTCGCAATATCGACTTGATGGTCGCCTGGGTCAGCTTGTTAGCGACGACTTGGAAGGCCATCTCTTGAAGACCTACCTACATGCTATCACAAGTTTTCCAGAGCCGGACTCCTTCACTTCTCGTACTGGTACGGAAGAAGCCTTGTTCGGTCTCTCAGATCCCGTCACACGCACCACAGTGCCACTATCTGCCAGAGCTCAGAAGCTCCTTGGTCTTCTCGCAGGACTCTCATCTGAGCTCAGTTTCTACCCCAAAGGCCTGCGGATGATGCACACAATCACGCTCAAGGAAAATTTACCAGTGCTTGCACAGCGAGATATCTTCTTCGGCACTGTGCTTAGCATCATTTCACACAATTCCAATGCAAGCTTCCTGTTCGAGGAAAAGACCTCGGCCATCAATCGTCCTATTTATCCCGGAGATACATATCTACTCGAGAGGTCTCATTGGCGCTCTTCAAAGCTCTTTGCCAACGAATCTGTAGTGGATGATATCTCACTGCCGGAAGATCTACACTACAAGTCGCGTGATTTAGTGCTAAGTCCGGCCCAAGAGCAGGCCTTCGCAATGGCGAGCCTTGTAACTTCTGGAAAATCAAACTTTATTGTGGATCCAGAAATCAAGTCGCTCTTGAAGGGTTGGGAAACAATTTCTGGCTTCCACCAGGAGTTTTCCATCCTTTCAATTGCTCAACTGTTGGACGAGCCGCTGAAAGACCACTGGGCGCCACTGCTCAGCTGGTGCAGAAAATCCCCTTCCAAATCTAGCCTCTGCTTTCTCTTCTCTCTGATGACTTATGGAGATAGCGATAGAAGTCCACAACTTCAGACCTTGCTAGCCTTCGCCGGTTCAGCTCGCCTTCAAGGTCTTCCAGTCCCTTACAATGATTTCTACGACTTCAGAGATGGTTACTCAGTAAATCAACGCGACATCAAAACGATTCTTTCAGAATGTGAGAGACCATACACTTCTGCCTCTGAAGATGAAGAGGAAACGGACTCTGAAGAGGACTCTGAAGCGGAATCTGAAGGACAAATCCGCTATGACGAGGAAACTGCAGCTCAAAGCAGGCAATTTATGGAAGCTGTGGAAGCTTCTTGGCCCGGGTCACACGTTGAACTACCTCGTAAACGCAATTTGAGTCATTACAATTATGGCGACCTCAAAGCCCTGCTAAATGGCAGGTTTGCCGCCTGGTACCAGAACTACGAGTTCCTGTCGCTTTGTGACAAATATGAACAGAGTTTGAGAAGTCGCAAACACTCGTGGACTGCTCCCGAGATTCCTCCCATCATTATTTATCATACCTCAGCTCAGCGCGATCGTATTCCATGTCCTACACGGCCATCGATCCTCGCCATCATGAAAACTGTCGATGTGACGGAGGCCGATTTTTGTGAGACCCGCCCTAGCATGCTTGATCACAACCTTGCGAACGTCATTACAGCTAGACAGAAGATTGAATTGCTGAATGCCAACGAAACTCGAGTTGCTTTGGAAGGTGTAGAAGAAATTATTGAAGAGCTGGAAGCTGATGCGACTCCGACCGTTCGAGAATATGGGAGGTTCATTAACAAGAGCCTTCAAGCGCTAAATGCAGCCGCAGCCGCCACGGATCATATTAGACACCCAACCCAGATCTTCTTACGAGAGAAAGCTACTGTTGTACAGACTCGGATCGACTACATTCTTCGCCAGTGTCGAGTCCTCCTCGGTCCACAGCTTCCTTCCGAGCGTGCACTTGGGGGAGCTCGCCTTTGGCCGTCGGTCTCGGATATGGCTTTGCTCCAACTTCTGTCGGCTGAGAATCGGTCGCAGCTCCCAATTCCGTGGAAAAAGGTCATCCTCCGCTTCGCAGAAGAAATTACAGCCCTGCAGCGTGTGGAACGTATGCAGAAATATCTGGCAGCTGACGATAAATTTGCTCTTTCCAAAGAATTGGCAAACCCAGCCCACGCTGGGTGGTCAACTGAAGATTGGCCGGACTGGCTTCTGCTTGAAATTCAAAATCAAATCCTGATCCGTCCTGAGCAGATCCACATCGCACTTGAGATTATCGAACCGAAATCTGGAGTTGTGCTTGCAGATATGGGTATTGGCAAGAGCTCAACCATCCTGCCAATGGTGGTGACAGCCCTCGCAACTGGCTCATCGCTTGTCCGGGTCATTGTCTTGAAGCCCCTTGCGAACGAAATGCTTCGAATTCTGTCGCGATCTCTGGCTGGACTCGTTGGCCGAGCAGTGTATTATCTTCCCATTTCGCGACAAACAAATCTCACTGGGAAGAACCTGGAAAAGCTTCAGGGTATATACGAAACTTGCATCGAAAATGCTGGCGTTCTTGTCAGCCTTCCAGAACACTTGAACTCGTTTCGCCTCTTATGTAATGACAAGCTTCACGCTGATGCGGACCTTGCACAGCAGCTTTTTGGCATCCAAGACTTCGTTGATCGAAATGCTCGAGATGTCATAGATGAGTCCGACCAGGTGCTTGAGCCTGGCTACGAATTAGTGTACACAACAGGAGAATCGAGCCTGCTCTCGAAGTCACCAGAACGATGGGTCGTTGCTCTTGAGATGCTCGAACTGGTCCGGCGAAACGTCGGTACATCATTAGCAAATACACCCTCGGGTCTAGAGGTTGAGCGACGGGCGACCGGTTCCTTCGATCATATCCGAGTTCTTAACGAAGAAGGCGCTCAGACGTTAATGACATCTCTAGTCGATTCGATACTGGAAGGCGGGTTGCCTAGTGTTCCGTTGGGCCACTGCAATGCGGAAGTCTTGCAGGCGCTTCGATCATTCATCCATGATGCAGACCTTGAACCCGAAGCTTTTCAATTGGTCTCGGACCATTTCGAAGGATCTGAGCAATTGGATATCTTGTATGTGGTCCGTGGCCTCATCTCGTACCAGATCCTGACACATGCACTGCGCAAGAGATGGATGGTGAATTATGGTCTTGACCGAACTCGAGCTGGGGGCCCTGGTGGTTGCCTGGCTGCAGTTCCCTATCGCGCAAAAGCAATACCGTCACAATCCTCCGAATTCGCACAGCCAGAAACGATGATCATCCTGACAACGTTGTCATATTACTACACTGGTCTGCTATACCAGGAGCTTCGGCAGTGCATACTCATGCTGTTGAGATTACCAGATCCCTCTGAGGAGTTCTCTAAATGGGTGATGAACTCGAGATTACCAGCTACATATCGAAAGGCGATACCGATCAATCTTGATGATGCATTGTGTTTGGATACCCTGTACCAACATTTTCGGCTCAACAAAGCTGCCATTGATTTCTTCCTCAAGTTGAAGGTGTTTCCGAAAGAAGCAAGAGAATTCAAATGGAAACTTTCGACTTCGGCATGGGACCTTTGTGCCACCGATAACGGTAGAGTTACCACTGGATTCTCTGGGACGTGCGACAGTCGAATCCCATCCACAATCAAGCAAAAGGATCTACAGAGCCTCCGACACAGCACAGCATCTACTCTAGCAACCATCCTGCGGTACGACAACCGTCAGTACATTTGTGCCGCGTCTTCGCACGGACAACGTCTCTCGACTGATGAGATGATTGATCTGATCGTTGGTCAGGTGAAGGAGCGTTCAGTGATAATCGATGTTGGTGCTCAATTCTTGGAAGACAACAAAGAAATTGCAGCGAAGTGGCTGAACAAATGCAACAAGAACAAACTGGCAGCCATTTTTTTCAATGATAGGGACGAGAAAATGGTTCTGAATCACGACGGCAGTACCGAGAAGTTCAACTCTTCCATTTTCAAGGATGAAATTGGATCTTGTGTCATTTACCTCGATGAGTTCCACACTCGTGGTACAGACTTCCAGTTGCCCGACTCGTTTGCAGCAGCCGTCTTGCTAGGCCCTCGAATCCCGAAAGACAATCTGGTACAAGCTTGCATGCGCATGCGGAAGCTTGCGGCGACGCAGTCTGTCGTCTTCATTGCGCCTCCCGAAGTCGACCAGAGCATTCGAGCTGTAAAGGAGACCACGCTGGAAGATCTGAGCAGCCTTCATGTCATCCGATGGGCAATTCATCAGTCCTGTTTGGTCCTACAACATCAAGACGCACTGTGTACGACGAAAGGTATTGTTCATAGCCGCCACAGACTAGCTGTGGCCCGTCATGTGCAACATACCGGACTGGTAGTAAATGTCAAGACTTATCTGCAGCAAATCCGCGAACAAGAAAGTCGCCCGGTTTTTGAAATGTATCGTCCGGACCAGAGCCACGGAAAGGAACTTCCTTTTCTACCTTCCGAGAAGGAGCGAGAGGACGAAATCATGGCGAACCTCTTGATTGACTGGCATCGAATCGACACTGCAGGCTTCGAGGACAATGACTTTTCCGAAGAGCAAGAAAGAGAAGTGCTTCACGAAGTCGAGCAGGAAAGAGAAGTGGAACGCCCCAGGGAAGTCGTACCGGCAGTCCCTGCCGAGTGCAAGGCATTGCTAAACCTCATCCGGGATGGCACAATACCAAGCGGCAGTTTGGATGGCATTGTTCCGGCTTTCGACCTTCTCAAAACAACGAAGCTTGCGGCCAAATACTCACAAGCTTCGTGGCCTATGCAGATTCTTGCCACAACAGATTTCATTCACACAATCGCATCTCGAGGAGAAAGTGCACAGGATGACTTTCTGAGGCCTGTAACATGGGTATTGCATGCCAAACGCATCAAGCAGCCCATAATTATCTCTCCACACGAAGCCAACCTCTTCATGGAATCCATTCGTGAGTCGAAGCGCGCTTCTCTGTTTCTTTACCAAGCGAGGGTTTCCAAATCTATGGTCTCATTCGACAAGTTAAATGTTTACAAGATACCAGAACATGAACACGGTGTCACCATCACACCTGAACAGTCAGCCATTCTTAACTTGTTCGCCGGTCAACTATACTTTAACAATTTCGAGGAGTACAAAGTCCTCTGCATGTTGATCGGGCTTTGGGACGGTGAGCGAGAGTTGCCGAATCGACGTAACGTCGCCAGTGACAATTGGGTCTCACCAGCTTGCCGCAAAGCAAATGGATGGACCGAATGCACGTTCAAATCAAGCCCAATACAGACCATCAAGGCATTCATCAACATGAGACGGTTAGGAATCGAGTGGTCCCATACACATATGGGACGCATCTTGGCTGGCAGACTCTTGAACCCGAAGGATTTCGAAGATGAAGACAACGTGCCTGCAGAAGGATTAGACAACTTGGTTTCTGAGGAGAATCATTTTAAGAATGATCAGGTGCCTGTTGCGGCGTTGCAAAGCCTGAAGCTGACAGAAGAGGAGTGAGAGGAGTTAGCGGAAGAGGAAGGTGGGTCTGTGACAGCTCTAACTAGACCGTCCCACAATGCCGGCGGATGATGGGAGTGACAAACACCTGCAAAGGCGAAGCGACCAATCATCAATGCCAAATGCGAGGAAATGAAGTCTCTTTCAAGAAAGCCACAGCTCATTATCATGGCTGCATGTATGATGTTGACAATTCGAACGATCGCAAGTTCCCCTGCGTTGAGAAAATCATACGCACTGGAATGGTTACTTCTCTCCTTGACATGGTGTTTTCAGTCCCAAGTCAGGTTTGAAGAACGCATCCATCAGCCCGATCCATCGAAGCCTGAAGCAAGTACAAATACTGCCTGTGTGGCTGTAGATGTTGATTGAATACCATGGATATGTCCTTGATTGTTACTATGAATGTGCTAATATCTTTAACAGGAGTAAACGTTCCTCCTCTTCGACCGGTTGAGGAAGAGAAGAGACTCTCAGCCTCCTTCTTTGCTTGTCCATGATTGGACACGCACATCAAAGCTCGATTTTCCCTCAACGGGTCAAGTCTCCTACACCAGGTTATCTGGTTGAGAAAATGCACAAGCTCACAGCGAGCCATCCCAGGTTAGATCCGCAATGCGCCAACGTTTGGTTCAAACGTCTCCAGCTCGGCAGCATCCACCCAGTTCCCATGTAATCCAGCTCTTAGGCGTACGGGCAACAGAATTTTGGCCTTCGGGCTGCTCATGTCCTCCGTGTCCACCAAGTGCACCTCTGACAGCATCGTGTCATAGTTGTTGACCAAGAACAGAAGCCACCCATTGCCTTCCGCAGTGCCATGAGACCTTGGTATGAACACGGTCTCTTGCACTAGATGCATATCGCCAGGAAAATACTTGGTCAACTCACCCGTCGACAGATCCAGCTGTCCTATGGTATTATATGGTGGGAAGCCACCTCCCATCCTCTGTGCCACCACTGGCCAGTTCGTGGGCGCCGAGCCGTCGTTCAGACTGCAGAAAGCCCGAGTGTACTCGTGCGACATGAAGCGGTCGTCGATCCTGGGGAATTCGATGTCTTCGCGCAGCAAGCACCGAGCTGGCGGCAGTTCCAGATCTGTTGATTTGGGATCGATCTCAAAGCGGAACATATTGCTCGTTATCTCACGAGGGTCCGGAGCATTTCCTTGAGCATCGGGCCACCAGAAGAAAACGTTCTTGTCACTGATTGGGAGGTCGAGCATGATTTTGCCGTCTGCCTCGAAGGCGTTGCAGGTATGTCCGGGGAAAGCATTTGGTGCGCGAAACCACTGGGTCGATTAGTCAATGTGGATGCCCGCAAAAGGTCATTATCGCGTTCTCACCTTGACATCAGAGGCTTTGGCCGACCTGCGAGGCAATACTCCAATGTAGAAAGGGATATCAGGGTTCCATTGCCAATGCTCTCCGCCTGCTTTCATTCGTTCTAGATCGCAAGTTTGGGGGATGATGGGGAACAGTACCTAATCATCTCTGTCAGGACATGGCTGCAAGCTGTTGCTCGCTCTGGAAGAAGGCTCACATAGTTCTCTGTCACGGCAAAGTCGTGGATCATGGCAACAACCGGACTGACCAGCCAAACTGTCTCTGTGAACTTGCCGGTCGCATCGACGCAGAAATAACAAATATCGGGTGTGCCATCTCCTCTGGCTTCGTACCCAAAGCAGACGAGTTCTCTCGTCACAGGATCCAATTTCGGATGCGCAGTGAAGGTCAAACTTGGCAATTGCCCCTCAAAGTCGTACAGCCCAAGCGTTTCGAGGGTGTCGGGATCCATCGCGTAAGGCGGTGCATCCTCTTTACATGCCAATAGTTTCCCATTGAAATAAACAATGTTAGTGTTGGCCGTCGTGCGGACCTTGAATTCGACAGCATCGGTGTATTTGTTCCGATATTTCCCTAGGATGAGGATGTCAGAGGGCTAGAAATTGAGCTGTTCAACTGATTCTTCTTACCAGCCAGGGCTTTTTTGGCTTTCCGTTCTCGTTGGAACTTTTCAGTCCTCACATATCGTTGTTTGAAATGCACTCGACCCGATTCAATGCGAAATGCACTGACACTGCCGTCGCCATTGAACCACTATGCAAGTGTGACACACGTCAATTAATGAAACTCAAAAGTACATGTGTGACAGCTTACAGGGTCGTTGTCGACAAAGGGTGGCAGTTGAGGATCGGGCATCACTCTGTAGAACGTCCCTCGAATCTCTGGAGGGATCGTGCCAATGACCTCGAGGTTCTCTGTGTCCCCCTCAAAGCGACATGGCTTCATGAACCCGGAAAACTGAGGGTGTGTGCTGAAGCGTACACTCGGCAATGACTCGGCCATCTTTGCAAAAACCTTTAATCAAAGAAATTCTCTTTTGTCCAACTAAGCTTCAATTCAGAATACTGATCTCGGTACATATGTGGCTTTAATGTCTACGGAGAAGCCATGTAGTTCTCGTTGACGAATCCACGTCGCTTCATTCATGATTTGCCCGGGTATAATATACCCGAACCCATGAGGTGACCGGAAAGCTAATGTAAGTTTCCCCGGGGCACCCACGGGCCATCCGCGCCGGAGCCCCATCGACTGTGAGCAGAAATCAGGGAGTGGCAACCTTGTTTGATTTTGGCGTTAGATTTAACTGAGTGAGGCCAGTCATGAGATCACGCTTGAGCTTCAGTGTGTTCTGTGTATCCAGATCGCTCGAGGCCGAGTCGTTCAAATAGGACACACCGTCAGAAATGCGGAGATTACCCCTGATTGCCCTCAGCCTGCTTGGCAAGGGTATTGTCAGTCACGTGCACCAGGTTTGCCTCGAGGGCATACTCTGCGCTCAGCAAGCATATCTAGGCAGATGGTGTGCCCCGACAGGGTGGTATTGCATAGTGGACCTAATAGCTAGCTACTAACATCAAAGGAGCACGGGCGAAGCTTTGAGATAGATCGTCTCTTCTAATTCAAACATTTTCATGGTGTCAAACATTTTCATGGTGTCAAACATTTTCATGGTGCCAATAGGTTGGCGAAGAATTTGGTAAATCTGGGAAGTCTTCTCGCTTTTCCACGAGAGACAGCCTTTCGCAAACAGATTGCAAAGCTCGCATTTTGATTCGGTCGATTGGTGAGTGGATGAATGAATTCGCTCTCTGTGGCGTTTCTCATTTCAACGCTAAGAGGCCCGTTCTTTCCCCGCCTCCAAGATTCAATTAGCTTTTCTGGGGTTTTGTCACCTCGATTCCGACACGTGAATCTCTTGCAAGCATTCTCGCCAGCAGCTTCGATTTTCTTTGGTTCTATCTCTGGTAGAGAGTAGCAAGTTCGATGCAGAATGATCAGCATCGTAAAAAGCGCGTGCGCATCTCGGTTGCTTGTCAGGAATGCCGCACTCGAAAAACAAGGGTACGCCTAATTTTCTAAATTGCAAAAGAAAATCTTAGGAGCATGCTAACTCTTGCCTTTGGTGTGGCAGTGCGATGGTCAAAGACCCTTCTGCAAAAGGTGTGAGGATGCCGGTCTGTTGTGTAGCTACGAAGAGCCGGATGTCGAGAACTTAGTGCCAAGGTGATTTTTTGACGCTCGGTGGAAATTGGTGGTGCTGAGGCTGATGAGCGCCCTCAGGAACACAGGAACACATCTGCTGGCCAGAATCCAAGCCCTAGAGAGACGTCTCGGAGCCGCGTCGAGCAATTTGCCCCTCCACGGCCAAGCTGACTGTGCTTCGAGCAATGCGCCTTCTGAACTTGCCGTATCAGCGGATGTGGAAGATGATTTGCTGAACATCACGGCCCGTGGAGGATCGGCTGCAGAGTTTGAACCCGAACACGCACCTATTGAGCATGATGCCGTTGATGGCATGGGATCAATTGCTCTTTCCGACGAGGGAGAACACCGCCCATACCATGGTTCGTGTGGATTTGAACACATACTGTATCATATTGACACGCATCAGGTCCGTCCGCCAACCTCGTCCTCGTACGTGAGTTGACCATCGCCCTTGCCGAAGTCAACAAGATGGTACACACAGGTTCACGCATGGTATCACGGCGTGCAATCCCAAAGATAGGACGCAGCATTCGTCCAACTATCTTGGACAGCCTCAGCTTTGGCCGGGTCGGGGGAGCGAGGGCCGGGATGAGCGTGCAAGATCTGCCACCAAATTCAGAGGCAAGCAATCTCCTTGCTGAATATTTCAAAACCGTTGGCCTGTTCTTTCCATGTATTCACCAAGACACATTCATTGCAAAATACAATGACTTTCGTCGAGATGGTACCCGCAACGCCCGCCGAACTTGGCTGGCGCTGCTGTACATGATTTTTGCCTCGACACATGAAATCGAAAGCTATGCTTCTCCAACCGACTCAACTATGGAAGTCTCGCGAAGGTATCGCCAAACAGCTGTCAGCTTGATTATGCCTGAAGCAATTACGTACTCTGACTTGGAAACAGGTCAGTATTTGACCCTCATCTAGACCCCCGCGCTAATCACGACTTCAGTCCAGATGCTTTGCTTGATGACTTGCCACCTACAAGGATCTCCAGACTCGGCACAAGCGTGGACGTTCCATGTGCTTTCTGTGAAGGCTGCTATGCAGATTGGACTTCATGCCCCTGGCGGCTCTGAAGACCTCTCGCTTCTTCAACGAGAAATGAGAAAACGAACATGGTTCTGGTGTATTCACAATGATGCGTATGTACCTCGTCAAAGCAGCAACAATATCCGCTAATGTTAAGAGCTAGCTTACTCAGTGCCCACCTCGGTCGCCCGCCCATCATACAAAAATCTTTGACCACGATGACACTCCCCTTGGATATCACGGATGCTTTTCCTACCACACGTCAAAGTCGCTCAGTCATGGCAGCTAGTGTAACATATTTTACAGCACTAATGTATGTATGGCTCATCCATTCACGGATATTTATTAACTTGCGAACAGCGGACTATCTGGGATAATCACCGATGTACTTGCCCAACTCTACTCTAACAATGGTTCTCCGTTGGGAACCCGCTCCATGGCTGATGTTCTTCGTCTGGTCTTTGACTTTTCCTGGAAACTGTCCCAGTGGCACCAGTCAGTGCCTGAAGAGCTCCAACCTACTGAAAATGGCAAGCATCAACCGACATCACAAGCATTAATTACTATTAGACGCTTCCAGACCGGGCTTGCACTACGCTACTATGTCGCACTCAATCTGGTCTATCGATCGGCGTTGTTATGCTTCATTCACTTCAGGCCAGGGCATACAGATGACAATCTTCAGTTGGCCGTACTCCGGGATTTCGGGTTCCCTTTCGTCAAGAACTGCATTCGCACTTGTAGGCAGGGTATCTCACTCGCCAAGGCAATCGTGGTTGAGCCTTACCAGGAGCAACGGCTTTGGGGGGCCTGGTGGATGACCAATTTTCTTGGTTCGTCAACATCCCCTTTGAGCGAGCGATAGACTGACGAAGTATACAGCATTCAACACTTCAATCATGGAACTAGGCATCTTGATGATAGCTAAGCGGGAGATCTTTGTAGACCTGTTCGCCGCAGAAGTCCTGAGTTCCATACATACCGACCTCAAGGATGTGGGACATGTGTTCCGCCGGCTCAATGACAGCAACCAAATTGTCTCGCGCTGTCACGGCTGTCTCAGAGAACTATTGGCCCTTTTCGACTCAACATACCCGAGGCAGCCTGGCGGAGACTCTGAGAGCCCAGGTTCACCTGGTCACGATGAAAGACAACGCAATGAGAATCACCCTGCTCAAGCAGCCAATGTGTCGGATTTTAATGATGCCGCTCATAACTTCCCGTGGGCTGACATGGATCTGTTCACCGAGTCTCTAGGAGCAGGCTTCAGCGGTCCAGAGCTAGATTTTCTGAATGGTCTGTGATTAAGGAGCTTGTATGGTCGCTAGATAGCTTTTTGATAGGTTAGGACTTGAAGAGCAGTCCGGTTCGAGATTTGCTTGATGCAAATTTCCGTGGGTAGTCAGGATTATTAAAGGAAGGGCGTCTATTTGGTCGGTAGATTCTGTATGGAACCAGCTTCTTATTTGACAAATACCATCTCTATTTTGCTTAACCAGGAGCTCCTCCTTTTCTCTTCATCAAAGCAGAAGACCCCAAATGTGTTGTTGCACTTCTCTTTGAGCCATAGTCCGAATTATTATCACTGGGTACTTTCAGAAACCTTAGGCTTGTAGATGGCTTCCGAGGCAGCTCGAAGCTTGGCACCAAAGAAGTACAGCGGAATAGCCACCAGCAAGATCAACGTGAGCAGCATGAACATGACCATGTAAACCTGGATCCACCCAGATTGCTCCACCCAATCAGAAGCAACGTATAAAAAGATAAACGCTACAAGATTCTTGAAGGCGTTGACAACAACCAGACAGTCGGCGGCATACTCGGAGTAGCAGTCCGCCACGTAGGTGATTGCGATGTTGGGAGCGTAAACGGTTCCAAAGGATACTAATTTCTCATGTTAGTGGTTCATTCGATATTTAATCGTAGCATGCCTGGAAAAGCACGAATCGTTAACATACCCATAGCGAAACCGAAAGAAATACCAATCCAATGGAGCTTGTACGCACACGTGAATGCGACCACAATGCATCCAACAGGTGCGATCCAGAAGCCTGGTATCAACGACAAGAGCCGTTGCTCTAACTGATACTCGCCCTCATGTTTCCGAATGCTACGCATGGTTATCGTATCCGAGATGTAGCCACCACCGTAGCAGGCGACGAGAAAGCCAATGAGGGCGGCAACCTCGATCAGACCGATATATTGTGTTTTGAACAAGTATGGTGGCGCGAGCAGAAGAGATGGGAAAACGAATCTGCTCAGCGACCGATCTGTCAGTAGATGAACTACGAGGCGGTGAGACATTCATGCTTACATGAGAATGACTTGTGCAGCAAGATGTAGGCCATAGAGGAATACAGTCCACAGCACCGCGGGATAGACCAAGAACGCCAACGGCCGCATGAATGCTGTCCAGAGGGACATTTGTTGATTATGCCTCCAGGTAGTCGTCCAAATAGTTGACCAACGCTGTTGTACCACGACCACGGTGTCCGTCCGCGTGAGAGTTGCATCTCCGGTCGCGGTTGCTGACTGGGCAGGAGAGGTTTCGACCAATTCCGCGTCGGGTGATTTATCAACGTCATGAACTGGGGATGGCTGAGTGGCATGTCGAAAATCTGGCCGATGAAATGTCGATTCAGGGTAGAAGAGGAAGATACAGATAGCATTGAACCCGGCAAGACCAACGCAGATCCACGTAAAGTCTCTCCACGTTCCAGGTGTCCCTGCGACGACAAACGCAGCTACGAGAGGGCCGACAGCGGTCGCTCCAGCTGCAAGTATAACGTAGCTGTCTTTGGTGAGTCATTAAGTAGGGGTGTAGGGCGCGGTGGACGACTTTGTAGACTCACATTGACATCATGGCCGCTCTTTCATGAAGAAAGAATATATCAGAAACGATGCCGGGCACGATACTCTACGTGCCTAAGTCTCAGCGAAGTCTTAAACATGTGACTGTGGATCTTGGAACATACCTCGCCCGCAGCTGCAGCAAACCCAGACAAGCAGCGGGAAGCCACAAGAGAGTTCCATGACTGGGCTTTGGCTGTCCAGATTATTGTAGTGAACAACATGCAATTCGATACAAGCATAATGATTCGCTTGCCATATTTTGTCGACAGTGGCACCCATATCAGATTCCCGAGGCCGAGTAGGAAGAAGTTCCACTATGTCTTTTCAGCTGACAGGTTATTCGGATTGAGTCCAAGCAACATACAGTCAAAACAGCAAAAGATTGGTTTTGGGTTTTATGATATTGCATTTGAAGAATAGGAGTCGCGACAGAAAGGCCAGATCCAGCAAAGTTGGCCGTGAAGTTGAAAAGTGCCACAGACAGTAAGGCGAGAATCTTGAACCATCGAGGCCATCGTAAAGGATCGTCGAGGTTCGAGGAAGGAGGTGGCCAGAGGATGATCCCATGGTGACGAGTAGTTTTGCTAGAGGCAAGGTGAACAATGTCGACAGAAGTCATCGTGGGTAACAATGCAGACAAGCTTCAGACGATGGTATTCGTCGAGATTCCTTGGTATCATGAGCGAAGACTAGTTAGTAACAGCTTGTTATCCTTTTATGGTGGACTGATGTCCTGAACTGAGGCTACTTACCAGGTAGATCCGGGGAAGAGCAGTCTCCTGTGCCGCAGTTACCCGGATCTGCGTCAGGGGATGTATCGAATTTCCGGCATGATGAAGCTGACACGCGTGCTCATATCATTATAAGCAATCGGCTGATACGAGTGGCAGTTAATGGTTCAAAAATAGCTTCTACAGACCATAAATTACCTCTTGCTTCAGTGCGAAGCTAACGTATCAGAATCTCAAACGCTTTATTCCTACAACACTTTCATCCGAATAGCCATGGCTTTACAGTCGCAATACGTTTTCACGCTATACGTAGACCTCGCGCCAGCTTTGGACTTTGGGAAAACTACCAGCAGTGGGAACCGCAGATTTATCCCCATCACCGGAGGTAGACTGGAAGGACCGAATTTAAAAGGAGAGATATTGCCAGGTGGAGGTGATTGGAATGCTGTACGCGCTGACGGCGTCGTTCATGTCCTGGCAAAGTACGCCATCAGGCTGGAGGATGGAACGATGGTCAACGTGCACAATGAAGGCTATGGGCGAGCAAGCCAAACAGTCATGGAGGGAGTTTTCAGTGGCCAGCCCGGCGGCGCAGTACCTGAAGGCAGCGAATGGTATACGAAGACCTGGCCACGATTCGAAGTGGCTGACAACACTAAACATGCCTGGATGTGCCGAACGTGCTTCGTGGGAAATCTGTTGAAGCCGGAGGGGCCTGGCCACGTTCAGATCGAAGTGTTTGAGCTGCTTTGAGCGGCTTTGTGACTCGGATGCTGCACTTCGGTTGCGGTCAACGACTTCGAGATGCTGCTCGTAAGCCACCGACAAAATTTATGTTGCATTGCTGGGTGGGGATGGAGCAGAGATCCGAGTACAGGTAGTTCTGGTCCGAAAAATTGCACAAATCATTTCTTCCATTCCGCGCTCCCGCTGTTATACCCGGGAGATTATACCCGGAAAGTGATGATACATTTCGATAGGCCACAGCGGAAGACCAAACACGACTGGGGGACAAGATGTCCTATTTTGCCCCGGCTTGCCTCGCGGCTTGACGCACCTCTATGTCTGCTCCATCTGACCAGTGATGAGTGCCCCCAGAGTCCGGGGGGAAAGTAACGTGGATCTCAGAATAAAAAAACCCCCCGTCGAACCACAACTTGTTCTCGGCCCGTGACTCACAGAAACATGCGATGATGCGCGGAAAGGCCGCTCAGCTATACTCCATGACGAGTATCAAGACATACGAACCCTTTGCCGACGAGTATATATCTCTACTACTCTGCAAATTGGATCAGTTCGCGATTACAGGCGAGGGGATACAGTTGCAGCATTGGATGCAGTGCTACGCTTTTGACGTTATTGGTGCAATCACGGTGTGTTCCGTTTCCAACCCGCCCTTTTCCTTGGGAGGCTCGAAGACACATCATGTCATCCAGTATGGTGAATGCGTCGGATTCCTTGAGTCTGGAGGTCATGATGTTAAAGGCATAGTTAAATTCCTTGAGAAAGCAACAGCCTTCATTACACTGGTTGGCGTTAACATTGCACTCCTACCGCTATGTCTTCTTGTCTTCGGAAACCCTGTGAATGGTGCAATCTCTTTCTCAGAATGGATGACACAAAGGATCCAACAAGGTGGTTCAGACGAGACTGAAACTTCTTTAGCGGACTCGAAATCTAGGGCGGGCCAGAACTTCAACCAAAAACTATCGACCTGCAGGCAGAGATGTCAGAAGAGGAGTTTACCAGCGCGCATATGACGGAAATAGCTTTCACAAATGTAGCCGCGGGATCAGACACAACTGGGCTCTCTCTCACAGCTATATATACCATTTGATATCACAACCAGAAACCTACAGCAAACTGAGAAAGGGATCGCAGAAACCATGCAGCAAATGGACAACCCAGGTGGAGAGAATCAGTACGGCGATCATGAGACCCAGGAAGCACTCACCTTTGACCGAGTTCAAGGCATGCCATACCTTCAGATGGTTGTCAAAGAAGGCTTGCGAATGCACCCTGCCACAGGCTTGCCAATGTGGCGGGACGTCCCAGAAGGTGACACCTCAGTGGCTGGGACACACATTCCCAAAAGGTTCGACTCTGGGCCTCAACGCGTGGATAGCACATCGCAATACTTCGATATTCGGTCAGGATGCTGCAAGGTTCCAACCAGAGCGATGGGACCCTGAGGTGACGCCCAAGTCGGAGCTCGCCCGCATGGAAGGGTATTATATTCCGTTTGGAGCTGGCACGCGAACCTGCATTGGCAAGAATATTTCCATCATGGAAATCTGCAAGCTGATTCCGATGCTCGTGCAACGATATGACTTCGAGATCGTGCCATCTCCCCCATCAAAACCTGGCAAAGGGGGCTCACAACTTGTGACGAATAATTTGTGGTTCGTCAAGCCCATGAATGTATCAGTCAGGGTTCGACGGGCGAGGAAAACTTTTGGCGACGCGAAACCTTCCTGATTTCTAGATCCGACGGAACGAGGCGTTCAAGCCATCAAGGCCCCTGAATCTGTCTTCATTGCTGTGGATCTCAGCCCAGGTGGGATGTAGGTCCTGCATCTTGTCGCTGACACAAGGACTTTTCCAATAATATCTTTGCAACTTAAGTAACCTCAGTGAGTGCCCAACCCGGGAGGTGCCTGGAGAATGCGGCTGACAAGAGAGCTGATCATTTTCGGTCGAACATTCACCGCTCAGACCACTTCGGCTATTCTAGCGAGGGCACGAGCGTAAGTTCTACGCATGTAAATATCTCATCGATCTTGCTCTCGCGTGGCGATTTGAATCAATGCAGACCGCAGAGCTGAACAGTCGACCTTTGAACTTTGAGCTGAAGCTCACCGTGCGCATGACTCGATCCATCTAGCCCAATCCATAGACCGTGTCCATATTTCCTGCTTTCAATCGGAAGTGTGAATAGGCCATTGGGCAGATTTGTGCGGATTCTCAGTATCGCATGATTTACAATTTCCCACGTGGCGCTCCTGATCGAAGCGACTTCATCGGCCTCCGCCTCGAAGCGAGGTGGGTGCGGTCTCCAACCCAAATGTCAGTAATCAAAGCGTTTGTTCTAGACAGGTCCAGAACAAAACCATTTCCTTGAAACTATGCAAATATACAGTGAACCTGGCTTCACAGCGATCATCATCCGCAAGCAAGTTCTCTCCCAGAGTTCCATTGTCACAATACTGAAAAGTCGTCGAAGTCGTTAACGGGTGTTGGGATTTCACAGTGGTTTCTGTCCATAAACATATCGTCTATGAGACAATTCCAAGTCAGATAGGGGACTCCGAAGGGAGAGGGGAAATACGTAGGACTTACAATCGCGTGTACATGTGATATTTTAGATTATACAGGTCGGCTCGAACACCGGCCAGCAGAACCTCGACCTCGGCTGGGTCCCAACCCAGGACACGGGTGAACAGAGCCAGGCTATACGCTTGTAAAGCCTCCAGCATCAGCATGCGCATGTAAACTGACAATTCTTTGAGCTTCTTATCCTTTGGCCAAGGCGAGAGAGGGGTCTGGCACGCAGAAGAAAGTCAGCCATGGTAGTAAAGGTGGTGTGGAGTTGGTGGTGTGCAATTGCGATGGTTCCCCCGCCTTACCTTGAAAACCTCTTCTCGAACGTCTACGAAACCGGCATTTTGCACTATTTCCTTCATATGAGGCACAACATTCATCGATCGTCCGGCCTTGTTAGCCGCTTCATGCAAAGATAATTGCCATTTGTGATATGAGCTGTCTTCGGGGAGAGAATTGTCATCGGTCGAGCCCCATGGTTCGAAATCCCCAAATTCGATCCAGCCACCTGGTTTGAGATGTTCATTACATCGCTGCATCAGCGCAGGCCAATCTGCGATTGAGCCTGTCATGTTCCGAACATGTATGAAGTCGAACTTCTGCTCGAATGTCCACGGGGACTCTGCATCGTCCACAAGAAACTGGAGGTTCGGCGGCACCCATTTGGGTTGAATTGGAGACAAATCAGTTGCGATTATGGTCGCCATCTCGAATTTGTCGGCCATGTCAATGGCCCATATACCTGTGCCGGTGCCGATGTCCAATATACGCTCTGGCTCCTTGATGGGGGCTCTGAAAAGTTCTCCCCCCAAGCACATCGACTGAACGTGGTGGACAAGGTCAAGTCGCTGTTGCTCTTCTTCGTCGTTCGGCGCAAAGTATTTCCCCGCCTTGTACGAATGGTAGCGACGGCCGTTTTCATATTGATAATTCAGTGCGCTCGATGCTAGTGAAGTTGTCTCACTATGTATACTCTCGCCGTATGCGGAATCGGTGTCATCCCCGGTAGCCATTCTCGAAATGAAAAGATTGACAGGTTTACATAAGAATGATTGGAATAAGTTGTGAAGGAAGTTGATACAATACCTTTAATGCTGGACAAGGTCCGGGGATAAGTTGCGGGTTGAGTTTTGGATGGCGGAGGCCAGGGATTAATATGATGGAAAGGTTTTCGAGCCTCGGGATCAAAGTAGCCCAAATTGCTGGTTGATTGGCCATCATCACGCTTGATTTGGATTGTCTAGAACGTTGGTACCACCGAAGGAATACGGGAACGGGATCTTTGCTTAGCCGGCCACTGAGGTTATTGCTTCGTCACAAAACGTGGCGTAGAGTTTCGGGATAATCCAGAGGGCCTTTGTTAGCTTTGGCTTTGGCTTCGCAAGACGGTCAAATCACTTGCGCGAAGTAAGTTCAAGTAAAAGGGAGGCCAAAAGACGCGTATCTGGTGTAAGTAGCTAACTAGGCTGGGTATCTGCACAGTGGGCATGACTAGCTCGAGGCAAGCATTCAGATCTCCACCTGGTCGGTTGTGTCAAGCTGATTATTTACGGGGGTTGCCAACCGACCGCCACCTGGTGGTCAGACAATTGCTCGCATTGAATGGCGGCGGAATGAAAAAGCTGGAGAATTGAGAGTCTGAGCCGGAAATCCAGTGATTTGTTGCGCTCGTGTAGAGTAGAGCCGAGCATTCTAGAGTGTCAAGCGCCCCAGTACTCGTAGGTGCTCCGTCCCCTTTCAGGGAAAGACCGAAGAGCTGCATGGATTGACGAGGGCCAACCCCTGTTTGACCAGTAATATACGAAGTAGTTAGGAGTCTTTGCACAGTTTGCTTCTCCGTCCATTGCAACATTTGTGCGTCCTTAGTCCATGATAAGCAAGCCCTGCAAACCAGATGGCAAGCTGACAGCAAATCATCGATGTTGGTAGGACAAAGAGTGGCTCGTGGTTAGATTTAAGAGCGTGTGATCTAGCGGTATGGTTTCCCAACCCCTCTGGCCACTGCTTGCATTTGATTCATGGATGAAGTGGTTGTTGACAGGTCTGTCGGTGAGGCTGCTGTACGCTGTGAGTGAGGATAACGATGTATGTACTCCGTAGGAGCTTATGGAAATGGCGTTTAGGCGGTGGTTGCTGGTGGAGTGAGCGGTTTGCCTCTAAGGGAGGCGCCAGCACCATCAGAACGGCTTTCCCCTTGGGCTGCAACCCCGGCACTTCCAAGTATCTAAAAGGTTCCCACTGATGTACTTCGTACATTGGTCGGCATGTGCAGATCGGTTTCGCTGGCGAGTTAACTCGAGCCATGCAACTCCTTCTCTATCTTTGCGAAACAACCTATGACACTTCAGAATTGGGGGAATTTTCCTGTTTGTGTTCTTGATCTCGAAAATCTCACACCCCCCAGAAGAAGTAACACTAAATGAGGGTGGGCAGGTTTTGTACTCTTGTTTCCGTCAACCTGACCACCAACTGCCATCCTACGGGCTGTAAGCTGTGAGGCCCAAGTGTTTCTGGCCCGTGCTTGTGTAACGATGGCCTTCACGACTTCTGCCAACTTGCTGGTGCTACTACTTTCGTTGTCGGTCACAAGCATCGCTTCAGTGGTGACGTACCGTCTGTTCTTCCACCCACTCTCTAAAATCCCTGGCCCAAAACTTGCTGCCGCTTCACGATTCTATGATTTCTACTATGACTGCATTCAGAGGGGTAAGTTTGTATTCAAGATCGAGGAACTGCATAAACAATATGGTAAGGATGACTGCTACCCTCTTGGTTTTTGTCACTCACGATATTTGCAGGACCCATAGTCCGGATTGGACCGAATGAAGTCCATATCTTAGATGCGGACTTCTTCGAGGAATTTCACAATGTTTCTAGCCGTCTCAACAAGGATGCATGGTATTATGCATTCGTTGCGTCTCAAGATGCTGGGTTCGGTACCAGCAACGCCGATCTTCATCGCACCAGAAGAAAAGCCATGAGTCGCTTCTTTTCGTCGTCGGCGATCGCACGCCTCGAGGCATCGTCTAGAGAAAAAGTTCTCAAGCTCTGCCAGCGTTTTCAGGAATTTCGTCAGAGTGGCAAGTTGGTGAATTTGTCAAACGCTTTCCGATGCCTAGCCGCAGACTCAGTAACCAGCTATTGTATGCCCAGAGGATTCAATTTACTGGAATCTATCGATTTTGCAGATGATTACAATCGACAAGCCCGAACGTTTTCGTATATCGCCGTTTGGCATCGCCATATTCCGATCATCATCTCAATTTTCATGCAAATGCCAAGATGGTTTGTCAAAGCGACATCAACAGAAGGAGGATTATTATCCTTTGATTTCCAAACAGTAACAACTAATTATTTCGCATCCGATGATTGAATTGACTGACAGAATTCAGGATCTGGCACATCAAGCCGCTGCTGCAGTACATGCAGAGAAGAGAAGCGACAAGTCCGTACTTGATGGGATCATCAACTCCGATGCCATTCCAGAGAGCGACAAGACGGTTGATAGAATGACACAAGAAGCAAGAACACTGGTTGGAGCCGGCAGTGAAACCACAGGCTCTTCCCTTGAATTTATAACCTACCATGTTCTTGCTAATCCGGATATCCTTCGACGCTTGAAGCAGGAGCTCTCTGACGCCGTTTCTAAGGCAGGCGCAATTGAGGAGCCTCTAACCCACTATGACATTGTCCAGCCTCTACCCCTTCTCACTGCTGTCATCAATGAAGGTTTGCGTCTGGCCAACAGTGTGTCGGGTCGACTCGCAAGATCGAATCCTCGTACCACGTATGAGTATAAATCCTACATATTGCCACCAAACACTGTCATCAGCATGGCGATCAAGGGCAGCCATGGAGATGAATCAATATACCCCGAACCCACGCGCTTCAATCCAGATCGATGGTTTGTGAAAGGAAACGAGTTGAAGAGGCTAGAGAAGTATTTCTCTCCATTCGGACGCGGATCACGGAGTTGCATAGGAAAAGAGCTTGCAGTCATGAATCTTTACCTCATGACGGCAAATTTCTTCTACAAATTCGATGCTGAACTCTTCCAAACCACTTTGAGGGACATTGAGATGGAGCATGACTTCTTCGCACCATTTCCGGCTAATGACTCCAGAGGTCTGCGAGTCAACCTGAAGTGATATGGTATGTTGCTTCTCGGGGAGGTTTCAAACGTGCGAGCAGATTGGAGGTCAGGACGATCTCTCAATTGACGACTTATGTATATGAATGGGACGAATTATGAACATGAATACTGCATTGTCCATAGCCTGCTGGGATATCATTCGTTAAACTTGTGACTAACAGCCTGGAGCTGTATGCTTTCGTACCTTCGAGCCATTTGCCCTGACCCTTAATTCAGTAGACAACGACCGCTCAAACCTTTGCTGCCTGGAATTCCGTCCCATCGTGGAACTGATCCATCTGCATGCGGGAATGTCATAGAGCGCCAGGTAATATGTCAGCCTATTTGCAATAGAATCCTGGAGTCTACTGACAATTGATGGAAATCTCAAAATACCGTGGGCAGGATATACGGTGAGGATTTACGAAATACGGAGTACGGGCACATAAGCATTGTGGTAGCGTCACCCGGGAAACGCCTTTCCAATCTGCGACTACCAGATATTGCTGACAACCTGGGAGGGAAATGGTATCTAGGTAGTCATATCGTGACTTCCTCCGCTGTAGGAGATTGAGAACGAGGATCGCAGACTTTCAGTCAATGCAGCTGCCTGGATCACCTTATTAGTATAAGAATCCGGTTCGCCCTCTCTACCATCAAGCCAGAACGCCGACAACCCCTTACAAAAATTCTCGCCTTTTGAACTACTCAAGCGCAGATAATTCTCCCGGTTTGAAACTCGTTTTGTCCATTCAATCAAAATGGTGCATGTCGAGCGCAACATTGTGGGAGATCCATATGCCCAAAGCGGCTATTGGGGACCTCAAACATCTGTGGCCAAGTATGTAGTCTCCCGACTCTACGGACCCTAGCATTTGCTGAATTGGCGTGCGTGACTTCAGCTTCTGCGAAGAAGACTACAGGTTGACGAAGTATGCCGCGGAACTTATTAACAGTGTGACCAACCTCGCATATGGTATGAGAATCTGCCCTAGGCAGTATTTGGTGTGTGGTACTGATTACGAATTGTGAAGTTTACTACGCCTTCAAGACACTGGGTCCAAGAGAACATCTACTATCAAGCACTGCTTTTCCAAATCTTGCCCTCTTCTTCGTTGGGGTCACATCATTCGCATTCCATCTCACGTTAAAATATGGAACGCAGATGTGTGATGATCTCTCCATGTTCTGGGTGTGCGCCGCCATCATATACGAGCTCTACACATTCGACCGCTCACCAAGCGCCAGAGCCACCTTCGGCATTATTTTGACTGGTGTCCTGGGATACATCAGTGCAGTCCATTATCAATCCAATCAGTTGTGGCTTCATAATTGGACATTCATTGCTCTTGTCACGGCCATTTGGCCTCGAGTGTTGTACCTCATCAACAAGAAGCTCAAGGGTTCAGAGCGTCGCGATGCACACCGCAAATTTCGATTTGGTGGTATCAGTTTTCTACTTGGTTTCGTATTGTGGTTGATTGATGGTGCCGCCTGTAGGTGGCTACGGGAGAGCAGGGCCACCCTTGGCCTCCCCTGGGAGTTTGTGTTAGAATTGCATGGTTGGTGGCATATTCTCACTTCGATTGGTGCTGGCAATACCATCAGAGTGACCAAGAAATTGACCCAGCAGCCTTCGTGAGGTCTTTCTCACGATCGACAGTCTGGCTCAGCCTCATCGAAGGCAAACTCTCTGTGTTCAGGGTGCTTGCTCCAGCCTATGGCATGTCGACATCAAACTGTATCATATCCACCTTCCACTGGGATAGAGCTGATCATGATATCGGAGCGTCGATCCGAGTACAGTAACCGATAGGACCCTCCTATTCATCACTAAGCTACTGATCAAGCAGCTGGCTATCTCCAGCGCAAACCCTTTGCAGAAGACAGTTCCGTTCACTCTTACGCATAATACGACTGATCACGATTATGCTCATCCAAGAGGCTCTACGTGAGTAAGGATGATCTCATCTGCAAAGGAGAGAGTTTTATTGGAATTGTTGCCACCATATCAGATCTTGTGCCGAACAAAGGCTTGATGTCGTACAGTCTAAAAGTCCTCAAAAGCTGCTGGCTGACTGCTTGCTCTTATGGCTATGGAGCGAGGTCATATGATTCAGGGAAAGCCATCTCGAGTAGATGCCCTGTATTCTATGCCATCTGAGGTCGTCAGCACTCTTGATTGATGCAGGCGCGTTGCTCTGACGCCCATCCAAGTATATCCTTCACAGTTCCAATAAATACACTCACAATTTCGACTCTGTCACGGGGCTGATTCGAATGTTCGTCCGAGGATAATGAATCCTCAATGTCCCACTACCAATCTGGGGCTTACTTGCGATGACGACCTCGTTGACACCAATTGACAGCAGTTCGCCTTTGTCATGATGATTAAATCCGGATTCCACAGGCCAAGTCTCCACTGTCTGGCCTTTTTCCAATTTCAATGGATCTCTCTCATCAATCTGACCATCTACTTCGAAAAAGTCTGCGTCAAGGATCATCTTGAGTGTTTCATCGTCTGACAGTCGCTTTGGTTCTCCATTCTGTCTTTGCTTCTCGGCCAAGGCTTTCGTAAATCGATCGACGTATGCAAAAGTCTTCGGATAGTATTGTTCGTTGATGACGTTGTCCTTCTCCAATGCCACCCCTAAGCCCACGTCCTTACTTGTCGCCCAGTGGAACGTCCAAATGCCGTGAACATCGACCAAAGTAGGGGCAGAACCACCCATAAGGAATTCCCTTCCATCAGCAAGCAGTTCGTTCTCCATCATGTCAAAGTATGTCCGCACGTGAGCCAAATTCTCCGGGCGTGCTTTCTTGAGCGTTTCTCCGTCAAAAGGCCTCCCAGTCATCTCCAGCCTGTCTTTGCACCACTCCGGGTCATCGAGGATGGGTGCATCCGGAGGAATGAGGCCGGCGGTCCTCCAAAAGGGACCGCTGTCGATGAGCCAGTTCTCGAAGAGGTGCTCGAGGCCCTTCTCAAATGGTTTCTTCGAACTTACGCTGTTTTGTGGGAATAGTTCTTCTAGTTTTCTGATTATGATTCGTGTGTCGCAGTAGATGTCCCGGCCAATCGCCAAGATTGGGATGCGTCGGTATTTGACACCGAGTTTCTCGAGGACTGGGCGTGGCAGGCGGTTCAGTGTGATGCACTTGGAGTATTGCAGACCGCTGAGTCCGAAGTACCAGTCCATCTTCCGTCCGAAGACAGAGCCGTCGTAGGTGAAGAGTATTATCGGAGGCTGTGCCATGATGGAATTATCTGATTGTTTTCGTCTGCACTACGTTTGTGTGTCGAAAGTTACCTCACGATTATGTAGAGAGTGCTCAATTCTTAACTACTCGGAACACTGCAGGCGATTGTCAACCTACTTATCGCATTTCCCAGCCCTGACGTTGAGCGTCGCTTATTACACTATGATGCAATCCTTTTTGATGAAAGACCAGTTGTGAAGCTAAAGCATTCGAAAGTTTACGAATCACCAGAGAAATACGACAAACGAACCGATTTCGATGACACTCAAGGAGCAGAATTCCCCGCAAAGTGATACGCCACCACTACACCAATCGCCCAGTGTGATTCGCCCCTCCACAACCTCGGGTGAAATCTCAAGCAAGAGAATACGCCCTAATGGGCAAAGCTTTGACTTCGTCCTCCCGAGTCGGAGGTCCAAACCATCCAGGAACAAGTCATGCGAGTCCGAGTCAGTCACCATGTGTCCCAAGGCTGCCGGCCCCGCAGAGGGCCATGTTTTCTCGACAATGTTGCCGTGCAGAACATTCTTAACCTCGCTCAATGCTTACCTAGGTAGTATCCGTGACCGAGGGGATGTGACTGAGACCACTTGACAACGTCGACCCACGGTCTTGAAATACTGAACACAGGTTACTATTCGTCTGAAGGTGAATAAAGCTAGTTGAGGCTCTCCAGCGTTCCTCTTGCATTCCTTTACCCTGGCATTCGTCCAGTGAATCGGGATACGTTTGAGAGAGGTTAGACAGAGAACCATTCACTCAAATTTAATAATTTCCGCAGCAGCTATTGCTTAGCGCAGCGACAGGCGCAACCCACCAACATGGCGAGCAACGAGTTGAAATGGACATACCCGGAGAAGCGGGAACTACTGGGCGGCGACCTGCTGGCACAGACACTACGCCAGTTGGGGGTGGAGGTCACATTTGGAATCCACGGCGGGCATCTCGACGCCTTCTTGATCGGTTGTAATCTCGCCGGCATCAAGTTAATCGACACCAGGCATGAAGCCACCGCGGTACAGGCGGCTGAAGGCTACGCGAAGATCTCGGGGAAGCCTGGCTGTGCGTTCGTCACTGCGAACAGCGGGTATGTATCCAACCCTATCCCTCTCGACGTGGCCCCCCTCAACACTAACGTGCCCTTCTCCCCTTTTATCCAGATTCTGCAATGCTCTCCCAGGCCTCGCAACCGCATATGCCGACCGCTCGCCTATATTTGTCGTGACATCGTCGCCGCCTCTTCGTGAAGCAGAGACGAATTCCCTGCAGGGGTTCCACGACCAAGTCGTGCTCGCAAAGCCGCTCACGAAATTCGCGCACCGCGTGACCAACGCCGAGGAGATCCCGCGCATCGTCACGTACGCATACAAGACCGCCATCTCGGGTATTCCGGGCCCCGTGGTCGTCGACTTCCCCATCGATGTGCTCTTCCACCCACCGCGGATGAGTGCCATCGCATATGGCTCGGTCATGCACGCGCCAGCTGCGGCGCCGGCTCCGGATTCTGCCAGTCTGGACGACTTGCTGAAACTGTGGAAGGCGGCGCACAGACCGGTCATTATTTCCGGCACGGGCGCCGCGAGAACGACGGCTAGAAATGGCGGCGGCAGGGAGAAGCAGAGTGCTAGTCCGCTGCTTCAGCTCGCTGAAGCGACCCACACGCCGGTATTTTACTCCCAGAAATATGCGCCTGCACTCCCATTCGAGCATGCCTTGCGAGGTGGTCCTGCCGGGAGCTTGGCTATATTGCCGTACATCGGCAAGCAACAACCCGACCTTGTGCTCCTGCTCGGCGCGAGGACCGGATTCCTGCTCGGCGGGCGCTCCGGGGCCATCATCCCGACGGGCGACGCATGCAAGCTGGTACAAGTCGACATCGACGGCACCGAGATCGGGAAATCGCACGCCGTGGACCTGGGCATCGTATCCGACGCGAGGAACTTCATCAGCGCACTGCTAGACCGCATCAAGACTGGGGAAAGCATCGACAAGCACGAACCCTGGATCCAAGACATTCAAGACCTGAAGAACACGCCGTCGCCGCACGCAGGCGAGAGCGAAAAGGGCTCCGACGGCCGCTTGCACCCGTACCACACGATCCGCGCCATCTACGAGTCCATTCCACCAGACTCGATCGTCATCCTCGACGGCGGGGAGGCGAGCGTGTGGGCGGGCGAGAACGTCGAGGTCGCGCGTCCGTCGTGCGCCATCACCAGCACCGGATACCTGGGCTTCCTGGGCAACGGATGGGGATATAGTCTGGGCGCGGCTGTCGCGGCGGGCCCGGAGACGTTGGTGCTGAACGTCCACGGCGACGGCTCCGCAGGATTCCACATCCAGGAACTCGACACCTATGCGCGGCATAACTTGAATGTCCTAACCGTGGTCATGAACAATTACGTCTGGGGCATGAGTATCGCCGGCCAGGATATCATGTATGGGTCGGATGATCCCGCGAGAATGGTGTCTGCACTGTCCGAGGCGACCCGCTATGATGTCGTTGCCCAGGGCTTTGGGTGTAAAGGGGCGTTTGCGACCGAGAGCATCGATGAGGTCAAGGCCAAGGTTAAGGACTTGGCGGCGAGCAAGGGCGCCGGCCTACTGAATGTGATCATTTCGAAGAATCCGGTTACGGCCGTCACGCAGGCCATGGTCGGGAAAACGGATGATCCGAATGTTATTGTTGTGCCTTATTACGATAATGTCCCCAGGCCGTATTATAGGGCTGATGAGGGGAAGAATGGGAATGGGAATGTGAAGGAGACGAATGGGCATTGATGGATGGTGACGGTGAGCCCCTTTTATGTGACCTGAATGTTAAGCAGGTCCAGGAGATCAGAGGCAAATGGATGGGGAAAAGTAAACCCATTGACATATCAAATATCTCATCCCAGGTTATTATCAGTTGAAAATGTCTTTTAACATGCTCGTTATTCGAATGTTTATACAGAATGGTGAATTTTATTGGTAGGCTCGTTTACATAGATGAACGAAGCCTCGACATGTTGACGGCCTGGTAGCTTCTTCCTTCTCTGATCGGCGTCAATGTTTTTATATACACACAGTGGAATATTCTGACAAGTGGGACCGTCCCAGCGACAAGATCCCAACTTAAAATTCAATCAACCCAGTCAACTCTTTCGCGCCTCAATTAGGGTTGGTAAACTCAAGTCAAAGTGTGACTACACTTCCCTTAATGCCAAGGTGGAAAGTGCTCATTATTCACCACCACAAGCCATCAGCTGAACGTGTTTCGTTTGAGAGTTTTAGTATAAGGATAGATGCTAGTTATACAGGTTGGAAATGTGAATGAAGTGGATATCTTGGGGTGCTCCATTGAAACAATCGCTTGTATGGCCAACAATGTTGACAATGACGGCAAGTGAGGGAGAACCTTCTTGTATGGTATGTCTTTTGATTTCAGGTTGGGTAGCCCAGGTAGGCTCGGTCTACCGAGGAACTTTGCTGTTTCTCTCACGGCGCGCGGCTTCCAGTTCATCCTGGCGTTGAAGCTCCCACTTCTCCTGTCGTGCTTTGGATTGTTTATTTGCTTCTTTGATGGCACTCGCTTTCGAGCTGTTCTTAAGACCAGTCACCACCGACGAATCGCTCCAAAGGTTCTTGACTTTGTCAACTTTCTGGTCGATAAAGCTCCGATTCGACTCGGATGATGTTGCAGGCACCTCCCGACTGGCAACCGTCTTCATACCGCCGTACGTCGGACCTTTCTGCGCTGCTATAGGCTTTGGGGCAGGCACGGCAGCAGCTAGCCCGGTCCAAGATCTGAAAAGTGGTGTATTGAACAGGGTTTGCTGCCCATATTGGAAAATACCATTGACCAGAAAGAATAAGTGTAGAGCTGCAGGTTGCCAAATCATGAACGCGAAGGATAACAGAGGCAGCCCTGTCCGCATGTATTTGGCGATTTGGTTCTGCGGTTGGTCTTTCACCAGCCTTGACATGTTTAGGTACGTGACGCCAGATATCATAAGGGGAAGGGCATAAGTCGGATCGGTTGTTGATATGTTGGTTAACCAAAGCCAATGCTCGACCTCGAAGGCCGGTACAGGTAGATTACCGGCGGAGCTCAGAACGCGAAAGGCACCGAACTGGAAGGGCAACTGTAAGAGGATAGGTGCAAATATTGTTGTAAAACTTAACCCGTATTCTTTCCGCATGGCCGACATTTCGCGTTGAACCTCCATGGCAGTATTTCTATCCCCTTGTGCCACTGCTGCCTTGCTCTTTTCCTGTAGAGGTGTCAACAAGGGTGCCAATTCTTTCGTCTTTGCAGCTTGATCGAACGCCCTGAAAGAGGGCCATATAAGCACTCCTCTAAAGATGAGACCAAACACGATGATGGAAGCAGACCAGGAAAGGCCCGCGGTGATATGGAGATGTTCCAAGGCCCACTCTATGATCGCCGAAGGTCCCCAGCCAAAGTCCAAGGCGCAGACTTCTTTCAAATAGCCGATACGTTCAGGTATCGAGGCCAAATCAGGTATCTCAGATATCTGTTCTGCTGGAGGAACTATTCCGTGGGGATTGATGATGGCATTTTCGAGTCTTTGAAGCGCCTCCGGGGTATGTTCGTTGGCTAAATGGGGTTGTATGGTAGAAGGATCAGGGGCAGTTGAGGTGCCATGGGAGGCTTTGACGGTCCGCACAGCATCTGTCGTCGCGGAGGCAGCTTGACTTGTGTCTGCCGTCGTGGTACTAGAAAGTGTGTCGGCAGGACCGTTCGAGGCTGGTTTGGAACCCCATCCAAAGAAAGATAGAGAGCGGCTCTGCTGAGTGGGATGATAAGTATTTCTGAGACTTGAAATCCGCGTTGATCTTGAGGATGGTAGAGGAATGGAGTGGGCAGTGAGTGAATACTAGATCTTGTCAACATTTTCGAGACCTCAAGAGATGGCCAGCAGACTTACATGCCTCAGGCTAGATTTGCCTGGAATCGTTCTGTACCGGCCAGTGCTGACACCCCGTAAGGACCATTGCAGCCCTTGAGACAGCGACATGGCGGACTAATTCCTGGCTACAGCTTGTACAGGTCAATGCCGCTTGAAGCTCGAGATCCGATCACAATGTCAGTCTACCAAAATGTTAAAAACCGTCTTAGTAAGAGGGATACTCCAGTGGAATTAGTGAATATATCAGTCCCAAGGTGGCATCTTAGCCGAGTAAGAACTTTCTTGGCATCGCGGTTTGGCTAAGACGCGACCGGGCCCTTGTGAAGGAACCTGGGGTCAATGAGGTCAAATGCCTTATGAACATGACAAGATGCGCAAAGAATTCTATTCATTGATGCTCACAAGCTATATATGCTGGAGACTAATACTGGTACAGCTCTAGCGCCTCAGCCATGCAACCCCAACCTGGAATTGTGCACAAGTAGTGCAAACTCGTCGATATCGGGTCCCTTTAAAGGTATTTCTGTACCACGGCCCCTCCACGTTTGAACTCGGCGATGTCAGCCAACAATTGGGATTTGTCCTTGTACTCGGTCGTAGGAAAGGTGGTCTGTAGCACAAACTCCCTTCCTCCTGGTTCGGCGCGTTGAACAAAATCGTAGACGTCACCGATGGTTTGTGTCGTGTTGAATCGTGAGGTCAATCTCGTTCCTGATCCTAAGCTAATACGTAGTGTGACCGTCGGTTTGGAGTCGTCGACATCGGTGGAAGGAGGGGCATTGGAAGGCGCGGCGGCAGCTGGAGCAGAGGGTTCGGAAATGAAAGCACCAGGCATGGAAGTTCCTCCTGGAGTCGGGCTACCCAACCGCTGACCCGAACCTTCAAACGGGCGGAATTTCTTCTTGGGTTTGACGTACTTTTCTTCATGCTGTTTGATCTCGACATCCACCTCTTGACCAGGGATGACATTCATAATGTTCAGTGGGGCGCGACCTTGTCTTATAAGGTTGAGGATTTCTGCATTCCGCGGATCATCGAAACGATAGAGATCGCCATCATCAATACTGAAGCCATCTTGCCAGAAATGTAAGACACGGTCAACGCGTTCTGCCCTGCCTCTGGGTTGTGGAGCGGCCGCAATCTCGCGGGATGGCTCATCATCACCCCCAAGAGTTCGTGCTGAGCCAGTGAAGTGGGACTTTTGGGCAGGTGCCTCTTTGGGGGGAGGGCCACGCTTTTGGGCCTTTTCAAGGATTCTTTTTTTGAGGTCGTCTGGGTTCTGCACGGCTAAGCCTGATTTTTCTCCCCCAGCAAACAAATCATGTTTGTCATCGTCATCCGAGTCGTTGGCATTTTCTCCAGCGGAGCTAAAATCTCCCAAGGTTGCAAATTTCTTCTGAGAAGGGTTCTGTTTGGGTTGAGAAGGACCGGAGGAGGATGCGACAGGGACGGAGGGGCTATCTGCGGCCGATTCACCTAGTCTGCGACCTGCGCCATAGGTGGAATGAGATTGGGGAGGGGCGTTTTCCGAGTCGTCTTCATCGACAAAGTCCGAGTCATCGGCAGGATCCTCGGTGTGGTCCTCTTGAGCCTGGTAGTAGTTTGCAATAGCGAGATCAAGGTTCCAGCCACTGGCAACGAGAACTTGTTGGGCCTGGTGCTTTTGTAAATACTAGGATCTGAGAGGAGATAAAGGTAGCAAAAAAGAAGAAGACTCACTTGACGAGAGTTTGTGCCTGCTACTGCAACAAACTGTTCAATCATATCCTGTTGATCTGCTTCTAGTGGTTCGGCCATGACGGCGGCAGCGGGATGAGATTGTAGAGAAGATGGGAGTAAGTGGCGAAAATGAAAGGGTCGCGGGTGGATGTCAGTGAGGAGGAAGAATAGAACAGCAGTCGCTTTATTGGGAAGGGAGAGTAAGGTGAGGTGGTGGAGACCGTGGACAATGGTGACAACGACACAACGACAATGAGGGAACAATGAAGAATGTCTCGCAGGCAAAAGGCACCTGGATGTACGTCACTGCCTCAGGCTGGAGAGAATTGGGGTCATGATTTGTTGAAGAGGGGATGGTGCCTGGCGACGGCCATGAAGAAGTGAATCAGTGAGTGGGCTCCAGGCCCCTCGGGCGTGGAAGAGTACCTGTTCCAGCTAGCAGGTCCCTAACATGAAGGACCAGGGGGACCCCCGGGGCATCTGAGGACAGCCAGGCTGCCAATTCCCAGGTTCTCGTCCTGAGAGGATTAGGTAATCCACCACCTCCCTCACATCTCCATGTTCAATTCTCCATGTCTATCCCAACCTGAGCCTGCTATACAAACTTCAAGCTACCAAGGGACCGGCGATCCCCAGAATTGTTACCACGACCTGACCACCAGCCAATCCAGCTCCTCGTCCTTTTTCTGGTTGAAGATGTACCACCGTCGACCAGCTCACTAGTGCCTCATTTGATCAAAACCTATCTCGAATCCTCTCCTCTGTTCAGATCATGGCTTCAAGATCTGAGCAATCACCCTCACCACCACACGACCTCTCTGGTTCTCAACTCACCATTCCCTCCGATTCCGAGGCCTATTCTTCTTTATCACCCCCGTCATCTTCCCCTCCCCAGTCTTCTGACAATAATGGCCGGCATCCTGTCATAATATATCAGCCTCCCACTTTCTGGGGCATTTTACGAGGTGCAGCAATCAATTTACTGCTTCCCTTTGTCAATGGCTTGATGTTGGGCTTTGGTGAGCTTCTGGCACATGAATTTGCTTTCCGCCTGGGTTGGAGCGGTACCAATGTAATGCCAATCTTCTGCTTGACGATTTTTGAAACTGACCCTCTCCAGGTCTGGCCACGGCACCGAACTTCTCACTCGATCGGCCCTGGGGTTGAAGTCCGGGACAGTCCTACTGGGCGGAGAAGGAACAGCTCGATAGATCAGGACCTGATAGACACCACCTCGTTGGAATAGCTCATTCCCATCGTGAGCCACCGCCTACCCTTTTATCTTCTCGAAGACTACAATTGGAAGCTGCATATTTGACTGAGATTGTACATATCATGACCATAAGGAAGGAGCTTTACCCTCTGGGTATTATCCATTACCATTCATCCATTTTGCATTTTAGCAAGTGCGATCATCCCCCCTTTCGGCTTCATATCTTGTTTCTACCATCAACTTGGTCGTCCACCCTCTTCTCTTTCTCTCCTCCATATCATCAACGCACAATTGTTATTGCTTTCTCCATATCGTTTAGCCTTGCTGGGACTTGCAGTACCCTCCATCTCCAGCAACTTGTCCACTCTTTTCTATTCGTTGACGCTTGTCCAAGGTAAGCAAGTTCCGTTGGTAGGGGTGCCGCAAATTGAACACCAATACAGTATCATCCACCCTCTCAACCTCCTACGTTAAAATGGACAGTCTCAGTGCCAAACTTCCAAGCTGGCAACTACTTCTCGTCGTTTCCGGTGGAGTGTTCGCTATGGGCTTCACTTCATCCCTCGTCGCTTGTGTTGGGGCCTGGTGTCTCAAACGGAAACGGGCAAAAACTCAGAAGGACATCGAATATGCCAATCCACCTACGCCGTTAAAAGCGGCATCCGTGACAGCCCCCAGCTCTCCAGTCTTGCCCAGCCTCGGACATGCCAGCCTCGATGTTGAAAACACTAGAACTGGACAACTCTTAGTGCATAATAAGTATTGGGGACGTGAAGCGGAAGATTATCGGCAATCGGTCAAGGGATTGGAAGTTGCTCGACCAGTTGCATTGACAAACTTGCTACCAATCTGATACGCACAAAAGCCCACCTACAAATAGTAGATAGTCAGTCACAGGCACAAGATTGACCAGCATCAGATTTCAACTTCTTCTTCGCTATTTACTGTGCGTGACATGCTGATATAATTTTGATTCGCATTCAAGAGTCAAGGCGCCTGACGGGCACCTTCGGATCCGATGGGGTCGAATTCGAGATCAAAGTACCGGAAGCGAGCCGCTTCTCATCGCGTTTTTCTTTACTCACAGGATTGGTTCTGCGAGGTCTACCCGAGTTTTCAGTGCAGCATGACTAGATTATTGACAGTCTATCGCCTCGAGGGACACGGCGTAATCCAGGCATTTATACAACCCACATTAGCAGGGAACCTACAGGCCGCGATGTTGCTTACTCCATATGCTCCGGTGGACATCGGAGTACGGATAGGAGCCTTACCCCGGATCACTGGGGCTCCAGCCCACGTAATTGTGGCAGCCTCTACATCTCTCTGCTCCCCCTTCCCACGGTCTTGTCCTTCCGGTGAGAAGAGCTGTATTTGATGACCCATTCCGAATACCAGCAAAATACGGATACATCGTTCTTGTGCTCGAAGTTTCCTCCGCGTTCAGCCGCCTCAATCCAAGGCTAGCACTGTCGAACGCCCGTTCTCTCAAACTCAGTCCCTAGACCCTCCACATTTTCTGTCAAGGGAAGCCCATAACGAGAAAGGCTTGCTCCTAAATTTTCATTGCTTCCTTGATTGTCCCGCCATGCTGCTTATCTAGGCACTTTGTAGATAGCACGGTATCGGGACGGTGGGCCAATTGCTGAACAACGCGCACCGGGAGAGGGATAGATACTGTATCTCTCCATCCCACGGACACTCTAGTACCTACTCGTACGGAGTAGTCCACGGCCCCGCAAATCCGATTGAATATTACCGAGGCAATCAGAATTTAGACCAGATCAATCCGCTCATCTGGACAGTTGGGGGCCTGCCAGTATTGACTAAACGCGACGACTTTTCCGGTGGTTGTCCAGGATCCCATTCGCCATTTCTCAAGCGAAGCATATATTCCGTGCTCGACCTACTTCGTGCGAGACAACTACAAATTTTCTATATCTAGGGGTTTGGTATCAAGTTTGACAGCTACTGGCAACGGTCTGATTGTCTTCTCTGCTTTCTGCTGCTATCACAACCCGGACTTCTAGTCCCGGCATCCCTCGAGTCGGCATTCAACGGCATTCACGACGATCTGAAGCTCGCTTCGATCCCTTGCATTCTTTTCCCGGGGACACTAAACAAAGCGCTATTAGCTACTTTTCCCGGGCCGAACTGCCCGCCGGAGGATAACGAACTCCGAATAGTCGACTTGTAGAAGCACTTTCCAATACTCAAGATATTTGATCTTTGCAATCGAGGTTTCCCAGAATCGGCTGCTTTTAATCATTCGACTGTTCTAGGCCATCGAATACCTCTGCCAGACATACTTTTTCATATACATACATTAACTTTCCTCTCATCCGAAGCCAGCGAAATCGGGGTTTCAACATTCGTCTCTCCACACGTTCGAACAACTACCATCTGGAATTTCCCCACGAAGGACTAGACCCTTGTGACGGAATATTCCGAGCTGGTGCAGCGATACCTGAAAGTGGACGTCGCCAGGAAGGACTTCTGCCGTAGAAGACATCTTGGAGAGACACATTCTGCACCAAGTCTCTCTTGATTGATCTTGACTGAGGGAAAACGATGGCGGACCAGCAGTACCCTGTCCCTCGGAAACTATGGGAGCACCCCGATCCCAAGAGCACGACGATGTGGAAGTTCTGGAAAAGCTTGGAGAAGGCCTATGGCGAGAAATTTCCTGTGAGTGCCTCTGGATTCCATCCTGTCCTTGTTCTTGTCCCTTGACCTGTACAACTATGCTTAGTTAAAACGAGCATGACCTTAAGGAGATGTGCAATCTAGTCTCATGAATAAGCCTACTGACTCCCTCTAGGATTATGACGCTCTCTATAAGTTCTCTGTCACTCGGCGATCCGACTTCTGGCGACATGTGATGGGTTACTTTCCAATCGTCTACAGTGGCAAGGTTCCAAACCCCGTCGTTGACGAATCGGCCCGGATGGATTCTATCCCACGATGGTTCACTGGCGTGAAGATAAATCTCGCCCAGAATATTCTCTTCTCCGGCGACGCAAATGGAACTCCGTTCATCGGCTCAGCGAAAGCAAATGACAAGATCGCCGCAATTGAAGTTCGAGAGGGCAGTTTTCTTGAGCCAATACATCGCATAACGTGGAGAGAGTTACGAGAACGGGTTGGCAGACTATCCCAAGCCATGCGAGCTCATGGGGTCAAGAAAGGCGATCGTATTGCATTGGTAGCCAGCACGAGTATCGATACTTTGACCACCTTCCTTGCCACGGCGACATTGGGAGCTCTCTTCAGCTCCAGCAGCACCGACATGGGTGTCAAGGGGATCCTCGACCGATTGACACAGATTAAACCCAAATTCCTGTTCATGGACGACTGGGCGGTTTACAATGGCAAGAAGGTTGATCTGCGGCCCAAGATGAAGCAAGTCATGGAGGGCATGGTCGGGATTGAAGGATTCGAGGGCATCGTCAGTCAGATCCGCTTTTCACATTCACCGGCCGACATCTCGTCCGTGCCAAGCGCGCAAACCTGGACGACCTTCATCTCTGCCGCCAAATCGACCGTGCTGGAATTCGAGCAATGCGAGTTCGCCGATCCCTTCCTGGTCGTGTATTCGTCCGGGACGACGGGTCAGCCAAAATGCATTGTTCATGCGATTGGCGGCGTGGTCATCTCCGCCCATAAGGAGTTCACGCTACACCGTGACCTTGGCCCAGATTCTCGACAGCTGCAGTATACGACAACAGGGTGGATTATGTATCTGTCTAGTGTGCAGGCCTTGCTTGTGGGTAGTTCGATTGTTATCTATGATGGCAGCCCATTTACACCAAACCTCACGAATTTCCTCGAACTGGTGAGCCAGGAGAAAGTCACACATCTGGGTATCAGTCCACGGTATCTACAGACACTGGAAGGTGCTGGCGTCATTCCCAAGAAGGTCGCCGACTTGAGCCATTTGAAAGTCGTGACGAGTACCGGTATGGTGCTCTCGGACAAATTGTTCGAATGGGTTTATGATGAGGCATTCTCTCCGAGCATACAATTGGACAACATCTCTGGAGGCACCGACCTCGCGGCGTGTTTCGGGACAGGGAACCCGGTCGTACCTTTATATGTCGGTGGCTGCCAGAGTCTGTCGCTCGGTGTCCCAGTGGCGGTGTACGACCAGACAATCGAAGGCGGAAAGGGGGTCAAAGGAGTCGAACTGCCCATCGGGGAAGCTGGAGAGCTGGTCGCTTACCAGGCTTTCCCGACCATGCCGGTCACGTTCCTTGGGGACAATGGGCCACAGCGGTACTTCGACAGTTACTTTGCCCGGTTCGACAACGTCTGGACACACGGCGACTTCATCTCGATCCATCCTATCACCAAGCAGATTATGTTCCTCGGCCGTGCAGACGGTGTCTTGAACCCCAGCGGTGTGCGATTTGGCTCGGCAGAGATCTACAGCATCATCGAAGCCAAATTCGCCGACAAGATCGCCGACAGTATCTGTGTGGGTCAGAGGCGACCTACAGACCAGGATGAAAGGGTCGTATTGTTCTTGCTGATGAAGCCTGGCCATCAATTCACGCCCCAGCTCATCAGGGAGGTCAAAGACGCCATTAGGAGGGAAACCAGCCCCAGACACGTGCCGAAGTTCGTGTTCGAGACCAAGGAGATTCCCGTAAGTTTTACCCTGTGATGTGTCTACCTTTAAGCTTGATCAGTTCCTTACTAACCACCGGCTGGCACATAGACGACCGTGAACCTGAAGAAGGTCGAATTGCCTGTGAAACAGATTGTGTCGGGCAAGATTATCAAACCGTCCGGAACGCTGGCAAATCCCCAGAGTCTGGAGTATTATTATCAATTCGCCAAGGATGAGAATCTGGTGGAGTTGTCGGATCCTAAGGCGAAGCTGTAGGACACCACTAGGTACATAGCTAGACCATAGAATTGTAGAATCGGCGGTCTCGTGGGACCTGCCTTGAACTTGACGTTTTGCGACTGGCCACACTGGAACCCCTCGCCCAACCAGCAATGGGAAATCTGCATGTGGAACAATATGCTTATGGCTGATCAGGGTGAATGCTGATCAAAGCTGGGTGGTAATTCCAATCACAACATCAACAGCTCAAGGCAGCAATTTACATAGACCTGTTCTCGTCTGAGCAAGAATATACAGCATCAGCGAATAGCGTGGTAATTTTGTATAGTTTTGTTGGTTAGCTTCTATATCTACTATACTACGTATTCTTGTAAAAGCTACTCTATATAGTATAAGTAGAGTATAAAGGATAGATATTACAAATTTAGAAGATTATAAACATATTATTCCTAGAGAAATAGAGAACCTAAAGTACAAGAATTTAGGTTAAGGGTTTTCGCTATTTAGGGATCGATTCGTCATTACATAATGTTGCAATTTTCACCGTTCGACTTAGGCGTTTCGTGGATGGGCAGCTGCCATTTACATCTGGCGTTATTCGTGCTTCGACACTAATAGACATGTTAAAATAGCTAATACTTGAATATTGTTCAACCGACGACGAGCAGCTTTTCGTTGAGTACCTAGGTAGGTAGTTTCTACATCCTGTACAGTACTAGTACTAACCTACTATGTATCCGTAGTTCCCGCCACTTGACAAAATATCTACTATCGACAGAGTGCTGGACCTGAGCCCATACCACTGTTTTGGCAATACTCAGCAAACTCACGGAAGTACGACATGCTGTTGCTCGGAGCCGTCGCTATTTGTGCGTCCTGGTTTCCGATGCAACTAACCATGGGCAAATGGGTCAAGACGAATACCCTCGCGCTCTTGTGGATCATCATGATGAGATTCCTTCTAATGAGGACATTGTATTGGTGGCCATTGCAATCAGAGTTCTGGAACCAACACGCATACATCCAAAAATCTAGGATCCCGCGAGGGAGATGAAGTATTTTCAGAAGTCTCTCCATGCTTTACCTTGGAGAATGGTTCCTGGAGATATTCTGGATGAGTCTATGCTCCATCGAGTCTTCCTTCCTCCCGAGCAGGACCTATAGATTCGTGTTCTGTGGAAAGCTGCCAATCTTGGGAACGACTACTCGCGACTTACCCCGTTCGACGGGGTCTCCTTGCGTGGCAATTGCTAGATATACTTCTGCAATAGCAACGCCGCCAGAGGTAGATAATCGCAGCATTCCTTGACAAGCCTTGAGAGCTAAGTTCTTAGACTCCTCCCAGTCCGCTATTGGCTGTGTCAGATCATGAGGCAGTAGACTTTCAGACGCATTAGGAGGAATACCTATCTATATTGGGTGGTGCAGGACTGTAAATACGACAGAGAGTACGGTACCAAGCGAGGACGAATGAGTAAAGTGGACGTGCCGAGGCCCAACACCGGCCTGGCTTGCACTAGGGGCTTCATCCCGTGGTGTGTGCCTGACAACCCTTGATTGACCCTCAATTGACATGGGCCTTCCCATTCAGATCTCGATAGAGCGTGCCCAGATTACAGCGTTTATGTTTAGCTCACTCTCGACTAAGTCGAAGGAAAACTAACTCTGTTTATCCCATACTTGTCGATCTGTTTGTGTTTCCAAAACATGTCAGCTCCACGGGTTAGTCGGCAGGGTTCGAGCTCGAAACATGGGTTAAGGGCTTCTACCCTCCTTTTGACATTTACGATAGCCTAAAGCCGCCTTGCGACCCTTGGCGAGAGCTCGTTGTAAGGTCCAATGGGCACGAAGTAGCGCAGTGACTAGGCCACGAGGCTGAAAGATACAAAGTCTAACACTACCGGCGCCTATGGGATGGTGGCGTTTGCAGCCTGCTTACGCGTAACTCAGGTCTAGAACACTTCTACCTCATGTTAAAGGCTCGCGATCTGCGAGTGTTTCTCGAATGCCAGAATATGCCCAGGACAACAGCACGATTAGAAAGTATTGTCCAGCTTAACATCACCTTGAAGGTGCGATGTCAGGGCAGTGCGAGAACTACAAACTTGGTTGGTTCGTCGTCCAAGGCGAACCTTGGTTCTACCGTAGGTCTCGAAGAACCTCCTTGTTCGTTGCAGAGGAATCCGACATGCTGATTGCGCAAAGGAGATCGACTTCTCGTACGTGACTCGATGGCCGTTTTGCTCACGTCCTCATTAGGCGTGATCATAACGCTTGTTGCGGCGCGATTATGGTTATTGTTGAACGTACTGCTTGGGGTATGTGTTGAGCGGTTGCTTGAACAGGGCTCCAACGGTCCGGAAGAAGTTCTGCTGGTCGATGTGAGACTATCAAGTAATCCACTCACTCCAGAACAAATGCAACGAGCCCAGCTAGTAGAAGGGGCGGTCACTCTCATCAAGTCTGGTGGCGACCGAAATCTAGAAACTGGTTGGAAACTCCTCAAGCACCTATATACTCTTCGGAACAGTCTCGGTTCTCACCGCAAGGAAGCTGCACTTTTCCTCGGAACAGCAGTCTTGTGTCTCTCATATTTTGTCTCCGTGACAATCGGCGGTGTGTTCAGTGCCTACATCGTCCTTGATAGCCATGGTCTTTGCAAGTCCACCAATTGTGGCCACTGGTTTCCAGCAGATGTTTGGTCCGGTGATCCAACTGATGGCAATGTGGCAGTTGCGCAAGTCGCCATCCACAACGCCAAAGAGGAGGGAGCTGCCTCTCATGTTGCGAGATGCTATAGGGGTGCTGGCTCGGTGGATGGATGCGATAATCTCTTGTCGAAGAGCATTGCCTATAATGTTAGCATGAGTAAATGCCCCTTGCCTGGCAATGTTTGTGCCCACGAAGATCTTGCCCTTAGTCTCGATACCGGATGGCAAGATGCAAGAGTTCTTGGTATCAGTTCTCCCCAAAAGTTAATATTCCGACGCCGCACCACTTGTGCCCCGTTGGTTACCAACGAGACATACGTCAAACCCTTTGGAGGACCTAATGGTAGATTGACTATTCGATACTACTATGGGCCTGCGATTGGTCAGAATTACACATTCGAGACACCCATGAATGACTTGAACACTAGGCCATACATGGGTACGTACATTGTCAAGTAAGTGTGCGCGCCTTGAGATTCAACTCTCCTCCCACGCTTACACCTGAGACAGCACTGCCACGGATACAGACCCATTGTTCTTTAAACCACTGCCTCCCTTTCGGTCTGACCTGTCTACCTTGGGTTGGGTCTCCTTGATTCAAGTCTTTCCATATAATCTAAACCTTCCCAAAGAGTCTTCCGACCCCATTTTTTACACGAACAAGAGGCTGTGCGGGAAAGCGAACCCAGAGACATGTACTTGGACAAGATATCCGAGCGTTGCTTCTTCACTTGCCTGTGTTGATGTCAATGAGTATTGCCTTGACAGGCCACGAGTATGCTGGCGTGTTGGGGATGCGCATCATGACAACATTGCGCTACAAAACACGACGCACACCCTCAACTCCCCAGGAGCTCGTTTGCTGTACAGCGTGCTGGGTTCTTTTGGAAGAATCGTTGAAGGCATCGGTGTGCGTCAGGCTAGAGCACTTCAAGCTCAGACATTCGTGATTCCAAATACCAATTTAGCCGTGCAGAATGGAGAGTGGAAGTCGGAGGTTGAGAGTTTCTTCCAGATGTCACTCGCGATGCTTCAGAATGGAGTGGTTGACATTGCAAATGGTGCTTTTCATGATAGCCCAGGCGCGGTGAACCTTTTCGAACGAGCCGGCTACACCAGGTCTCAATGGGCACCCATGTGTGACATGGTACTGGTACAGGCACCCGGATTCAAAAGTGTCAGTTTGGTGGCCTTGGTCTTCGTCCTGATCATGGCAGCCTTCATCACGATTGCAAGCATCGAGATTCGGGGCGAGTTAATTATCGTCCGTTACATCGCTCTCTTCCTTATCTTCATATGGACTTTCCTGTGGTGGATTGTGAAGAGTGTCGCCTCTTTTGTGTGGAACAGATTAAAGAGTTCCTTCAATTTTCTTTGTGAAAAACGAAGAGACATTGCGAAGGCGCTCCTTGCAGGATTGAAAGCAATCGCAAAATTTGTACTGTCGTCCCTGATCAAACTCATTGGCTTTGCATACGAACTAGCGGACAAGATCATTGAATATCAGAGAGCCCATAGCTCAGCACGGCCACAATTAAACCACGAGCCTTCAGACGGGGTCACTTGAACTATTTGAGAGCGCCACTAGGTTCAGCTTGATTGTTCATCCTTTGGAGGGCTTCGGGAAGGGCTTGATAGCCTGGGTAGCGTATCGGCACTCACGGGTGTGACCACAGGATATGATTGTCTGTCCTTGGAGATGAAATTTGGAGGAATCACTTCCTTTTACTTATCCCAGTAAAGAGTGGCTGATTGAGAATTGACTAGTAATAGTATCTCGAAAACGTTTTTGAATGTTCAAGTGATGGAAATTGAAATGTTAACAATAAGTTCCTCTGGTACCTAGTTAGTGCCCAGATAGTGGGCTTGGCTTGGTTAACTTAGACGAAGGCTCAACTAGAGCACTCGGTGCCTGAGAGGCTCCGTCGGCAAACCTTAGGAACCCTGCTACCTATAGCTCCGGTAGATGCCTATGTAGTGAGCTCGCACCCCCTTAGGGTCTAGGGAGCCCGCATGCAACCCATTCATTCGGACATTGGCTCATATCCGGACGGGGTGGTTGGATGCACTATCGCATTGTAGTGTAGGGATATCTTACAGATTTTGAGACAGGCCTGTGAGTCCTTGGATGACATAGAACCACATTTTGACAGAATCATCAATTGCGATCCCCTGAGCGCAGAAAAAGCTTCGTGTCGGCCGCCGCCCTCGACGTTCTGAGAACGGAGCAATATCTGCTCCCCAGGGATTCATTTTTAGCACCCTCCAGGATTAGAGGGATCTTCTTTCGGAGCTGCTATTTTTGTGAGTGTGGTCGGGCTTCCGATCGAGAATATTGAAACTCACTATGTGGTGGAAGTCATTGCCCTTGCTAGACTTTTCGAGATATGAGTGGCTGATAGTCAGAGAATTGAGCAATCTAGGTTGCACACATGTCACATCACTCGAGTGATGAAGATCCATTCGTATGGGTTCAAATCTTCGGTGGTTTTGACTATCATTGAGTGAACAGACCGAACATGCTATGATCGGCAAAGAACATATTGTCAGTCATCGTATCGTACCAGGGCTGAGGCCAAGCATCGCTACCGACAGGTCCACCCGGTTGCCATCCTAGCGCTGCATCAGTCCAGGTTGGTGAGGCTATGAGGATGATTAGTAACAGCGATTTCTTTCCAGAACGATTGAAGAGTGTCTCACCACTTGGATGGTGTCCGTCTACAGGATTCTCAGGCTCATCCAGGTTGATCTGCTCTGCCACGAAGTTCATCCGGCGCATGCGCGCTTTTAGCAACCTGAACGGTTTCTTCAGGCCGAGAGCAAAACCTAAAGAGCGCCTCTGAGGCTCTGACAACATCGACCAGAAGAATTTGATGCACTCGATATACTCTTCGTGATTCTCAGGTGCCTGCTGGAGGATGACCAGAACCGCACTATATGCAGCGTAAAATTCCCCATAATGGGCGTGCCGAAGAGTGAAGGTTTTCTTGTACGCTTCTAGAAGCCTCCAGATCTTGAACGCAGCCTTGATGCAATTCTTGCACGATTTTTCTTGAGAAGCTTGGTCAAGAGTGAAATTAAAGTGAACTCGATTTAGGAAAGCCTGTTCAACTAAGATCACCAACGTTTGAGAGGTGATGCTATTGGCAGTTTCAGCGCTCGATTTCAAGTGAAGCATTGCAGGGGATGGCTTACTGTAGATTCAACTGATGTGGGGGAGGGGTGTTGTCTTTGTCTGGGTCAAAACGTAGGTGTGCGGGAAGATTTTCGTTCCATTCGGTCAACCGAGCTGTTAATTCGCGCTTCTTTTGCAGCAGAATTGATTGGGGCGCAGTAGCACTCTTGACTGAGTACAAGTCGTCGATCACCTGCGCGGCGATAATGGATAGCCGAAGCAAGGACTGAAATGTACTGAGGGCATAACATGGTCGGGGTTGATAGACGAGTAAACCTAGGGAAAGGGATTGAGCTTCAGGATCCACGTACGGTGTCCATTGTCCCATTTCATCAAATGAATCAAGGAACTCTTCTGGTATATTGCTGTCCGACTCGTGCACCGCAGGCGCCCGACCAATCCATAGTGACTGATATTTGTCGCTAATATATGCGCCCCAGTAGATTCGCCGTCTGATCTCTATGTCCGTGGCTGACAGCCCAAACTTGGCACGCTCCTGGGGTGTTTTGGGGATGTTCAAATGGTAGCCCAGGTCGACCATCATCCGGTATGCCATGCCACAATAAACCCAGCCAGCACTCTGCTTGCCGTAGGGCACCAAACACGTTCCACATATGAGAAGACCCAAAACCGTGGGCATGGTAGGCTCATCGATACACTCAGCCACCAATGTCTTGAAGCGTTTGTAGAAAGCCATGCCAGTTGTTCGCGGGTCTTGTGAATCCAGTCGCAGACCTTCTCGGTCGCTGTACAAACTACTTTGTAGGTATATCGCATTCAGCAGCAATTTGCTAACGTACGGTCCATTGTTGATCAAGCTGTCAATGATCGCCGGACGGTATGATTGAAGATAGATTAGGTGTAATCGGCTCCAATGCAAATCGAGCAAGTGCATCGCCAGGTTCATGGGAATGCCATCAAAATCGATGTTCGCAGTCAGGCTTGGATTTGAACACAGGTTGACCTCCTTTTGTCGACTGAGTGCGGCCTGCGAGATCAAGCGATCTCGAGCCGCGCTTTTGTAACCCGCGTCATTCTCGTCCACCTTTGACGGAGGATTAGACCAGAAGTCCCCGTTGGAACGATCGTGGAGCAGACTTGTTCCCCCGTAGATTTGCATCTCGGAATTGTCAACTTGAGGTTCAGGGGAAGAGACTCCGTGGCCTTCGGCTGGCTCTTGGACATCACCCAACGAAGGTCTAGCGGTAGACGACTCCTCTCCTCTCCGCGGTGGCGACAGGTCTTGCCAATCCAAAGTACGTGGACTTGGATCTGGCTCATAGCTGGGTATTAAGGAGAGATGGTGTGATACGTTCACAGATTCATTGGATACTCTCGTCGGATTGGTGTGATCTGCGTCCGATGGGTCGTTCGTGGAAAGCTGCTCCTTCATCTGGCCCTTAAGTTCTTCAATCTGTCTTTGAAGGGATCTGATATCGGCCTTTTTGCTGCGCACCGCTGTCTTCCTGCCATCTTCAGGGTACTCGCAAACCCAACCTCGCGCACGACAGGTGCTGCACTCGGGCTTTTGACCTTCGCATTTTACCTGGAAGAATCCGTCAGCTTAAGTGACGAAAGATGTGCCGATCCTCCACGACCTTCATCGCCGCTATTCAGCATGGAACATGCCCGCCCAAAGCGCAGACCTCAACCTTACCTTTTTGCGGCGGCATGTCTTGCAAGTCCGGCAAGCGCCTCTTGCAACAATTGGCGGCCGTTGAGAAGCCTGTAGTGGCATGAATTCGGAAGTCTCCTGTCTCAGCAATCTGGACTATCCCCTTTTGTTTTTGTCGTATCCCGGCTTTCTCTGCATGAGGACAAGGAAGACAGGACTAGAGAAGCAACCCTTTCGACCTCATCTACTGAAAGACGGCTGCGATTGTGCGATAAATGCACTCAGCGGCCCAGCTCTTGATGCACCCAGCAGTGATGCTGATGCTATCTGTCACGTCATGAAAGTGGGAGGAAGGAGCCCAGCGACAGGTCGAGATGACGGAAGTGCAAGGTGCCGAAGTCCGAAAGGGGCTAGGTCGATCATGCACTGCAATTAAACATATGCTGTCTACCTGTTATGACAGGAAATTTTCTTACCGTTTAGATGGCCGTGAGACAAAGAAGAAGTAGGTACGTAAGCATGAGCTACTTCGACGAATCGAGAAGCACCTCCAACGGGGCCCAAGCGTATGTTCAACGACTCCCAACTTTGCTCGAGCCCCCAGGTTGTGAGGCCGGAGATTCAAACGTCCGAGGTCCAGCGTTTTGTCGACAGGTCGTCCTCTAGATTTCTCAAGCACTCGAATAATCTATCTTCAACGAACGTATTTAACGCTATTCCGTCTGGAAATCTTCCGCAGCGTCTATGAGTTTGTACAGGAGAGTAAAGAACTTCGTAAATAGGAGCTGAAAAGATGGCCGATGAGTACTCTGCGGCTTGCTGTGTTACTCCCGCTGCGATTGTCGGTGAATACGCATTCAAAGGCTCATGGATTGAGATCAACGGGATCAAAACGTGTTAGTAGACCCTCTCCACCTGGTTTGTGCATTTTGTCCTGCAGTTTCGTCTAAAAGCTGAGCATCAGACATTATACCGCGTATGGGAGCTTTGACGGGGGAAAAGAAGCAGTCTTTGATCTTTACTAAAACTTTTTCATGCTAGATGTGACTGGTCCCCCAAGTGCGAGAAAGGCAATTGTGCACGTCTACGATCTCTTTGGATATTGTCCTCAGACCTATCAAGGTGCAGACATCCTCGCTACGCGGGGAAGCGAGCCGTACATTGTTTTCGTTCCCGATTTCATCGGCTCTGACCGTGCTGCGCAGCATGACTGGTTCTTGCCCAGCGCAGACCAGAAGCCCCTCCATGACCTGCTAGCGATTGTCACTTCGAAGCAGATGATGGAAGACATCCATGCGACAGTTGCGGCATTGAGGTCTGACGGGGACTATGCACATGTGCAGAGGTGGGGTGGAGTCGGGTTTTGCTGGGGTTCGAAGGGCATTAGCCTTATTGCGACTCAGGGAGACCAGTCATTGCTGGACGTTACGGCTCATACTTCGCCATCAAGACTCGATCCTGAAGAAGCCAAGACAATCACGGTCCCGACTTTGATGCTGACATCTAGTGCTGAGGACGAGAGCATTGTGGCGAGATATTACGAGGCTTTGAAAGGCCCCAAATATTTGGAAAGATTTGACGAGATCCACGGCTTTATGTCTGCAAGGTACGGTCAAACTCTTTTTAGCGGCGACTCGAGGTCTTTGCCTTTTGTTGCTAACCAGGGAACTCTCTAGAGCGAAACTCGATCACGAAGCCCACAGAAGGGAGTATGAAAGAGGTTATAAGCTTGTTCTCGAGTGGTTGGCCAAATATCTCTAGGATGAACCCCTGATGTTGGCATTCCAGCCACAAAGCGGCACTGCTGTTTAATGGGTTTTAAAAAGAGAAGGAGTGAGAAGCACACGACACCAAGTTTATCAATAGTATGCGACTGAAAATAGGAGTCCAAGGCCTATCACGCTCGACAAAGGGTACTTGTCTGGTTGAAGACAGTCTTTGATCTAACGTTGTGGTCTAGAGTGTATGCGAGATCAAGAACAACGGACACATAGATGTATGGCAAACATGTGCAACGAAACCCAAAACAAAAACAAGAATCCTTCCTCCCGTATGCAACTTTCTAATAGCTCAAAGTATGAACAGCATGACTTGGTGCTCGTTTTCCTGTGCACCCCTGTAACAGTGAGTGGACTTTTATATGACCAGCCAACGAGAGCGAAACGAAGGAGTGAGACGAGGCTCAAGTTACCTACAGGTGTCGAACTTTACAATGCATCAAATTAAATAAATCCTCTTTGGGCGTTCATTTGTTGTTTATGGCATTCATTCTCTTTCTTCGTGATCTCTAGCCTTGAAATTGGTGTCTATAGCTCATCTTAAAGCCTTCAAGCTCACGATACTGTTTTAGTGTCTAGCATAATGTCCTCAAGCACGAGCGTTGCTTGGCTAGGCACGTCCTTCCACTTCTCACAATATCATCTTGAATTCGGGATCCCGATCATCCCCATACCCGATGTACTTATCGTACTTGCCCAGAGCCTTGTCGTGGTTAATCTTGGCGCAGTATAGCACGTTTAACAGGACTCTGTGTTTTCGGTTAGCCCTGGTACTTCGCTACTAGAATTGAGGCCGCCTACGCAAACCAGGCATACACCAATAATCCTAGAACAATGGTGTGCGACTTGTGGTATTGTGATCCTTCGGATGCAGGGTAGATGAACGCTGTCTGCATCTTAGTCTCTTCTATTATTTGGATAGACTTTGCTTAGTTATACTTACCAGCGACGAAACCACCGCAGTTCGCTATCTGTAGCTGCAGGGCCGATGTCACCGCTCGCTTGAGATACCCGGCCGAATTGTTGCTGTTCCATACCAAAAGGGGTGGGACACTAGCATATAAGCCGGTAGCCATAAGAAACGTCATGCCGTACTTCATATAGTGGTTTCGTTCGCTCACGTTAGCAATCGCGGCGTATCCGATAATTGCAAGTGGTAGCGTTATGAGCATAATAATACCTCGAACTTTGAATCGATCCGAGACAAAAGCCACAACTACTGTGACCACCGAGGCGACAGCATACGGGATAATCGACCAAAGTTGAGCCTCGTTGGCCGTATAACCTAGGCCTCTTATAATAGTCGGTAGGAAAAGACCAAATGAGTACAGGCCGGATAGAATAGCAACGTAAGTAGTGGCCGTGAGCCAAAGTTGGACGTTGAACACTCCGCGGCGCACCTCAGACCAGCGAAATGGTTCTATCTCTTCGTCTTGTTGGCCATTGTTTGGACGTCGAGACGTTTCATTGCCGAGTCTAGTCATGCCGTGCTGGCGTTCTTCCGGCGTCAAGAACCAGGCTGTCGCGATGCTATTGGGAAGTAAAAAGGACGCAGTCACACCGGCGACAATGGTGATCAAGCCCTCGATGATCATTATCCAACGCCAGCCAGCATCGACCGTAGATCCTGTAGGGGGAATGGCGGAGAGGCCACGGGCGAGGAGACCTCCGAAAGCGCCAGCGAGTGATGCACTGACATAAAAGAGACCGACACGGAGGGCTAATTCACCCCGCGTGTAAAGCGATGAAAGGTATAGCATCATTCCTAGATAGAGTTCAGTAAAGAGACCAATGAACAGCCAATTACTATTGTGAAACAAACCTGGCAGCAGGCCCCCTTCGGCAAAACCCAATAACGCTCGGACGACGAGGAATTCAGTGTAATTTCGAACAAAGCCTAAACACATACCCATGACGCCCCAAGCAGCTGTGAGAAATGCTAGCCATACTCGCGGACTGGCCTTTCTAAGCACCAAGTTGCTTGGTAACTCAGATGCGATGTAGAATGCAAAGAATATAGCGAGACCGTTGGCGTACTGACTGCTGGACAAACCCAGGTCCTTCTCAAGGCCCAAGATCTTGGCGTTGCCGACGTTGGTTCGGTCGAGAAAGGAGAGCAGGAACAGGACTGCGAGAACGGGGACGATCCTGCGAGTAACATGTTAGCTCTGAGGAGATGCAAGATCTCATAGTGCATACCTCGTGTCAAGTTTCAATAAAAGCTTCCGTGTCAGAGCCTTGTCACAATGTACGCCGTTATTCGCAGGGAATGGTTCGTCTCCGCCGGCTACATGAATTGGCCCTTCGAACTCACTTTGAATAGCCCCTGGCTTCTCCGGCGGTGTCGTCGGTTTTGCTTCGTTGGCCATATCACAAAGGGGGCCGTGAAGCAGTGAGGTACTGTATTTCGTCAAGTCCGTGAAGCTCAATGCTGTGGGAAGGCCAAGATCTGTCCGGCCGCCTTTCTTGTCGACGTCTTGTCAGTGCTGGCGCTTTCCAAATCTCACGGACTCGGTCGCAACTACCGGGGTATGAGAAGAATTTGTATCATAGCCTCCCGTGCTAGAAATGAGTTAGATCAAAAATGGGGAGTCCCCAGCTTGTATGAGCCCCGGTATAAGTCCGTGACCCATGGGGTACCGGGTTTGGATGGATTGGCCAGATAAGGAGGGCATCTTCCTGAGAAACGCACCTAAAGATGCTTCCTGCTCTTGTGACAAACAGCGGAAAACATCCTGGTGGCAATATGTCCGATGGAAAATGGAACTTGGGGTGTCTACTGGCCTGGGATTCATTTTGGATCAACGCTCCCACAGTCACGGATGTTTGAAGTACCGAAGTGGATGGGTGCAACGGCAACGCCGCCAACGATGACCCTATGAGCGTCTCACCGAATCTTGATGTCCCCGAGCGATTTGAAGTCATTTCCAAGCTTAGGATATAGATAATCCGGAGATTTGAAGTTGCCCCCTTTATCCTGTCGAGTCTGTCATGTCCGTCCGGACCTTTCCCTCTTGCCGGATGTGAGTCGCAATTCCTAGACCTTGTTTGTGTGATCGTCAGTTTTCCACATCCATATAGACGTTGGAATTCTGCGTTTCGTGAGCTGCTAAAGAAAGGTCCAGCTTCTGTTTTGCCATTGCCCCAGCCCTCCTGATTCCTTATCGATTTCCTCACTGAACACAGGACAAAGAGAGAAAAATATCGAAACATGCCATCTGCAGTCGAAGTTCAGCGATTCGCTCCTCCAGTGGTGCTTGACGTTCATCATGGTGATAAATTCTCTCCTGCAAAAACACTGGCCGCCGTTGTTGATATTGAGCAACTGAGCGATGATCTCGCAGTGCCATCAAGACGAAGGATTGTACCAGGATCCTACAACATTCCCATTGGCGTTTTCCCGCCCTTGCCTTGGTCTTTTCCCGATGCCGCTATAGTCTCGTCCATGCTGGTCGAGAGACTGAACAAGTCCTTGAAAGAAAGGGATGCGCCCGCAATAAAGGCCCTATTCCACGAAAACAGTTACTGGCGCGACCATCTATGCCTCACCTGGGACTTGCGTACACTGAAAGGACCTGATAAGATTGCCGACTTCGTTGTCAACAGTTGTGAGTATATATCGATCGAGATAGACACCTCGACTCCGCTCCGAGCACCAAAACACGGTCCAATTGATGGACTGTATGGCCCAGCTTCGAAATCCTCAGGCATCGAGTTCTTTGTGAAGGTTGCCACGAAGGTCGGGGCTGGCCGGGGCATCGCCAAATTGGCCGAGATCCAGGGTCAATGGAAGTTCTTCACACTATTCATCACCCTCGACAGATTACAAGGCCATGAGGAATTACTGAACGAGCGTCGTCCTCACGGTGCCAACCATGGAGAACACGTTGGCCGACAGAACTGGCAAGATAAGCGCCAGATTGATATCCAGTTCCGAGAGCGAGAGCCTGCCGTGCTTATCGTGGGTAAGTCATGTCTCCATCCTATCCTCGAAGAAACTGAGAAGATATGAAAAGCCGTTTGCAGAAGACTAACTTTCCGTCCTAGGCGCTGGTCAAAGCGGGCTCACAACAGCCGCGAGACTGAAGGCACTCAGTGTCGACACTCTGGTCATCGATCACGAAGATCGCGTGGGGGACAGTTGGCGGCGACGATACCGCCATTTAGTTCTTCATGATCCAGTCTGGCTTAACCACATGCCGTACCTGAAATTCCCTCCTCAGTGGCCCAAGTTCACACCAAAGGACAAGTTGGCTGAATTCTTTGAGGCTTATGTTACCTTGTTGGAGTTGAATGTATGGGTGAAGACAAGAGTGGTGTCAACTACATGGAATGACAGCAAACAAGAATGGACCGTTGTCTTACAGTGTAGATCTGAAGATGGCACCATAGAGATGCGAACATTACATCCAGCCCACATTATTCAGGCAACGGGCCACGCAGGCCCGAAGTATATGCCTGTCATCAAAGGCATGGAGTGCTTCGAAGGTAACATCGCTCACAGCACCGAGTTCTCATGTGCAACCCCAAATGGTCAAGGCAAGAAGGCTGTCGTAGTCGGGTCAAGCAACTCGGCCCACGATATCGCACAGGATTTCTATGAGCAAGGCTACGACGTCACCATGGTCCAACGAAGTTCAACCTTGGTCATTTCTTCCAAGTTTCGGAATGCGGAAGGCTTGAAAGGCCTTTACACAGAGGACGGACCACCAACAGAAGACGCGGATCTCAGGGTATGGAGTCTGCCCATGGAACTTTTCAAAGCCCAGCAGAAAAGGGTGTGCGAATTGCAGAACAAGTACGATGCCGAGCTCCACGAAGGCCTCACCAGGGTCGGATTCAATTTGGATCGTGGTATAGACAATACCGGCTATATGGTGAAATACTTGCAGCGTGGAGGTGGTTATTACGTCGACGTGGGAGCCAGCCAACTTGTGGCAGATGGAAAGATCAAACTGAAACATGGCGGCGAGATTTCCGAGATTCTTCCTCACGAAGTCTTATTTTCGGATGGTACTCGTTTGGCGGCCGATGAGATTGTGTTTGCCACAGGCTTCCAGAACATGCGGACACAGACGCGAGTCATATTCGGGGACCACGTTGCAGACCGCGTTCAAGACGTATGGGGATTTGATCAAGAAGGCGAAGTTCGAACGATCTGGAGGCGAACCGGTCAACCTGGCTTCTGGTATATGGGAACCAATTTCGCGTATTGCCGCTACTTTTCTCGTATTGTCGCTTTGCAGATCAAAGCCATCCAGGAAGGAATCACGCATTGGTGAGGTCTATCTTCGTGGGTCGATCCGTGACGCCATAGCAATTGCTCCAGATTTGGGTCAATTGTCTCTGGTCGTTCTTGGAATTATGGTAGCTCTGAAGTCCGCCAAAACGGGTCTTGACGATTCTGAACTCTTCTTTGTTGGCTGATCCTATATAGTTGCAGTCGAAGGAGTAGATATAGCATGCTTGCTTAGCATCTTGTAATGCATTCTCTGAGACGCGTAGAGCAAGTCTGCTCCCTTTCCACCGACGCGAAAATGTATTCTCTAGATATTGAAGTCATATGCGCCATTCCGTCATTGAGTGCGAAGAAGATTGATCCGCAATGTGTTTGTGGTGACAGGTCTCTGGAACATGGAACTAGATAATCCCGGGTTTGAAGGATTGCAAGCCACACTGTGGAAGCTTCCTAGAAGTTCTAGACGACTTAGATGGACGGCCGGATATGGAATCTGTAAGCCCGAGTCAGGCAACTGCACACCAAAAGCGCTCCCTTGTAGGATCCTGTCGAGGTTCCTGCCTGCTGAAGACTGTGCTTGGTCCTTACTCGAGTGACTCGTTGATGCGGACATGGACAAGCAAATATCCGGGCTCATATTGCCGATCACGGACATGGATATTGACATGTCCGTTTCGTGCACAACCACCATTGGAAGACAGGGCCATATGGTTGAGGACTACCGAGAGCGTGCATTGCGAGGCAAATATGAGATTCAAAAATGCCTTTCGAGCTGTCCTATCCATCGTCAAGCTGAAAGTCTCTTACTGATAGTCTTTTATTCCTCCCACCAACACTAGGTATCGGTCTTTTTGCACACCTATCCCTATATGAGTGTTGGGTATGGGTCTGACCGATCTCGTTTCGCTGTCCACTCGAAGATACGCTGGGTTGCTCAATGTTGGCGATCTGGCATTGGGGCGAGACATACTGGCATGACACCTGGTCACAGCGTGTGAATTCGAGCAATTCACGAAGGTTTAGAGAGCGCAAGTTGGGCCATGTCTGCAACCTCACCCAGCTCGGCGCTTTTTCGCCATCGTTTCTGGATGCTGAATGATGCGAGCTTAAGACATTGGACATTCGCTCGGTCCAAAAGGTATCCTCGGTGCCTATCAATAGGGCGACCGCTGGCCAAAACGATTCCGTCGGAATTTGGGGCAAAGCCGGCATCTCCTGCAATCCGAAGCTCTTGCTCGCCCAGGTTGAAGTGCTTTGGCTGGTATGCCCGCCAACAGCAGCATCGGCCATATATCACAGAAATATGCAGCATGATCCTGGTTTACTGTGTTGGGGACTTCTGCGCGCAAATTGTCGGTGCTGATAGTTATGATGCCCGCCGGACGTTGCGCAGCATCACGATTGGCGCAGTTGTGGCGATCCCTAGCCGTAAATGGTTTCTGTTCCTGGGCAGAAATTTCAATTATTCTTCTGCAATTATCTCGACGTTGACAAAAGTAGTGGTGAACCAACTGATTTATACATCTCTGTTCATTGTATACTTCTTCACCTCTCACGCAATTCTGTCCGGGCTGACCCTCACCGGAGTCATTGAACGAGTCAAAAATACTGTACCGACGAGTCTACCAAGAAGCTTTCTCGTCTGGCCCTTTGTCACAGCGTTCAACTTTACCTATGTCCAACCACAATCTCGGTCAGTTGTGACAGCCATCTTCTCAGTGTTTTGGCAGTCGTATTTGAGCTGGTTGAATGCCGAAGCCGAAAAGCATGAGATGGTCCCCAGACTTACAACCCGGCGGAATAATGATTTTGTGGTTGGTAGCTGATGCCCTCATGTACGGACATCAGCTTCGATTCAAACCCATTGATTCCAGAGGAGCAAAAAGCGTACGACAACTAACCCCAGGGGAGAGGCGATGTAAAGTTGTCAGTGGAATTGGTGACCATGGTCGATACTCTAGCGTCCTCAGACAAACGGCCCTAGAGTCATAAGAGTATCGAATATGAGAAGAAAATCAAACATCATGAAGGGGCTTCGCAGTTAGATAGCAGCAATATGAATCAAATGCTGTTTTACGCTCAGCAATGGAAAAGTTGGAGGACATTCCAATTGGATGGTACGGCAATGTCAAAGGCAGATCCAATGTCCGGGAAAATAGAAACAAACCACTTTCGCTCTGACCATTAGGTCTCCTTCTCTGGTATCAAGAAGGTATTCGCGTAGTTTTCAGTCTGCTCGTGCTGCGATTAATAAGGTAGAACTGTACCATACCGACATGCAGCCAGATTTTTCGGACTGCAGCGGGTTAGCAAATCGACAAGTGGCCAGCCAGTCACGTTGAGACTGGCAGCCTCCTCGACCACACCGCCCGGGTTTGTACGCCCAAGTCAAAGCCAGCAACCGCTTGACCTGGCAGCAACAGAGTGTCATCGACGTGCACAAACATCGATGTCTGAATGGCATCCAAAGCATCTTCAATAATCTCCAATGCTTATTCTGCGACTCTCCAGCTGCAGGATGATTGCCTCAGGTTTACGGCGTGTCGAAACACAAGAGACATGGTGACGAGGGGCGTCTCTCGCCTCAGAATCAACCATAACTGACCTCGAGCTTGGTCAACAAGTGGTCGACCACCTGCAAGACAGACATCTCATGACACAGTTGACGACATTGCGAGGATATTCAGGTCGTTATGAGTTTGGCCTGAGACGCCCGTCCGGGTTTTATTGGGAATGCCTGTGGCATCGGGGCCTTGGTTGTGCCGGTGAAACACTTTGGCCGCCAAGCCGGTCGACGGCCAGAGTCGCGGTCACGCGTCGCGTGTTTTTCCTGTGAAGGGCTTTTCGACCAACTCAAACAGCAAGAGGCATTCCGGTCTACAAACACTTGCCTACGCTGCCTTGCAATTATATCACATCTCTCGATATTGGAGATAGCCATCATTACTGTTCAGACTCGAATCTCATCTGACAGCTACTTCGAATCTATTATCCAAGACCCAAGCTCCAAGCTCCGAAGCACTCAACGCGTCGACTCGGAGCAATCTAACCCAAATCGCGCCTTTGACGCGTTGCCCTTCATCCTTGCTCCTGGAGGACCACCAAGGCAGTTCTCCTTGACAATCTGCACCTCAACTCTCCCTTGCGCCCTCTCCCTCGACCCAATCGCTGCCTCTAGACTGCTGCCATTCACCCATCGACCTGCTCAGACCTGCAGTAGTTGATCACGCTAGATCATTTTCCTCGTCAATCTTTCTTCCACTACCAATTCCATCCTCTTCAACTGGCTAGCTCTACCCTTCACTGTCACCTTGGAAAAGCCGGGATCTCGCGTTCAACATCACCCAAGACACGACCCCGCTGCTCCATCTTAGAGCTGCACCAACTTGGTCTCAGCTCTCCAGTCTCTTCTCATAAACCCTCCCTCTCGTCCTGGCACTCACCCAATTGCCCTTCCTCCAGAGCCTCCTGGTAGAGAACTCCGCTTACTCGCTGACACCTCTCTGGACCTACAAACATCAAAACAAACACCCAGCAGTGGGCTTCTACGCAAGGCTGTACAGACAACAAGGACATTCTTCCAGTTCTCCCTCGACACGATGGCAACCATCGCTCCACTCAGCACGCCCATGAGGCAACCTTTCGGTATTCTGAATGACTCCAAGATCCGTAGCATGCAAAGTGTGAAGAACAGACAGAATGGTATGTTTTTCTCCAACTGTTGCTTCTACATATCGAGTCTGACTGCCAATAGCATTGACTAGCAGTTCTACCACTTCTCTCAAACGACGTGCTGCTTCTCCTGAATGTTCAGATTCCGAAAATGTCGATCCAACTCTACTTGATTCTCTCCATAAACGTAAACGATCAACCTTCAACGATGATGTCTCACTTTCAAAGCCTCGCTATAGCTTGAATGTCATGTCTTCTGCCCCAAGACGCCGCCTTGATACCGCTGCAACATCTACTCCACGATTGAATACCTTCATCAAACCTTCCACCACCCCAGCATCTGCCCCAGCTGCGGCCGGTAGATCACCAACCCGTAAACGTCAAGGTGGCCTTCTTCAATCACGGAAACGTTTTGTCCCACCGTCCTTTGGCACCAAACCCCCCAGCTTGTCTATGTCTGCAGCTCTCTCTGGCACACTAGCGAACCGAAAGCCAAAGGAAGCTCGACAGTCAGCTACTATTGAGGACTCGAAACCCAAGTCATGGTTCTTTGAAATCTACGAGGAAAGTGAGGAGACACAGGACTACAAGATGAATGAGTGGACGATGACACAGTCGGCTTACGGATTGGATATCTCGGACGACGAGAGCAAGGCCAAGGACCTTCTTGATAGAGGAAAGGAGAATGTCGACCCCAATGAAATCTCTATCCCTGTCACACGGTCCATGGCAGCAGCAGCCAACGTCAAACCCGTCTTGAGAACTGCACGGAAACGCAAAGATGACATGTCTGATGAAGAGCCAAGAACACCTCTTGGAGATTTGAACCCATCTGAATTCTATGCTGAAGGACTCGACGCCACCTCAGTTGTCTTGGTCCATGACGAACCCGTTGAGTCTGAGGTAGTCGTCCAGGAAGCTGAAACTCAAGAGACCGAGCTTACATCAACACCACAATTCAACTTCTCGTCGACATCATCCCTAACATCCAAAGCCATCGATACTCTCGACACCCCTTCTATCGATCAAATCCTTGGCACTCCCCAATTTCAGTGGGACACGGTGATTGACTCGAGAGCCACCACCGCCGTGGAGCTTGACATTGCCATCAACTCAACATCACAAGATGTTGAGATATGGGAGAGTGAAAGTGCAAAAGACGAGAATGAGAAGGTCGACTTTGAGATCCTTGCCGAGGCACTTCAGAGACAGTCTCCGACTCGGATTGATGATGAGAACCCCTTTGCTTTGCAGGAACTATGAAATGTTCGTCCTTACTATGATAGTTCGTCCTTTGAAGGCATCCATCACCGCCACGATGACGGAGACGTGGACGAGAGATGTCTTCTTACCATTGCACGCAGACTCGCGATGACTCCAAAAAGGGAGGATGCTTTCGTTGAATGCTTGCTACAAATAATGTGTGGCTATGGCTATCGGTTGCCGTTTCATGTGGGAGGTGTCCATTGTTGTTGCAGGTGTTGCGTCGGAGGCTTCTTGTCGCTTATATGTCTTGATGGATCATGGATGTTTTTTCAAAAGGGGCTATGGGCGTTTTAGAGTCATGTCATGATTTTCCCTCTTTCTGGAGAAAGTCATTCAATATTGGAATCTGGCTTTCCCTTGTTATCACAGACAGTGCTACATAAATAACAGCCAGCCACTCAGTCGCAGATCAAATGAATGCAATTGCCCCAGTTCGGGTATGTTTCAAAGCTTGAGCTTCCTCTTCTCTTGACTTCCATTCCTTCCAATTCCCTCTCCATCCATCGTAGACGCTCCGCAGGCACTTAGTTTCAAAGCTCCGTCTCGGAGACATCGCTGGCGACATTTTTGGCCTCAGATGGTCATTTCGGTTTTCCTTCAACTTACATCTCTCGATACCACTCTTCGAGTCAAACGTCTACCTCAAGATGCGTGTGCGTATCACACTCTTCATCTCGCTATGAGAGTGGACACTATTCCACCGCTCCATACCTAGCTTAGACAACCAGCGTATCCATGCCATTGCTGAAACCCCCGTCCCGTGATTCTATATCATTCTATTATAACGTTCCCTCATATCTTATTATATCCTACCCATTTTGTCCCACCCATAACCAAAGCGCATCCATCCGTATGACTTCCGGGCGGAGAACCCTCGTCCTTGCCCTTGCCCTTGCCCTTGCCCTTGCTCTCGCGTTGTCGAAGACCCCCCAAGTGCCAAAGACGCATGAAGCTGGCGTCACATGCATCGCGGGAATTTTTCTTACTCGCCGAATGATCAATAACACTCAATCAGTAGTCAAGCATAGTGACTCGGGTCATCGACCCATCCACAAAGAGCGGTCCATTATGGATCTCCGAGCTGTCACTGATATCACCATCATCGTCGTCGTCATAGCCACCGGCGCCTCCGCCATCGTTTCCATCCTCGTCTTCTTCTTCTTCTCCAACTCCGTCGTCGCTGCTATCGCTACTGCTACTTGAGTCGCTGTCGCTGCGTCCGCTGCTCGTGTCACATTCATTCTCGTCGCGCGCCGGAGACGTTGGGGACGGAGGCTCAAACGGTGCATCTGGTGCGGAATGAGAAGAGGCCTCATTCGCTGGGTTGGAGTGCAGATTGGTGGTGATACCGTTCGAAGTGTTGACTTGAGTTTCAGAGCATGCTTCAGCAGGTTTCGGGGTGTTGCTTGGAGGTATATGCGGTGATGGACTTGTCCCTCCGCCGTGATATTGCTCTTCATGTTGCTCAGCATCGTTTGAAGCGTTCGCTTTCGTGGGTGAGTCTGACTCGGTTGCTTCATAGACTGGGTCCGCCACGCCTAAGCTGATGGCGGGAGCAGCACCCGCTTTGGGAGCTTCGCGCTCGATCTTGTCCTCGACACGGATGCTCGATGGGCTCTCAGCGCTGACGCCTGAAGCCTCAGCCTGATCTTTCGATCTATCACCGGTCTCTGACGTCTTTCCTGCCTTTTTCGCCAGCTCTGAATCACGCCATTCCGAGACCTCAAGCACCGCTTGCTGCGGGTCGTTCTTCCGTATCAGAAGAAACCCCTGAATTTCTGCCGGTGAGAACGTCAACTCCGGCAATGCAGTCGCGAAGCTGTTTGCGAGGGTTGATATGTCACTGAAGTCTTTCGCTTCTGGTGACGGAGTACTTAGTGGCGGGATTGTGGGTGTAGAAGGTTTCAAAGGAGCTTGTATATCAGACGATTGTGTCAGGGGAGGTACTTGGGCAAGGGATACTGTCGCAAAAGGGGTGCTCTTTGGTTTGGAGTCATGAAGGGTCTCCCAAGGATTCACTGTCTCAGCCTGAGTCGGGAGAATCTGACTGATCCTCGTCGGATGCTGAGTGACATCGCGTGGATCCGGACAGTACATGCGGAGAAACAAATCCTTGATCTGTTGCTTGTTTGCAAGGTCAAATTTTATCTGTAGGTCCACGCGACCAGGTCGGACCAATGCTTCGTTCAGTTTCTCTGGATGATTGGTGGTCAGGATAAGCACCCTGCCCTCTTGCGAAGCGACACCGTCAATGGCGTTGAGGAGTCCAGAGAGCGTGATCGTGTTCGGTTTTGAGACGGCCTTCAGATGGATGTCTCCCCTAGATTTCGAGTGTTTGGATTTCTTTGATTTCTTTTTCGATTTCTCCTTGTTGGGACGTGGTTTTGACGCGTTGCCATTTTTCTCCACTATGTGGAGTTCTGATATATCCGTGTCCTGCTCTGCTTCTGGTCGTAATTTCCCAGTCACTCCAGCACTGTCTATGTCTTCTAGAAGGAGAATGCATCGTTTAGGAAGACTATTGAACAGCAGGATGAGGTCTTCTTCACTGAGCGATATTTCCGATAGAGCGAGACAATATATGTCAAGCCCAAACACGCCCGCTAGAGCAAATGATAAGCTCGTCTTACCCGTCCCAGGAGGGCCATGGAACAAGTACCCGCGTCTGTACGGAATTCCCCTATTGCTGTACCATCGAGCAGTCCGTGGATGCAAGAAGTCGTTGATGTCCTTGAGGATAGCGGCTTTCTGGCTACTCTCGAGCACGACCGTTGCCATTGACCTGCTGGGTCGAGTGGCGACTGTTGTCCAAACATTTCTGCGGCCACGCTGAGCTTTCGGAGTCGGCCTTTGAATTATTGTTGTCGAGGTCAGTTGTCGCAGGTGATATTCTCGAGCTTCTTCGATCAGATCTTTGACAGGCTGCGCGGACAACGCCAGGACTAATATTGTGAGCCACTCTCTTTCATGAACGGCGAGACTCCAGTCGCTAGCCACTCGCTCTTTGTTGCGAGTAATACGGAAAATCCGTCTCTTGTGCCAGAAAAATCCCGAAGATCGATGTGGTTGAAACTTTGGGGGTGCACGAGCTGCCCAATCATTGAAGTTGAAGATGATGTCTTCGACATGCTTCTCATGTGACCTCAGATTATGCTCATCCCCTAGATTGGCATCATCAAAATCATCGTCATAATGCCGAGGGCTAGACGCTCGAAGGAGGCGGATGTTTTGTAATCGTCTATTCGCAGCCACCCAATTGAGCATGTCTTTGAAAATAGGATCCCATTCCTCCACTGTCACAGAGGAGCTTAGACTCTCCAGTATTAATACACTGATTGGTGTAAAAGCAAAGCGTAGGGCAGTCCAAGCACATCCGACAAAGGCGATGAAGGAAACAATGACTGAGATGTCGATCCCGAGGTCTAGTAAGACTTGCGCTAGAAATGAGTAGCCTGGAATAACAGCATCGATGAGAGTGACAGGGAGGTGTAAGGAGGAGGTGGGATTCATCGTCCTATTCGACCCAAGGAAGGGATTCAAATAGGACGATTTCCCCTCTTGGCCTAACATTTGTAAATGATAAAGCAGATACTGCAGCAGGCTTGAAGTATTGCAGTATCGATTTCATCGAAGACAAATCCCGACCATCGTTCAGAAAAGTGTTGGGAGACTCCATGCTTGAAAAGAGGTGGCAACGATCCCAATCCAGAATGATTGTTTGTCTTCACCCAGTATGGTCGGACCAAGATGATGCACGACATCAGAACGGCAAAATTACAGAAAATGGATTGGATAGCAAAGGGGACCAGGCCAACACTGCGCAATGGCACAGTCTGACAGGTAAATCTCCACGCACACCACTCAACCACTCAGTCTGAACCATTGACCATGATGTTCGCTCCAGAGTTAGACGAAGATGGCATTCGTGGTGGGGCCTTACCATTGAGGTCTCGGAATAAGGCAATGTGTGATCTGCATGGATTTGGTGTAGCCACCATTATGGTTGCGATGGAACACATGATTTGGGTACAGCAGTTTCCTTCCTCCGTTCGAGGAGCTAGGCTGACACGCTCAAAAAGCGACAGATGAGATGCCCTCATACCATGGGTTTCACTATCGCCTGCCTTGAACTTACATTTGTATCCACCCATTCATCATCATCATCATCATCAGGCAAGGCTCAATCTTACAGACAGCTGGATGAGGGGAATTTCCTCAACTTTTCGGCCGTTTCGGATTTTGTTCATCGGAAACACAGCATGGTCAGCTCCAACACCGACGAGCAGGTCAGCACGGAAAGGGTGCGAAATAAAAAAACACGTGGTGAGAAATGGGATGGCTGAGAGCTCGTTCGGATAAGCACTGGGTAATCCTGAGGCTTGGCACCACTAAGCCTATACGTGTTCTGGGTGGGTGAGCACTGAGCAGCAGTTGAACAAGCCTGAGCCTGAGCCTCAGGGAAGTCCAGGCAAGTGGCGGGCGACGCCCGGCCCGAGGCAAGCAACCGAAGCTGACCGCGGAGAAAGAGGCATCCAAACCAAGCAAAAGCTTCCCCCACCGCTTGCCGAGCTTCCCGGTATCCACTGACACGTGATGTTCAACGGCTGCACAGTGACACACTTCGGAAACGGATATTCTCACACGGAGGGGGTGCGCCACCCTCGAGAAACCCTACAACATGCCAGGGGGGCCTTAAAAACGGTTTTTTTCTAGTCTACCAGCACCCCAGGTTTCTAGGCAAGGCTTCCCAAGGCGCTGTCGAGGCTGAGTTTCCATGCCAACCTGGCCATCAAGTCTCAAACCTGAGGTTCAACGTCTCCAAAAGATAATGTCATTCTAGGTTTCTGGAGATGAATGGTACTAAATGCTATGGCTGTCTGGCTCCAAACAAAATTCCGTGAGCCTTGATGATGAATAGTCAAAGACTGATTACTATGCGAGTTTTCAAATCATTCAACAGACCAATTCCTCCCGTCGCGTTTGCTCCTGAAATGTGCCGTGCTGTGGGTCTTGAAAAGGGGGTATATAATGAATGCTTGCCGTGCTGACTGACAGTCCAGAATGCCGGATCGAAATCTCCCACCCCTTTGTCCTTTCTTTCTCTTCTCGTAAAATCATATTTTCACTCATTAGCACCTTTTTGTCTGGTTTCCAAATCCACATCCCCGCCGCGCTGATTGCTGCTCGCTTTTGCCCTTCAAAGTCGGTGAAAATCGCCGTCGCTGTGGATTCTATCCGCCCATCCTAATGCTTGGAAGTAGCGCATACGACTCAACCCGTACACTATATCTTGCTCGGGTCCAAACGGACTCTGCATGGGTTCGCCGAAATAATATGCACCGTTGAAGTCAGATGCTCGCTTGGTTGCGTTGAGTAGCAATTTCAATCTTTCCTTCGTTATATCTCGTTGTAGGCGCGCACTTTGCCAGTAATCGGTCAGGCGTTCGAGGGCTTCCAAACCCATCGAAATCGATGACATGACCTGTCCTCCCATATCCATGAGATCGTACAGAGTACCGGCCGCCGTGATCGTGTCCAATGCTTCGACAATTGCAAATCCGCTTACAGGACTCATGGCTGCAAGCCTGGCCATTGGAGCATCTCTCTTCTCCTCGTTGCTCACACGCTGGACATTCTCCAGTATAGCTTGTGCGTGCCTATACGTTTCTCTGACATGAGCGACGATCGATTGCGAATCCATTTTCGCATGGCAGACATGGCGATGCAGTAGCATCGCAGTATAGTGGTACAGGATACGAGGCCCGCTCATTGGTTCGTAGTTGTCCTTATCAGTGCCAGGCCTGTTCACCGTTTTGTCCAGGAATTGATCCCATACCTCAAGACGCGCCATTACGTCGCGGCAAAATGTGTCCAGTGAGGTATTATACCCCTCTGATAAATGTGTTCTGGAACGGCTGATTTTGCTAACAACCTCGTTGAATATTGTCGCCATCTCCACCATGTAGCCGAGAAGGCCAACTTGGCCTGTTGTGCCAGAGTTGTAACCTGATCGGCTGCTGTCCACACCCAGAGCCAAGTCGAACGCCACCAAAGGGATATTGCCTTTCTCGAACGCCGACTGCTCACACGGCAGCCGTAAATGGCAATCCGATCGGTAAACAGCTCGCACAGAAGCTGAGCAGCATCCATTAAAGCACTCCATAATGTATGCTGTCCAGAATGTCCTTCTTCTGCACTCAATGGTCATAGCTCGATCGAAGCCAAACACGAGTTCATCAGGAGACGTGATAGCACAGACCCCTTCTTCCATGTTGTAGTTCAAGCCACACGAAGTTATTCTGGCTGACCCCGTATACTCCAATGCTCGGTTATACTGACCTTGGGAGAATGCAATCAAGGAGAGGATGAGCCTGGTGTGTATCAATTGGAGGCTGAAGATGTCGCCATTCTTCAGAACAGCTTCTTGCACGACATCTGTAAATAGTTGATAATGAAACTGCAGATCACGTCGTCGAGAGAACAGTGCACCCATGGCCAGCATTGCATAGATTAGCATCAGATCTGCTGAGGATTTATTTGTACAGGTCGTGACCCAGTGCGTAAATGGCTTCCGTGGGATGGTGCAGTCAGTAGCACATCCAATGTGATAAAAGTATCTACTGAGTAGGTACAATGTCAGATCCCGATCGAGCTCATAAGGATCGGTCTTCCAGGAGTAGTTGGCTGTGGAGGCTGGTGAGGATATCAACCCCGGTAAAACCTCGCCTCCTGCAGCATCTGAAGGTCGTCTATCTGAGACAGGACGAGGAGAAGCGGAAAATCTGGCTTTTTTGGCTGGCGGCGAGAGGTTTGTGGCTTCATCTTGGACTGCATCATCTATTGACGTGGGTGACAAGAGACTGTGCACTGGCATCGAGGACTTGACACCTTGCTGCAAGCTGATATGGTCACTAGGTGAAGGTTCGGAGGATGCTGTTGAACCCCTTCGAGGGGAGTATCGTTCACCAGCCATTTCTGACGGACTGCTGGGTGTTCCCGATTGTCCATTTGTAGAGTGTTTCGGGTTGGTGCGTGCACTTTCCTTGATAAGTATCTCTGAATTTTATAGAGGCATGGAAGTACTCACGTTGACTCAAACTTACACTCACGACCGAATTTTTGGCACTGTGCACATTTTGGTACACTCGGATCACATTTAATCTGGACGTTCGAGTCAGTAGATGAATCTATAGTATTAGATGTGAGGTTTTGAACAACCTTCTTTTCTCTGCATGTATTGCACGCTTGACCTAAACGCTTCCTTGGTTTACCAGCCTTGGTTGTGCCCCACTTGGGATTGACAGCATCGCCATTGATGATCTTCTGGCACATGGTGCCGTCGTCGTAAATGTAGCAGATTCCCTTGCCCGGAACTGTCCTCTCACCTACAACCACACGCCCGTAGCCATGCTCAGGTGGGGACAACTGCGACAGGTGGGGAGGCAATGGTGCGTGCCTCTCTAAAGAATTGGGACTGCTATTTTGCCAGAACGTAGGTCGTACAGGTGACTGCTGGACCGACAGTCGTCGTGAGACTTGATCCAGATGCTGCAGAACACTGGGGTCAGGAGGACTGTATGCTGCCTGCTGGGGTACATGGTGTCCTAGAGGGGGGCGGTTGTGATTTGTCTTGATCAATTGGGGATGTGCTGAATCGTTTCGATTCGATACTGGACCATGGGGTGTAAAATTCAAGTCAGGACGACCAGTGCCTGAGAGGAAATTGCTGAAAGATGGCAATCGAGGCTTTTGTGCAACCTGGCTACCCACGGACTGAGTGTCCATGGGCGGATGAGCCATAGAGTGCCGCAAGGACGTGGTGGGTTGCGGGACGGTTGAACAGAAGGGTCCGGAATTCTCGGTTTGGTGCCACTCTTTCGAACGTGAATTGAAGGGTAGCGCAAGAGTAGTGGCCATATCAATCTGGTTCGCCGGTGCCCTAGACTCGTAGGATAGTTCGCTTCCGTGACACCAGTCAATGTTCAAGTACTCCCCAGCCCTTGACAAAGATTGAGGCCAACCTTGCTGTATTGATTGTAGGATCGACTGGGGGATCTACCGTATCCAGTGATCAAGTACGAAAGGTCAAGTAGGATTGACAACTTCTCGTCCGGCCTTTCAGTCAGCAGGCTTTGTGCTGAACGATTCGACTCCACAAAAACTTATAGGTCTGCTGCATTGCAGGTCCCAGATAACGTCGCCAAACGTTTCACGATATCACTTGCGTGGAAGCCCAATACTGCGCGATTGTTGACCACCACCTGACCACGGGCCTTTGTAGTACAGCATTCGTATAAAGTCGAAGTGTTTCAACACTCGTGTATGTAAGCCAAATGCTTCCGTGTAACCAGGTAAGGCGGATGGGTGATGAAAGTCGGCAAGACGGAATAGTAATGATGAGGTAGTTGAGTCTGACACTTAAGGTTGGTCTTTTCTGCGGCAATTGAACAGGTGGGTGAGCAGACTCTTTTTTCTGACGGAACTTGAGTTGGATCCAACGGCAGAGGCGAACAATGAGGTCGAATCGCCGAACAGCATGTGGGTGTCGGCTCAGACAAATACGGGGTGGGAAGAGAGCAGTGTGGCAGATGATAGAAACTGGGGTGTCATCAATACAGTCCTGTCCAAGAAAGTGGCGTAACCCAGATCAAATGAGATTCGAGGAGCAACAAGGGACGGGTAGAAAAGGCCTGAGCCTTCTGTTCGCCCGTCCTGTGGAGAGCTAACCTCTCTGGTTGCACAGCATCGAAAGATGGTAGGGTCTGCATGGATTAGTGGCCAAGAACAGGTGGTCAAGTAGTGCGCATGGGAGGGGGCACTTAATGGTGCCCTCGTGGAATTTTCATGTTCCGGCAGACCAGTCGCGCACCATCCTGATCCTTGATGATCGCTTGCGACAGGGATTACGATTTCAACGGGTCGATGACTGGGATGTGTTATTACTTTTAGACTCCTGGGCGGGTGGTGGAGTCTCGGAGCGGACAAGGCGTTCAGACAGGGGCATGTGCATCATGGGCCATGGACCAATATTTGTGGGGAGAGTTGCTGGATGGATGGATGGGCGGTTTCCAGACGAGGCCGGCCTCCGCCAAAAAAGATCAGGGCATGAAAACGTACGTGAGTAGTGGGCGTGACAGGTCAGGAGGTAAAGAAATCATACAAATCCAAGACGGGTCTCGGCCTGTTAGGCACCTGCAGACACGCTCTTCCTTATTGACGATTAGGTACGAGGTATCCGTTGTATTCCAATGTGCAAGGCCCCATTTAGCCTACAGTAGTTGGCTAGTAACACGAGCCACAGTCGTGGTGGGAAAACGAGCCTCGCTAGGGTTGCACTAGTTCAGGGTTGTCGTCTTGTAGCCCGGGTGAGGAATGAGTATCCCTTGTGCTGGCGGAATGGTAGCAGCTAGCAAGGTAATGATGGGTGCAGCACCCTTCCGAGTTGCTCAAGCGCTGTTGGGAATGAAAAGAGCAACAGCCGACATATCTCAACGTCTTCCCGGGCGGCAACATCAGGCTTACGCTTACGTTACGTTGTCATGCGGAATTTCCTGCATCGTGGACTGGGTGTAGTTTGCATCCACGGAGTATTCGTAGGAGTACTCGGCTCCTGGCAGTGCTCACATTCCTGCGACCCCGAAGCGCAAGTGCGTCCCAGATTTGAAGAACTGGATTAGTGCCTGGCATCTTGCCGCGCAGTAGGGAGAACCAAAACGTTTTGGCCCAATAGCCCAACTAAGACAAATCTCTAATCTGCAAAAGCGAGCGCCTCAGGCATGCTCCGGATGCCGAGCTCATGTGCAGGGCTTCCCCTAGCTGCGTCAAGAGGCAGCCCGTGACGGGTTTCAGCTCCTAGCCGAGTGCTCACAGGAAAGTAAGATGATGTACGAGTCTGCGACTGTGTTGCACGAGTCGGAGACTTGTTGTGGAGCATTAATAGCCTGAAGCTGGACGGGAGGTTGACGATCGTTCAGTGAATTGCACTGTCTGACAGGTCCTAGACTGCCTGAGGCCTACCGTCAGGTTAATTAGTCGCATGCTTGAATTCTTGTGGTACTCCGTAGTCTGATCTAGATTGCGGGGTTGAAGAATGTCAATGATCAAACTCCAAGGTCCAACATGGGAGGGAGCTACAATCGGGGGACTACGGCGAGGCGTACTACAGGACTGATTATCGCCCTAGTTCATGCCACTACTACTAGCATCGCTGTGTGGATTCCAATCATGGGCAAGGACCAAGTCTGGAAGATGCTAGAAATCTCACCATGTGCACAGTGTAGCCGGACAGGCAGCAAGAGACGAGTTGAGGATCTCCCGAGTCTCTCTCGTGGGCTGTTTGATTGAGCAAGAGCATACCTTTTGAGGTGCAAACTAGGCCGCATCAGGGCACTGGACTCCATATTGTTATTGTGTTGATATCAAAACTAGGAGCGCTTCAGGAATGGTGTCAAACTGACCATTATTATCCTGTTGCAGATTCTGGACCGATATGGCATTTGTGGCGTTCTTTTGGCGAATTTGGACCAGAAGATTTACGTGATATCGGCAATGCACTGTGTACATACGAATAGTACACAGCAAGTGGCAAGTAGCAAGTGCTACATGCTGGACCCAGGGGCCCTTGGTTCGCATCAACTGGAGTTCACTCGCTACGATCCACGGCACGGCTAATTATTACTAGGTCAGAGTTGGTAGGCTTAAAGCACGATCTGTCTCGCCATACAAAATATAGATCGAATACAAGTTACTACGAGTAACTTACTATGCTCTTCTTTTGAGGCGAGATACCAGGATCTTGCCTAGTCATGGTCCCATGGATGAGCATCTCCGTGGGCAAACGCCCGCGGCTCCATACCAGCGTGCCTCCGCGTGTATAGGTTCTCGCATATTTGGAACGACAATTGTTGGCACAGTTCGGTGTTCTCAGTGAGCTTTGCGAATAGTATACTATCAAATTAAAGGGTCAACGATGGGGTACTGGGTTTTGTGATAATGACCAAATCCAGAGTTAGAAACAGCCGACGGTGTAAAAACGCGCCAAAGACCCTGATTGTCCTGGTAAATCCCAATATCGCGGAGGATTGGAAGTAGGGATTGACGGATTAAGCTACAGTCAGCCCATCGTTCTGACCACCAACAACGTCGGTTCCAAGTTCCAACAGACGCAGACATGCAAGCTGAGGCACTCAAAACCGTGCCAGTAGGCATCATTGCCAGTGCACCCACATTCCTCGCTCCCGACATGGCCCTTCGAACAAATTCACTCAAAATGGACGTGCCATGTGGATGGTAGTACTATCTCTGTGCCGACAAAGTCTAATCAATCCCAGCTTGCAGCTCGTTCAACCTGACCAACGCTTCGGCGCCACTCCTGGTGCTGATAATTGGTTCAAAAAAACGTGGTTGGGTTCGATTTTCAGAGGACGGGAAGGAAATACCTCGCATCGCCGATTTGCCCAGCTTTACGCCAGGATTTTAGCCGGGGGCGAATGACTCTCGAGTCTCTAGTGCAATCCCGACAGGAAGGTGAAGTCACACGCAGAAATGTTACGAGTCTCCTGCATGTGGTTGACTTGAGTACGAGGCAGCGTCAAAATCCAAGAAATGTTGCGTCGAGTCCCCGGGTTGGGGAACCTCAGTAGATCCTGGCCGCCGTGGAGATATTCCCAATCCATGCCACAGGCACTCAGGAGCATGGAAGCCGCCACACGAGTATCCTGGTATCCGGATAGGGTAGCCGAGTACTGCCAACCCAGGACATTGCCATAACTTTATACATCGTTTATATCCTGCAATACCCGAGGTAATCAGAGATCGGGCTTTTTCATCGATGGTTATCACTGAATTAATCATGTTAATGGAAACTACCCCTCGCGAAATACGGCCTAATGCATGGATGCTGAAAGTGCGAGGTAACTGCCGTGCATTGTGACAGATTGCATTCAAGAGGGGCAACCGCTGAAGCACATATCATTAGCGTGAGACAATGGAGAATCAGACCACTAGTTTACACGAGTGACTGTTGTCCCGATTCCAGAGACGGGCCGACCGGTACGAACAGATACAAGGAGCTTACAGCCAGGCTGCAGCTATCATCCCTGAAGTTGACACTTGTAGGTTCACAGATACGAGATATGGGACTACTGGGAGGTGACGATCAGAGTTGTGATGTGCTGGCAATGTTGGGTCGGAAACTGAGCCTCGTGAGCTTGAGTGCGATCACCCCCATCACCCAAAATTGCTAAGAAACTTGAGTTTTAGTTCGCCTTTACCTGCTGAAATCCTTGTAGTCAGTGACATGCTTCAAATTAGTCCAATGATAGGGGGCCATGAAAGAATTATCTAAGTCTTACTCCACCGCGCCATTCAATCTCGATCGAGACTGAAAGCAGGGCAAGGGAGTTACTCCTCCATAGTGAGGAAGAATGGGAAGAGTTCGTACCTGATTCAAAACTGGAGAGTAATGATGAGATAATAATGTCCTGAGAAAGGTCGCCAATCTCCAATGCACCCTCAATCATCACAGCGAGCAATGCGGTTGTCTCCCGTCATTCTGCCATCATCCCATGTAATAATGAAAATCGAAATACTTCGTCGTAACATCCATCTTCTGCCCACCAGGGAAGAATGGAGTGCTATCGTTAGTAGGAGTCCCCCCCCCACCGGTAGATTGCATCACAAGTAGCAGTATAATGCAGAACTAGGGTCACCGATGCAAGTTTGCGTGGGGCGCCAGTTGACGACGTACTTTAGCTGAAGCCTGAGGGGTTATGCTTGAGTGCAGATGCGGCACTCCGTAT